ATGCATTGCGTTTCGTCAAGCAGGCAGGCCTGCCGAGGCCCTGGATTCATACAGAGACATGATGGATAAGATTGACAACATTACGAAGACCGGCTGCCTCGACTGGTCCAACGGCAAGTCTGAAGTTCATAATATCATGCAGGCAACCCTCACACGCATCTCACGCAGCTTTCAAGAAAGAGTGCAGCGCGCTTTGCCTTGCTGATGGAAATGCTGCCTTCGCTGCAGGCAATTATGACAGTGCTATCAACTTATACTCGGCGGTGATCAACGTAAACTCTACATCCGATGCTGTCTTCGCAAATCGCAGTAAGGCAAAGTTGAGGAAAATGCTATGGACGGAAGCACTTCTCGATGCGCAGAAGGTGCGATGACACCTGCTCAGGACGTTTTATAACCAAATGCTGATTTCGGTATACAAAGGTCATCCAACTCAATCCTTCGTCTCATGTTGGATACAAGTTGAAGCTCGCAGCGCTTCATGGCGCACAACGCTATGATGAAGCTATTTCGGCCTTCCGAATGATGTTTGCCAAATTGGAAAGCGCTCGCGACGTGAAAATGCAAAGTAAGCCCTCAGTGGCACAATTGTTCGGATGCTCAACCCCTCCCTCAGATCTTCGCAAGAATTATGGTAATCCCTCTGATTCAGATGGTATTTTCCGAAGGGCCATTGACCGACAACTCGATACTGCCCCGCTTCGCCTACTCAACACTGCTACCGGGATCTTATGTGACCGTGAAGCGCAGATAAGCGCCTTCAGGACGAGCGCAGAGCACAATAAGCTTTGGCTGGCATGGTCTATGAAGCGTGCAGACCTCCGAATTGAACACATCACAGAAGCGGTGATGAGTTACTTCCGTTGTGTCATGTTGTCCCATAGATGGGAAGGGAAGGAGCCACTGCTGCAAGACATCCAAGGAAAGATTGTGTACAAGTTGAATTCGCTCGGTGGCATCGTAAAGTTGCGGAGATTCTGCGAAATTGCTCGTGATGCAGGTTACCGCTGGGCATGGAGCGATACATGCTGCATCGACAAGAGCAGCAACGTCGAGCTGCAACAATCGCTCAACTCCATGTTCGTCTGGTACCAACACTCAGCGCTGACGATCGTCTACCTTTCGGATGTTCCGCCTTCATCGAAGTATGGCGCTCTGGGGAAGAGTGAGTGGAACAAACGAGGATGGACATTTCAGGAATTCCTTGCTTCCAAAGTCCTCATCTTTTATCAGAAGGATTGGACCCCATATCTCAATGATTGCTCTCCCAACCACAAAAAATCGACTGCAATAATGGAGGAGTTGGAGGTTGCGACCGGCATTGATCGCCAAGCCCTCGTCGACTTCTACCCAGGGATGAGCGGCGTCCGAGAAAGACTTAGATGGGCGTCGAATCGTGTTACGACGGTTCAGGAAGACATCGCATACTCGTTGTTTGGCGTCTTCGACGTCCGTCTGCCTGTGGATTATGGCGAGAAGAAGGCAAATGCGCTCGGGCGTCTCCTACAGGAGATTGTTGCTCGTTCTGGCGACATTACTGCACTCGATTGGATCGGACAATCATCCGAGTTCAATAGTTGTCTCCCTGCCGACATCACCTCATATGCTGCCCCACCATGCGCCCTGCCATCTTTGTCTGAAAATGAAATCCAGACAGAGACCTCTTCGCTGCGAAAAAATACCGTGGCTGTGGAATTGGCTTCGAAACTCTATGCTCTGCTGAAGAGCATGAGCGCTCCTCGGTTCGCGAACCGCAGGCTGCATCTGCCTTGCATCTTATTCCGTGTCACGGAAGTCAGGCAGAGGCGTGGTTTAGACCAAGAGACTCATTTCACATATGGAGTCAAAGCAGATGGGCTTCAAGATTTGCTGATCACCACTGGTGAGACCCTAATTCAGTTCTCGCGGGCAAGACCCACTCGACAAACGTTCTTTCTTGTCCGTCCATGGGATCGTCGTCTCCTCGAACAGCTTGACTTTGCAGACGATGCGAGAAGCGTAGGGGAATTATCCGAGTTCGGGTCTCAGTCAGACGGCTCTGACGAGTTTCCTGGTGATCCGCCTGTAGAAGAGGAGCATCACTCACGAGCGCTACGAATAATGGTTCACCTTGGTCAGCCTTTTGGCGCATTTTTATTAGCGCAGCAGCGTGTCGGAGAATACAAGAGAATCGCGTCGGACCATCACATCATTGCACAAGTCAAGGACATAGCTTCCGTTGACAACATGGACGTCAGTTCCATAGAAATACTATAGCTGTATTTAGAAATCAGGCCTTTCCATCTGAAAGTAACTTGTAGTGGTGAGCATAAATCAAACGCGTCAATCACGTGCTACGATGAGGACCCAGCTGACGGTTTACATGAACATGATGAAGACGATTGTTACACTTGTACTGGGCATTGGCTTACTAGTATTATTTAGTCACGATTATAAACAGTAATCTAAAAGGAGATCTACCGTGCGAGACACACAGGCTGAGAATGGTGTACTTGATTTTGGAGGGTGAGCTGGTTAAGAAACTCGGTTTGACAAAGGAACGAAAGGCTCCCACGCTATGAGTGTCAATCGATAATCGCTTATATGTTTACACTGGCTGCTACACTCTGCAAGCAATCCGTTCACCTTCGGACGTTTACCATGAATTACAACAAGAGATATCTGCACGTTACATACGTTTTTTGCTCCACCGTCAATGTAGTACCGTCGCCGATCCGTCACAGTATAGTAAGTTCTTGCCATTACAGAGTTCTAGAGCTCAGACATGAAGATAAGCACACGGCGCACAGACAGCGCGCACATGGGAGTCAGATTTGTACCTACAGGATCACACATTCCATCCTTGCACATGGCATTAGAAATGTCAAATGCTATGACCCTCCCAACTTTGTATAATAACCGTGTGGATGTTTGACGGACCGAGTAAAATTGTGGAAGGGGATGACGTATAATACAGTTGGGAGACGATAAGAAGGATGGGAGTGGGAAAGGAAGACTTAGCCCGGGAGACACGGATTCGGGTGAGAAGGCTAAAAGAGGTAAAGTTTGTGGTGTGGTGGGCGAGGTTTGGCTTGGCCAGACCGTGCCAATACAGTTGCAAGCCGGTGAGAAGGATGTGAATGGGAAAGGAAGACTTCAAGTTGGCCCGAGAGACACGGATTCGGGTGAGAAGGCTAAGTGAGGTAATGCTCGGGAAGGTTTGGCTTTGCCAGACCGTGTCCGCAGTCTGAAGCGAAGCCGGACGCATGGGGGACAGACCTTCTGAGCGTGCTGAGGCCAGATCTCGGGTTGCGGGATGAAGGAGACCATGAAAGAACGAGAGCAAACCGAAAACACGCTAGTAAGATTAAGGGAGGTGGGTGGTGATTAAAATTTTGACTGAGGGAATGGAAGATGGGGGAACGAAGCAAAGAAGAGCTTCGAAGTTGCAGGATCTAATTCGGGGCTGTGTGTGTATGTAAAAACGAGCACCGGCTTACAAAGCGCCAGATCACATTGATCGACCAACTCTATTGTTGGATTAAAACCGCCCGTACCCCAAACGTACGTGCATCGTGCCAACGCATCTTCTAGGATCGACCTTGGACGTCAGTTGCTAGTTGATAATATCATTCAACCATGCTCATCAGGGAATTACAAGATCACAGCCGACATGAATCCTCTAAATTCCTCGTTATATAGAACTGCTTAGATGATATATCTTAGTCAATACATATCATACGATGGTCGTTTCAACCTGACCACCTAACCAGGGGGAAGTAAACTAGCATCCACAACACCAATGATGTCCGCTGCATCATCAGAATCATCCGAGGAGTGCGTGATGGGTGTCCGCGGCATTGCCATAAGACCTATAGACAGTTAACTTGACTCGCGCGGACGTGAAGATAAGACTTACCAGTCCGAGCTGATTCCAAAATTCCAAACGGTTTGAGCAAACTCAAAAACGCGACGACGCGGTTCGTTTTTGCAGTGAGCTCGACGATGACGCTGTTCTCGCTCACATCGACGATCTTTGCTCCGAATTGGTCGGATAAGACGGAGATAGATTGGAGGTGCTGGTGTTTAAGGCGGAGGGCCTCGGAGGGTGTCAATGGGGGCGGATTATGTGACTCTGTGTGAGAGTTAGGGTGAGCACCACGCTCGAAATTGTGGGCGAGCGTGGTTTCTTTTTCAAGTTTGGTCTCGCGATGACGCGGGTGGGGACCCCGCCTCGGTTCATGCGAGGGTCCACCCATAAGTTGATCCTCCAAGTACTCGGGACCAAGGATGGACACTTTGACGAGGAGCAATTCTCGCGTAATAACACGGGTATCTGTATAGTCGAGAACAGCCCATACAGGCACCTGTTCTGCAATGAGAAAGGCGAGATAAAATTGTACAAGACAACTTACGAGGTCCTCTAACTGTCTCCTTGCCTGCTCCACAACGCCATCCTGTCCACTGAGGACGATAGACATCCGACTTAGGTCCCGGATTTCCGTCCGGCACACCACCAGAGAGTCAATATTGAACCCACGTCCAGCGAGGATACCAGACACGCGGGATAATACACCAGGTTCATTTTGTACCAGGCAGTTAAAGATATGTCTATGTTGGACTCCGTTAGCAAAGTTGCAAAAGCTTGGTTCACGAATAAAATACACTTTTTAAAGGGCTGCAAACTCGGAGGAGGGGTGTTATAGAGGATGTTCGTTACAGCCTCTTCTGCACTTTGAGATCTTGGAAGGTCCGTAGCAGGAAGAGGTGGTGGACGTATCCGTTGTGCTGTTTTGTAGTCCAGCGCAGAGGTCGAGTCATCGATGGATCGTGGTGGTTTTGGTGCATCTTCAGGAACGCGAAGGCGCGTCGAACTCGAGAAAAGCCGCAAATTCACTACACGGGACGCGCAGCGCGACCGGAGTGCAAACATTGCTTCTTGGTGGCCTGAAGAACGCTTGCTGGCAAATTGACTCAGTCAAAATCACATCAATTTGCTTAGTAATACTTGTGCTAGAGTTTGACAATCCCGGGCATAACCCGGGCAACTTTGCAATCGTCAACACGAAATATTTCTACTAAACAAGGCGCCCCCGGAGGGATTGTACATGTATAAAAGTTCAAATATCCAAAAAAAGTTGCGTGGTATAAAATTGAGAAGATGTGATTAGTATACAAGAGAATCTTAATTAAATTGGATTAGATGAAGCACTACATGAAGTTGGTTGATCAATAGCCCGAAGAAAGTGGAAGTGCGTCACGGCTTTCCATGACAAATTTTTTCGTGCTTCAACTTTCCGTCTTTTCGCGTAAGACTTTTGCCACAATACGAGCATTGGAAACGTGTCTTGACGTGAAGCGTCATTATGTGACGAGGAATGCTCGCTGCTTGCATGCGGCACTTGCATCCAGACCACAAACAACTAATAACTTCAAGACGCTTCGAACGTAGCGCATGGACGCTGCGCAAATGCGTCGTGATGTCGGCTTCGTTGCACGGGATCAGTGCATTGCAGTACGTTCCATCACTTGATGGCAGCGGGCAGCAGAAAAGTTCGACATCAGATGCCCTATCTTCGTAATGTAGTTCTCGACCGTCAACAGAAAGAGGCACGTGTGATTCTGGGAGTACTGAAGGAGATGGGGGGCCCAGGACGAACGGCGTACACGGTGGATTAGTATCACATGGCATTGTCGTCCACTCGCTTTGAGTAGATTCATACATGTAGTTGTCGGATGTGGGGTATTCATGGCCCGGTAGGAGCGAACATCTGTACTGCCAATGATCGGGTGCTGACGGTGAGTTGCATGGAAAGTTTTCCGAAGAATGGTGGGACAAGGTTTCCGAAGCTCTGATGTCGATCAGGGGCGGCACATGGAAATATTCCTGTGAACCTGGATGACTATGCACCATATTCCTGGAACACACGTGAGCGTCAAGGTCATTGTTTCGTGAGCAATACATACATCGGTGGAGAATAATCAAACACTCGAGGTAGAGTTTGTGATTCACTGATGCTGGTGAACCGCCCATCGTAAAAACTGGACACAGCATGAGGACCAGCACACGTTGGTAGAAATGACAGCCCCCTCACCTAACGTCAACGTGTGAGTCCTGCTCCCAGAGGTATGACGAGGAAGACCGCGGTAATTGAGGCAATGTATCCATATCTGAGATAAAGGCAGTGGAGGCTTCTTGAATATGGCGGTTTTTGGAAGCTGGTCATGTCTTTATACCACTGAAGGTTACCACTCGGCAACCTCCTCCTGACGAAACTGAGTTAGAAAGGGCGGCAGCTAGTCTAAAACTTTCTGCGAAACGTACATATCTGAACATACAAAAAGCTGGTGCCGTACAGCGCTAGAGGGGCCAATTAGAATGGCTGCCAATTAGCCAGGTGGTGATCGGAACGAGTCGCGGGTATTACAAGATGTGGTACACATGTGTACGCGTAGGCCTTCACGTGGCAGAATATGTCATCGATGAACTTTGTCCGGGGGCTACATGACCATTACGGTAACAAGGAATTAGCGAAATTCGTAACTGGGAGGAAAGGGACGTATACTTGCTGCGAAAATGTGGGAATGTATTTCGGCAACCCCGAGTGAAGGAACATGATGCGATTGCTTCTCGCTTCTTGATCTTAAGAGTTTTTCGATCTGCTATTCATGGAAGATGATGAGCCAGGATAAACGCGGTTGTTAGCTTGAGTCGTTCCACTAGACACGGATTTAAGGTTGATACCAGCGGCCCCGATACTCATCTAGGCCCCCGACGCTCATTAACAACGAACTTCCAACAACGTAAAGTCGCCAGCGTGTCGGGACGCACTCTGTGGGTGGCCCAGTCCGTTTTCATATCCAAGATCCGAGTGTACGAAGAAGTAGACCATGGCATCGAGAAAACCGATGAGTGTACGGCTGTTACGATAGCTTTGACAATAGCGGTGGCGTCGTACAAATTGATCGTGAGTATTGTGTAATTGCGTGAGCAGGTTGAAAGATTAACATTTAATGGCTCAGGCCCTGATCGAGACCTAATCGATGGTCCTGATTCATGCCAGGCTATGTGATTTTGACGCCGCTTGTTGGCACGTTGCGGAAGTGGCCAGGAAATGAAATGCCTGTGAGCACATTGAACTTAGTATGTAGACGGCGACCTCGTACTTGGAGTATATTCTCTTACCGTGGCTATCCTAGAAAAAACTTCGGCACGTCTCAGTGCATGCACGACTCAAAGACTTCCGGTTCCGAGTCAAGGGCCTTGGGCTTCAAGTTGGACTTAGGCTTGGATCGTTGATTAGCACACGACATGGTTACCGCTGACAGTCAGGGTCACGATGATCTGAAGACCAAGATTTTCGAAAGAGCTGGTATCCCCCGAGTGCTTTTCAGGGATAGTGCAGTAAAAACATGCCGTTTGGATTACAACCGAATCCTAGTGACCGTTACGGAGCGTCGTCTACGAGTCACTGGTGCCCAGGAAACGCCAGACACTGGGTTCCAGGGTTGCCTCAGGGCGAGAAAATGAGAGCGAAGCTGACAAGCTTAAAAGCCAAACATAAAACGCTATCAGGCATGTTACAAAACAGTGGGAAGTAACGACTGCTGTGCTTACAGAATTGTTTTTCTTGACCTCACCTGCCGTGCAGCTGGGCTCTAAATCCAAAAGATCATCGGCTCCGGTCGCGGAGAATCGCGATCGCCACAACACATATGAATGTGATCAAAATGGCTAGCCCGGAGACCATGGTGAACATGATTAGTCCTGAACCAGCTATAGCGATAAGATCTATAGCACATATGCTAGCATATGCTCCGAGATCGATCATGATCAGTAGTGCTAGGTTGTTTGTGTATAGCCTCATGTGTACAACTGGGGTAATTAATAAGAGCAGCGTAATAAGTTAATGGACAGATTAACTTCACATTCTAGACAGCTCCAAACAGCTCCCCGCCGGCGCGCGACATACCAAAAGTAGTGATCGTCGAGTTCATTGACCATAAATTGTTACTTCGCACAAGAACATGACATGCTAAGAAAGAAATGAGCTGGAGAAACTACTCTTCATTCTCGCTCCTGGCCCGGCAGGCTGACACGATGACCATGACCCATCCTCGTTGTCGGTGTTTCGCGATGGAATTTTCGAGAGCCTTCTGATCTTGACGTCTCGGAAGACTCTGTCGATACCCCAAAAGACCTCAAAATTTGTCCGATATCATCGCTCTTCGGTCTCAAAACATATGTGCAGCGTACCCTGAGAGAGGGACATCGATGCATCGTGTCCGCTTTGCAATGCAAAATATCTGACGGCAATAGATCTAGACCGCTTCCAGTGTCTTCTAGGTTGTTCGATGCGTCCTCATTAATATCGACACTCTTCAAAATTCAGTCTCAGAACGTATAAAAGAGGAACATCGTGTCTACTTCGCAATGCGGAACATTCGACGGAAATCAATTTGAAGCTGCCAAGGAATGATCGTTTTCGCGAGGAATTACTATCATTGGGAGCCCCGATCAGAATTTGTAAAGACACCGTGAAATATCACCTCACAAAGGAATTTCGTTCTTTGGGAAGGGGATGGTCAATGCTGCCGCTGCTGCGTGGCTCGAGGGGGTGGAGGCTTTACGTCGATAGTCACATCTCAGAGACTCACCTCAACCAGGTTCGGTAGACACGGCAGTAATCATTTTCCCTCGGGTAGCGGCCCTCTGAGCAACACGCCTTAGTGCTTTTTTTTTTACCTGGACGTACTTTTGTAGCAACCTGACTGTGACCAGAGGTTAATTTAGCAACCCAAAGTATTGGCTCTGCACTATGTGCGATGATTGCCGCAAGTAAAGGCACAGTATGCAAAAACCATGAGTAGGGATTATCAGAAGCCTATGGATAATGCACATAATATCAGTTGAAATAACCGTACCAATCCTAAACGACCCACCACCACCATCTATCCAGCAACAGCCTTAACCCTCTGTTTAACTTCCTCCGTTCGCCCGCTACCCCTCCCTTTCGCTCTCCCGAACACCACTACCTTCCCCGCCTCGCCCGCACGCCCCGCACGACCAGCACGATGCAAAAAATCAATCATATTCCTCGGCTCATCGACAATAAACACATGTTTAATCATCGGCGAAAAATCCAGCCCGCGGGAAAGAAGCGAGGTTGTAACAAGTACATGAGGCGTCTGAGCCGGATCACACACACCCGGACCCGTCGGCACAGGCCCACCTGTCTTCAAGAACCCATCGAGATGGTGATTCGACCCCCGTTTGCGTGCTTCTGCACCACCGGTGAGCGCGACGCATTTGATGCCGCGGCCGTCGAGGAATGCAGCGAGTTGCTCGACTTTGCTGCGTTTGTTGCAGAAGACAAGGAGTTTGGAGAGTTTAATAGGGCCGGGACCGGTTGCAGTCTTAGAGTGCACGAGAGCATCTTCCGCCCAAACGCGACGGATGCGGCGCTCGATGTCTGCGCTCTTATTCCCGCCTGTCCATGAGGTATGTTCTGTGCGAAGGGTCGGAGGAAGGTGATGCAGCCGCGGGGATGCAAGGCGGGTGAGGGATGGGTGGTAGTTTGAAAGATAGGTGGCAAGAGATGTGGGGATTGTTGCGCTGGTGAGAAGGAAGTTGAACGGGTAGGAGATTGATTGGGTGGTTGTCGCTTCTGAATCCGGAGTCGAGGATAGGGCCGAGAAGGAATTACTGGGACAGGCGAACCACGTGCTGCAGCGATATCGGCAAGAAGCATGCGAGTGGATTCTTGGAAGTCCGGATCTGCGTAGTGTCAGTAGACGTGTGCATAGCTCGAGTTAAATACGCACCAAACAGGACGTCTGCCTCGTCTACAACCACCCACTGCACGTTCTGCAAGCCCATCTCGGGTTCATCAACCCAGAACTCTCGCGGCGGTTCTGTATTGCCTCCGTCTTCTTCCTTTACATCTTCGTGATCTTCGGATTTTGCTTTCCCTATCCTCATTGCTCGCTCTCTCGCTCGCTCCTCCCAGTTCCAGCCTCTCCCGCGCTCCATCTCAAGAAGTTTGTTTGGCGTTCCCAGTAACAGGTCTACCGGTCTCGACCCACGAGAAGATTTTGAGATGACGAACTCAGCGTCACTCGCAGCACCAACTTCCCCGAATTTTCCTTTCATTTTCGAAGCAGTTCCACTAGACTTAGCCGTACTGGGTGTATTCGCCTTGCTAGCGCACATAACACGCAACTTGATAACATGAGACAAGCTCTTTGCGAAGCTTGCAAGTTGGCGAGTGAGTTCATGTGTAGGCGCAAGTACGAGCGCACGTGGATTCAAAGGCTTGCGAGACGAATGGTGGGCAACAGCGTTGGACTGTTCGTGCTCCGTGCATTTGAGATCCTGCAGTACCGGGAGGAGGTATGCTATCGACTTGCCCGACCCTGTCTCGCTAGCAAGAAGGAACTCCTTGTACTTCTCACCTTCCACGTGTTCCTTGAACAAATGCTTCATCGACGACGCTTGAATAGCAGTTGGCCTTGCTTCCTTTCCTAGTGTCTCTTGTAAACTTTGTAACAGCCCAGGCATTAAGGGCGGAGAAGAGAACCGAGTGGGAAGGTCTTGACTTGAAGAAGCTGGTGCAGACAGATCAAATTCCTTTTCTAAAGGATTGACTTGAGTGGGCGGTTGATGATGCTAAAGCCTTGCGCCTGTCTACACGTTCAGAATGAGCTTTAATAGCCCAATTCTTGACCTGAGTCTCAGCATCCGCATCGTCGGTTGGCGCACGGCGCTTTGGAATGGATCTTGATTCCGAAGTCGTCTTCCGCCTAGGCGGGCTCTCTCGCTGTTGCGGCGCGATGCCTTCATGCGGGACAGGATCACGCTTGAATTCTGGACGTGATGGTGCTATCTCAAGTTTTCCCAGCCTCTTTGCTTTGCCTGTTGGCTCGAGTGATTTCGCAAGACGAGTACGTGGTGGAGAGGCTAGTAAAATAAAGCAATTTCGTGACCATGTTATACGGGAGAATCGGAATCAGAGATAGCAGACTTACATGGCTTGCCACTCGGTTTTTTGGATTTCCTACGTAATTGAGCCAATACGATAGACGAGGTGTGGAACTGCGAGGAGGTGATCTCTGAGCTACCAGGACCAAGAACCTGGCGCAGGGCCAACAAAGATGCCATATGGCTGAAAAACAAGAGTTGCGAGAAGCGGCGTCAAAAGGAAAATACGACCGTCCGAAAGCGGATAAACCCCTGTATGGCGGAAACGAGCAAATCCAGAAGAACGATTTGAGATGGGCTTGTTGAGTGTCTAACGAGCCTTCTTAGTCGTTTGCTTCACCCTCTCGCAGGCCAGTAGGCGCCAGTAACTTGTGGTGCCACTTAAGTCTGCATGGAGGTGGCGGAATTTCGAGTCTTCGTGTGACAGCATAGAATGTACAAACTCAGATGTCGGACAGCCTCAATTTGCAACGCTCCTGAATGATTTCCTTGATACTACAAGATATAATCAACATATGGCAAGAACCGGTCAAGGAGAAGGGAGCCAATAGAGAATCCGCGGCATCCTGGCTCTTCCTCAGACCAATATATAAATACGCGAGTAATGGAAAAAATAATAATCATATATGCTATGCATCGTCACGTCCTGGAATTCGATAGCTTGGATGGTATGTGGCAATGTATGTGATAATATTTGCGACAAGACTTGTGTGGTATTCCCTAAGAGAAATAAATATCAATTGCGTCCATTGGCGATGTGGAAAGCTCACGTACGTTTCGTTTCAAATAGCTCGATACCAGTGAGGCGGACCATCCTTCCCCAGCGCCTCCTTCAAAGCCTTATAGCTTGCCTCTGGCGGCGCGTGAGTTGATAAGCGTTCCCCCGCAGCACAAGGATCGTCACAAGCGAGGGCAATGCACCAGAAATATTTGCCCTTGGGGGTTCTGATTCGACGAACTCTGGCGTAGGAGAGAACGCCCGTCACTGCCATGACATTCCTCGAAACAAGGCTAAGGATATCACGCGAGTCTTCGGATGTCTTGGCGGGCGGATAGCCCATATCAAGGGCTCGCTGGTGCAACCAGCTCTCGCTCAACAGATATCCGCAGTATTTTACCATGACTACAGTTGAAGAAGCATTAGAATACAAACGGTTCCAACGCAAGTCCATGCTCTTACCTTGAATTTGCGATGATGTTTGATTTCAACTTTACACAAGTGTTGCCCTTTTATATTGGGTGTCATGTGATAAGTCACGTGCTTATACATGGACAAATACCACGCGGTCCCGATCCTGTGGACCAGTGGCAACTGATACACGATCACCGTGTGGCGTGGTGTGTTCGCCCTCTCATTGTTGACCTCTTTCGTCCATGGAGTTAAAATACTGATCTTTTTGTCCCCTATCTTTGGATTACTTGCCACGTCATGGTCTGTTCGAACCGTACAAGAATGTTGAACAACTTGACCAAGGTTAAAAATCATTGTTCGCCGTAAATGCTATACAATAGAGTCATATTCTCCTGAAGAAATTGAAGTCCGCACGACATATATTAATTTGTATCGGTCGCTGTCATTCACCACACCTCATACTACTCATTCGCAATGGCCCCTGATCAATTGTTGCCACGCAAAACACGTTTGGAGACATCGTACGCGTTCTCTCGTACCTTCAATTCCCGCAACATGGAGTTTTATTGGTACCCACTGTGGTGTCAGACACTCTTCGATCTTGTGGCAGGTGTGCCAAATTTGATCGTGGCGCCTCAATTTCCAGTTTGGATTGTAGAGAAGAATGACCAACTCGAAGGTGCAGACGATGGTGATGATCCTGCAGAGGTAGAGGAGTTTGAAAGGACAGTACAGGGAGAGCAGGCTGCTGCAGGAGGCATGCAAGTCCCCAGTAACAACGTCGAAGAAGAAGTCGGAGACTACGAGCCTGAAGTTGGGGCGGGAGATATCTCCTTCGCATCGACCGTCCCAGAAAAGGCTGCTAAGAGCGTTCTGGTGGATTTTGCGATCGTCGGTCTTACAGCAGTGCCTCTGTCAGAGGAGAAGCGTCGCTATGGAGGGTGGCGAATTACTGTGGCAAATGCTTGCCTTCTCGTGGAAGTGAAAAGGTTTGCGAGCAGGAGTCTGAAAGATGACGAGCTGGATGCGGACATTAAGGTGCATATTGACGAGGCTAGGCTCGACCTGGTGGTACAAGCAGGATATCTTTTTCTCCAAGATGAAACCAAAGATTCCATCATGGCCATCGCCGCTGCAGGTAAGTCATCCATACCACATCTGAATTACATACCATGACCTTGCCATGACCGTCACCATGATATTTCAGGTCCTTATTGGAGCGGCGCCACAATTCATCGTAGCGACGTCGAGTTCACCATGGACGTTCTGTCAAGCAATGATCCAAGCTATCAACCCCCTGGTGAACAACTCTCTGACCGGGAGCCGAAGTGGAATAAGATTCTTCGCCTTGATGGCGCATCCTCCACGGTAGCTTCCGAAGCCCGCTTACGCACCATTTGCAAGAAGATGAGAGAAATAGGAGATCAAAAAATGAATGCTAAGTAGTGTGGTGTTTGCTCGGGAGCGTCGAGGGGCTCTTGGGCTTTGGATTTTTTTTGACTAGAACTTCTCCATCGTGAAGATAATACATATTTATTCAGAACAATCCGAGTTTTGACAGTAGTACGTACTAACTACTAGTGAGGACAAAGCAAGCTCAGTAAGCCGCTATGACAGTGGATGGCTGTGCCTGTAACGTGTCTCCGAGTCCCGCAGGTGCGAGGTCGCATCATGTTGACCACTTTTGATGAAAGGCAGTAACCAACTGCAGCTTGATGGAGGTTTTGAGACGAACAGTCTCATGTCTTGGGCGTATATAGAAATATGAGGAAGGTTAATGTATTCAATCAGTAATAAACGTACAGTACACACACCTATGCAGCAGAAGGAGCCGCTTTTACCTGGAGACGCGCGTTCTGAGGGTATGTATTTGGAAGTGAGCGAGAGGCTGTGGGTTCTAGAGAGAAGTGGTTCACGGAAGATCCATAGAACATAGTCTTTGAACTTGAAGCTCGAAGCTTTTCAGAGGCCGTTTTCGAAGCCCGCTTGATGCTCTATTCGGAAAGTCTCTGACAAGTACCAACCTCCTACCTACCGCACCTGGAGAGGTCAAGGCGGTCTTCTATAACTTGGTCTTGTAGTTACATAAGCCGATACAGTAAGAGCCAACCAAAGGGGGGACCTGCTTGAGGATCCACGGCATCCTGGCTCCTCAGACCAATGTATGGATACACACGAATAATGGAAATCAAATAATCACATGTGCCGATGTACCACCATGTCCTGGGATTCGAGAGCTTGGGTGGTATGTGCGACAAGACTTGTGTGGTGTTCCCTAAGAGAAATAAATATCAATTGCATCCATTGGCGATGTGGAAAGCTCGCCGACGTTTTGTTTTAAATAGCTCGATACCAGTGAGGCGGACCATCCTTCCCCAGCGCCTCCTTCAAAGCCTTATAGCTTGCCTCTGGCGGCGCGTGAGTTGATAAGTGTTCCCCCGCAGCACAGGGATCATCACAAGCAAGGGCAATGCACCAGAAATATTTGCCCTTGAGAGTTTTTATTCGACGAACTCTGGCATAGGAGAGAACGCCCGTCACTGCCATGACATTCCTCGAAACAAGGCTAAGGATATCATGCGAGTCTTCTGGTGTCTTGGCGGGCGGATAGCCCATATCAAGGGCTCGCTGGTGCAACCAGCCCTCGTTCAGTAGATACCCGCAGTATTTTACCATGACTACAATTGAAGAAGCATTAGAATACAAACGGTTCCAACGCAAGTCCATGCTCTTACCTTTGATCCGTGATTATGTTTGTGGATGACCTCAGTTTAATTTATTTGTATTACTATCCACACAGTCACACGAGCACCAAAGCCCTCCGGTATCAGCGCATCTGTTGCTCATTCCACCATGGCATCTACGCCGATGCATTGCCCCGCAGAAACTTCGACTATTCCGGCCAGTTGTAGTGGTGCATGGCCAGTAGCTATATAGCCCAACTGGTTACTTGCGGGACTTCATCGGCGCGTACTTTTTGTGTCCCGCAGCTCCCTGCGACACGTTGAGCTCCAGTGCTTATCACGAGTGCCAGACCACACAGACTATGTAAGGCTATTTATGTCCGCTACAGCCCAGGGAGCCTCACGGATACCTTCAGTTTCAACACATGTTCGCTATATCTATAGCTGCCTGACTGGTTGCTTGTGTATTACCACTCATTTCTATCCACTAATATCAGATTCCTCCCAATCCTTTGTCCCATCTCTGAAAACCTTCATCATACCATGCCGAGAGCACCGATGACTCTAAAACGTAGCCGAGGGCTATCAAAAGAGGGTAGCACAGGTAGCGCCCCTGCGCAGAGCGCTTATCTTGACGAGCAGCCTCCTTTGGAAATGGATACCATACGACCCGCCGATGATGAGATGTGAGCGGCCAAATAAGCCAAGGGGTCACAACTGACGATACTATGCCCGCAGAGTGAATGTCTTGAATCGAGTCTTGGACATTCTTAAGGACTCAACAATTGCCTCAAAGACCGACAAGGACGACCGCTCGCGTTTCTGGGTGGCATACAAATGAGTCGCTGAGGAACACGACGACGAGTTCCTTGAGCAATACAACAGCGACATGGACATTGTGTTGATCTTTGTAAGTTTCGCATGTTCGCCTTTGCCTTGTATTGTGATTGACATTCGATCAGTCTTGTCTGTTCTCCACCGTCAGCACGGCTTTTATTGTTGCCATGGAGTCAAATCTCAGTCCAGACCCCAACGACACCACGCATGCCCTTCTCGCGCAGCTCGTCCAAATTGGACTCGGCAACTTCGCTGCAGCGGGGTCTATACCAGCAGCGCCAGCATCTACCTGGTCGCCATCCACAGCCAATATAAGGATCCAATCCATCGCTTACGCGAGCTTGTCTTTCAGTCTACTCGCTGCTTTCAAGGCCGTGCTAGGCAAACAGTGGCTCGGATACTACAAATCGCACAGGTACTGGCCGCGACTCGGAGGATGAACGAGGGAAGCGCAGACAAGAGAAGTTCGACGGCATTGTCACATGGTATTTTGATGCTGTCGTGCAATCGTTCCCGATCCTGCTTCAGTTCTCTCTTTTTCTCTTTGGAATTGCCCTCGGCGCCAATATGTGGTACGAACAGTACACGGTTGCCTGGGTCATCATTGCAGCCACGGTTTTCGGGTTTTTGTTTTATTCCCTGACGGTGATGGCGGCTTTGGTATCTCCTGCGTGTCCATTTCAGACGCCGATATCGACAATATTGCGCATATTGCGCGTTGACGGTAAGATAATTCTCAAGTTCTGCTCATTCCAGTCTGAGTCAAAATTGCAGAGCTCCTACGTCCAATTGTTATTCAGGCCTTCTAGTATCTTAAGCAATCGGTGCATGGTAAGTTCCGTTTTCTTGAGCATACACAGATTTTGACCGTTCCTTACTAGGCGTGCTGCATTCTCGACATCTATATGTCGTGTATATCATACATCTGACCCTATTATCAGAACTAGCAGGTGACGTTCTTTGGTACTATTGTATAGCACACTCAGCGCTCATATCACTCCAGGCTCTGTGTTTGCGGTCTGCTCATTCGCATGGCGCTATCTTCAGCTGTTATTCGGCGCCTTCCAGTACCCTCTACCCTGGCGGCGCTCTCCAACAAGAGTCGTGGACTCTGAAGCACAATCGCTTGACCAGAGCAGGAACGTTGTATCCATGAATCAATGCCTCCTTAAGCTTAAGCTACCGGACACACCCACCAGCTCTCTCGAAGCACCTAGCATCAAGTGGCTGCTGGAGACATCCACGGATCCTGAAGTATTTCTCGCCGCTGCTAGCCTTGTTCACCAGTGTCGACTGGCCTCTGGGTCTCAATGTCTCAGACACGCTGGGTCAACCTATACGATATTTACAACACCTGCTTAGACGTTCATATGCTCATTATACCGTCGTTAGAGGAGAAGGCATTGGCATGTACAATGGCTCTTTGCCACCTATACTGCGGCCGCATTCTTCAGGGACATCCTGACTATAGGTTTCTTGACCAGGGAATCTCAGACTGCGACGTGTTTCAACAGATGTTGGGGAGGACCAAAGCCAAAGATAATATGCTTGTTGTGACAATTAAGCTGTCTCGATGTAGATCATCCTGGTGGTCTTACGAGTCACCGAAGTTTGGGGCTTGTCCCGACTCTGTCCTCGAGTGGCTGTCTCACACTCTTCCTTTCCACTTTGTTACAGGGCGAGTAGATGAAGATGTAGAACAATTCTCCATGACAGTGATATCGAAACTCCTATGCTCCTTTCCATCGCCTCAAATTATAGCCAATTGCACTCTTCTTGCTTGCGTCATGGTCGGGGTTCAGTTTGACAAGGACATTGTTCGGGTTGATAAAAGGTGTTATCAACTCATTTGGTGGTTCTTATGCTTTGCTTAACTAAGAGATCGTGTAGTTCTGCTCTGCCTCAACTTGCTCAGTCTCTTTGGATGCAGTTCCAGAAAGTACTCTGGGCACCGGATGCAGGTGGGCTCAACAATGCTAGTCCGTCGAGCACGGCACTTCGACGTCATCTGTCGAGTGCTTGACCGTAATATACTTCCACCTCCGGAGATGTGGAGCCTGGGTGTGTGCTTGAACATTTATTCACGGGCGAGGTCATCTCAACACAATGATCGGGATTCATTAGCAGCGCTGGGCAAAGTACGGTGCTTCAGGTTCGCCGTCGATGCCGAGAGTCAATCCCAATGGGACCCTGCAGATCCTGCCTGGTTGTGGCAGCATCAAATCTCGTGGCAAGGCAAGTCACACTCGCCAGAGAACTTTGACTGGCTAGTGGACTACCTCAGCAATGTTTGTTCCAACAACTACAAGACGGCAGGTGATATCCTTGTACTATTGTGCAGTATGAGGGCGAGCTGCAGCCCCGCTTCACAACAGCTATACATCGAGAAGCTCATCGCCTGTATGGGCAGCATCATGCCTCCCCGTTTACGCCATGCTGCCCTTCGTGCTGCTCACAGTATCCGGGAAGTCTTGGCCTCCATCGATGTCGTTGATGATGCAGACATGATGTTGACCAATTTCTCCTCTGCTATCCTTACCGCGGTTTGTCCACAACCAGGTGCAACGCCCACCAGTGATGGCCCTGACCGCTTCTTCCATCCTTCCCACGACTTGTGCTATCTCGAACTGATCTTTGCCTTGGTGAGGAATTCGGTTTGGCACCCCCATTTGTCTGGGAATAGCCATATAAATTGGTGCAGTAGCATCGTTGCAAAGTCTTGCCATTTCCACATGAATCCTTGGTTCAAGCATTTCAACGCTCTCCAGCCGCATGCCTTTTACTTAGCTGGCATCTTTCTCCGAACGACATCTGAATACGTGTCCGTTACATCACCTAGTTCTATCACAGAGTAGCAGTGGTGGGACTTGGTGAGAAAGGCATGGTATTTAGCTATTCTCGTAATCAGCGACACATACTGTATCGAATTCCTTCCCATTCTTGTGGGAGGAACAAAGAAGTGCATGTGTATCGCTTCAAAGTCTGATCTCAGGCAGCTCATCAGTGATTTGGATGATCTTATCGGAAGGCCAGGAAGGCCAGGTTTTCTAGAGCAGAGAGAAGGGGTCGCTGTTGCTGTAAAGGAGCTGAGAGGTATAGCCAAAGATATGTATTACAATTTTAGGTGATAGGCATTGGGCGGGAGACATGTTATTAGCCCCCTTATCATTAAAAGCGGTTGCATGTCATAGGATAGGAGGAAGGGATAGTGGGTAGTATAAGTGAAGATGGACGAGTTGAGTATATATTACATCATCAGCCTGAGGGATTCCACGTACTAACTACACACAATCACTGGCAAAGTGGTGCTTGACCACCATCCGTTTATCGGATCTCCTCTACCAGAAGCATAGAACTCGATTCAGTAGATGTGATCCCAGTTCTAATGACGCCGATGAGTCATTCCACGATCGGGCCACTGCGAGTACTATCGTTTTTGCTGGTTGTAAAACTCTATTGTGCAGGATGAAGAATAAAATGCAGCCCAATGCACGACATCGACTTTCAGAGCCTCATCCGCCCGCTCTACAATAGTCTGGACATTATCAGTCAGCGATCTTGTTCAGTATGCCGTATAGAGCAGTTCACTTTCAATATGATCATTGGGGGATGCAGTGACTCAGAAGCTTACAGAGCTTTGCGTAGACTTTCAAAACGCGTACTGGTGACCGTTCTTGGACGATGGGATTAGCGACCTTATGAGTCTTAGTCTGGTTTGGCTATTTTATGTAAATGCATCCGAAGGATCTAGACTGCGTGCGATAAGTCGCAGTGATAGCGATAAGGTTGCAAGTTGAACTTACGATTACATTTTCAAGGCTTCGAAGACGAGCAACAATTTTCGCATGTTGCCATCAAAGTCTTCGGCGGTCTGTTGTGGCGCCTTTTCAAGTAAGTCGAACTTCAGTTTCTTCGCTGAGTTTTCCAAGATAATTTGCATCTAAAGGCGTTCACCCCCAAGTTTACAAAGAGTTGCTTGATGTTTACTCACCTCTTCTGGGTCCGGTGCAGCGACTTGCATAAGTAGACAACGACTCTTTACGGATGCTATTAGTCTGCTGGTGCTGTTGACACAGGGCATGATTTGTATGTTTGGCATGCATTTCTCCATCGTTCGACGCAAGGCTGCTGGGGCATCACAGGAAAGAGAGTCCGTCTCGTTGATCACAACTAGCAAAAGTATCGGGTTAACGTCTAGGTATTGTATAACGTTAAGTGGTACCTTTGAATCCATGATTCGCGTACAAGTCTATCTGCATAATTTCCTTCAACAAAGCCTGGATGACGACTATGTTATAATTTACAGCCTCGCTTCAAAGTGCTTCAGATCGATCAGAAGAGCACAAGATGATGCCGAATAGCATACCTAGGATTGATCTCGATGTGAAAATTGCCTTGAACAATGTTTATGATCTTTGAGCTGTCAATTCATGTTCATCAGCATCATCTAAAGTAGATTATAGAATCATACAAGTCCTCTTGCCTTCGAAACGCCACTCCCAAACAGCTGCCTCAAAGTACAGCTGATCCGTGTTGTTTTCCAGCTCTAGAAGAACATGTGTGGGAAGTTAGCTGACGCAGCCTGTATGTATGACACCATATAGGACGCATTTCTAGAACATCCAAGATTGAGATTGACTGACCAGAGATTTTAATCGAATAGACAAACTCTGGTGTAGTAGTGAAGGTCGTCCCCAAGTCTTTGGTCTCAACTGCACGATTAATATGAGGATGGTCAACCGCCTAAAGAAGACAAGCTTCTCACTTCATCTACCCAGAGAGAAAGAGTTGAAAGTCAAATTTAAAGCACAGAACGTCGATTAATTAGTAACTTGGGTCCTAAAGCGTGAAACTGCCAAATTGGATCACAGCAGTCGCGTGACGTCACGCGTTGATTGTGCCATCTGAGTACGAGACGGCTACAACAGTTGACTCCACACTTGACTCACCGATTAGCCGATTCCTGAAGGTTGTAACTAATCAATTAGAGATAGCCACCATATGGTTGAAAAACAAGAGTTTGCGAGAAGCTGCGCTGAAAAGAAAATACGACCGTCCAAAAGCAGATATGCCTCCGTACAGTGCACGGCGGAAGCGACTCCCAAATCACGACTCGGCACAAACTCAGAAGGAACAATTTGGGACAGCAACTAATGCTTGTGGTGTTACTCAAACTTCAGTCTGCATGTAGGCGGTAGGGTTTCGAGTTTTCGATGCGACAGCACAGAATGAATACACTCACATGTCGAAAACGGCCTCAATTCGTCAATTCACAACACTCTTTACCAAGTTTCTCGATACAACAAGATATAACCGACACATGGTAGGCACCGACCAAAGGGGGGGAGCTAATAGAGGATCCGCGGCATACTGGCTCTTTCTTCGACCAATATATGAATACACACGTATAACAGAAAGAAAACAATTATAGTAACACTACGTCCTGAGATTCAATAGCTTGGACGATATGTGGCAATTCGACGGGATTTGTGGCTTGCCTGGGAAAAAGAAACATTAGTTGCTCCCATTGGCGATGTAGAAAGGTACAGACGGTTTGTTTCAGATAGCCCGATACCAGCGAGGCGGGCCTTCCCTCCCCAGCGCCTCCTTCAATGCCTTATATTTTTCTTCCGGCGGTACGTGGGTCGATAACTGCTCCCAAGGATCGTTACAAGCGAATGCAATACACCAAAAATATTTCCCCTTAGGAGTTTTCACCCGACGAAAGCTGGTGTAGGGGAGAACGCCTGTCCGTGCCATGACATCCCTCGAGCCGAGGAGAATCATATTATTTGTGTCTTCGAGCGTCTTGGCGGGCGGATGACCTACATCAAGGGCTCGCTGCTGCAACCAACTATCGCTGACGAGATATCCACAGTATTTCACCATAACTGCAATGCATAAAGGATGGGGATACACACAGTTCTGAGAACTTCCGACGCAACTGTATGCTCTCACCTTGGACCCGTGATGATGTTTGATTTCGACTTTGAACCAAGTCTCACCCTTTTATACGGGGTGTCATGTGACGAGGCACGTGCCTCTTGAGGAATCAATGCTGCTCATCAAAGAGCTGGTTGCCGCTTGTCCGAATGCCGATCTTCTTGGGAGTCGTGTCGTGGAAGTGAGCATTATGCGGCCACACTTGGTCATTAACACTGATCTTTATCGCTCTCACATTAGACATATCTACACGTTCAACTCGGAACCAATGCGTTCGATTGCGCGCGTCACGACGAAGCCGCTGATCACTTTACTACTGCTGTCAACACCAGCACTCTTTCATCAAAGTTCATTCATCAAATATACGAGGACTTGACCGTGGTGTGTCAACATGATGCACACCTAACGCTTTTCATAACTGACTCGTATCTTGTCCAGCTCTTTGGCTGGGATCTCGAGTCCTTGGTGCTAACTACACACCAGAAACGGTGTCAGGCTTTCCTTTCGGCAGGTAAATACGATGAAGCCCTCGAAGCACACAAATGCATGATGGACGCCATTGACGAAAGTGGGAAGGCCAGTTGCCTTGATTGGTCCAACGGCAAGTCTTCAGTCATGTCGCCTGCGGCTATCATACTCACCCGCATTTCACTCAGAGTTCAAGGAGCAATGTAGTGCACTTGCTGCGCACGATGACCGTATTCTTGGTGTATGTACCTCCTTCTTCAACTCTTTCGCTACTGACCTGTATGCAGGCAGAGATCCCTGGACAAGAGCAAAGTGGCTTTGATGCAGAACACAATTTCTTCCACGGAATGCATCAAGTGCGTGCAACAGTGTACTCTCATTTTCCCTTTGACATCGTTCATTACAGTATTCTCAAAATTTCCTGCCACGACCTCAACAGCGCCCTAGGCGCCTCAAGAGACTCAGGCTCGCTATAACGAGAACACCTCATTCAGCTCCTCCACCTGTATCACCTACTATTGCGCCACCAGTCGCCGCTGCTGCTGCCTTGAAAACTCACCTACGACACCTATTCACTCGGCCACCCCACCATGCAATACCGCCCGTCGTCGAAGTTCCTTTCGCGAAGGGCAAAGAGGTGCGTCTGGTTGATTTTTATTACCATGTCTTGCGGGTGTGTGATGCGTAATCTACAGCGTAATGCTGCTGCAGATGCTCCTGGCAAGGACCCGAACATCGTACCTTATGAAGATCAAGATGTCGATACTACTCAACCGGACCCTAATATACAACAGCAACAGCAAGTAATAGCAGTACATATAGACCCTGGTGAACATGGGGGCGGAAAGTCGTGTGTCTGCTGCTAGCGGGTTTTGTGAGTGTCCCTCGGATGCTTCAGTTTTACTATTTGTCGTATTGCAACATGTCTATGGACAGCACTTATTTTATCAATAGGTAATTCGCGTCATCGTCCGTAGCTAATTATAATGATCAAACTCGTGTGCTCCCTATATACAGCTTGATTTGCAGTTAGCAAATGAATCATGATCATCAGTAAACCGGTGAGACTCAGATATTAGTCGATATTAGTGTTACTCAAAACAAATTTTGAAACTTTTGAAAACTCGCTTAGACGCCGGCTAAACGCTTCAAACTCCCGGCTAAAGTTTGCTCAAGAACAGTTGAATCATGCTCGGCGCACTTCGGCACGAAATCGGACATTCAAAGACTTGGGGTTTTCGAAGTGTGCTATGTACATATGTTTTAGAGAGTATGGGGCAACCAGGACGTAGTTCACAACGAGTCGTAGATAGGCTTAGCATTTCGAATGACGGCGCTAATCGAATTATTGAAAAAAAAAACGAAGTCCCCACAAGAATAAAATCAGCTGTACATATGGAGTGCCGGAGAGAACAAGGTAAGTACTAGAGGAAGGTGGGGGAGGAGGATAACCCTCAGGGACAAGATCTGCATGCCTCTAGGAAGACGCAAAACCAAGTGAAGGGTGAAGATGGCGTGGTATTAGTAACCATCGCAGCCACGGTCATGCGATAGTGCGCAAGATCGCCAAGAGCCTCGAGCCAGCCGGATCGGAACAAACGAAGGGTCGGCTTCTCCAGAGGGTAGGTGAAGAAGGTGGAGGACGGACGAGCTTAGCGATGACACTATAATCTGCCCCTTATCTGAGCCTGAGGGACCATCATCTGCAGCAGCCATGGCTTTCTTGCCATCAGAATAGAATAAAATCCTACAATCGGCAGGGTGAGTGGTCAGGTAGTTTACCAGCGTGTCAGTAAGTGCACGGTCATTGTGCCACTGGATGGTGAGCCGGGGTCCAGACTGTTCTAGAGGTGGGTTTGAGGGGAAATTAGCTCGATTATTTGATTCTTCGTCCATCGCCCCCAAGTGCGATAGAGTACTAGCTTTGAGGCGTGCAGAACGACAGGCACGTTGATGACGAGCAGGAGGCATGGTGGTTTCAAAGTCTGCCGTACGATGCCGGCCTGACCTTGAATCTAGGTCGTCGGCCGAGGTGGCTTCAAGACTTTAGCCGAGAGTTGAAAGCATTTAGGCGGCGTCTAAGCGAGTTTCAAAAGTTGATTTGAGCAACACTATTAACTCTTAAGTCAAAAATCAAGAATTTGGATCTAACTTTTTTAAGCACAGCCGTTCTTAACGTTTTTTTGCTTATTCAATCTTGATCCGTTGGTATTGGACGTGCAGCCACGTTTAAGTCACCCTTGAGTAATGTACACTTTTCCTGATGCGACTCAAATCAAGCTCAACACATCCTCTCCCAATCACTAATGGAGTCCGAGAATTATAGAATGGTTTTCGAGAGGCGGGTGGTACCCAGAATAAGAGCCGATCATTTAATCCTAACATTCATCGTCTCCCAGCACAAATGTAGTTGTCAAGGAGAGTGCACGCGAGTAGCTCAGCAGCGTCGTACAATGCGTGAATCTGTCAGCAACACTGAGTTAGATCTAAGAGTTCCGACAAAGTTCTAGAAGGAAAGAACCAAATAGATATGCAACATACCTCATGAAGGAAAAGGCATGTCTGAGAGCAAATGTGCGGCTAACATAACTTTCGCCATCCCTGACAAGCAAGATATCAGAAGCAATCAGCTGCTTAGCTAGATGATTTTCTGAGTTTATATAACCACTTAAAAACAAGAAAGTACCATGACTCGCTCCTGAAGACACGGATGACTGTGTGGTGTAAAATGACTTGGATAGAACGTGTGATAGAACGATCTCGGCTCAATACCCACATGTAGTCGAGGAAGGTGTCACGAAAACATATAGGAGATAGACAAGTAGCATGAGATACAGAAATAGGAAACATTGATGTTACAGACGAAAAATCACCTAAACATCCATGACATTGATACCCAAGTCTTCAGCAATGATCATCGCAGCCCGCTCTCCGATGAGAAGTGCCGTTGAATACGTGTTCTGTGTATATCGTTAGAACACACATCAACAATCCCCTGTTCAGTACCCACCGTGCCAACATTCAACGGCGAGATGGACATATCTGCGACCTTCAGATTCGACACGCCGTATACATTTAGCCGAGCGTCGACGACTCCTTGATCTGCCTCCGGTTTCATGGCACAAGTCCCAAGCTACAAATATAAGGATCAGAGATAAAATCATGAAGGTTCAGTGGCACACACTGAGTGGTATGACGTTTGCACTGATGTTCGATTCAGTATCTTACCGTGACATTGGAGATAGAAAGTCAAAACTTACCGATGTCACGGTGAAATTGACTGATCGCCTCGTCATCTTCGGGAGTGTAGACGATGTCAGGCGCATTCAAGTCCACTGGCTCGGAAGCATCTTTGCAGGCTGCAGCGCTTCCCTCTGGGAAATCAGGATGACCAGCAGTGACTTCACCTCGGTAGGAAGCCATGCGTCGAAGGATTTCACGCGTCTTCTTGTATGCGAAGTCAAGAGGAACAATATCGGATGGACTGTGCAGAGTCACACGTGTGACAAAGTGCCTCAAAATGAAATGCGTCCACTCACTCATCTAAGAAGCCTGTGTTGAAGTCCATTCCTTCTTCACCGTTCTCTGTCACATTAATATGAACACTTCCGACAGACACGGGGTAAAGCTATTGAAGAGACTCAGAAAAAAACCATGGGGTAGACGGAGAGCAGTACTGTATAATAGCCGGCAGTCATGTAGTTGCGAGGAGGAAGGATATTCGACGGTGGAATATATCTGGCTGTCATGAGGATTGCCATATCATCCAAGGCGAGCAATATGCACGCACCCCGCAAGAACAGGCAAATATTGCAACAGCCTTGTCTGGGCGGTCTTGGAAGAACTCCTTCCAGCGTGGTTGAAAAACTGGGTCCATGGCTTTCAATTCCTCATCATCAGGACGCCACTTAATTTTTGAATTGATGCCACTGAGATACCGATCAGCACGATACCAACAGTGATGAGTTGCACCAACTTCTGTGCAATCAATGACTTGCCGCTGCTGTTCCACTGTGCAAGACTTTCTACATTTGGGTGGGTTTAACTTGCTGGAATCATGGCGAGAACATGCTTACCCTGTAGGATACCCTCTCCACGCCAAAGAGCATCCATGGTAACAGCCTCGTCTGCAGCAAAGTATGGAACAAAGACGGTGTCATGATCTGACCGTCTTAAGTCAAGCTCATAGAATAAATAGATGAAAAAAGTGCACCTCGATAATTTTCACCAACGCCAGGCAAATTCACCAATTGCTCGATACCGCACCGCTTGAGAACCGCCTCAGCACCGATCCCAGACCTCTCCAGAATGATCGGAGAACCAAACGTCCCAGCAGAGACAACGACAAGCTTTGATGCTCTAACAATACTTAACGACTGATCCGCGTCTAGGCAAGACACTGGGTCGCTGGTGAACTCAACACCTACAGCACGCTTGTCCCTTTCATTTGGAAAAACCGTCAACTGTTTGCTGCAGTTGCGATCCCGGGTGGCCACTTACTCGAAGATGATACGCTTTACGCGCTTCCCATCCCAGACTTGTAGGTTTCGATTGTGAGCTTGGTTGTAGATATAGTGGTGAGCTGCGTCCGAACGCCTTCCGGTTGTCCCGTCAATGTACCTTTTATACATGAGTCACAAGTTCGCAATAGCCTACATGAGCAGGAACTCACTTCTGCCATGGCTGAGACAAGTCCGGTTAGTGATGGTAGTTAGGGAAGGAACATCATAACTCACACTGTATGTATTGCATGTTTCTAAATCATCAGTGTCTTCGGCATACTGCCTCTTGTGATAGGTCGTGCCAACGTGAATGAACTCGTCGGAGATACCCATTTTACACCCACCAGAGGACACCTTGATAGGTCCATCATAGCCGTGAGTTGGACGACCGGGCTGCACCTCATATGCCTCCAGCTATAAATTGAACGTATAAGCAATCCGAACAGATACCTTGAAAACATATTCAAGACCTTCTTCATGAGGGGAATCAAATTCTCAGATTCCCAACCATTGGCTCCCCAATCATCATAGTCCGAAGCAGGCGCACGAGTGTATACCATAACTGTGATTATCAAAGTCCTATCCATCGTTGCAAGTATGCTACGCACAATTCACACACGAGCTTCCACCAACGCAACGACCACATGGAACGATCGGTGCACGGCCGTTGAGACGAGGAGATGGATTTCCGATGTTGAATGTGACAGTGGTGCTCGTCGGTGCTTGGTTAAAGGGAAATTGGTAGGGTTGCACGTGAATAGGTTTACTGAGGGTGTGTTGACCCGCTTCCAGAATCAAGATCCTCAACGAGGGATCATAGGCAGCTAAGCGACCTGCGACAACACAGGCTGCAGTACCACCTATACGGGTTATTACAGAATGATATGTGAAGAGGGAAAACTACCGCAAGATGATATTTGCTCACCTCCAGCAAAAACGATATCGAATTCTGACAGGATCGGATGAGACATTGACATGAAGGGTTACTTTCAGGTTGCCGCTCACTGCTTCATTTTATAACCCAAATGAAACACCAACATCACGCCGCATCAGGAACTTGTGACATGCCAGCAATCACACAATCAAGAAGGATCAAGACTGCGATGGACGGCAATACTGTAACGCATCTGTATGATGGTGGAGGTCGAGCGTGACCCACATTCAGCAGGTTAGCAACCAGGCAGCTTATCATCGTGACAGGCCAAAATTAGCAACTGTCGACATCCAAGCGCTCGAATGTCATCGCGGAATTGCCACTAGTCGCCAGAAATCTAAGAGAACCTGAGTCAAGTCTCAGCGAGTGGGAACAAATACTAACATTGAATTGACAGGTCTAGTCTATGTCAGTACAAGTTTAGGTACAAGTACAAGAATAAACATACCTCATCGAGTGGGAACAAATGCTGAGGAAAGACATATGCGCACACGCTATTAATACGAGATGAAGTGAATCACTGTATAACACCAAGAAGCAAGAATGAACAACCGTTAGGCTACCAAGTCCGTTCGTCAACAAGTGAGATAAGATTATATCTTATCTAACAGGCTTTTCTATCTACCCAAGTGATTCTGACGAACTCGCCGAAGTACCGCAGCACACCTAGTTAGTAGCAAACATCACATCACATGTTCGCTACAACAATGTTAATGGTGCCGCACAGGTGGAACTTCTTGCCATCACAAATGTTGAAATTATCGAGGCACAAGAGTGAGCAGGTCCGCGAAAGCCGTATCGACGCCATTGCTATTCATCCCTCCGGCACCCTCGTCACTTCCACATCTGACGACAATCAGGTCCATCTATGGTGATTCTCAGGTCGACGATCCATCGCCATCTTCCAGCACTCATCGACGCATCCATCGTGGACGGCAAGCGCGTCCTCTGTGCAGGTAATGATAACAAGATTTCAGGGTGAGCAGTGCTAAAGGATGTAAATACAAAGGCCAGTTTCCATTCTTGACTCATGCATCACAGTTCGAGCATGCTTCATGCAGATCCTGGCTATCACGACAACTCGCTATACACGTGTAACTGGGGACCTGTCTACTGCTGAAGAGTTACACTCGCAAGAGATCGACACCTATGCTAATCCTTATACTTCCTATGCCAATTCCGTCATGGCCCCCTTACGAAAAGACTAACTTTCATCCGCGACATAGTCCATCAGCACTCAGCCCTCGTTGACAGGCTACACCTCCAAAGGTATCACCCTCCGTGGACAAGGCAAGGATGGCATTCGACGTCGCATCTATGTTCACCAACTAAGATTCAAAAACCAACTATTTTATTTTCTTGACCAAGGTAGGTCAAATTCATCTCGCATGTTCTCTGCTTCATCGTCTATTTCAGGCCATCACATTCTTTAACGCAGACCAATACGAGGAAGCAAGGTTGCTCATCAATGAACTCACTGCCACTTGTCTGAACGTCGATCTTCTCGGGTGTCTTGTCGTTGCAGTAAGTATCATGTAGCTACGCTTGGTATCAGACCTGATCTTTGTCGCTCGCACATTAGACACATGCATAACGCTTTTCGTGACCTAGTGCTTTGTCTTCAGCTGGAATCTCGAGTTTTTGTTGCTCACTCCGCACCAGGAACGGTGCCGGGTCTTCTTTTTAGCAGGTAAACATAGTGAATTATATTCATATGGCCATCCAGGATGAATAGTGTTCGAGCACCTGCGCTATCACAATCGAATATGAGGGGATGCATTCTAGAAGCTATGGAGATGAGAATGGGACGCATGTACACAGGGGCGCCAGGAAAGTACACTGTCGAGGAAGGCAGTTATGACTCGTAGGGAGCATGCTTGCTGGAACGGTGATGGCAAACTACCTCGTATCTTGGGCGTCTATAGAAACAAGGTAGGCGAGCGTGGTGAAGCAGCATAAAAGCGCACAATACACGCACCTCTGTAACTAAGAGAAAGACGCACGCAATCCCTCGCCGTGCCCAACACCATCAACCTCTAGTAAGATGTCACAGCCCATTCCAAGCACCACACCCCTTCGAGTTTTTGAAGATCATGAGCAAGGCGTAAATGCAGTCGTAGCTTTCCCCGATAAGCGACGAATAATTACAGCCTCGAACGATAAGACACTTTGTCTTTGGGACTTAGAGACAGGTGTTGTGTTGAGGAAGATGGAGGGGCATCGCAATTGGGTGCGGGCACTGGCGAAATCGCGAGATGGTCAAATGATAGCAAGCGGTGATGAAAAAGGAGAGCTCATCGCCTGGCACGGTGAAACTGGAGAATCCCTCATCCAACCCATCAATGCTCACTCCGATGAAATCACCTCGCTGGATTTTTTCCCGGATGGTATGGTGCTGGCCACTGGTTCATGGGACAAAATGGTGAAGTTTTGGTGTACCAAAACGTGGCAGATGCAAGGAGAACCAATCAAGTGCGGTAATGTCGACTGCGTTCGATATTCGCCTTCTGGTGAACTTCTTGCCGTCGCAACACAAGACAATATTGAAATTTATAATCCCGCCACAAGGGAACGCGTCGCATCTTTCAAGGGTCACGCATCACCCACCTTCTCACTCGCGTGGACGCCCGACGGCACACGCCTTCTTTCAGCAGGCCATCCATCCGATTCTACCATACGAGTGTGGGATTCATTAACTTGGCAGCAAGTTGGCCATCCCTACGAAGGCCATACTGGCAGTATCAACGCTATTGCCATTCATCCCGCTGGCACCCTCGCCGCTTCCGTATCTGAAGACAACCATGTCCGTCTCTGGCGGCTTTCAGACCGACGAACTATCGCCATCTTTCAGCACTCATCTACCCAGACATGTATCACATTCTCTGTGGACGGCAAGCACATCCTCAGCGGAGGTGAAGATCATAAGATCTCAGAGTGGGAAATACCCAGCAACGCTAATTCGAAGGCAAGTTTCCATCCTTGACTCTCATAACATAATTCGAGCACCCGTCGTGCAGATCTTGGCCATCACGACAGCCCGCGGTGCATCTGTAATTGGAGACCTGTCTACCGCTGAAGGGTTACTCACGCAAGAGATCCACACAGACGCTAACGACTATACTTCATATGCACATCGCTCATTCGTCATGACCCGAAAACATGCCTGGAACCACGCACTTGAGGATGCAATCAAGGTGAGTTATGCTGACCTATCCTGGCCTCCTTACGAAAAGGCTAACTTTCATCTGTAACAGTCCATCAGCATTCGGCCCTCATTGACAGGTTACATCTCCAAAGGCATCGCCCTCTGCGGAAAAGGCCACGTCCGGGAGGCAAGAACAGCATTTGACGTCGCATTCATGTTCACGGATCAAGATTCGAACACTAACCATTTTCTTCTCTTGATCAAGGTAGATCAGATTCCTCTCACATGCTATCTGCTTCATTCCGTATTTTAGGCCATCACACTCTTCAACGCAGATCAACATGAGGAAGCAATGCTGCTTATCAAAGAACTCGCTGCCGCCTGTCCGAATGCCGATCCTTTCGCGCGTCGCGTCGTGGAAGTAAGTATAATACGGCCACGCTCGGTATAAAACCTGATCTTTGTCGCTCACACATTAGGCATATCTACGTGTTCAGCTCGGAATCAATGCCTTGGGTGATGCGCGTTATGACGAAGCCGCTGACCACTTCACTACCGCTGTCAACTCCAGCGCTTTCTCATCGAAATTCATTCATGAAACATATGAGGACTTGAGCGTGGTGTGTCAACATGATGCATACATAATGCTTTTCATAACTTAGTGCTTTGTCCAGCTCTTCGGCTGGGATCTCCTGTCTGTGTTGCTAACTACACACCAGAAACGGTGCCAAGCTTTCCTTTCGGCAGGTAAACGTGATGAAGCCCTCGAAGCACACAAATACATGATGGATACTATCGACGAAACTACGAAGGCCAGCTGCCTTGATTGGTCCAATGGCAAGTCTTCAGTCATGTCACCCGTGGCTATCATACTCACCCCATGTCACTCAGAGTTCAAGGAGCAATGTAGTATACTCGCTGAGCAAGATGACCGTATTATTGGTGTATGCACTCTCTTCCTCAACACTTTCGCTACTTACCGTGACCGTTACGTAGGCCGAAATCCCCGGGCAAGAGCAAGATGGCTACGATGCAGAACCCAATTTCTTCCGGGGAATGCATGAAGTGCGTGCAACTGTGTATCCTTCTTCTTTTCTCTCTCACATCATTCATTACAGTATTCTCAAATTTCCCGACCAAGACCTCAACAGCGCCCTGGGCGCCTCAAAAGAGTCAGGCTCGCTATGACGGGAACCCCTCGTTCAGCTCCTCCACCTGCCCCACCCACCACCTCACCACTAGTCGCCGCTGCCACCACCTTCAAAACTCACCTACGACACCTATTCACTTGGCCACCCCACCATGCAACGCCGTACATTGCCGATGTTCCGTTCGCAAAGGCTAAAGAGGTGCGTTGGGTCGATTTTTATCACTGTCGTTGGTGTCTGATGCGTAGATCCACAGCGTAATGCTGCTGCAGGTGCTCCTGGTACTGACCCGGACATCGTACCTGATGAATATCTCGATACTACTCAACCGGACCCCGATACAAAACAAAAACTGCAACCAGTGGCAGCCCAGGTAGACGCTGGGGAACATGGAGGCGGTCAGTCGTGTTGCTGCTGTTAGAGAAGTTGGTGCATGTCCCTGGGTATTTCACTTCTATTGTTGATCTTTCCTCTATAACTAATTGTGAACCTCGCATCCTCCATCTGTAAAGCTTGACTTGCGCATAGGTTACTGACACAGCACCCCAGATCTTTATGTATCAGCACTGCCATCCTCGCCTACCAACTCTGCATGATCTAGAACAGTTTCTGAACGGTTTCTGAATACTTCTCGTGTGGCATCTGGACGTGATATGAACTGGCCGCCAGCTGCTCAAACCGTGCTCTCATGAGGCACGCTGATTTAGTGAACTCAGTTTTGTTCTCGTCAGATGACACTCGCATTGTGACTGGTTCTTTCGACAACAGTGACAGGGCAGCTAGCTGGTGGGCCCTTGCGGAGGGCACACTAGCAGTTGGGTTAGCTTAGTCTCGTTCTTACCGGATGGCACTCGCATCGTGACCGGTTCGCCCGATAATACTGGCCGGCTGTGGGATGCAGTGATTGGACAGTCCTTCGGTCAACCCTTGCGTGGGCATGCTGATTATGTTCTCTCCGTCTCGTTCTTGCCGGATGGCACTTGCATCGTGACTGGTTCTTCCGACATTGCCGTCAGGCTGCGGGATGCAACGACGGGGCAGCCAGTTCTATAGTGAGCCTTGCAGGGACACGCTGGTCGGGTTCCCTCAGCGTTGTTCTCGTTGGATGACACTCGCATTGTGGCTGGCCCGGGATCATCGGATAACACTGTTTGACTGCGGGATGCAGTGACAAAGTAGCCATTGTAACAGTGCTAGACCATTCAGCATCCTCATTTAAACATCGCATCACGCATCCCATCGATGCCACCACTGCCATGACAAGCAACACTTGAAACAATGACTCCATTCGCCTCTCATCCAACTCTGCCTATGCATTGTGACACTGCTGAGTTAACAGAGGAGGCGCCCCACGATGACCGCAGTTCGACTCCCTTTCTCCTGGAAAGTGACAGTGGTTGGATGGTGGGACTCAACCGTCGGCTCTTGTTCTGGGTACCATCCGCTTCTCGGCACCCGTTTTATAGTCCTGGGACTGTATTAGTGGTGACTAGAGGAGGCCCAGAGCTTGATTTGAGCTGCATGGCACATGGACGCCTGAGCACTGGCAAAAGTGCCAAGAGGAATAAGTCTCTTCAAAGCCTTTTCCCTCGCACTTACTAAAATCGACACGTGCAGACCTTGATAATGATGATCGTATTACAGCAAATGTTACATTGCGGAGATTTCAGATACAACTTGTGATACCGAGTACGTAGAGTGAATTTCATGTTCTATTTTATACCCAGCATCCAGTCTGAGATCGGGGTTGTCTGAGCGAACGACATGCCGAGAAGCTGACTGCGTGACACTTCATCAGAACACGCAATGACGGATGTTAAATGTTGAGATGCGGTTGTGCGTGCAGAGTAGAGTAGATTCTGTTTATATTCTGTTGCTTCCGGAGGAGGCCTTCTCCCCAACCTGGGTATTTGCAGGTAACGACAGCTGGGTTTTGGTTACTCGTCAACCAATCGATGTTGAGCTGTTCTTAATCAGTAATAGCCCATCCTCAACAAGTCTTGACACTATCGTCTCACGCGCGGACGACGTCGAGCAAATGAAGAACGCGGAAGAGTCTAAAATTCTGCCCTCATCTGAAGAACCCAATAACGCCTCGAAGGACTTCAAGGTGGCACGACAAACGAGACGATGTGCTCTGCTTTACGTGAGATCGACCTTGGTCCAACAACAATCAGACCCCTCTGGACAAGCGAACTGCAAGATATTATTCTCAGCAGTGCAATTGAAGATTAGCCTGCAACAATCCTGGATTGGGTGTATTCGTCACCTTTCAGGTCTCAACTGGTGCCATAGCCCGACTCCGCGATAACATCCGTGAGGACAGAACCACCAGATATTTTAGTTAGTATAGTTAGGGTTTAACTAAACCCCCTTGAGCTCGCCCACTTCAGTATCTGGCTAGATGAATATTAGAAGCGAATGGAAAAGGAAAAGTGCCGATTGTCGAAGAAGTTTGAGACGAAGCCTAAATCAAGTGCGAAATGTATAGAAAAGCAATGGTGGTTCTACTGACGCAGACAGGTATATCGAGGCCCCACTCTAATGCAATATTCGATTTCTAATGAAGAGCTGGAATTCTTCAATAAAAGGACATTAGAATGACTCGGAGCAGGTTGGGTAGTCTCACTCGTTCACTTGTTACGATTGATTGTTCGCCTTGGTACGTCTTGATAGAACAGCAGCGAAAGGGGTGGCTTCTGTTCACATAATGATGGACATCAGGATAGTGGAGATACTGTAGTCATCTGAGTCCGCCGTTGCAAAATTAGACGACCACTGCCTTGTCGCGCGGGCTTGCTTTAGACTCTGCCACATTCGTCATATTGCTAGCGCGGCTAGAAATAAACTGCTGAGATAGATGGCTGAAGGCCGATCAACAATCAGAATATCATTGCCTAACCTCGTTTGTAATAGTCTAGTGGTGTAAACTTAGGTTCTGATGTCGAAAACTCAGACCTAGATGATGGAATCAAAGCGAGTCAATACATGATAACACGGGGGTGTTGACGAGCGGGGTTCCTTCATAATATATAGAACGCCCTTACGAGTGCGTCCACTCTGCCCTGCGTTTCTCAGAAAAAGCAGCCATGCCTGGCAAGATTAAAAGGTATCAGTGCGAAACCTAGTCAGAAAACACAGAAAATATACCCACCTTCCTTCTGATCCTTGGTTGAAAATAAGGCATGGAATAACCGCCTCTCAAATCTCAGCCCCTCAGCGAGGCTCATTTCAAATGCTGCATTCACAGCCTCCTTTCCTGCACCCACTGCGATACGTCCCTTGCTTGCAATATCGCTTGCCACCTTTACGGCCTCATCAACGACACTGCCTTCTCGTACAACTCGTACAATGCCCCAGCGTTCTGCCTCGTCCGCACCAATTATACGTCCGGTGAGGACGAGTTCCATGGCACGCGATTTACCGACGAGACGGGCAAGACGTTGGGTCCCCCCGCCGCCAGGGATGACTCCGAGATTGACTTCTGGCTGTCCAAGTTGTGCCGAAGGCGCTGCGAGAAGAATATCAGCCTGCAATGCAAGCTCCAAGCCACCGCCAAGCTGAAGGAAAGAACTTGAATGAAAACGTAATAACTGACAAATGAGTCTAAAGGACATACGGCGTAACCACTGACGGCTGCAATAACTGGCTTTTTAAGTTGGGTGATAACTTCCCAATCAGCGAGGAAGTTGGTAGTGTAGGCTTCTGCGACTTCGGGAAACTTTATCCGAAAGTATTCAATGACTAAGGAGAGATACTCACAAGACTTGTCCTTCATTTCCTTGATGTCCGCACCAGCTGTGCACAAACAAATCTAGTCGAGTTCATGATCCGATTGACTGAGAAACACACCCGCAAACGCGCGTTCTGACCCAGTCAGAATTATAGCACCTACACTGACATCCTCATCGGCCTCCTTCATCGCTTCAGATATATCTTGAAAGTGCACAGCATTGAGTGCATTGAGTGCCTTTGGTCTGTTCAGAGTGATGAGTGCCACGCCTGGGCTGGGCCGTGAGACAAGGACATTTGCGTATTCGCGCTGGGCACGCAAGCTGGTGGAGAAAAAACGTGCGCTGCTGCTTACATGGTGGAATGTTGAGCGGGAGAATGTGACGAACGACATTGTGGATCAGAGGAAACAACGCCGCCGCTGTGGGGAAGCTCCGAGCCTCCGAATATGGCGTTAGACGGGCCGGGTTCCGCGCCGCGTTCACATGATAGTACGTACTTCACTGGGAATCGAATCTAAGATGAGTAGCTGCAAGTAATCAAGGCCAACATTCCTTCTCCATCAATGCATCAAGCCACAGCAATTGACGCCGTCGACGCACTCTTATACTAATATGATCATGAGTGATCCCAGTGACAGTTACAACTTATACTTATCTTCCTGCTGAATCAGTGCTCACATGTGGTTCCTGATTACTGTGGAAATTTTAGACTTGATGATGCCTTGGCGATGTCAATCGGGGTTGTCTCCGAACGAGCACCTCGTCTGGTGTCATGGAACGCGATAAACAATCGGACGTCCTTGACTCGTGAGTAGCTCAGTTGACCATTGAATATCTGCCGTTGCACACTGAATGTTTCCCAATACAGTCTTCTCCAAAAGCAGAACGAAATTCTTGACGTCCTTAAGCGCTCAGAACTAGAGAAAGCGGACAAAGACGTCCGATCACAGTTCTGGGAAACATATGAGGTGGTAGCAGGGGAAGTCGACAGCGAGTTCCTGGAGCGGTACAATGGTGATATCGATATCATCCCTACTTTCGTGCGTTTCCTTCCTCAGGACAATTTGTGAACAATCCCAATGCAATCTCGCAGGCGGGTCTCTTTTCAGCTGTCACCACCTCCTTCATAATTGCGTCACAACCTAATGCAGAAGACACCACCAACGCACTGCTGACCCAACTCATATTACTCGCGGCAAATGGTACTTCAGCACCCCAGAGTATTACGCTTCCGCAACCAGCAGGATACTCGTCTAGTGATGTTTGGGCTCAAAGCCTAGCCTACGCCAGTCTTTTACTTAGCCTCTTTGCTGCCTTTGGTGCCATCCTGGGCAAACAGTGGTTAGGCTATTACAAGTCCAACAGATACGGTCATGGCTCAATGGAGGAACGTGGAAGGAGACGGCAACAGAAGATGGAAGCACTAAGGACGTGGTACTTTGATGCTGTGGTTCAGTCATTCCCGGCGTTGTTGCAACTTTCGTTGTTCCTTTTCGGTACCTCCCTCGCCATCAACATGTGGTCTCAGCAACAGACCATCGCACGTGTCATTATCTGTATCACATTACTTGGCGTTACGCTTTATGGATTCACCGTCTTCGCAGTCCCTCATGTCCTCGGATTGTCCCTTTCAAACGCCTGTGTCTGTCGTCATCAGGCTTACTTGGCAACTCATAGGAATTCGCGTAGTACAGTTCTACGATCTATGCCATTTGCGATATGCTCCGCGATACATTGGGTTAGGCGTGACGCTCGGAAAGTCGCTTCTTACAGGACTCGCTAGTGCTAGAAGCATGCTGTCTGCCCTCCATCGGACGGTTACCAGCTCCTGTTTGCGTGCTATCCGAACTCTCCGGTCCTATTTATCTGCGCAGTCCCGCAATCCCGTGATCCGCGATCTCGAGTTTGGAAAACTTCCTTCTAAAGCAACGGAATCATATCTTCCCGTAATTTCTCTGTCGTACGAATTTCCAGCTGCCTCTGTTGCATCTTCGGATGCTCCTTCCGTGAAATGGCTACTCGAAGCGTCTACAGATCCCAACGTATTCATTGCAGCTTGCCAGCTGGTCCCCGAAGTTGAATGGCCATTTGATTTTGATGTTTCCGGCATAATTTCTCTCCTGCATCGCGGGCTTGGAAGCTGTTTCGATACCAAAGATCGGCTGTTAACGCCAGCGAAAGAACGGGCTTTAGCTTGCGCAACAGCCCTCGTCCATCTCAGTGGAAGGGAATACCTTAGGCTGGACGGGGAATATTATTCAGCTGCGCAATGCCCTTCTCAGCCTAGATATCTTCACTTCTGGCACCTCCTCAGCCGGGAATCCCTGGATGCTGATTATGCATTGAAGATCAATCTTGGGCAGAAGTGGATAGCTGATTATACCTATCGTTTCTTCCGTGATACACCAACATTCTCTTCAGCGTCTGATGCTACATTGTTGTGGCTCTCCCAAGTCCTTCCATATGTTTTCCTCCTTCATAACGACATCGACGAGCTCGCGCAGATGGAGGATTTAGCATTGAGCATCATCTCGATGCTCCTTGAGGCCAAAATACCGAACAAAGCCCCATCAGCTCAGGTGCTCGCTAATTGTACACTTCTTGCTGGCATCTTACTCGGGCTAAATGTCGACAAAACGGTGCTCGTAAAGGTGGACAAAAGGTATGACAATTGTTTTGGTTCTGTCAGATCGCCTATCTGACCGCGACTAAAGTGCTGCTATCGATGTTCTTGTCACTAAACTCCTCGCTTGTCTGCAAGGCTGCGTTGACGGAGCACATCCACAACACTACGCTTCCAGAGCCAAGAAATGTCTCCCCCATGCCCTTCGCATCATTGAGCTGACTGGCGCGGTTCCCTTTGACGGCTCGTTTTTCCGAGCGGGCCTTGCTTGCTGCAAGGAAATCTTCCTCGAATGCTCAGCGATATCTGACAACAGGACTGAGGACTCAGAAGATATGCAGAGACGCTTGTTCGAAGCAGGAGCTGCGCTGCACACAGCCATCTGTATCCCTCAAGGCCCTCTCGGAAACGTCTACCAGCCAGACGACTCCTTCCTATATTGGTATGGGGAGTTTACCTGGGCGCACGACACTCGTTCTTCTCATGACTTTGAGTGGCTCATTGATTATGTTTGCGAACTGCGCGAGCTCGAGGGTTATGAAGTGGAGGATACTCTTGCGGACGCACTCCTGGCACTCAGTGCTATGAAGAATCTTGGAGGTCAAGCGAAAGAAGCAGCTTATCTGGAAATCCTCTTGTGGTCTATGGGACCGGAGCAGCCTGTCCGGTTGCGTTATGCTGCTTTGCGAGCTACATACGAAACGCGAAGAACACTGCTGGCCGCCATAGAAAATACAGATGGCTATGCTAATTTACGGGAGAAACTACTTGCGCTTTCCCCCGCCATCCTCACTGCTATCTCCCCTAGTGAAGATGCTAGTGTGGAAGGTAGTCATGGTGTCGTGTTCGATGAAGGGCGTGATGGATGCTACTTGAAACTCCTCTTTGCCCTTGTAAAGAATCCTGCGTGGTGCAGTCGCCTTTCCCTAGACGACCACATAAACAAGTGCATCAGTCTTGTGGCCGAAGCCGCGGACAGCAACCCTCACGCATTCTATATGTCCGGTATTTTCCTGCGGATCACGGCTGTCTCAAAGTCCTTGGAACTTCCACTCCATGATATGTTCTCAAGGGCGGAATTATCGCCACTCGTCCCTGGTGCATGGGATGCGTTCCCTGGCGTATATCTCTCAGGCAACGATGATTGTGTGGAAATCTTGCCAGACCTTGCGGAGTTGACGCTTGAATATATCCCGCTGGACAGAATTACACTTGAGATACTTGACGAACGAATAGACTGGGTGCTAGATGTCCTGAGAAAGTACTCAGAGCCTGAGAACGTTATTTCCGCGGTGGAAACATTATTAAAGGTAGTCAGAGCCAGGTTAAACTCACCGCTTGTCAGTATATGATTCATGATGGACAGTTTGATTTACACGTACGTCTAATCTATGTGCGTGTGCGTGTGTATCTGAGCTACCTATCATTGCAACGTTTGCGATGCGAGGATGGTCGTTTAACAGGGGCAACTCATGTCCAAACCTGCTTTATGCGGCCTGCTGCAGATGCTTCTTCCTGACTACGCTCCCGACTGAGCTGGAAGTCTAGGCCCTCAGTGATGAATCATTCATGATGGCTCAACATGGAACTTGCGGACATGACATCGAACATCGATCTCAAAGCATCATGAATATAACACCGGTCATCATGGATTCCGGAACGACTGCTATGCTGACGCTCATAATACACTGATGCCGGCTGCATTTCTGAACGTTCTTCTGTCTGATCGACGTCTGTACCGGCTCCGACTCGACGGTACATTACCACGATGATTGAAATTCATGTGGCAACGCCGGACCGTCACATTCTTTGGCTGCAAGCTGAGAAGAAGGTCCAGGATTATCCGAGTTTTTGTTGGAGTCATCGTGAACTCCATGACGCCTTCGCTGTAGTCCTGATCGCGCCGAGGATCGTGCTGTCGGAGTTCGTGGTTTGGGGTGATAGTTGTCCTTCACCCCCGTGGTAGTCGAATGGGACCTCCGGTTTCGTACGTTCACAGCCCTGGTAGCACAGCAAAACTCTATCGTAGAACCATGCGTCGATCCCCATAACCGTCCGTTCGCTCTGCTGTTGAATGAATTTGTCAAGACAATAATACGGGACGATTGTGGCGGCAGAACCACCCGATGACGGTCGATGATAGGAAGTCTCCTGAGTCCACGACCTTGGCAGATCTTTGCTTCTTCGAGCGGGGTGAAGAATGCGCGCGGAGAATAGATCAGGCGGCGGCGGTGATTAAAAGAACGCATCGTTCATGATTGGTGCGGATAGAGCTATAGGTCAGTGTGGTCAGTCATGATCTTTCCAAAGGCACTCAGAATACTGTGATCACTTGTACTCTCGAACTATTTTACCCGGGAAACAAGGGATGCATGCATCCTGTTCTTGGTGATATTTGTCTCGAAGCCAAGGGTCTTGAGAAAGCCGTGTGTCCTCTGGGTGATACAGAGGGAATTACCTAACATACCTTTGGAACCAGCCCATTGACGGTGTTGCGACGTGGACCATATTTTGTGTGTTGGTGCTAGCTGGACTGGTAACTACATATTAGGCGCGTCGAGTCACGTGAACCGTCATAACTCGGTGCTGCTCTAAGACTCTTGAAGCGCTTCTTGCAAACAGTTGTCATCTCGGCAGAGTTCTGATGTCTGCATACGGTACTACGCGCCATCACGGTCAGCCGTCTGCGAACTCTACTCCAGCATCAACAACTCTTTTTCGTCGCCTGACATGGGAGGGCACTGTTCCCCTTGAAATTCGTGTAGACTCAAAAGAGCTGCCAGCGAATTCCGATCGTGGCCTGGAATGTTATTATATTCAAGCTCCTCGTGTCAGTTACTTGCCTCTTCTTATGCCTGAGATACGAAGGTTCTTGATGGATGTCGTATTCGATGAGGCAGCTGGAAAGATGCTTAAGGAGGAGGAATGGTGGTTCGAGAGCGAGGAAGGTACACTGTTGAAGTGGTTAGTTTCAGACCCTTGTAGCGCGGTATACAATGTATCCTGAACATGATCTTAATCTTCTGGTAGGCACTGGCCGATAGGGCTGATCTACGATAATCACATCATCTCTGCTTCAATTCGGCCTCCGTCTCAGACTTCCACATCTCATTACAATCTGCAAGTGACTCCCTTGAAGCTCATTCTCCACCTTGCATCACCTCCCACAGAGAAGCTTCTTCTCTCACCTTCTGCGGAGTCGTGCAAACAAGCTTTCATGGGGCAGCTCAAGGAGGCAGATTTCGTTCGATGGGGAAACACGAAGCGCATGACTGGTCTCCGGAAGCAAGACCAGGATGGTATCTGGGAAGGCATCAAAGAACGTAAGCCAGCTGTTTCACTCTGTATGTGCGACTGAGTATGCTCATCATTTATAGATAACTTCGATGACTATTGGCGCGTCGCATCTAAGATAGTGCCTACAACCGCGCCTGCACGGTCGAATTCTCCACCACCTTCTACCAATCCATCGATGCATACAAGACCGCCACCTGCGGACCCGCAGAGTGCGCCGGATCGTGATAACGCTTACAACGTTCGCAGTGTCCCAGTTAGGTTGTATTTACCTGATGGGCCCGTGATGCAAGACGTTGTCCCTCCGACCCTTGAAGATGGTATGTTTCCCTTCAAAGGACTGCCGGTGAAGGATTGTTGGGACTGATCGAGTTACTGAATAGGCTCGGCGCATACCCTGGTACATTATCTATCTACGCATCTTCCCCTCCTCTTCCCACCTGCACCATACTCTGGCCCAGAACTCGCATATGCTATGATGCATGGTGTGCTGGTGCCCCCTGATGCGGAGATGGCATGGCTAGGGGCTTGTATGGCGGGTGCAGATGGGTGGGTAAGTGTTTGCGTAGGAATTGCACGGTAGGCAATTGTAGTGCATTTTCTCCTGTTCTGGGCGATAGTTGTATGAGATACCCTGAAAGTTCTCCGCTGTAGCGTGAGCCAGTCACATCTTTTGAGAACTCTGTTATGGGACAAATTTCACACCGGCAATTTTAACTTTCATTCAGTCAGTCAATTCTCGGTTGTTTTGCGTTCGTCTACCACGATCATGTCCGGATCTTAAGATGGGGAATTTGTTTTACTGGAATATCACCTCCTAAAAGTCGTCTAATGCATATTGATGCAACCTCACCTGACAGGCCTGATACAGGCCTAATCAATGGTAACTCACGACAGGGGCATGCGAAGAGTTGATTACACGTACTTAAAATGCCTCGAAGTCCGTGACTAACGCTAAATGTTGACTACTACATACGAACTGTAGCAACACTCTAGATCTTGCACTATTTACAACCATCATCTCGCAGCGGTGGCGCAGGCTAGGGTTAAACTTTGAACCCTGTTAATACATTATGCTTCAGCGCTTAGAATGCCCTTCTCTTACAGGGTTGAGGAGCTTGCCCCGAAGCTGCGCATAGAATCGACCCCTGACGCTCGAAGTTTGCCGGTCGGCGGGGATGAGCAAGCTTAAATTATAAAAAAACACACAATCAACATCATGGTCTTACGCGAACAGCCTCGCCGAGAAGCCCAATTGCCACCCCGCAAGTACTTAAGTGACCGTGCCTTAGCTATCGGCGCTTCTACATTGAAACACGGGATTACTTGAAAGAAAACTGTATACCCAGCCTCCAGGGCACAAGCATGCATTGATTCCGGGATATGACTGCATATCTCGTGATAATTGAGCCTATTCTACTGCGTCATGCAGGGATTGATTTCGCAAGTTAACTCTGCTTGGCACCGCCGGTATATATGTACCCGCGAATCATGGACTTATGTCCTTCGAGCGCAGCAGCCCAGATGCAGTGCCAGACGTTCCTACACTTCCATTCCTGTTATGTATTCGACGAAAGCCGTCGGAACATGTACACTGGAGAATTCTGAACATGTACACATCACAGCGATAGGCGCCGAGGGTCACACCGAATCCCGGGTCTCTCGAAGTAGCCGATTGCGGACGGGTGCTGTGAGTAAGAGTAGGTAAGTAGTCTAACCGCCGGCCTGCTTAGTCTCATAGTCACAATCAGACCCACAGTATGGTTCCTCTAGTACGGTCCCGACCTACAGGTCCGCAACTGGAAGAAAAAATAGAATACTTCCCATTTCGAGCAGGTTCTGCCAGAAAGCCTCGGGGTCGAGGTTTCTTACTCAATGACAACGCACAATGCTATTAATGCAATTTGCGCAGCACGAGCCTTCAGCGCGCATCATTCGACTGTTCTCTTGTCTTTTTCTATGATTAAGCTTCGTGATTAAGCTAAATAAATACAAAGTTAGCTCACAACGTGGGATGCAGTGTTTTTTTCAAACCCTGTTTCTGAATCGGCCCAATTCGGCCGCCGGCCACTTCGCAAGTAAGAACACAAACTCAATGCGCGAACTACGGGGTAGGGGAGCGTTGGAGCGCCTGATCGGCGTATGATTAGTCTATGAGGAGCAAACCAATCGCCGATCTTGAGCATGATGGTGATGATGACGATGATGATTGACCTTCCCATGGTGATGCGCCGCAGCATGCACAGGTTGACTAATAATGGCGCGCCCGCGTGGAGCTGAAGTTCTTGGAAATCGCTTCAAGTTTGCTCTGGAAGTTCTGTGTATACATGAATATGATTGTACATATCTAATCAGTGTAACGTGCAGTCTGGTGGTATTATTGATGTGAGTTAATCTATATGTCGAGTAGATAAATAGAGGCAGCACGAAACGTATGATCCATGGAGGAAGCCTGCCAGCGGTCTCCGGGTGGAATGAGAAACCTGAGCGTGTCCCCAAAGTATCAACCAAGGAAGAGGGGCATAAGAGTTGGAGTGGTAATGACAAAGCATCATTTTGGCATTGCTAGCACAGCGGATGGAAAGCTTGTTTAAACATTGAAATTACCCCGACACTTCGCCATGATCAGAGTGGTTTGAAACGCAACGAGCCTGAGAACTCACAAGCCGATGAGGCGTACAATTGGGAGACACTTTGCCATGTGAGACGAAGACGATTTTGGTAACTGTCATAAGGGCTCATCTGCCTGGTGGATTCTTCAGACAATCCAATAGCCATTGCGGTTCTCATGGCAAGCTGATCGTTTGTCAGTAACGAGTGAGCCAAACGTTCCAACTTCACTTACATCACCATATTGTCGGAATCCTAGGAGAAAAGTATTTAGCCGAGGAAAAAGGGAACGTTCCCAGTACTTACCAAGGAGCCGACCAGTTTTGTATTCTGTCCATGCCAGGGTGATGACAGCGTGAAGAACATCGAGGGACGGTTGGTTGAGTGCCGCGGACAACATCTCCTATTCATTCCATTAGGTCAGCAGAACCCACACACACGACCACGAACCTTGGCGTTCTCACAGAAAATATCTGCAACGTTCTGTGGACCACGCGCGACAACATCCGGTATGTCAGAGAACCTATTGTACTTCATTCATATCCAAGTTGAATGCATTGCGGAGGACAGACCTTGCGCCTAGTGCTGCGATACAGTTGGAGAGTAAAGGGGATAGAGTCTGATGTCTAAATTTTTCATATAGCTCGTCGTAAGTCATGAACGCGCATTGGCTACCAAGTTGACTGATGAATATTTGGATGAAATGTGGCATCCAGCTGCGTTGTGGCATCTGAGGATGCATCGGGTCGAAAACCTGAGTTGGTCGGTAACCGCCCAATGTGGGATGGGGACGACCCAATGCCTGACCTGGACCGGAAGTTCCGTATCGACGACTGTGATCATCAGCTGCAGCTGTATGTCTTCCATGGCTATGTCAATGAATGTTGATACTTGAGAGGTGTAGATATATTACCTATGAGTTGCAGGAGGCCTTGAATGATCTGGATAGGTTTGATAGCGACCATGATCTGTGGATGCTGTTACTGGTGGCGAGTAGGACGGGGAGCGAGATATAGAATTGGTATATCCGTGCGACGGTGGCGTGTATGCGGTCGACGCCGGAGTGGCGTATTCGTTGGTACTACTCGAATTGGAACGCTCCGAGGACTCTGGGACAGCAGTCGTTGCTCTACTCGACGATCCATGGTACGGTGGCACGGAACTGGGGCCCGCAATGGCTCGACTACGCTCAGCAAAATATCGTTCGCGATCGCGAAACTTGCATGGAATTTTGGCTGCCTTGCAGGCCTCGCATTGCGTCTCGGGGGATGACTGCAGACACTTGATTTTTTTGAGGCGGCTAAGTGGGGAACAAGGTGAAAGTTAAGTATAAATTACTTGATGGAGATTTCAATGAGCAGTACCAGTTATCACAAGAAGTCACAAGACGCGGGCGTTTCTTGTGACCTTGGGTTTCTTGGGGGGACTCGATAATGAATTGAAAACCGTCCATGATGAAGTGAATAATTCAAAAGCCAGAACAGCCCGGATTTATATATCACACAGCCTAAATACCTCGAGGCCGTTGTGTGAGATCTGTACGCGGAACGAAGTCAGATCAAAAGTGAAATATCGCTGATTTCCCACTTGCCGTGCTCATACACACTCCATAAGCGACAATGGATCGGGCCACTTACCCAACAGAACGTCGCCATTAACCCAGCATTTCAACGATCTAGCCAATGTATTAGTCAATCCGTGAATGTCCGTCTCTTCTGGTTTCATATCGTAATAGGATTGACAATCAGCATAAAGCACTTAATCATTGATGCAAAAAAAAACGTGCGGGAAATATTACTTACTAGCCGCATCACAAAAGCTCTAGACTGTTACACGTCATAAAGCAGCAGTCCGATTATCGCCTTCCAATTTGACCTGCGGGTCTGTCCGGCTCCTTGATGGGCCTGCGTAGTGCGCGAGGCCGCTCATCGCCTCCTACAGGCACTTTGGAGGAACTTGGTCTAATTTTCACACTGTTTCCATCGCAGCCACATGTTCGTCGAATAGTTTCTGCTGTGCTGACTAAATTGATCCCATCAGATAATATTCCGCAGTAACCTGCAGGAACCGAACGATTTGTTACAATTTGTCTCCCAATTCGTGTGGCCCAATCATCTAAACCAAAAATCACAGCACCACCGAGTCAGAATAAGGTCGCGTGGTCCCGGCCTCAGCGGAAAAGAAGTCAGCTAGTAGAGTCAGGTGTCCTCGGATCAATGATTTTGAACCATAACTCAAACAGTTCACTATTATTGTGCATCAACGTAAGCTTAATATACAAACTCGAGTTGTGCACGGCTCGGGACAAAATTAGAGAGGCAATGGCTCTATGATTAATGGGTCTTCAGTCCTCTGACCTAGGCGAGAGAGCATTTTCAATATTATAGGTGTAGATGGGCTGGGGGATTCACTTTGAGATGCCGCTTTAGGGTATTATCTTCTTGAAAAAAATGTCAAGACTAGTAACTAGTCTGCATATGTAATTAGAAGTTCATCCGGCCCTAATTCTCGTCTATACCTCTTTCAGCTTCCCAATTGAACTTAGACAACTGAACACTCTGAACTAGTTCGGCATCTTCCTCGCCTTCATGATGATCATCGTCATGATCGGTAGAAAAAAGTAAACGTTGATGTGCGTCGCTATCATCAGAACCCTGATGCTTTGTGGCGTTTCGATGAGTCACACAATTCTAGAACGTTTCCGTAACGATGCAACATACCGCAAGATGACCATCTTCTCGACCCAGGTTAGCAGCACTAAGCTCGAAATTGACCCCATGGACAGAATTTGATGAAATGCCCATACTTTCGTCGTCTATCGTTATCGTGTTCCCCTGCGCGTCTACTGATAATCTACCATCGATGGAATTGCGATACTTATGGAACGTAAAAAGAGCAATTCCTACAGAGGCCGTTAGAAGTGCCGCATTCATATAGCTTCGAAACGGACCGCAAACTGTGATACCTACGCCGACTATATTGAGTGGCGTAAGCTCGTCCCCAAAAAACCAAGCCGAGACCGTAATGGTCGAGACTTCTTTGGCTATCCCGGCTATTGACATTGGCAAGACGCCGGCACGTTGGATAATGCTTTTTTGACCTAATTAGATGGCCTCGTGGAGTTGGATGCATGATCATAAACGTACTAATATTCACTCATGACCATACAAAACGCCAGAATACCGGGGGCGACCAAGAACAGGGCCGAACGAAGGGTCGAGGCCATGTCCCGAAAGAATGGCGAAGCATATATGGTAAACCATCCTTCCCAGATGATGCTAACGAGGGCTGTTGTGGCGCCTATCGCAGGAGTCAACCAGAATATGGTAGCCGCAGGATTATCTAGACCCATATTCTTGTTCTTCATGAGCAGTTGCGTGAGGCTCCAGCGGAGACCTCCACATGCACTGGCGGTCATCACAAGTAGAAATCCGGGAAGAACGAAGGCCGTTTCAGAAGCAACCATAAGAATCACCCCGCCAAAAATGAGAAGGATGACGGCGACGAGTCGCAGCGAAAACACTTCCAAACGGAAGAAAAATGCAAAGGATAATACGAAGATGAGAGAAGATGACTTGCACATTGCTGTAGACAACCAGATGTATGAGTTAAGCGTAAATTACATATCAAAAATTTAAACATAGGCCAGCGTCTGGCGAAGTTCAGAACTGACAACTCACTATAAAATGATAGAGTAATGGTCTTGAGTGATACATTTGACAGACCAATATCGAGACCGGTAGCAACAGCGGTAGGGACTGCTTTCTTGCTTCAAAGAGGCTACAATTAGAACCGGTGTCCAGTGAGGACACGGACTGCCCGACGGGTACTAACTGCTGCGAGAAAGCACGTACCCATAGTCTTTCACTGAAGGACTTCTCTCTGGACGGAAATGATGCGAGAAACAGACGCGAAGAGCAGCAGCCAAGACAAACTGAACAAACATGTGCAAGGTAGTCACGAAGAGCGGATACGGAAATCCAAAATGGTCTGGCGAAAACATCCACTTGTTGTACAGAGACAGTATAGTTGCGAATATATACCTATGCAGTTGACACATAAACCTGTTTCAATAGCCTGGCAGTAACATCCACGTACCATGAAGCTATGAAGCATGCATTGATGATGGCAGTTCTCCACCATATTCGCTGTTTCTCTGCAAGCGACGCAATATGAATGTTGGATTCGCCGTGACCACCCTCCCTAAAGCTTGATTCCACCGGTATGTACGAGTGACGACCTTCAGAGTCATTTTCAGCATAGTGAGCCATGTATAATAGGGAAAGTGATGACGGGAAGCACGCGTGAAGTGTTTAACAGGCGTGGGAATTTTTAATTGGAAGACAACCCACAAGGATCTACATCTAAAAGTAAACCACATGACATAGAGTATACACGCTAAGTTACTCCTTGTGTCTAGCGGGAAGTTCGCATGTTTGGCAACGCTTCATTTTGTGGTTTCTTTCATTAACCAAAGCGCCATAAGCTTCCGCCAAGACTTCCGGTAAACCATGTCATCCAAAAGGAGCATTCTATTGCAATTGCACACCGGTTTCTTGGGGGTCGGTGGGGGCGACACTAGTACTAATCCCTAGGTAATCTCGCCTGACGCAACAGATCATCATCAAGAAACTGCCTCTAATAAACTCCTGTATCTCATACATACCATGTTCGCCAGTGGTCATACTGCTTTTGGTTGAGATATTCGCGCCATTCATCTTTCTTCATTTCTGACCTGAATTGGGCGTGCTGGAGCAAGTCAAGATGGTGCAGCGCATGTGGGTAGCTAAACAAAGGTATTGGTTGCAGTATTGTAAACGCTCGCAAACTATGGACGAACTGTATGAACCTGGCATAATCCTTCTCTTTCCAGTACATGAGATACTCCAGATAGTTAATGAATGCAGGTTGGTCAAGAATATTCTGCTGTGCGAGAGAATGGAGGTAGTATGGGTTTGCCAGCGACTGCACGAATTCCAGTTCAAGCTCAAATTTGTCGCGATTGGCAGCTCGTGGATCTTCTATCGTGGCCTGTGGTGATTGAGCAGGGTCAGAAGCCATCATATTGTCAGTGCAAGTGGAGGAAGCTTGTTACGAACGGAAGGCATCACCAAACAAGGGTCACGTGGCAAGCCGAGGTTCGACGCGCGGTAACTTAAGTTCTTGCTTTGCTTTACACGTCGTGAACGATGTCAGACGAGGACTCTAGTGGCTGGCAACTTACAGAATCTGACCCTGGGGTTTTCACGTATGTTGGAATGATGATAACTGATTTACCTGACTCACGCAACCGGTCACAGTGAGTTACTGAAGACGCTCGGAGTGCCTTACATCGTCGATGACCTCTATTCACTTGAACCGGAATCGCTGGCGGCGCTACAGCCTGTTCATGCTCTAATCTTCTTGTTTAAGTGGTTTCCCGAATCACCTGACGATGAGCCTGGTGTCGGCGCTGGTCACTATGATTCAGATTTCCCCGGATTCTTCGCTCATCAAACTGTGAACAACGCTTGTGCTACACTTGCCGTTGTCAACGCCCTGGGAAACATTGCCTCTCTCCCTGCCGGACCGCAGTTTATGGACCTCATGAATTTTACTACAGGCATGGACCCTCAGACATGTGGAATGGCTATCACGAGCGCGGATTGGCTTCGAGAAGCTCACAACGCCCTTTCTCCACCAAGTGCCATCTCGCTAGATGGTCTCGACCTTCCGAAAAAGAGCGAAGAAGCCTACCACTTTGTTGTATACCTTCCGATACTGGGGAGTCTATATGAACTTGATGGGCTGAAACCTTACCCAGTGTGGCATGGAGAATATGACGGATCCGGAGAGGGATGGGTTAAAAAAGCAAGGTACTTAGTGATACCCCCTCGTCATGTTTCTCTATTGAATCCCCCTGTTTTCTAGGGAAGTTATCGAGAACCGGATACACACCTACCCGACCGGAGCAGTGAGCAAAAATGTGTTTTATGTTCTATATCTCAACTTATATTCTGCAGCTTGAGTTCAGCTTACTCGCTCTTCGGGACGACCCAATACCTGGAATGAGAAGACGTTTAGACACTCTGCAAGGTTTAGCTGGGGACGCTGAATTTAGCGATCTTATGAACAAATTTTCCAATGAAAACTCCAAGCGCGAGCGTTGGGCAGTAAGTACTAAATATTTTGTCACCGATGCTCACCCTTTTTATCCTGTATTCAAAGTTTGAAAACAGCTCGCGCCGCCATAACCACATCGGTCTTGTGCATGCTTTGTTATTGGCTCTAGCAAAGGCAGGAAAGCTTGACTCAGCGAAAGCAGATGCGCAGAGAGTGATGCAAGAACGTTTAGAGAGACAAAGAGCGATGCATTCCTAGAGCGTATGGACAAAGAATCTTAATGTGTAGTCACAGTAAGGTTTTCGATCCGACCTAATTACATGGCAGTTGACCTTACCCGCAGTGCATTGAGCACACATTTAATCCCGGTATCATCACCGCTTGCCAAGTTTGACTAGTGATGACAATAGAGCTCTCTTGGTGCCCAGTGTGAATAATACTTCCATTGATCTCCCCAAGTTCACGTACACAAGTTTGTTCCGGAACATTTTTCTTGCATACCATTATTCTTACGCGGGCGGTCTTTTCAAATCGGGAAGTCCGACAAGCCGTTACAAATAATGAAGCAGGAAACTGCGCACTAAGCGCTAAGCACAACGGGCATGCTCAGTAGGTCCACCTCGTATGATGCCTACGATCGAGTCTAGAATTCAATTGGTGTCAGGTAATGATCTATATTTTAATATTTGTCTACGGCTAAACTAGTGGGAATCCGTACGGCCCGACCATAGGTTACACAATGCCACTCCTAGGATTTGGCGTGTATCAAAATTACACCACCCGAACCTCAGTTCTTGAGGCGTTCCGAGCGGGCTTTAGGTGATGCGGTTCATAGCCATTGGTGATGTCTCCCTGAACCATTCCAGACACGTGGATTCAGCCCAGGCTTACCGCAATGAAACGGCTGTTGGAGAAGCTGTCAGAGATAGCGGCATTGACCGAGGAGAACTTTTTATTAGTGAGTGTCACAAGGCGGTTCAGGAAATGAGCTTCCATCCCTTACCGAACGTTAGCGACAAAATGTATCAGCAAAAACCATGGGTATGAAAGCACGCTGAAGGGCATTGATGAATCTCTTGCTAAATTTGGCTTCGGTGAGTCACTCGCCTCATGTTGAACAAATTCGAGGCATTTTTACGTCTTGAATCAGAATACATTGACTTATTTCTCATTCACGACCCGTATTCCGGTACTCAGCGCCGCCTAGCCACATACAGGGCCTTGCAAGATGCCCGTAGTGCGGGAAAAATACGATCTATTGGCGTTTCAAATTAGTGCGTTTTCTACTTTTTTCCCGGTAAAAAACTTCAGAACAACTATAATTGTACCGCAACATTTCTTACAGCGGGATAAAGCATTTGGAAGAGATTGCAGATGCAAAATATGATATGCCTGTGGTGAACCAAATTGAGGCATGCAACTGTTTTTGATGAGCAGTACACTCCGCTTATTGCATGCTGGCAGCTTCACCCATTTTGCCAGCAGCGGCCCATAGTGGACTATTGCCGTGAACACTCGATCGTGATCCAAGCCTACTGCCCGATCATGCGAGGGAAAATGGATCATCCGACCATTCAAACGATAGCGCAGAATGTTAGTTCTGCTTCTGAGGCGCTACACCAGATATGATTATGATTCAAAATCTTTTTAGCATAGTCGCGATGCAGCACAAGTGCTCCTTCGGTGGTCACTTCAAAAAGGGTTTGGCGCCGTCATTTCATCTTTCGAGTTGAATTTACATTGGTTTAGGTTTGTTCCATTGCCCAAATCAGCAACACCAGAACGCATCAGGTCAAACACTCAATTGTATGATTTTGAACTCGGGTCCGAAGAGATGGAGCAACTTGACGGACTCGACCGTGGAAAGGACGGGTCCATCAGTTGGAACCCTGTTGATGCTCCATAATTATTATTATTATTTCAAGGCGCGAGTTTTGCGTCAGTTCCCCGTTGATTCAGACTGAAAGAGGCTTATCGATCAAATCCACTTTGTCGCATGATTTATCGTTGTCTTCGTTGCTCGGAAAGGGTTCCTATAATGGATGCCTCGTTCGGAACGTTCCTTGTGATAACACCTTTCGCGTCCTTTATGAGGCGATAACTGGATATACAAGGCCAAGCAGGCGAGATGAAATTCGTTCAGCTACGTGTATCCACACCAACGCAACCCACGAGTGATCATGTGTGTAGACTACTTGTGACTTATTGTGGGCAATGTTAGGGATTGTTGCATGAAAATTAATGTACCGGGAAGTTGAGCGCTTAATTTTGATCACGGGAAGATCACTTGATGCTCCTCGACAGCACGACGGTGTATGATTGCCAATCGAGAAAGCCAGGGTCTCTATAACACGACTTCGAACATTTTAGGTTTGATACCAGGTTGATAAAACGTATTTCGTTGCCTGGGAAGATTTAAATGTCATGATGTGTTGAATCAAGCGAATGGAATGATACGTGGGGGCCTGCGTACCAGCCCTCATGGACAAAAATTTCCTCAAGCTCAACCAGCACATTGGAAGCACGTGTATGAGAGCATGCAGCCGACTCCACTATGAATCATGCATCATGATCCAACGTTTGATCAATGATCAATTGCATGCTACTCACTGATGTAAGTACTGATAGCAAGGACCTTCCCAGAAGCCAGCTCTGATCGGTTCACTAGATCCACTATCTGCAAACTTGAAGTTCAGCACTAGCGCTCAACGTTAACGTTGCAATCAAGGAGGGTAGCAAACAATATACGAATTTAACTATTTAAGATACGCGTTTCTTACATAACACGGCTACGTTACCCCAACATTACCCGCGGCGGCTCTAGGTCACTGACACGATAGTCTACGCAGAATAATTTACTACTCTGGATGACTGAATGTAGGGGATCCCATCAAACCTTGGCTTTGTACTTTATCGCTATTGGTTGGTCCTCGGCCACCAAAATTACAAGTAACTCAAGGCGCCATCATCAACGGGCAATCGACTGAAAGCTTTCGAGTTTGCACCAGTGCTATGGACCTCATTGTTATCAACTGGATGATGCAATCATCATTTTGAGAGAGCATGGTCCGGGCCAAGTCTAGGCACTGCGATTCTTTGAATGGATTTTGTATCTACACATTTGGTACGTCTGTGATTGCGAATCTAGTACACCATTGATCCTTTCAGGATCCTGTACAATTTCAGCCGTCCCACAAGGAATGTCCTGTCGGGTTGCTGTCGGGATCTTTAATTCTACCGGCTGTACATCGAGAATCGAGACATGGGTCAAACCTCGGCATTCTGACATCACCGTCCTTGGATTGAGGCCCGGAACATAAGCTGGTTCTCAACCCGACCGACCGACGGACTATAAATACGGACGGTGGTTAGCCTCAAAGTCTGCAGTCTGATTCTTCGCACCGGAAAGCGCATCCACTTCTCTACTGTACTGTATGGAAACAGAGCTGTCTTCACCCTACACCTCACGCGAGATGCGGAACAATTCAGAACAACTATCACTCTCCGTAGATTCGTCTAGATTCTTCAATGGTGCTAGCAACGATGTAGTTTCGTTCAATACATCCGCAACCGTCGTAGTATGCGATGCCGAGAAAGTTCTTGTCACACCCGAATGGTGGATGAGTAAGTACCTTCCCGTAAGTCTACTTCTCTCGGATCTTACCTTCTAGACGCTCACCGGCGATGTACAATTCATTCGCAGAGTTATTCGGCCGGGCGAATGTTCAAGTTCAATAACCCGAACTCGTATAACTGGGCGAATAACTTACTTGCTGGTCTGGCGATCCTTTTCTATGTCAGTAATTGCATGTTCCTCGCCTATCAAAAGCTGATTGATCGACTAGGGTTATGACCAAGGGTACACCTTCCTGCATTCCCTCTCCTGAGCGAATGCTAAAGCGCCGACGAGCAGGGTCATGTCCCAAGTGAATCTTAATGAGGATTACCTCAAACTAATGGGTATATACCCCACCATGGGAAACTCACGTAACCTTGCGGCTCTTGGGGGAATAGTTTCTGTAAGTTGAAAGCTTCTTGATAGTAACCTTTCTTGCATGTCTATTAGGTTTATTACGGCGGTTCCCTCATTGGAGCATTGCTTGGCGGTTCCATCGCCGACAGGTCGGGACGTATAGCTGCCATAATATTGGGTGTCATTATCTCGACTATCGGCGCAACATTTCAAGCCTCCGCGATGAACATCACTTGGATGTGTTGCGCACGAGTCGTGACTGGTCTCGGTGTGGGAGCCATCGACGCAGGTGGATAACCCGCTGTTCTTGTCTTGATTCTGTGTGCTTATCTTTATTAAAGTCATTCCTGTCTGGAGCAGTGAAGTTTCTCCACATCAAGCACGAGGCGGCTTTCTTGCCATTGAGTTCTTCCTGAACATCAGTGGATTGTCATTGGCATATTGGATAGAGATGTCAGCCCGTTTCAAGCACCGTGTTGTAAACCAATAGCCTGATGCATTTGTAGATTTGCGAGCATGAATCAGAATCAGGTAATGGCATGGCGCACACCTCTAGCTCTGCAAGTTGTTTTTCTGCTCGCTATTCTCGGTTCGTCCCGATCCTTTACCCGACCTCACTCATGTTGAACCATCACAGCGCTTGTACCTTTCTTTCCAGAGTCCCCTCGATGGCTGGCGAAAGTCGGCCGTGTCTCCGAAGCACGCACTGTGTTGCAGGCTACTCGCAAGGACGGAGTCGAGGCTGAGCTCGGTGCTATTGTGCGGAGCGTGATACATGACCAGCAGCACGCAGAGAACAATAGTTATCTTCGTATGCTATTCCCGAGGACAAAGAGCCAGCGCGAACTACGACGGAGAGTTGTTCTAAGTGTATGGCTGCAGATTATGCAAGAGCTCGTTGGCATCGGAGTCATCACTGTCTACGGCAAAGCACTTTCTTCTACCGGCTCTCGCTCTTTCTCTGACGTCATATGTAGCCATTGATCTTATTCAGGGCGCTGGCTTCAGTCAAGACGAGGCAAAACTCTTGGCCGGATTCAATAATCTGTCGTACATGTTCAGCGTGCTCTTTGCTGTGTTCACTCTGGATAGGTTTGGTCGACGAAGTACAATGGTATGGGGGGCTGCTGGTATGGCGCTACTCCTGCTCATTGGTGGTATCCTGGACAAATGTGATATAGGTTTTCTCTCCGTTTGATTGTCACTCATATCACTTGGTAGATGCGCAGGCGGGCGGCCCCAATCAACGGGCATATGGCGTGGGTGTTGTAGCGATGACAGTAAGCAACTGATTCCGGTATCGTGAAGAACATATTTGTAAATGATGGGCCTCCCAGTTCCTCTATACTGGCACGTTTGGTGCCACCTGGCTAGTAACTCCGTGGCTTTATCCAACTGAACTCTTTCGTGAGCGAGATCAATTCCTCCGCCCGATTTTGTTCTCTGAAACAATGCAGCTACATATGTTCGCGCCAAAGGAGGCGCATGGTCTGTCGTTGGATGGTCCATAGGAAATGGCATTGTGACTATGATTACCGTAAGTCGTCGAGCAACCGAACATTTGCAAATGAATTAATGGTCCTTTCTCTAGCCTTTCCTGTTTCAGGCAATCGAATATGGTGTACTCCTGCTCCTATTTGGCCTCAACATATTCGTAATCCCCTTTATCATTTTCATGTGTATGGCTTGCGTCTTACTGTTTTCAATGTGTGGTCCTATTGATGCGGCGGTTCTATTTTGTAGATCCGGAAACTTCGGGTCGTCCTCTCGAGCAAATCGATGATTTCTTCAGCAATGCGACATCTTGGAATGTTTTCACCGCGTCCGAACAAATACGGGAGCAAGGTTTCACAAACTATCGATGGACACGCAAATATCATGGTGGAATTGAACAGTCGAACACATCGTCGATGACTCAGGTCAGCGGAGATGTGGACGCTGAGAGGCACGGGTGGGCGAACAAGCTGAGGCGCCGTGCTTCGGATGCGGGACTCATGTAACAAAGTCCTTGCACGATATTTTTTGTATGCTAACACTTGTATAATTCAAATGCTATAACATTGCAACTGTGTTGTCCCGAAATTTTCCTGAAGTTTCGTCGACTTGCTGGATGACTCGATAACACACGAGCGTACTCGAGGTCCCTAGAAGCAGAGACCATGTTCTCTTTCGAAGACGGAATCTCGAGAGATCACACTTTCAACATCGGATTCAGGCAGTAAAAGTCTTCGCACAACACGGATGAACTCTTCATACACTACACTAACAATAGTACGCCGAAGTTCCGTCAGACAGACGCTCAACTCGCTGGGGGTGGCTTCACCAGGCTGCAAGCAGCTCGACAATGCACAAACCCAAACGTCCTCGAGATCTCCGCAAGCGGAAACCATGTTCTCTGTCGAACGAGTGAGCGCTAGTATCATCCAGCGGAATTGAAGGATGTGGCATGTGTAAACATGCGAGACTCGAGTTAGTTTCTATAAAATAGATCCTAGCTGAGTATGTTCTGAAGAACCAGAAAAGTTTGAGGCCAGGCTTATATAGATTCTTGTTGATGGTCCGTGCGTGGGATATTTGTGTCAATACCTAAATGCTTGTTTTGGAAGGCAATAAAGTAATGAATTTAAATTGTCAAACGTTCAGCTTCATCATGTCCACCGACGTCTTGTCACATTTTGGGGTTCTTGACGAACTCATACAGGTTATCTACCAGGGCTTCGATCGATTTGTCGTACTATCACAAGTAACCGAATCTGCATGGTCGATTTACTTGGGCCTCAAGGGACCAGAAGGCAGGTGGTGGCGAGGCTCGTGGTCCACCAAACATATCCTTAACAGCACCAACGTTCGTGTCAAGGCCTTCTAGCTACCCTTACCCTTATCGTACGTCATTCTAGGGTGTGCAATCAGGCCCTCAGGTTGAGAACTTCGCTGAAAAGCTTCGGGCGGCATTTGTAAATGGTGACCTCACCATTGGAGAATGGACTGAGAAAGACTCGGACATCAACGTGAATACTACTTTTGATGTATGGATTATATCGAGCCGACAACACAGAACTTTATTAGCTCACTTTTGGGCCAACTGCCAAGCAACCATTGCACATGGCCCTAAAAGAACTGTCCGCAGCCGAAGCTGCGTCTCATGCAACCGCGGTGTTCACTGAAGTAAGGCACATGAGTTGTTGGCCGCTCACCCCCAATATTTGACTCGTGTCAAGATTGCATTACAAGCTCAGTCCCGCAAATGCCAGCTGAACCCCCTTTTCTCGCCCCGTAATGTCACCGTTATCGCAGAGTCATCCCACGCCAATACAGGTCGGCTGTGTCCCTTGTTAGCATTCATGTGCACATTGAGCTTATTGTCATAGCTTCAACGCTTCCGTCGAAACGCGCACCCTTAGACCTGAGTCAGGTCCCTGTCCCTACTGTCAATCAGGCAGCTGAACGGAAGATTAAAGCTCTTCAAGCGGAACTTGCTCGTTCAAAGGAAAGGTCCCCGGCAGGTGATATGATATCCAGTAAGCCTTCATTTGCCACGTACTCAGAGGCAGCTGATTCTACTATGGAACAGAACCTTCAGCAAGTGCCCGACCTCCGAAGGGCGCATCTTTGGCCAATCCGAATAAAAAGGCAAGGAAGTACCAAGCTCTCGAATTCGAGAGTGATGAAGACTAGTCAGCTGTGTATATCACATGGGCCGGAAAGCATAAATATTTCACTGGCGCCTGGGCATTGGCCGGATCCTGTCATTGCCAAGTGCTGCGGTGTCACTGACAACAGGTTATAAGTAAAATACCTTTTAAGCTGAGTTAGCCTAATGGCAAGCATCTTCCAACTTGTACGACAATGTATGTTACGACTCATAACGTTAACGGCGATTCTTCCACGGATGGCCTTATCCCGATCAAGTGGGCTTGCTGGTGCTTGCTCTGATGGAAGTCCACTCCAAAGACTAGTAGCAATTAGCATGCTCCGTGACTTTTACCGAATAAGAACATAGGGCAACTCCCGAAATAGACCATATGCATATAAGCGCTAAAAGCCTTCATACACGTTTACAAAAAAAACGCACGACCCTAGTACCTTATATAAAGCTGCACTCCAACAGCTAACACAATACCCTTGACATCGACTCATTGACTTTCATCTATCATGTCATTTCCGTTCGGTTCTGCTGCCCCACCTGCCGGGCAGGTTAGCAGCAGCGACAATGCGCTTTCTGTTGAATTCATGTTCTCTCAGATCATGGGCGCAGTGCAGAAATCTGTAAGCCCCATTTATCCATGTAAGACACTCCAAAAAACAGTCGCTGATGCATTCATACATAGCAAGTTGAGATATCTGATCTCCGGCAGGAATGTGCTGACCTACGGTTGGCAAACGCAAGTCTGGAGCGTCAGATCCGGGAAGGGTTTCAGGTGAGCGGGATGACTTTGCACTTCAACAAATTCTAAGTTCCAGGGTTCTTTCAATTGCAACAGCAAAATGGGAACGGAAACTATTACGCCAGCTCGCGTATAGGCTCTGGCTTCGTCACCCCAGTGCCCGGCAGCCCTCAGCTCCGAGCCAAATCCCCATTCCTATCTCCGCACAGTATCCCATCGCTCGTCGCTGTACCCACCAGTCACTTCCCGTCTCCATTGGGCGATAATGCGGTCGCACATTTCCAACTCGCTGTCCGCGACATTCCCGGGTTCTACGTTGTAATTCCCGCAGGAGGCGCTGGTACGCGGCTGTGGCCACTTTCGCGAGAGGAGCACCCTAAATTCCTTCTCGACTTGACTCTCAAGGGCCGTTCCTTAATCCAAGCTACCTGGGACCGTCTTCTCCCTCTTTCATCTCCCCTCCGCACCACCGTGGTCGCAGGTCCCGGCCATGTCAAGTCCATCCGCGAGCAACTGCCTGACCTTCTCCCGCATAACCTGATTTGCGAGCCTGGTCCAAAGGATTCCATGGCAGCTATCGGACTTGCCGCAGCTGTCCTTGCGAAACGAGACCCCAATGCCGTCATCGGTTCATTTGCTGCAGACCACATGATTTCAGGCGATGACGCCTTCCTATCTGCCGTTGCGGAAGCCGTCGAAGTAGCGAAGAAGGACTATCTTGTTACCATCGGCATTGCACCCTCCCACCCCTCCACTGGCTTTGGTTATATTCGCCTCGGAAATAAACTAGGCATCAAGGAAGCCCCAAATGCAAGGCTTGTCTCCAGCTTCAAAGAAAAACCTGACGCTCGCACTGCCGCTGCCTATATCGGTACCGGAAATTACCGATGGAATGCGGGAATGTTTGTTACGAAAGCGACTGTCCTCTTGGACCTTCTTAAGGACTACAAGCCGGAACTCCACGACGGGCTACAAAAGATTTCGGCCGTATGGCATGACGAGACGTTGCGCCAGGCTGCCCTTAATGAAATCTGGCCCGAGCTCGAGAAGATCCCGATCGATAACGCAGTTGCAGAACCTGCTGCTGCTGAGGGTAAGGTTGCCGTAGTACCAGCGACATTCGGTATGTTTCCACATTTCATTTCCATCTGCGGAAGAAGCGAACTGATATCGGACTTTAGGCTGGGATGACGTCGGAGACTTCTCTTCGCTCGCAGACCTACTGCCTGCTGAATCTAATCAACCTCGTGTCCTTGGGGACAGCTCTTTGGGTGATTATTTTTGCCTTTTCTCATCAAGCCCCCGTGGTTGATTTCATCTCCGTTCGACAGTGTTGACAGAACAAGTTGCTGGGGGAATTGTAGTACCCGGCTCAGGACGTCTTATCACGTGCCTGGGCGTCGATGATCTGGTTATCGTCGACATGCCGGACACCCTCCTCGTCACCACGCGTGCGCGATCGCAAGAGGTGAAGCGCCTCGTGAAGAAGTGTCGTGATGCGGGTTGGAAACAGCTCCTCTGAACAGTTATATTTCGGACTTTTGGAGTCAGAAACAACGGACTATATGGTACAAAGGATGCTCGTGGAAATGGGGTTTGATTTCACACGCTCAAAACTTTCTCTGAAACTCTGAAACTGACTATGCTCATACCATACCTTTTCGAGGCTCGTTAATCTCCTGTCCTTCTATGTACATTTGTATGTGGTGTTCGTTGATGGGTACTTATTCGTCTGCTGATATGGACTTATATGATCTAACACGTCATGATGTTTCCGCCACGATTCTGATGGTTTTCTGGCACTCGCGATTAGAACTGATCTGTCTGCGGTGGCAGATATATCCTGATACTCCCACGTCACAGCCATAACAATCAGTGGAGGAGATCGTCGTCGTCCTTTGAGCATAAAGAATTTAGCCAAAATGAACTGTACGCGGCCATCTACCCCGTAGTGCTCATCAGTGTTCCTCATCACTCGAGACCGGCTGTGTAACCGAATGCCCTGCAGACATCCGACCCTTTGGCAAGAGGTCCTTTCCGGAAACCTTCGTATACCTGCCAACAGATTCATACTTTTCTTTTTGGCCCTGTTTGGGGAATTTTAGGTGATAGCTTCCTCTGTTGAGTCTTGGTCTCCAGATATACACCGAATGAAATGAACCAGCTTGCTACACATATCGGGGAACGTCAGGATTGATGTAAATGGGAAGGAGGGGTATTCCTGTAGGAAACATGCTCTAGGACCCTTGCCAGCGTCAGAGAGTACGTATGGGAGAGAAATGATGCGATCAGGATGAGGGTGGAGCTGCGATTTGACAAGGACTGCATTCCATGCGCGAATGTGGGGAAGTTCGCCACAGCTGGGAGGTCATAGAACCAGAGGGTGATGTAAATTTCTTCTTCTGTGTTATCGGGCGAGCTGTTCAAGTTGTCTTCCTATTGGCTGAATTGCGTAGCCATCGCTGGTTATTCAATCAAGTATTATATAAAGAGGCCTATCGATCAAAACAGCACCAACTGTCGCAAAGTATTACACGAGACACAAGCGATCATACAAAAGAAAAGTAGGCGACGAAAACAGGGAGAACTTGAGACCTTACAGATCACATAGTTAGGCGCACCGATGTCAGATTGCTTAATCAAGATTGGACAATCGTGTAATGTCCCGTGGCCGCGTCGCGATTGAGCGTCCAAGTCGTGCTCTCAGCGAGCTCAGCGAGGTCCTGCGACCAGATCGCAGGAGTGTCGATAGCACCTCGTATGATTGCGGTCTGTTGATAGTCCGACGTAACGTAAACGCGCAGAACCGGAGTGAACCGAGCAGTGACGTGACTGCCATCTCTGCGTTTTGTACTGTGAGCTCTCCGAAGAAGGAAGAGAGGAGAGAGAACATACCCGACACCGTTGAAGTAGAGTGCGGGCTTGGGCATCAACTCTTTTGGCTCATGAAGCCTGGAGACGGACAATGCAATAAGACGAAAGAAAAGGAGACGATGATGATCACAAACCGACTGCAATGTCCTGAACGTCCCCAGTGCTGTTCACGGCCTGCAAGACACCAGCGACTCCCGCCTGAGGGGGCTACACGAGACATTCAACGAGTGGTAAAGAATAGAGACGAACGAAAGTCAGACTTACAGAGAAGTGGTAGACATCGTTGGCCACGGTCAGGGTTGTTTTCTCGCTGACCTGCGTCATGACCTGCGTTGGCGCTAGGAATTCCAGAACAGATGAGAGCCGCTCACATTGATCTTAACGGATGTTTCAGCGTCGATGATGTTTCCATCCACGACCTGCGGCTTGGAGAAAGCGAGCCTATACGTTGAATAAGCATTGTATACGACCATCATCTGCATTTTCTGTCTTACTGGCTCGTGTAGGTCGCGTGAGCCTCGTATGGACCTGGAAAGAGGGGTCGTATATAAGTCAGCGACTCGGAAACGCAAGAGTAGGAACGCCCACCCGTCTTCCCGAATGTGCTGACTCTGAGAAATCGCAAGGTTTGAGATCGTCACGGGAAATAGCAGGCGCATGGACTTACTTCCAAACTACTGGGAAGAAGTCCTCGTAGAGACCTTCCATGTCGGCATCGAAAGTGAGCATGATCGTCGCCTCCTTGCCGAGGTTGTTGCTGCGAGAAGACGGTGAGTCGGGTGAAAATTCGTGTAGTGCAAAGACACTCACGACTGGAAGGTCAAGTTCCTGGTGAAGAGGTGTGACATCGTTTCAGACTGTTAAACACAAAGTGTACTAGTTGAGATCGAATGTGAATTGAAGAGCTTGAGTTCTGCAGCTAGAGTCTCAGTGAGGAGGTTTTTATATCTTTCGAGATCGCGTAGGCCGTACCTCCTTCATTTGTTTGCGATTTAATCCAGGTCTCCTTCGACACTTTCTCGTACCTTCGTGCCTTGGTACCTGCCGCTGGTCACCTAATGCACTGTGCTCCCATTGCTTCGGTTTACCAGACAATGATTAATTGCCAGTTTCGAGTTCTTGACCCATCTCGTGCCTTCAATCTCTCCGGAGTGCCTGCCGCTGCGGACCCTAAGTATTGCGATGTATGCGCTCCTAAGATCTACAAGGCGGCAGCAAATACTGGCCTTGGCTTCAACTGTCAAAGGATTTGACCTGGCTGCTACTGTAGATCATGGAATTGAGATCCAGACAGTGGGCCCCTACTTATAGGGAGTTGAGTCACGGTTACAGTCGCAAGTACTAGCAGGCATACGCAAACAGGAGCTGCTCAGCCAGTCCTAGGGTAACATCCATTACATGTACGGAAAGCAGAACTTTCGTCAAAGTTCAAGTCAGAGATTTATGATGACCAAGCAAATGCTACTTCAAGTTAATTAATTTTGAGTCTTGACAGCTCCCTTGGATTCAGAGAGCAAGACTTATTCGATATTACATAGCCAAGAGCACATAGCTTGCAGGTTCAGTATCTTACGGCTCTTTTGACTGAACTTTGACTTTGACAGTTGAAGCCAAGGCCAGTATTTGCTGCCGCCTTGTAGATCTTAGGAGCGCATACATCGCAATACTTAGGGTCCGCAGCGGCAGGCACTCCGGAGAGATTGAAGGCACGAGATGGGTCAAGAACTCGAAACTGGCAATTAATCATTGTCTGGTAAACCGAAGCAATGGGAGCACAGTGCATTAGGTGACCAGCGGCAGGTACCAAGGCACGAAGGTACGAGAAAGTGTCGAAGGAGACCTGGATTAAATCGCAAACAAATGAAGGAGGTACGGCCTACGCGATCTCGAAAGATATAAAAACCTCCTCACTGAGACTCTAGCTGCAGAACTCAAGCTCTTCAATTCACATTCGATCTCAACTAGTACACTTTGTGTTTAACAGTCTGAAACGATGTCACACCTCTTCACCAGGAACTTGACCTTCCAGTCGTGAGTGTCTTTGCACTACACGAATTTTCACCCGACTCACCGTCTTCTCGCAGCAACAACCTCGGCAAGGAGGCGACGATCATGCTCACTTTCGATGCCGACATGGAAGGTCTCTACGAGGACTTCTTCCCAGTAGTTTGGAAGTAAGTCCATGCGCCTGCTATTTCCCGTGACGATCTCAAACCTTGCGATTTCTCAGAGTCAGCACATTCGGGAAGACGGGTGGGCGTTCCTACTCTTGCGTTTCCGAGTCGCTGACTTATATACGACCCCTCTTTCCAGGTCCATACGAGGCTCACGCGACCTACACGAGCCAGTAAGACAGAAAATGCAGATGATGGTCGTATACAATGCTTATTCAACGTATAGGCTCGCTTTCTCCAAGCCGCAGGTCGTGGATGGAAACATCATCGACGCTGAAACATCCGTTAAGATCAATGTGAGCGGCTCTCATCTGTTCTGGAATTCCTAGCGCCAACGCAGGTCATGACGCAGGTCAGCGAGAAAACAACCCTGACCGTGGCCAACGATGTCTACCACTTCTCTGTAAGTCTGACTTTCGTTCGTCTCTATTCTTTACCACTCGTTGAATGTCTCGTGTAGCCCCCTCAGGCGGGAGTCGCTGGTGTCTTGCAGGCCGTGAACAGCACTGGGGACGTTCAGGACATTGCAGTCGGTTTGTGATCATCATCGTCTCCTTTTCTTTCGTCTTATTGCATTGTCCGTCTCCAGGCTTCATGAGCCCAAAAGAGTTGATGCCCAAGCCCGCACTCTACTTCAACGGTGTCGGGTATGTTCTCTCTCCTCTCTTCCTTCTTCGGAGAGCTCACAGTACAAAACGCAGAGATGGCAGTCACGTCACTGCTCGGTTCACTCCGGTTCTGCGCGTTTACGTTACGTCGGACTATCAACAGACCGCAATCATACGAGGTGCTATCGACACTCCTGCGATCTGGTCGCAGGACCTCGCTGAGCTCGCTGAGAGCACGACTTGGACGCTCAATCGCGACGCGGCCACGGGACATTACACGATTGTCCAATCTTGATTAAGCAATCTGACATCGGTGCGCCTAACTATGTGATCTGTAAGGTCTCAAGTTCTCCCTGTTCTCGTCGCCTACTTTTCTTTTGTATGATCGCTTGTGTCTCGTGTAATACTTTGCGACAGTTGGTGCTGTTTTGATCGATAGGCCTCTTTGTATACTTGATTGAATGACCAGCGATGGCCACACAATTCAGCCAATAGGAAGACAACTTGAATAGCTCGCCCGATAACGCAGAAGAAGAAATTTACATCACCCTCTGGTTCTACGACCTCCCAGTTGTAGCGAACTTCCCCACATTCGCGTATGGAGTGTCGTCCTCGTCAAATCGCAGTTCCGCCCTCATGCTGATCGCATCATTTCTCTTCCGTACGCACTCTCTGACGCTGGCAAGGGTCCTAGAACACGTTTCCTGCCGGAATACCCCTCCCTGACGTTCCCCGATATGTGTAGCAAGCTGGTTACTTTTTCTTATATATAGTTGTGCTGCTAAGATAATTACCAGTGGTTTCCATTACGCCCAATAATGCATGGGATCAATACGCTATTTGAATTCCAGCTGGTCTTCGCTTGGTATCTTGCCATCTAGCAAATCATCCAGCCCCGTGACAGCTGTCCGTTCTGAGTCTCGTTCCCGACGTTTTGGCCTCGCTTGACTCTTGCGAGAACTCCACTGGCCGAACTCATAACCGTCCTCCACATCCTCCTTAAGCGCATCCCCCTTCCACGCATCAAAAGCCGGCCCTTTCCTGCCCGACCCTTTCCCCCGCTTCCCTCTGGGCTCCTTAATAGCAAGCTGCTCGATCTTAGATAACATCCCAACAACCTCCCCACTCCCAAACATAGATTCCTCTTCCCAAACCGTGCGCGCCCCCACTTCGCGCCTTAGTTTCTCGACAAGTTTCTTGGTTCTGCCATCGGGCTCGACCCCGTTGACCCGCATTTCTTCGAGGGCGTCGTGTACGCCTCTGAGGTCGCGGAAACACGACCAGCGGGTTTCTAGCAGTTCGTTGTATGCGGGAGTGGTGCACCCGAATACATAGCTCGGTATGCTCAGGTGCCGCGCATAGTCGAAGATGGAGAGAGCGAGGTGAGGGTCACGGTATTTGTCGCGGAAAGAATGCATGAGGTGCGCGATCAGGTAGGGATATGTCGGGTGTTGGAGTTCAAGGTGCGTAGACGTAAGTTGTGGTGGTGGATTTGCGCTTCCGCTTGCGTTTGAGCTTGGGGTGAGGCCTGTAGCATGCTGTTCCTCGGCTTTAGCAATAGCATTTCGTGCACGTTCCTCGTATTTCTGAGACTGCCCGAACACCTCGCGCATGGCCCATTCAAGCAGCTGCTGATCCGTATCACAAAGTTCCATTTCCTCCTTCTTCTTATCAAATTCCCCATCCGCCTCCGTCGTCCATTTCAACCGTTTTGAGTGTCGTCTGAGTTTGCCGAATAAATCTGACATTGGGGCTTGTCCAAATGGCTTGCGCCCGATTCCACTGAGAACAGCGAGTGGGTCGTCTTGTTTTGAGGAGGAGAGTTTGGCGGAGGGGTTCTTTTGCTCTGAGACCGCATCGAAGATCATGTTGAACATTTCGTCGAAGGCGCTGATTTCGCGTGCGGTCATTGCTTGTCTGCGTGCGCGGGTGCGCCCTGAGGTTTCTACATCGCCGCCGCGTAAAGGACTGCGGACTGGGGAGGGGATGACAGGTGGTATATCATTTATTGAGTCGCTCAGTATATGGTCCCAAGGAGATTCTTTGGTGGCGAAAATGGAGTCGGGTTGTGTGCTGCTGCTGCCCTCCGATAGTGTAGCAGAGGAAGTCAGGCATCGTGCAGCTGCCCTTGCAAGACTTACACATGCATAATTGGAGACTCGATGACAGACGAGCATGATTAATGAGGGTGATTTCCAATTTGGCCAAAATTGTTGTTGTTTTGTTGCATCCTTGACATATATTTATCATACTTGCTCGATTAACCTATGTATCCTGATGCTCGTGTCTAGCGGTGCACTGCTACGTTTCACGTTGTCTGAGAAAGGTTGTCAATACGGTCCCAAAATGATCAGACGCAAAGTTTCGACCTTGTCGTACAACACATACATGAACTCGGTATTCATCAAACCAAACAACCAAAACTATGCGAACCACGTAACAGGCCGTGATAGCCGTACCAGTACGTAATGGGCGCATCAAATTGCACCAGAGGTCACGAGTACGCTCAGCTATCATGATAGCCAACAAGCACAGTGCAAGAAAGGTGCGAGATTGTGCGAGAGGGAAGATGCAGAAGGTTAGACGACAAGGAGAAATGAGAAAACCTACATGCACAAGGCGCACCGTGACGAGGAATGATATATAAAAAGGAAGAGACAGAAGAAAAAACGTACCATGGATGAATCAATGATACGAGGTGGAATTGAATGCAGGAAATGCAAGCGGGTAAATATTGGCAGAAGAGGGCAGGAAAAACTGACCTTGGTCAGAGAAAGAGGAAAACTCACCAAAATGACGCGAGAGGGCATAGTGAGGTGCTGGGGGTGGCAGAATGCAGGAGGCACCAGCTGCGGGGTGTAGGCGGTCATGGTAGGGCATGGTAGGCAGCGCAATATTGGTGGGCGGGGACAGCACTAGTTCAATGCAAGTAAGAGGCTCTGAGTAGTGATATCAAAATTAAGAGAAAGGACTTGCAAGGGCGGCGGGAAGGGGAGGAACATCGTTAGTTAGGACATAGCAGGAGGGATGATTGAAAGAGGTGTGCCGGTGGCGAACTTGAAGGCTAAAGCCGGACAGATCCTCGGAACTTCGAGCTTTAAGTTCAATCAGACCATGTCCATAGGGCTTCGCCCAACGGACAATAAATAAGAATCAAAAAAAAAGAAAAAGGTACTTACCGAGGCATGAAGGAGAAGCTGGCTAAATCGCAAACAGAGGAAGGAGGTACAGCCAGTCATGATGCGACCCGAAACATATAAAGCCTCCTTGCTGAGGCTCTAATTGCAGAACTCAAGCCCTTCAATCTACACTCAATTTCGACTAGTACACCTCGTATTTAGAAATCTGAAACAATGTCACGCCCCTTCACCACCTTCTAGTGGTGAGTGTCTTTGCGCTATAACTTGTTCACCCGACTCACCATCGTCTCGCAGTAACGACCTCGGCAAGGAGATGTCGATCATGCTCGCTTTGATTAATGGCGATATGGAAGGCCTCTGCGAGGACTTCTTTGGAAGTAAGTGCGCCTACTTTTGACTGACCGACTGTCAGATGGAACCTTAATGTTCGATAGATCCGTAGTATCTTGACATGCACACCTCGGGAGATCTTGTTCAAAAAATGCAAGATTTAAAACACATAGATAATCCCCATAAAAACGGTACAACTCTCAACCCTTGCGAAATACATGACAAACAAACAACTAAGTGAGACCGTTGGTAGATGCCATGAAAGTAAAATGAACATTGAGATGCAGACCTCACGACAGAAATTTAGACGGGCCAATCTCGCATTCCTTAATCAAGCATGGGTGAGCGTGTAACGTCCACTGACCACGTCGCGCTTGAGGTTCCAAGTCGTGTGCTCGGCAAGCCCAGTGAGGTCCTGCGACCAGATCGCAGGGGTTTCAATGGCACCTCGTATAATTGCGGTCTCTTGATAGTCTGTCGTGATGTAGACACGTAGGATCGGAGTGAACTGTGCCGTGACCTGACTGCCATCTCTGCATTTCGTACTGTGAGCGCTCTGAAGGAGAAATAGAAAAATATGACATACCCGACCTCGTCGAAGTAGAGTGCAGGCGTAGGCATGAAGTCTCCTTTGTTAAGAAACCCTGGAGGTGGACAAGACGCTCAGGTAAAATAAGAGCAGACGATGATGGTCACAAACCGACTGCGATATCTTGAAGGGCCCCAGTGTTGTTCACGGCCTGTACGAAGCCAGAGGATCCCGCCTCAGGGGTCTACACGAGATATTAGTCGATCGTCGAGATAAATATTAACAGAAACCGGACTCACAGAGAAACTATAGACATCCCTGGCCTCGGTGAGCTTTGTTTTCTGACCGACCTGCGTCACGACTTGCGTGAGTGCTAGGATCCACGAAGTAGATGAGAACCGCTCACATTGACCTGGATGCTGGTTCCAGCACTGATGAAGTTCCCATCCGTGATCTGGGCTTTGGAGAAGGCAAGTCTATGTAATAAATAAGCGACCTTCATGGCTATCGTTCTCGTCGATCATCTTACTGGTTCGTGTAGGTAGCTTGAGCCCTGTATGCACCTGGAAAGAGGGGTCATACGTAGGTCGGCGACTTTGCAGCAAAAGAATAGGAACACCTACCCGTCTTCCCGAATTTACTGACCCTGAAAAATTGCAAGGTTTGAAATCGTCCCGGACAAGAGTAGGCGCACTTACTTCCAGACCACCGGGAAGCGGTCCTGGTAGAGGCTCTGCATGTCGTCGTTGATCAAAGCGAGCATGATCGTCGCCTCCTTGCCGAGATCGTTGCTGCGAGACGACGGTGAGTCGGCTGAAAAATTTATGCAGAGCGATAGCACAATGGCACTCACGACTGGATGGTCAAATGCCTGGTGAAGGGGCGTGACATTGTTTCAGATTTTTAGACACAAAGCGTACTAGTCGGGATTGAGTATGGATTGAAGAACTTGAGTTCTGCGGTTAGAGTCTCGGAAAGGGGGCTTTTATATGTTTCGGATGGCACAGGCTGTACCTCCTGCCTTGGTTTGCGATTTGGCCAGCGTCTCCTTCGTGCCGAGGCACCTGCCACTAGAGACCCCAAATATTCAGACGCATGAGTCCTTCTGATCTACAAAGCGGCAGCACATGATGGCCTTTGACTTGCTAGACAGCCGGCTTCTCCACGAACCCGTTCCCGGAGCAGTGGCGTTGCGCACTCACAAGGTCATGGCTGCCGTTGGCATTCCGGTTCCAGGACGCGTCCGTCCTTCGTATTTTCCTTTCATAACGTTACAGATGCGACAGGCGTGGGTCTGTTCCCACCATCTGGTGATCCTCGAACAACTAAGTCGTGTCCAACGGATGTTCAAGTGTTCTCCGAGTCTTTGACGCCTTAAGAACATACTACGACATCACGAAAAGTTCCAGAACCTAATACCGTCTGATTAGGTTTCTCTGATCACGCGATTCGGTACCTCACATATGTATGACAAGCATAGATCATGTATGTCTGAAGGAACTCAGGAGAAGCTGTTCCAGGTTGCCGTGAAGGATGTTGAACATGACTCTAGGAACGTGACCGGGTGGACTTCAGAAATAAGTAGAGACATGTATATTGCACAGATCATGGAACGTTGTGTACAAGCCTTCAGGAAAAGGAATGAATTGGAATTGACTAGTCAAGAGGGTCGGGCGAGGGTCGGGGACTGGAGTACTGGCACGCCGCCGCCGACATTAGACGTGTGAAGTTAATATTAGATCAGCTTACACGGCCAATTGACATAAACATAGAATCTATGTTTTTTTTTCTCGGAAGGATAGCAAATATACGTACACAATACCGGTACTATGGTTTTCGTCGTGTATGCATGCCTATGAATTTTCTCAATATACGAGCTATATCTGAAACTGTGGCGCAGGACCTCGGAAAAGCGCGAAAAAGAAATGAAGTTCTCAATTTCATGACTAAGTGTCTCATCCAGTGCTTGCATGAAGACCCACTAACCATTCCACCAGACCGTTGTACAGTACTACAATGAATAATATTCAGCAAGCTACTACGGACTTGAAGAAATTTCGTAGTTCTATTGAATTACTGGCATGCGCAGCTGTAGGGCCCTCTGCTCAAGGACTCACGCTAAACTATGTCTCCAAGCCTCCATAGTATCGGTATTGTGTACGTACGTATATTTGCTATCTTTCCAAAAAAAATATAGATTCTATGTTTATGTCAATAGCCGTGATATGCCAGTGGGTTAGTAGAATCCTAGATGTCGTTTCAAATCTTATTTGTCGGAGATTCGGCTCACAGTACATGGATGGCGACAACATGGATCTATATCAGCTGTATCACAAGCTTGAGCTGGCGGAGGATGAGACGACGAAGATGAATTCCGGAGGCACAAGATAACGGTACTTGGTGCAGTCATTTTTTCAGGAGGCGAAGAATCGCGACATGAACGCCTCGCACATCGACGAGCAAGAAGAACATGACCTACTTCCTAGTAATCCCCGTGCCAATACACCCTGGCAAGCGCTGTACTTGGCTTGCAATGACCGAGCTTTCATCACAACCATGGGAGTTGATGTGTCGGCATTTGATCTCCTTTCAGCAGGCTTTCCGACCATTTTGGACGCCACACCCATTCCCCATGGGCCGTGACGACATTCCGACCACTGCTGTTCCTCCAACACATCGCTAATTTGAATCTAGAAAAGGGGTCCTGCCCCCCTTCTGGTCTACAGTGGGTCAGTTTGACGTGCGGATTTGCAAAAGACTGACATTTGACAGCGGTAGGTCAGCATAAGACATTTAGAATGGCTAGAACGGCGTCCTGAATGCTGCGGGAAGTTATCCACCGAAAATCGACAATGAAAACGAACATCCATTTTGCTAAAGCAGATCCCACAACTGGCAGCAAGACAAAATTTTAGTGGGGAGAAGGTCAGGGGTTAGGTACCCGCTGTAAGCGACGTTCGAGTCAGGAACAATCTGGGGCAATAAGTGTAATTACAGATAGCGAAAGTGATAGAACTTCCCTACTATCTGTGGTTTAAATGGTCGTTCAATTAGAGCTTCTACCCATATTGCTTGCGACCGCTTAGGCAGACTGGGCCGACAACGACAGACAAAGATATAGAGGGCTACCTCATGACTGAGCTGCCAAAGCAACACCAAGAAAATGGAAGTGTGTTCTTGAACGCAAAGAGTGAATGACAATAATCAAGCAGTTTTAATTAAGAATAGCCGGTGTTACCTGGTCTGTCAGAGTCATGTTCAAAACCCTTCACGGCAACCTGGAACAGCTTCGCCCGAGTTCCTTCAAACATACATGGGAATGGTAATCTATACTTGAGCTACCGAATCGTGCGACCAGAGAGACCTAATTAGGCAGTGTCAGGTTTTTGGACTTTGAAGTGATGTCGTGATGTGTTCTTATGGCATCAAAGACTCGGAGAACACTTGAACATCCGTTGGACACAACTCAGTTATTTGATGATTACTAGATGGTGGGAACAGACCCCACGCCTGTCCATCTGTAACGTTATGAATGGAAGATATGAAGGACAGGGGCACCCTGGAATGAGCGGGGAATGGGTTCAAGGAGAAGCCGGCTGTCTAGCAAGTCAAGGGTCATCATGTGCTGCTGCCTTGTAGATCAGAAGGACTCGTGCGTCCGAATATCTGGGGTCTCCAGCGTCAGGTGCCTCGGCGCGAAGAAGACGCTGGCTAAATTGCAAACCAAGGTAGGAGGTATAGCTTGTGCCATCCGAAACATATAAAAACCCCCTTTCTGAGATTCTAACCGCAGAACTCAAGTTCTTCGATCCATACTCAATTCCGACTAGTACGCTTTGTGTCTAAAAATCTGAAACAATGTCACGCCCCTTCACCAGGCATTTGACCATCCAGTCGTGAGTGCCATTGTGCTATCACTCCGCATGATTATTTCAGCCGACTCACCGTCGTCTTGCAGCAACGACCTCGGCAAGGAGGTGACGATCATGCTCGCTTTGATCAACGACGATATGCAGAGCCTCTACCAGGACCGCTTCCCGGTAGTCTGGAAGTAAGTGCGCCTACTCTTGTCCGGGACGATTTCAAACCTTGCAATTTTTCAGGGTCAGCAAATTCGGGAAGACGGGTAGGTGTTCCTATTCTTTTGCTGCAAAGTCGCCGACCTACGTATGACCCCTCTTTCCAGGTGCATACAGGGCTCAAGTTTCCTACACGAACCAGTAAGATGATCAACAAGAACGATAGCCATGAAAGTTGCTTATTTATTATATAGGCTTGCTTTCTCCAGAGCCCAGGTCACGGATGGGAACTTCATCAGTGCTGGAACCAGCATCCAGGTTAATGTGAGCAGTTTTCATCTACTCCATGGATCCTAGCACTCACGCAAGTCATGACGCAGGTCGGTCAGAAAACAAAGCTGACCGAGGCCAGGGATGTCTATAGTTTCTCTGTGAGTCCGGTTTCCATTAATATTTATCTCGACGACCGACAAATGTCTCGTGTAGACCCCTGAGACGGGATCCTCTGGCCTCGTACAGGCCGTGAACAACACTGGAGCCCTTCAAGATATCGCAGTCGGTTTGTGACCATCATCGTCTGCTCTTCTTTTACCTGAGCGTCTTGTCCACCTCCAGGGTTTCTTAACAAAGGAGACTTCATGCCTACGCCTGCACTCTACTTCGACGAGGTCGGGTATGTCATATTTCTTCTATTTCTCCTTCAGAGCGCTCACAGTATGAAATGCAGAGATGGCAGTCAGGTCACGGCACAGTTCACTCCGATCCTGCGTATCTACATCACGTCGGACTATCAAGAGACCACAATTATACGAGGTGCCATTGAAACCCCTGCGATCTGGACGCAGGACCTTACAGGGCTTGCCGAGCACACGAATTGGAACCTCAGGCGCGACGCGGCCACTGGACGTTACACGGTCGTCCGAGCTTGATTAAGGAATGTGAGATTGGCACGCTTTAATGTCTGTTCTGTGAGCTCTGCATCTCAATATTCACACTGCTTTCATAGCGTCCACCAATGACCTCGCTTGATTGTTTTCTTTCATAATACCTCTCCCCATCGAATATCGTTCTTTAGTCTTTGACCCAATCTCAAGTCTTCGTTCTCGTTCCTCGTTCCTAGACCGAGCCTCTCCGATTCTTGAGAGAGTTAAGAGTTGTACCGTTTTGATAAGGCTTGACCTATATGTTTCAAATGAAATCATCAGGGAAAACCTCCTTCAGAAAGCAAGCTAATTTCTGCACAAGATCCTGCAGGGTAATACATTAATTCTGATATATATCATGCAACCGTATTTGATTAACGATATTTGTTAGCCTGCTCGTATGCATTCGAATAGGCTAACTATCAGAGCTGGCTCATAGACTATTCTCCCCACTAGGCCCATCTGCGCATCACTAGTGTCTGTCACTTATTTACGCTATTAGATCTCTCCTCGATCTTTTAGCTCAGCAATTACAGCATGGTTCCAAAGATCCTCTATTGCAGATGGCCCGTAGTCTACGAAGCATTAGGGACGTACGGAACAGCCCTTCCTTCTCGCGCCTCGCTGATGTTGATAATTCCCTCCCGCCCTTCCCGCACCTCGCCGATGTATTGCTCCTGCGCCTGGTTGATGCATCCTTCCACCATATCTGACTGGAGTACCCGGTCGACAGCCGGCCTGGTTGGACCCTATCGATTACGAAAAGGAGCAAATGCATGATGCGATGGTAATAACCCATCAACCAGGTAAATCTCTGCTAAACTTCGATATGTATTAGTTGTAATGCTCCATACATATAAGACGACCACTTGCGTCCTACTTGTGGAATGACTGTTTGAGCACTGGCGGACGACGAGGGAAATCACGTCAACTAGGGTTCTGGGACCGCCGGTCGGGGTCTTGCGTACTGGTCATTTCAATTATGTGTTACATGAATACCTGCAAAGAGAACATCCTCCTTCCACTCGTCAGATCTCCTCAGTTTCCTTAGCTACTGAGGGGAATTGGCGTCCTGTATCCAAGCTCAGCCGCCCATTGCTAGGTCAGTTGACTGCACCAGTAGAATCGCACTCACCTTTCGTGCAGGGTAATTCTGAGGCGAGAAACTTGAAGTACCGGAAATGAGCAGATCAAGTCTCGCCATCGTGCATGAGGCGCAGCGATGATGTAGAGTGTGAGAGTAGCGGATGCCGAAAATTTGAAAGACCCACCGTGGCTATTCATTCAATTCTACTTCCTTCACCCGTACATGGCTCTCCTTCATAATAGACGGGCAGGCCACATTAATATCAGATACAATGAACGTGTTCAGTCAATCGCACGCAGCCAACTGAGTCTGGAACAATTGCGAGGAATGCCAACTCAAAGTTCATTGGATGACAAACAAAAAACTGGAAGGAGGTAGCACGGGGCGACAGATGGATGCTGAAGGGTAATAGTTCTCGAAGGCGGCCGATCGGTACTGCTGGAAGGTGAAGGAAGGTCAGTAGAGAGTGCGACGGTAGCACGTGGAGGTCACAGTTGGGTCAGGTGCGGACATTTTTAAAAACTCACTGGTATATCAACTCAGGCTAAAATTTCTTTAACCGGCCGGCGCACCGCTCATGCATGGGCCACATGTAGCTGCCCTGTTCGAGCTTAAAATGATCTGATTAGACATAGGCTCACTGAGGTCAGCGACCATGTTTCACTGGTACCTGTGCGGTGCAGGGTTCCAATGATGATGAATTTGGGAGGCGATTGACGAATGAGAACTGAAACCACTTGGGCCGGGAGTGGTCGAAGCCCAAAGCAGAGATGAATTATGAGCAGAACGCTGAAACAAAAACACTCCTCTGTGATATAACTAGTAACGAGTTTGAAATACCAGCTAGGAGAGAGAACTTCGCGTCCGGTACACAAGCAGGTCTCGAGTCGATCATGGGATGAAGGGGTGATATTGCAGTAAACTATATGCATGCGTTCGAAGGAGCGACATCATGATATGTTCTCGACACGAAAAACAGTGATATTCATGTAGGATGAATAGTCAGATTTGGGCACCGGGAACCGCCGACTGCTCAATTAGATGTGATGAGGTACGTTCTGAAAACCCTCAAGACAAGATTCGGAAGCATCTATGCATTGCAGAAGCGCTGGGAGGGCATAGTGCTGAGGATGGCAGGTATGATAATATGGTACATTCTTGCTGAATCAGTGATGGAGGTGCGGAGGTCTCGTGTCCTGGGCATCTACGAAAACGAGGCAGGTTGATGCAATGGAGTAGCATAAAACACACAACACACACACCTTCCGCAGCTTAGAGTAAGTCACCCAGAATCCCTCCAAAGTCGACCTCGACCGCGCCCAATACCATCAATATCCAGTAAAATGTCAAGGCTCATTCTAATCACCACACCTCTGCGAGCGCCAAGAATTCAAAGGCCATGAAGGAAACGTAAGGGCAGTTGCAGGTTTCCCCGATAAACGACAGATGCATTACGGGATCGAATGACAATACGCATTATCCGTGGGACTTGAAGACAGGTGCTTTGTTGAAGAAGTGGAGGGGCATGGCAATGGGGTGTTGGAATTGGCAGTATCACAAGATGGGCAATTGACAGAATGTGGTGATAGAGACGGAGGGGTCATCGTCTAGCATGGAGAAACTGGCGAATCGCCTACCCAACCCATCAAAGTCAAGAACAGGGAAGAGAAAATCTTCTAATAAAAGGCTGTAGAAGGTGGGTCTTTCGATTCGGACGCGAAAAATCAGTATGATATGAAAAATTGAAAACAATTGCAATCCCACGCCGGGATAACTTGCGATAAGTCACGCGTCACGAACTAAGATCAGAGTAGCACACATGCTCCTACCGTTGCTCCTATGGTATACCTCACCTTGCTTAATTACGACCAACAAGTCAATACGTTATTTGAATTCTAGCTGGTTCTTGCCTGATACCTTGCCATCTAATAGCAAATCGTTCAGCCCTGTGACCACTTCTGAGTCTCGTTCCCGATATTTTGGCCTCGGCTTGCGAGAACCCCACTGGTCAGACTCATAACCGTCCTCCACGTCCTCAAGCACATCCCCCTTCCACGCATCAAAAGCCGGCCCTTTCCTGCATGACCCTTTCCCCCGCTTCCTTCTCGGCTCCTTAATAGCAAGCTGCTAGATATTAGATAGCAGTCCCCACAACCTCTCCAATCCCAAACACAGACTCCTCTTCCCATACATAGGCTCTTCCCAAACCGTGCGCGCGCCTACTTCGCGCCTCAGTTTCCCAACGAACTTCTTGGTTCTGCCCCATTGACCCGCATCTATTCAAGGGCGTCCTGTACGCCTCTGAGGTCACGGAAACATGACCAGCGGATTTCTATCAACTATTTGTATGTGGCAGTGGTGCACCTGAATACGTAGTTTGGGATGCTGAGGTGCTGTGCATAGTCGAAGATGGAGAGAGCGAGGTGGGGGTCAAGGCACTTGTCACGGAAAGAACGCAGCGATGAAGTAGGGATATGTCAAGTATTGGAGTTCAAGGTGCGTGGATGGAAGTTGTGGTGGCGGATCTGCGCTTGCGGTGAGGTCTGGAGCATGCTGTTCCTCGAACGCTTCGCGCATGACCCACTCAAGCAGCTGCTGACACATCACAAAGCTCCATTTCCTCCTCCTTATCAAATTCCTCACCCGCCTCTGTCATACAATTCAAACCGTTTGGAGTGTCGCCCGAGTTTGCCGAATAAATTTGACACTGAGGCTTGGCCGAATGGCTTGCACCCGATTCCACAGAAAACAGCGAGTGGGTCGTCTTGTTTTGAGGGGGAGAGTTTGGCACAGGGATTTTTTTGCTCTGAGACTGTCAAGGATCATGTTGAACATTTCATCGAAGGTGCTGATTTCGCACGACGCCATCGCTTGTTTGCGTGCGTGGGTGCATCCTGAGGTTTCTACGTTGCCAGCACGTAAGGGGTTTCGGACTGGGGGGAGAGAGAGAATAGGTGGCATGACATGTATTGAGTCACTCGATATATAGTCCCAAGGAGATTCCTTGGCAGAGAAAATGGAATCGGGGTGTGTGCTGCTGCTGCTCTCTGACAGCGTAGCAGAAGACGTCAGGCATCATGCAGTTGCCCTTGCAAGACTTGCACCTGCATAATTGGAGGCTTGATAGTAGACGAGCATGGATGAGGGCAAATTCCGATTTGACCAAAATTGCTGTTGTTGATTTGTTGCATCCTTGAGATATAGCTAGCTATATAATTCCGAGTATCGTATCGGGATCTGGAGAAGAGAAGTACTTGTGGAAGGCTCCCCCATGCACTGGCACCATGTTGACCAAAGCCAAGCCAGGAATGGACTCCGATTCCATCATCGCGGCTGCAATCCAGTGGAATGAGATGTGCGGTAGACTAGAGCAGAACTTCAGGTCGGTACCTTACGTCTTTCGATATCAACAGTGAGCAAAACGGCCTGATTGCGCGGTACCTTGCAGATCTTGCAAATGGGGTTTGTCAGGCTCATCGAGGGTAGTTGAGACACGCGGCCGATGATCACACTAAGTAATAACCCCTGTCTACTGCTAAGTACTGACAATGAACTTGGCAGCACAAAATCTCAGACGAAAGAGGGCCTTGCGACACAACAACAACAATCTCAAAATCACATACGACGCTGTATGCATCGTGCCTGACCGCTGTCAGGTAGAGCATTGAAGTTCAACAGGTCAGCAGTTTCACAAGCCAACATGCGCGACTCTCCTGGTCAACAAGATGCAAGATTTCAAACGCATAGGTAAAGCTTCAAAATGGTACAATTTTCGACTCTTGCGAAATACATGACAGACAAGTAACTAAGTGAGTCCATTGGTGGATGCTATCAAAGCAAAGTGAACATTGAAATGCAGATATCATAGAACAGATATTTAAGCGCACCGATGACACATTCCTTGATCAAGCTTGGACAATCGTGTAACGTCCAGTGGCCGTGTCGCGCTTCAGGTTCCAAATTGTGTTCTCGGCAAGCGCAGCGATGTCCTGTGTCCAGATCGCAGGGGTGTCAATGGCACCTCGTAAGATTGCGGTCTCTTGATAGTCCGACGTGACGTAGATACGCAAGATCGGAGTAAACTGTGCTTTCACACTACTCTCATCTCTGTAATTTGTGCTGTTAGCCCTCTGAAGGAGAAATAGAAGAAAGATCACATACCCAACTTCGTTGAAGTACAGTGCGGGAGTGGGCATCAAGTCTCCTTTGTTCATAAAGCCTGGAGATGGAGGATAAGCTCAGGTAATAAAAGAGGAGACAACGATGGTCACAAACCGATTGCGAGATCTTGAACCGCGCCGGTTTTGTTGACAGCCTGCAGGACACCAGACGTTCCCGCCTGAGCGGACTACACAACATAGTATTCGTCGGTGGTCGATAAAATATCAATGCAAGTCAGACTTACAGAGAAGTGATAGACATCGTTGGTCCTGGTCAGGGTTGTTTTCTCGCCGTCCTGCATCATGGCTTGCGTTGGTACTATCAATTGCAGAATAGATGAGAGTCGCTCACATTGAGCTTGGCGCAGGTTCCAGCGCTGATGACGTTCCCATTCACGACCTGAGCTTTGGAGAAAGCGAGCCTATACAATAAATAAGCGACTTCAGTATTTATCGTTCTCGTCGATCATCTCACTGGTTCGTGTAGGTCGCTTGAGCCCTGTAGGCACCTGGAAAGAGGGATCGTGTGAGTTGGCAACTATGCAGCCAAATAACAGAAACGCTCACCCGTCTTCCCGAACGTGCTGACCCTGAAAATTTGCAATGTTGGAAATTGTCAAGGTCAAAAGTAAGCGCACTTACTTCCATACTATGGGGAAGAAGTCCTCATAGAGGCCTTGCAGGTCGCCATTAATCAAGGCGAGCATGATCGTCGCCTCCTTGCCGAGGTCGTTGCTGCGAGACGACGGTGAGTCGGGTGAAAAGTTATGCAAAGTGATAGCGCAAAGACACTCACGACTGGAAAGTCAAATTCCTGATGAAGGGGCGTGACATTGTTAAACACAAAGTGTACTAGTTGAGATTGAGACTGAATGTGGATTGAAGAGCTTGAGTTCTGTAGTTAGAGCCTCAGCAAGGAGGCTTTTATATGTTTTGGATCCCATAGGCTGTACCTCCTTCCTTGGTTTGCATTAAGCCAGCGTCTCCTTCGTGCCGAGATACCTGCCGCTGGAGACTAAGCACGAGTCCTTCTTATCTTCAGGGCGGTAGCATATGATGGCTCCTGACTTACTAGACAGCCGGCTTCTCCACGAATCCATTCCCTGGGCACTGCGCGCTCGGCGGAAGTTCGTAGCTGCCGTTGGCACCCCTGTTCCATGGCGTGCCTATCCTTTATTCCTTCCTATTGTGCTCCTCTGATAACGCTACAGATGGATAAGGATCTATCCCGAGATTTGATCTGCCCGCTAAGGTAGACGAATTGGGATTGAAACAATGGGCCTATACTTGTAGGCAGTTGAGTCACAGTCACGGTCATAAGTAGGTATACGCGAAAAGGATCCCATGGGCCATGGCGCATTTTGTGACGCGAGACTGCGGTATTTTTTTGCTATAGCACATAAATAATATTGGCCTCACCGGTTCTAGGGTGAATCAACTGTCAAAGTCAAGGTTCAGTCAAACGAGCTGCAAGATGCTGCACCTGCTTCGACCGGCGCATCAACTTGGGATGGAAACTCCGCTGATCACCCTGTTCACTGATGGGCTGCGTACATTGCAAGTTGCAAGAACGTTCTGATTGTTCAAGGCGCTTCGCCCGCTCAACCAGTTCTGAAGCAACATTCCGTATAGGAGGCACCACTGGACAAAATTAAATAAATAATTGAGGGGTGAAAATGAAAATCACCCATCTCCAAATAGCCTTACTCAGCCTCGCGGGGATGCAGACTATTAGCCAGCGTAAAAGGACCCCACTGCGAGCACTATGGATTCAATCGAACACCAAACTCGACCTTGGTACGTATCGTACAATGCTAGGGTAGGGAGTACGGTAAATTATGGGTGGGTGCGCACATCTATGAGTGCCTAGCGAGGCGAGAAAATTGAATGAGAAGAGGTCTTAAAGAAAAAATGGTCAGACGGCGTACCTGACGAGACGATAAATTGGAGCAAGAACAGGCAAGAGGCCGATTTCCTTAAGTCTCACTACTAAACATAAACCGTTAGTCTCCTAGTCAGACCATATAAAAGGAAAACAGTTGTTCCTTTTGATTATGGTCTGCTTTCGTTAGCGCCATCGATACCGCAGTACGATTTGATTACCTCATTGTAGTGGCGCTGGGAAGCGCCAGTCCCGGACTCTAAGAAATAATGATGGATTGGCAACAAATAGTCCTATATCAACATACATCAGAATCATTCACCTCTGCCAGCGCATTCTGTTTTCGTTCTAGACAGGCTGATTTGAGCTCGACAGAGTGCAAGACAATTTCCTGTGAGACATTCGATAACAAGCACACCAAACCCATGAGCGAGAATCTGACAGATAAACGTCACCCCAAACACTCGCTCCAGCATGAAATAGGTATAGTGCACATTGCCGAACACGACTCGCGAGTGCATTGCATGTTTTTCGATGAGAACCTGTTGTAGAGTGTGCGATAGCGTGGCGTAAATCAACAAATACCATCGCCTGGACGTTGGTGCAGCTCAGCTTCTCTAAATGGTGAGCAAGATCATCAACATCGGATGCCGATGAAGACACACCTATGATTCCCACATATATCTCAATTAGTAAAGTGGCCTAACGTACTCTTCCTATTACTTATGTAACGATCGTGCCCATGGTGTTTCTAGAAGCCCTCACTACTGGCCCGCAATGAAAGCGCCGGGGCCAAAACACTCGGCGCTCAGCCTTGTATTCACCCAATCCAATTCGAGTCTAGAGTTTCGACATCGTGAGGCGTACTGATTTTCACGCTGCAGGTTTGTACACATGCCGGACTCAGGTTGTCTTCAGGCCTGTCATTCTACGCCCGTGGTATGCATGGATTTGCATGATCCATTTCGTATGATTTCTTCATGTACAACAGCCACATTACAGCAGTTTGCGAAACTAATGGCACTGGCGTGTTGTGGGAAAATCACGATTGAGATTTGGGACTTGATTTTTTTTTACCATTCTGTGTTACATAATGCCGCGTCACACGGAGATCTTCATTTTGTTCTTTGGTGATTTTACGAAGCTTTTTGAGGGAAACGCCCGCACGATGGAGCTCACGGTGGATGGTGGTGTAGTGGAGTGCAATGAAGCGGTTGCATAACATGAGTCGAGTGATCTCGTCGAGAAACCAATCTGGCCGGTGGTGGACCAGTTCCACGAGGTACTGAACATCCTCAAGATTCAGCTTCCTCGGACGACCTGTGAATTCACTCCGTGGTTTGACTACATCGCCGGTGTGCTGATAGAGCTTTCGGATGCGGAAGAATGTGCGTCTCGAGAAGCCGACGCAATCAAGGATTTCACGAAGACTAAGGATATCTTGCTCATACAGGCGAATGGCAGCGAGTTTGACGTCGGATGAGATCTTTCGGTTGACCATACTAGGTGTATTGTTGTCCGACGTGGTGCAATTGTTTGAATTTTTCTCTAAGTCTCAAAACGGTGAAAATTTTCAAAGTCCCAAATCCTCAATTATGATTTTCCCACAACATGCCAGTGCCATTATATACGCACACAGCTGTAATATTTATAGATCATTTCAGACGCTTTCTATTCAAAGCTGACAAGACCCGCTTGCTCGGTCAACATTCGACAAAACGAGGTGTTCTTGTGATTAACAACGTCCAGAATTACCTAAGGCATCATACCAAGAACACCTCTCAATACTGTTACTCACCGATTGGCATCGGTGGTGATGACTTGACGTGCGACAAGATAATCCAACTAAAGAAATAATGTAATACCACGGAGATGAGTTTCAGCGGTCCGAAATCCTCGAGCCAGTGCTTGATGGCTAATACCACCTGCATCCCCGCGAGACCGAGTAGGGCAAATTAAAGACAGGTAATTTTCATCTCAGCCCGCAATTATTTATTCAATTTTGCCCAGTAGTGCCCCACGTATGATGTTGCTCCAGAACTAGCTGAGCGGGCGAAGCGCCTCGAACGTTCGGAACGTTCTTGCAGCTCGCAATGTACGCATCTTATCAGTGAACAGGGTGATCAGCGGAGTTTTCATCCCAAGTTTATGCGCCGGTCGAAGCAGGTTCAGCGTCTTTCAGCTCGTTTGACTGAACCTTGACTTTGACAGTTGATTCACCCTAGAACCGGTGAGGCCAATATTATTTATGTGCTATAGCAAAAATATATCCCAGTCTCGCGTCACAAAATGCGCCATGGCCCATGGGATCCTGATGCTTATACATACTTACGACCGTGACCGTGACTCGACTGCCTACAGGTATAGGCCCATTGTTTCGATCCGAATTCGTCTACCTTAGCGGGCAGATCGAATCTTAGTACTTGGTACTCAGTTTTGATACCTGTCCACCTGTGACGTTATGAAAGGAGCACAATAAGGAGATAACAAGGACAGGCGCACCCTGTAACAGGGGTACCGACGGCAGCTATGATCTTCCGAGCGCGCAATGCTCAGGGAATCGGTTCGTGGAAAGACCGGCCCCCAGCTAGTCATGACAGGGCCATCATGTGCTACCGCCTTGAAGATCAGAAGGACTCATATGTTTAGTCTCCAGCGACAGGCACCTCGGCATGAAGGAGACGCTGGATAAATCGCAAACCAAGGAAGGAGGTACAGCCTATGCGATCCAAAACATATAAAAGCCTCCTTGCTGAGGCTCTAACTACAGAACTCAAGCTCTTCAATTCACATCCAATCTCAATCTCGACTAGTACACTTTGTGTTTAACAATGTCACGCCCCTTCACTAGAACTTTGACCTTCCAGTCGTGAGCGCCCTTATGCTATCAATTTGCGTAACTTTTCACCGACTCACCGTCGTCTCGCAGCAACGACCTCGGCAAGGAGGCGACGATCATGCTCGCTTTGATTAATGGCGATCTGCAAGGCCTCTATGAGGACTTCTTCCCCATAGTATGGAAGTAAGTGCGCTTACTTTTGACCTCGACGACTTTAAACCTTGCAAATTTTCAGGGTCAGCACATTTGGAAAGACGGGTGGGTGTTTCTATTATTTTGCTGCCGAGTTGCCAACTCACATGATCTCTCTTTCCAGGTGCATACAGGGCCCAAGCGACCTACACGAACCAGTGAGATGATCGACGAAAACGATGGTCACGACAGTCACTTATTTATTGTATAGGCTTGCTTTCTCCAAAGCTCAGGTCGTGAATGGGAACGTCATCAGCGCCGGAACCTGTGTCAAGATCAATGTGAGCGACTCTCATCTATTCTACAATTACTAGCACCAACGCAAGCCATGATTCAGGACGGAGAGAAAACAACCCTGACCCGGACCAACGATGTCTATCACTTCTCTGTAAGTCTGGCTTTCATTGATATTTATCTTGACCACTGACGAATACTATTTTGTGTAGTCCGCTCAGGCGGGAACGTCTGGTGTCCTGCAGGCCGTGAACAAAACTGGCGCGGTTCAAGATCTCGCAGTCGGTTTGTGACCATCGTTGTCTCCTCTTTTATCACCTGAGCTTATCCTCCATCTCCAGGCTTTCTGAACAAAGGAGACTTGATGCCCACTCCCGCACTCTACTTCAACGAAGTTGGGTAAGTCATCTTTTCTCTATTTCTCCTTCAGGGGCCTCACAGCACAAATGCAGAGATGAGAGTAGTGTGAAGGCACAGTTCACTCCGATCCTGCGTGTCTACGTCACGTCGGACTATCAAGAGACCGCAATCTTACGAGGTGCCATTGACACTCCCGCGATCTGGATGCAGGACCTCGCTGCGCTTTCCGAGAATACGACTTGGAACCTCAAGCGCGACGCGGCCACTGGACATTACACAATTGTCCAAGCTTGATCAGGAATGCGATATTGGTGCGCCTAAATATCTGTTCTGTGAGGTCTGCATTTCAATCGTCACTCTGCTTTCATAGCATCTGCCAATGACCTGACTTAGTTACTTGTCCGTCATGTATTTTATCAGAGTCAAGAGTTGTACCGTTTTCTATGAGGCTTTATCTATGCGTTTGAAACCTTACATTTTGTTGTGCATGCAAGATGTTGGCTTTGTGAAACTGTGGACCTATCGAAAATTGATGCCCTACCTGACAGAGGTTAGTAACGATACATACGGCGTCATGCGTGATTTTTAGATTACAGTCGTTGAACAACGGGCGGAGTTGTGATGCAAGGTCCTTCGTCTGAGATTTTGTGTTGCCAAGTTGATTACCAAGTTAGCGGTAGACAGGAGTTATAGTCCGAAACGATGCATCCAACCCCCATTTTCAGACTAGTTTTTCCTAACATAGACATCAGGTGAGGAGACGCACCGAGCCTGAAGTGCACATTCTAGGGCAAGTCATCACCTGGTGGCGATAACTATGACAGATCATTATGCTATAGGCCTACCCCTATAGACTATAGACTAACCCAATTGGCACCTCACGAAGTCGGAACTTTCACAAAACTTGTACTTCTAGCTACTTAAACACAAAATTCTTAACATGGATTTCATCTCATCATGAGGTCGAACGACCACGATTAGAGCAGAAAGTGAAAGTGCCGAAGTCACGCAGGAATGTGCCGTTACGGAGTTTCAATACTGCACACGCCAGCTTCGGAAATACCGACTTGGGCTGGATATTTTCATCATTCTGTGCTAATCTAGCTATCCACGTCCTATAATGCAGCATAATGATCCATCTGGCGGCCCATTGCATCATCATCGACTTACATAGACAACCTTAGCAGAAATGTCACCTGCTGATATGTGCCGTGACGGAGTTTCAAACTGCATACACCAACTTTGGAAGTGCCGACTGGTGTTGGGTGCAGTGCATTCGCAGATCTAGCAGCGGTAGACGAGGAAAGCTGCGAGCTTTGTCAGACACTAGTATCATGCCAGACACTGAGTAATCGACGTTTGGGAGTGCAGGAGCCTCGTCGGCATGCCCACGAGAGTCAGCAATTATTATCTGTTGCATAGGAGGAAACTGTTGCTGACTGGTGCAGCATCCATACAATATTAATGTACATGGTCTTCCTACACATCCACTCAATTTTATAACTACAGTTGCCCTCATACTTAGATATATCTACTAGTTAATACTCGTTCAAATATTCGAATATTCACGCTGAATTCTTGCTTGACTGCCGGTCTTTGAAATCGGCCTATGTGACATGTCGTGACTTATAGTGACATTTGCGTGACTGCCGACTTCTGTGGGGTGCCGATTGCAGTGGAAGGGATAGTACAATGTACATGGTCCGAGTGACCGAGTCTCACTACACCGGCATCCCCCTCGATTTTATAGCTAACTGAACTCGCGCTCATCCTTGACTAGTGACTGCCGAGCTCACTTTGAAACCGGCCATATATATGGACTCCTTACGGTGACATCTGCGTGACTGCCGACTTCTGTGGGTGCCGGTCGCACCGTTCCGGAAGGGACAGTACTTATGTTACTACTACTACAATCGTCCATGGGCCCCATGATGTGGGTTGGCCCGTACAGTATGGGTGATTGTTATATGTGGCTGGCTGTAAGGTACGGCCTATTTCACTGAATGAGCTCAGGTACCAAGGCACGAAAGTACGAGAAAGCTCATCAAAGAAAACTCGCAAACCATGGAAGGAGGTACAGCCTATGTCAAAGCATATATAAGACCTGACTACTGAGGCTCTAACTGCAGAACTCGAGCTCTTCGATCCACACTCAATCCTAACTACACTTTTCATTTAGCAATCTGAAACAATGGAACAGTCACACCTCTTCACCGAGATGGGGTGCCATCGACACCCCTGCTATCTGGTCGCAGGACCTCGCTGGGCTTGCCAAGAACACAATTTTGACGCTCAAACCCGATGCGGCCACGGGACGTTACACGATGGTCCAATCTTGATTAAGGAATGCGACATTGGTGCGCCTAACTATGTGTTCCATGAGGCCCGGATCTCAATGTTCTCTCTGTTTCCATAGTATTTTCATTCAAACCAATGGCCTCACTTAGTTGCCCATCTTTTTTAAGCTCACTCGTCTATGTAGTTTGCAAGAGCTGTACCGTTTTTATCTGTGTGTTTGAAATTTTTTGCTCTCGGGCCGTGCTGCGGCATGTCAAGATATGTGAAATTGTCAACTCGTAGACCTATCGAACATTAATGTTCCACTTGACAATGGTTAGTCACGATGCATACAGCGTCATGTGTGATTTCGAGATTGCAGTTGTTGAACAACGGTGATGCACTTGCAGGTCTATCGTCTGAAATTTTGTCACTGCTGCAAAGTTAATTACAAAAATAGGGGTTATTACTTAACAAGTGAACGTGTGATCAGTCAGGCCTAGTCTTGCTCATCGTTGATATTGAAAGACGTAAGGTATCGACCTGAAGTTCTGCTCTAGTCTACCGTGCATCTCATTCCACTTGATTGCAGTCGTGATGATGGAAACGGAGGGTACGGCTTTGGTCAACATGATACCAGTGAATAGGGGCGTCTTCCACAAGTCCTTCTCTTCTCCAGATGCCGATGTGATACTCGGTGCCAAAGATCATACCCTGTTCCGCATCCACTCATGGACGCTGAAGACGACATCGGGCTGGTTTCGATCCCTCTTTTCCATGCCTCAACAAAGCCTTCTTCCAAATCACCCTGAGACCATCAATCTAGATGAGGACTCACACACGCTAGAGAGTCTGCTACTTATGATCTGCGGTCTGCCGATCAATCCACTCGCATCATATGACGAGGTCGATGCATTATTATTCGCTGCGGAAAAATACGAAATGCCAGGGCCTGTCTCGCTCATACGCGTGTTTATCATGACGCCCCCGCTCTTGGACCAACCTCTCCGTCTTTATGCAGCTGCAACACGCTGTGGATGGGAAGAGGAGGCCAAACGTGCATCCACGCAGTCGCTCGCTCTTAACATCTACGCACCAGAACATCAACCCATCCTCCGAAAACTGCGCACAGGCGCCGTGCTTGACCTGGTAAACTTGCATCGCGATCGACGCGAGGGCATTCGGAAACGACTGGATGAGCAGCCGTTCGTGACGGGAAGCTCGATGGCATCTTGCCCGCGGTGCAGATGGAGAATTGATCATCATGCGTGGAGAGAGCTCAAGTATAAAGTGGTGATGGAGATGGACGTACGGCCACTAGGAGATACGGTCGTTGATGTGGGATTGATTGAATGGTCTGAGGCGATCGCATGTTGGGATGCCAAGTGCCCTAACAGCGAGTGCACGTGTGTGTTGTACGACAAGGTCGAGACTTTGCGTTTGATTCGGGACTGTATTGACAGCCTTCCTAAAACAACATGAAACGTAGTAACGCACTGATATCTTGATAAATAGGTTAGTCGAGCAAATATTACACGGCTAGATGCAACAAAACAACAACAATTTTGGTCAAATCGGAAATTGCCTTCATTCATGCTCGTCTACCATCGAGTCTCCAGTTATGCAGGTGCAAGTCTTGCAAGGGCAGCTGCACGCTGCCTGACCTCCTCTGCTTCGCTGTCAGAGAGCAGCAGTAGCAGCACACAGCCAGAGTCCATTTTTGCTGCCAAAGAATCTCCTTGGGACCATATATTGAGCGACTCAATAAATGATATACCACCTGTCCTCCCCTCCCCAGTCCGCAGTCCTTTACGCGCTGGCGGTGTAGAAACCTCAGGACGCACCCGCGCACGCAGACAAGCAATGACCGCGCGCGAAATCAGCGCCTTCGACGAAATGTTCAACATGATCTTCGACGCGGTCTCAGAGCAAAAGAACCCCTCCGCCAAACTCTCCTCCTCAAAACAAGACGACCCACTCGCTGTTCTCGGTGGAATAGGGCGCAAGCCATTTAGTCAAGCCCCAATGTCAGATTTATTCGGCAAACTCAGACGACACTCAAAACGGTTGAAATGGACGACGGAGGCGGATGAGGAATTTGACAAGAAGAAGGAGGAAATGGAACTTTGTGATACGGATCAGCAGCTGCTTGAATGGGCCATGCGCGAGGTGTTCGGGCAGTCTCAGAAGTACGAGGAACGTGCACGAAATGCTATTGCTAAAGCCGAGGAACAGCATGCTACAGGCCTCACCCCAAGCTCAAACGCAAGCGGAAGCGCAAATCCACCACCACAACTTACGTCTACGCACCTTGAACTCCAACACCCAACATATCCCTACCTGATCGCGCACCTCATGCGTTCTTTCCGCGACAAATACCGTGACCCTCACCTCGCTCTCTCCATCTTCGACTATGCGCGGCACCTAAGCATACCAAGCTATGTATTCGGGTGCACCACTCCCGCATACAACGAACTGCTAGAAACCCGCTGGTCGTGCTTCCGCGACCTCAGAGGCGTACACGACGCCCTCGAAGAAATGCGGGTCAACGGGGTCGAACCCGATGGCAGAACCAAGAAACTTGTCGAGAAACTAAGGCGCGAAGTGGGGGCGCGCACGGTTTGGGAAGAGGAATCTATGTTTGGGAGTGGGGAGGTTGTTGGGATGTTATCTAAGATCGAACAGCTTGCTATTAAGGAGCCCAGAGGGAAGCGGGGGAAAGGGTCGGGCAGGAAAGGGCCGGCTTTTGATGCGTGGAAGGGGGATGCGCTTAAGGAGGACGTGGAGGACGGGTATGAGTTCGGCCAGTGGGGTTCTCGCAAGCCGAGGCCAAGACGTCGGGAACGAGACTCAGAACGGACAGCTGTCACGGGGCTGGATGATTTGCTGGATGGCAAGATACCAGGTGAAGACCAGCTGGAATTCAAATAGCGTATTAACCTATACATTTTTTGTCGTAATTAATCAAGGAGAGGTAGGAGCTTGTGCTACTTTGATGAACGACAGTAGAGTTGGGAGATGATAGATGATAGCAGGTACACTTGCGAGGACTGAAGAAGAAATCTGTATGTACGTGAATGCAATTCCAAGTTGGATGGTGGGTATAGAAAAAGATGGTGGATATACGATAGCATGGTAGGTATGATCACTTTCTGTTGCGAGATTTAGAAACGCGAGGTTGTGGGGGTGATGGTAGGCTGGCACCAAGGCCATGGACGGGAACATAATCCGCGTCAATTTGATCGCACTTGAGATGCATCAAAAGATTATAAACAAACACTTGTTCATACCTGCGAAGACATCAATATATATCGACAAGGACATCATCGAAACGCGCACTGAGCATTTGTGAACACAACAGTCATAGATTCTGAATTACACCTCAGCAAGTTTGGCGCCATCACCAACGCCAGATTCGCCGACGTCATTTTCGTTGCCGTCTGCACCTTCTCCTCCAAAAAGAACTGCAAGAAGCTGATCAGGAAAATAACGACTCGTCTGTTTATCGTGGGCAGACGCCTAACGAGCTGTATGCACATTTCAGGCTCGCGAGAATGCGTGATGCAGTCGTTGTACATCTCTTCAGGTACCAGTGGATCGGATAACTCACGCAACCAGAGTTTGAGCAACGAAGCTAGGACATGCGGATCATCAACGCTGTCAAGCGTGTAGTAGCCCCTATCAATGCGCAACTTCAGTTCCGACACGGAGTCGCTATCCCCAGCGACGCGGAAAATGCCCTCCGCTTTCATGCCCCCAAGAGCAAGGATCCCATCTGCGAGGAATGGGAGAATAATAGGGATCTTCTCGTGTGGGTAGTTGCGCTCCTGCAGGCGCATCGTCGCGTCCAGCGATTCTCCGAATGTGGATGGATTGAAGGCGGCATCTGACGCGGTCTCGATCTCTGCCATCGTCGGAGGCTTTCCACGTGGTCCTTTCTTCGAGATCGCAACTAGACGGCGGAGACAGTGCTTGGCTATCACGTCAACCCTGCCCTCTTGCTGAGTCGTCCGCTGTTGCATAAAGGAACGCAGGTAGGTTTCGAAGTTCTTCGAGGGTGGGAAAGCAGTGAGGAGTACGCAGAGCATCTGCCAGCCTTTGAAGACGCTTTCTCTGAAACATTTGTAAGACGGCTAGAGATCAGATGTAGACGGACAGCATACGTATTGGGATTCCCATTGAGCTGCTTCATCAACTGACAATATATCTCATCTCTCAGCTCGCCATGCGCCAAACCTTCTCCAAGTAACCATCGCTCTTCCTCCAGTAGACCGACGGTGCTTCCTGTAAGGGAATGCACAGAGCCATTATGAACGGGTATACCGGCCGATTTCTCACGCTCGCGGTCGCCCATGATGTGTTGGATGACTTTGAAAATCCGGACTGCATCGTTCTTCAGCGAGCGATTCAATGTGAGAAGTGGCGAGCTGAGGGGCGCCTGGATGTATGTTAGCTAGCGCAAGGACTAGAGATGGGTACCCGCCTTCTGCCATGTCATCATTTGTGCAACGGGAACCTTGCGCCTGAAGATGAAGCCTGTACGATGTGTAGAGAAATATTGTCTTGCGTAGTCTGATTCGACGAATTGTTGGATGTCTGATGCGAGGTCATGAGGAAGGACGGGATATGTGCTAAGAGAAAGTATGAGACGCTATCAATACATGCATGCGACGTGCTTACCCGGATGCTAAAGTAGTAGTAGGGGCAGAGTGAGTAGGTTGCCTAGCGATTGGAATTGGTTTTCCTCCTGTGGGGTTCTTGACGGCGCTCATGTTCTTGGTTGCCTCTGGACGCAGGCTATCAGCCGAGAAAGAATCGGTAGTGAAAAGTTGTACCTTTGTTGAGAACAGGACTACTGATAGCCTTACCAAGTACTGTGGGCGGCGTTGAGGTACTGCGTGCCATCCAAAAACTGTTGCTCGCAGCTAGTTTTGGAGTTTGAGGAACTTCTCGTTTCTCATTCACTTGCTCTTTGGGAGGATGGCTCGTGCTTGGCCGTGGTTTATCCATGGCCGGTGGGGATGACGGTGATAGCCCATGACCAGTGTCAGAAGCAGCCCGTCGCTCAGACAACGACAGCATCTCCACAGCAGCGTTGAGACTTTGTGGGATGGGAGATCGATGTGGTACATAAGAGGATGATTTTGCCCGCGATCGCGATGGTGAGGTGTCATCGATATCTGAGACTGGACGTCTGTCTTTCTCTTTGTGGCGACTCGATCGTGTACTTCCGCTCGCTGCGACCTTGGCAGGTGGCGTTGATAATGATTTTCGTGAGGATGGTGTAGAAGGTTCCGTTGTGTACGGGGATGCGGGTATAGGGGGTAGATGGTGTCCATTTGACCATCCATGATGGGAGCTTGGGTGGCCATATTGGTCTGTGGTGAATGAACGCCTTACGGTAGGAGATTTCTTGGCCGGGCTAGCCCCAGAAGCTGATATCCTTCCTGGAGAACTCCGCGTGGATGATAATGAGTGTCGGGGCAACGGGGGCTCTACGTTGGAACGGAGTGACACAGGGCGCGCATCTTTTGTGCTTGCCTGTGATCGAGTCCGAGTTCGACAGGGAGGCCGACCTGGCGCTATAGTAGATTCCTGCCCTTCAGAAATCGTTTTGCGCATGCCATTCTGCGATAGGCGACGACCCAGGGCGGTTTGCTGCAGAAAGAGGCATGAGCTACTCTTATAAGAAAGATCGGACGTGAATGTATCACTTGAATGACAGTCAGGGGAATGACAAAACTATCTGGACGTTCCCAGACTGTCTCCCCTGTCTTGGTTTGGTAATAGTATGGGATTCCACCACGGGAGTCATCGCTGAGCTCCCACCACTCTCCCTCCGTACTCGGAGGCAAACTGCACAGACACAAGCCGTAAGAACATAGATCTTAATATTTGAAATTATGATACCACGCACACAAACGTACCAGCTGGTGGATCCCAGCTCACTTGTCCAGTGGCAGGGCACGCGAAGAATACAGTGCTAGTCTTGTAAAGTACGTTCTAAACATTAAACCATGTTGATGATCGAGAGATGAATACCTGCGGATCTACTAAAGTCACCCAAAAATTGGAGCCCCATCTCGCATCCTCTGCATCTACACGGCCAAAACTTGCTGACGGACGGGGACTGCTGACGGGCTCGCCATTGACGTTTACTTTGGGTATGGCAGAAGCATCCGTGGTATTTCCATTGGTCTTTGCGTCTAGATCGGCTGCAGGGGGTGCCTGTGACCCAGGGACTATCTGAGCGTCTGATGGCGGAGAAAGCGGTTTCAAATCAGCCGTTGTCTCGTCCACAGCAACAGCCATGTCCAACTTTTGACGATTCAAAAAAGTGGATGAGCTGGAGATTTCCCAGGCGCCAAGGTGACAATAATCCCGATGGACGTAAGGAGCCCGACAACGACGACGACGAAAATTGGGTGATTTATCAAATCAAAAAACTATGAGGAGACAATCAAAAACCAGGAAGTCAAAAGAGAAAAAAATTGAAGGTAGACGGTTCCGACAACGATAGTTAACCCCTTGCAAGGCCGTAATCGATCCTCCCGAATTCGGAAAACGTATATAGGTCAATATAAGTTGTAACGCTTCATTTACGTTGCTGTAACCAACGCTAACCACTTACTTCATCCCATCAATAAATGTGAGTCGCCTTGTATCCTAGTCTAACCTAGCGTGATTCCTTTGCTTTCTCCACAAAGCTCTTCAACGTCGCTATGTCCTCCTGATCACCCGCTATCGACTTTTCAATCCGCTCATATACCTTCGCTATGCCCCGGTAGACGTCCCCCTCGCTCCCACCAACAAAGCCAGCAATTTCTTCCATCTCTCCAATCCATCTGTACGCTTTCGGCAGCATGGGTGGTACAGTCTTAACTAGACGGTCCAACAAAATAGGCTGCGACATCTGTAGCTCTCTCATGAGAGCATCTGCGGTTGCAGGCGACGACGCATGAGCCGCTGCCTTGCGTCAATCACCCGTTTCCTTCACAAGAAGATAAAAATCACCTAGCACCATCGTGGTGTACAATCCTGTTGTTCCCTTTGTTATTCCCTGTTAAACGTGTTTTAGTAACGTACAACTTGTTCGTCTGCCTCTTTTACTCACAGCATACGACATCTTGAGTGCGCTAGCGTCTCCCACCCCCACGCCTTCTCCTTTCAGAGGAGATACTTTCAAACCATACTTGGATAATGTAGTGAATTCATCCAAAATTCTCATATCCTCCGCTGACGCGTAGAATGTAGGATTGTAGTCACCTTTCGGGGGCCCTCCAATAATGCCAGCATCAACAAACCCGATGCTTGTCCCTGCAAAAAGTGCCGCGATACGTTTTACCGTTTCCGGGTTGACAGCATTGCAGTCAACAAACGTCCGTGGGGAGAGTAGTGCGCTCCCGTGTTTTGCAGCAACTTTCTGTATCTTTTCGGCAAACGATACGGCATCTCTTGGCGGCAAAATGCTCAGAATCCAGTCCGACTTGAGCACAAGGTCGTCGACAGAGAGGTCAATCATTCCTGCATCTTGTGCTCGCTTTCGCGTGGCTTCAGAACGACCGTTGAGGTTGGTGTAGACTGTGCAGCCGAAGCTGGTCAGGCGTTTTGCCACGGCAGCGCCCATGGCCCCGGCAGCGACAACTGCCAGACGCGGTATTACGGACGACATGGTGGTTCAATGCAATCTCATATCTCACGAAGATACCAATAACAGCTGGCTCTATATTTAAAGTCATCGAACGGCTATTTCTGGAACAGGTCGGAGCAGATCCGCTACTCTGCAGTTCATGTAAGCAACTCACCTCGATGAATCAATAGTTCATGCATGTCAACTATATCACACATTTGTAATGGCGTCGATACAGTCTTTGGCAGGCATGTAAGATCACATGGTTGCTACCATCGCGCTGTCACTCTTAACCTTGGCTCTACAGGCACAAGACTTGTATACACGGCTATGGACACGAGTGTCAGAAAAGATTCTTGCTTGATTATTGACATTCGCTCTCTACGCTTAGGAACACATTTCCATTTTCTTGGTGTTGCTTTGGTAACACAATTGTGGGGATAGCCCTCTACACATTCGCCGGTTGCTGTCGGCCCAGTCTGCCTGAGTGGTCGCAAGCAATGGGTAGAAGTTCTAATTGAACAACCGTTCAAACTACAGATAGTAGGGAAGGTCCATTACTTGCGTTACACTCACTATTGCCCCAGACTGTTCCCGACTCGAACGTCGCTTACAGCGGGTACCTAACCCCTGGACTTCTGAACTCCCCACCAAGATTTTGCCTTGCTGCCAGTTGTGGTGCCCATTTTGCTTTCCTTTAGCAAATTGATGTTCATTTTCGCTGTTGTATTTTCATTAGAATCTCGTTGGCTTTATCCGCCCAATGCCTTTGGTAATCGAGGTCACCCTAAGTTACAGGTAGTATCTACAGCGCACCTAGGTTATTTATGTGGCGCGAAAGTGCGTGAATAAACTAGATGGGATCAGCATTTAATGTGGCTACAAGAGACGAACGCATGTCCGAAAGAACCGCGCAAAGGATGATATGCAAAGCACTGGAATGTGACAGTACAGTGCATGTATGACGCCATCTCGAATTGAGCGCATGAAAATAAGATGTTATCTTGTCCCAGATGTGCCAGAGTGCCGGATGCGGCTCTCGACAGAGGTAGTATCGGCGGGAGGAAGGCAGATTTGGCAACTCGAGGCGTGAATTGCAAGGGTCTGCTGTAACCCACACAGATAAAGTGCCGTAGCAAAAATATCGCAGTGATACATTGAGTAATACAAGGGGTCATAAAAAACTGGGTGTGGGGGTATTTCGTGTGCAACATCTTGGGGTGAACCCAGTCATCAAGATTAAGCATGCGCGGGTGCAAGAATTCTAAGCTCTTGCGCAAAAACGGCTACATAATTGCGAGAGATCTGAGGAAACGATGAGCAAAAAAAGTAAACCTGACAACTACAGGAGACGACTTACAACAGGGAGAGGCAGAGGCAGAAAGGAAGACGGGGAGAGAACAACAAGATATGGCTTAAATGCAACAAAAAATCAAAACTAAAAAGATCAACGAAGGAGGGCTAACCTTGTCAGGAAAAGGAAATTATTTCAGGCGCACTCAGATCAGTCTGGAGGCTCTCTTCGGTGGAGTTGCGGTACTATATGTGCTCACCACGCGGTCTCGTATCTGTTCTCGAATGAACCAACCACCTATATGGATTGCATTCGAACTGCGTCCTCTCATCATCAGGTATGTACGTACTCTGGTCTAGACCAAGTCACGGTGATAAACATATCTCCCTAGCCATCACCTGTAATGCAGAAAATCGGGAGTAGAATAACGAGATCGCTCTCTGAAACCAAACATCAGTTTGCCTTGCCACCAGGTCAGGGTGGGAGATCTGGGGCGGAGTCTACGGCGGCCACTACTCGAGTATCGCATTAAGTATCATCCTGTTTAGGATAATAGACTGGGAGCAATGCATCCTTTTAGACGCTGTCGCCTGTTATCAGTGCCCTCACGACATGAATGACCTGATCGATCAAGCTGGGAAAGACGTGAAGCCCAAAGCAGAGTTCCTAGTTCTTGCTGAAGAACTTCACTCCTACATTCTAAGCTTCCTTCCTTGGCAAGATATTCTTCGTTGTACATCTGTGAGCCTCCAATTTACTGTCGACGTTGAACCCCATAGATTGATTTTAATGTCTTGCTGGCAGGTATGCAAGGCCCTTCGCCAGATATACGTATCATCTTCCGAGCTTCAGTACATCGTAGAACTCGGTGGCCAACGACTACTGCCAGTTCCCATCGCGGATCTCGGCAACCACACTTCTGTTTCTCAGCACCTACAACTCCTGAGGGACAAAGCCCACGCATGGTTCCAGTTTGACCTCCATGCCTACTCTTTCCAAACATTCTCTATGCAAGAACAATTTTATGAAGTGGGAACATCCCTCGCTGATGGACATCTCTGTATATGGTCACGATACCACGAAACTGAAGACTCGGGAAACTGGGCCAAGATCGTTCCAATACTACCAAAGCCCTCTCAGCAAACAATCGAGCGGTATTGGCCTCCAGGATCGCTTTGTTCAATTCCCAATGCATACATTGTCGATGTGTACATGGACCCAGCACAAAACCTGATCGCTATCGCGTATGCTGTTAATAATGATACGCTCCAGGAGGGAAGATTCTACGTTGAACTTAGAACCCTGGATGGAGATGATATCCACCCTCAAGCTGCTGGACAGACGCTGTTTCTCTCGGTGCTTACCGCACAAGCCAGCCATGACTGGTTCACGATAACGGAGGTTCTGAAGCTCAGGGTTTTTGGGAGGCATCTCGCTCTCCAGTGTTCCCCGGTGTTCGACGATCCGGTCAGCACTACATCTCGGGTCATCTGGTGGTTGCAACTTTGGGATTGGCAACACTCGACAACGTCCAATGTGAGCTGGCATTGTCAAAAATACTAGTGCAAGACTTGAACTTGATTTACGTAGTGCAACCTCAGTGACACAATGACACATTTCCGAGAGTCAATCGATTTTTGCTTTGTCGGAAACGATAGGTTGTTGATGGCCAGCGATGATCTGAAGCTCTATTCGATCGAGGATATGTCCCGGGAACCCCAATTGTTGGCATGCTACTTGTTACCCTTTCCAGTGGCGAGCATGTGGTGCCACCTACCCATCAACGATATTGCGCACGGCTCACAGATGCAGATGCAAGCCCAACAAACGATGTGGACCTCAGACCCTGAACATCGACTGTTATGTTATTCCACGTTCCGTCCGAGTCTCGTCTTCGCCATTTCTACCCAGATTTTCTTCGATCTCGACACAAAGCGCGTTGGTGAAAAGGCAGTGACGGTACCATGGCAAAATTGGGGCCCTACAAATACTCGCGTGTTTCCGGACTCGTGGAAAGTTTGGGTCAGCGGGAATCGAGTTTTACAGGCATTCCCTACAGGCACCAGGTCCCAGTATAGATTGCATATGATGGACTTCAGTCCGTTGGCTGTTGAGCGTCGGCAGGGTCTAGGACGAGTGGTGAGAGAGCCGTCTGCTACAGAGATCCATAAGCAGGGGAAGACGTTAATAACCTCTCTGCCTTATGTCGAGGTCGTGTCCGACATAGTCTTCGATGCTGTCGAATTAATTGGGGTGTGGGTCGATAGGGATAGAATTTATTTAGCCAAGATGATGGATCCGCCGGAGGACAACGTAGGTTTCTCCAAGAAGTCTGCCATACTGATACTGATTTCATTCAGCCTGGGGATCTAAGAATGGAACAACTCAAAGTCATCGAGATGTCAATCGCAGACCACTCGTGATTGTGGTCTAGGCGTCCCCGAGCCTGTGTTTGACTGGGCAACCCAAATAGAAAGAAGGCGTTGGCAGTCGAAAGTACTTTCCACGGTATAGTTGGTCGTTATGATGCTTTCAGGTATGACCTGTACTTCATTTTTTGGAAGCATGTTGCATATAAATAATGTTATTGGCAGAAGCTAAGGACATCTCGTGTACAAAATATCAATATCTAGGGTAATTGAGAAGTTGATCGTAGACACCAGCATTAGGTGTAAGTTCTCTGGTCCGGACTAACCAATCCCATCTCCCTCGCCATGATCTGTAACGCAAGGAACTGAGAGTAGAACCGTGCTGAAAAAAGATCGCCCTCTGCAAACCAGAGTCCATCATCTGGAGCAGAACGTTAGCATTCCCGAGTCGCGCAATCAAATCAACGGAATACTGACGTCCAGTCGGCCTCCAAATACCTGCGAGCTCACATTCACTATCCCATCCTCCAAGGTCATGGACGGCATCCGCGACCTGGGGCCCAAAAAGGCCCTCGGCGACTTGTTTAATCGTAGTGTTTGAGTACCTGTAAATAATGCGTCAGAAGTGCGCAATCACACGGATAGATGTTTGAAAGATATACCCTGTTGCAAAGATGACAAGGTCGGCCATCACTCGCGAACCATCGTCGAACACCATCCCGGTAGGGGAGAAGTGGGAGATCTCATGCCCGGACTTGACAGTGATCTGCTTGCTAGTAAGCAGTGTGCGTGGGGAAACTCGGTGAAAGTGATAATACCTTGCCAGACGTGATGAGCTTTGCACAACCCCGGTCGATGTAATAGCCACCTGGGGTGTCGGTGAGAAAAATAGAACCGTACAGAATAAACAAACACACCTCGTCGAACGGAGAGACGGTGCAAGAAATTGTCCTCAGGGCCGGGAAGGAGATAACCATTCCGGGACAAATTCTCCCTGAGGTCCCTAAGGGAAAAGGGTAAGATGAAGAAATTGTTTCAGATCTTGCCAACTAACTGGTCGATATGTGCATACATCTCCATACTATCATACTGGAAATTTCGTACAGTTGATAAGGGGAGGGCGACATAGAAGCGGTCGGCAATCTCTGTCGGAGGAACGTCCTGCCCGACATATCCTACGAGTCAAGTCAATGGAGATCTCCGCAGTAAATACACTGAGATTACCGGTAAGCATGCGGTCGATCGTCTGGCGACTCACAACGGCGGTCGGGGAACGTTGGACAAGCATTGTTTGAGATCCGTGATTCGCCATGTCCTGAGCAATATCGTGAGCAGAGCATCCTCCGCCCACGACGATGACTTTCTGCGCGCCGACGCAGGAAGAGGACCTGTATTCGCTTGAATGGATAATAGAACCAAGAAAGGAGTTCTGCACGTAGAGAGTCAGCGTCGACAAAGAATCGAGTCGTACTTGCGTACTTTTCCTGGAATCGAAGGCGTAAACGAGAGTGCACCTCCCACTGTACTAATGCCTGTGGCGCCAATCAGATGCCGAGCTGTCACGGTAATATAGATTTTCCCAGAAACAGATATAGACAATGTCCAGGTACTCGATGAAGCGTCGTATGAAGCAGCAGAAATGTGCGCCGAGGTCAACACATGAAGACCAAGAGTCCTTTGGTAATTTTCAAGATAGTCAGCAACGTCTCTGCAGGGGATATATTTTCCGCATCCCTCTGGAAATGCGACGAAAGGAAGATGATCTGTTGGCACATTAGCATAGTACGAGGTCGGCTGTTCTTTGGCAGCACGTACTGAACGCCTTGGGAGTATTTGTCTCCAGAGACTCGTATCGAGAACGCCAACTATCGCCAACTGCGCCAGATCTCTCCAGGACAAGTGTAGAGATGCCGAGATTCTCCAAACGGGCGGCCACGGATAAGCCGCACTGACCTGCACCTACGACGACAGCTGTGTAATCCATTATACTGTTCCACTCAGCGGAACGACAGAGAGGCGTATGTACACCAAAACGGTCGATCACACCGGATAATCGATCCATCATGGTCACAAAGGACCAAGCCTTCCATGAGGAATCTTCGCTTTGAGTCAGAGTGAAGACTCCAGTGCACTGCGCTATGACCGTATGAAATTGTATAATTCCTTGGATGAACAGTCTTGTAGGACCAACACGCCGATGACGAACACCTGGCAAGAGTCGGAACCGATTTGGCCGCGCAACAGCGACGGGAACTGAGAAAAATTGCTGAATTTTTGGAAGTGCGTGCAAGGTGCGAAAATCAGGAGTGAATGCCAAGAGATCTCGCCAGTAGCTATCGTTCGTGAACGAATTCTGGAGAGTAAAACTGGGGCTGGATAGGTCACAAATCAATGCAGAAAGCCACGCAGATGAGATTGCCTCTGATATACAACAATCAGTGAACCTAGTTTGACTTTGAAAGGCAGGCTTACCTGCAGATAATGGAGCAGAGAAGGTTTCTACGCAAGACATATCTGCTGAATGTCTTCTCTCAGTATTGCAACTGGATATGTGGTTTGAGACTAAGTATATGCGTCCCTCAGGCTCTGATTTATAGGTCGGTAGCACAGGATGGCTCCTGACTTGCTAGACAGCCGGGTTCCTCACGAACCCATTCCCTGAAGGTTGTGCACTCGGAAGTTCGTAGCTGCCGTTGGTAGTCCTGTTCCGGGGCGCGCCTATCCTTTATACCTTCCTATTGTACTCCTCTCATAACGTCACAGGTATACGCAAATATGAGCCCATAGGCCATGGCGCATTTTGTGACGCGCGACCACGATATCTTTTTGCTATAGCACATAAATAGTACTGGCCCCGCCTATTTTAGGATGGATAAACTGTCAAAGTCAAAGTTCAGTCAAACACGCTTAAAGACGTTGAACCTGCTTCGGCCGGTACATGAACTTGGGGTGCAAGCTCCGCTGATCACCCGGCCCACTGATGGGCTGCGTACATTGTAAGTTGTCGAAACGTTCTGATCGTTCAAGGCGCTCGGCTGGTTCTAGAGCAATATCCCATATACAGGACATCGCTGGACAAAATTAAATAAATAACTGCGGGGTGAAGATGAAAGTGACCCATCTTTAACTTGCCTTACTCGACCTCGCGGGGACGTAAGCGGTAAGGCATTAGCCAACATAAATATGGCAAGCACTGGCTCGAAGATTTCGAACCCCTGAAACTCGTCTCCGTGATATTGCGATATTTCTTTGTTGGATGATTTTCTCGCACGTCAAGCTATCACCACTGATGAGTAACAATTGTTTCTCAACCTCCTCAACTGACTGGCCTATTTGCCCCCAAAAGTCCACAAGGGCATCACTTAACTCCGTCATCACAGCTTCGTTCTTGCTGCTGCGAGCGGGTAGATTTTATTGGGCCGAATGGAAGCTGTTCGGAACTTGGCACCTCGTGTGCAGAAGAGTATTCCTAGTATGACAAGAGCTGTAGAACATATATCGTAAGTACCTGGAAGCCAGTGCAGTATGAGCACCGCATCGAGGTGGACTGTTTGATGGCATCAAGGAAGTCTTGCAGTCATCTGCTTGTTCTCATCCAAGAGAGGGCTCTTGGCAGACATGTCAAAGGCAAGAACGATGATCAATATGGACTGATGTAAGTACTGGCAAGACCAAGCGTCCAATGCAAGAGACACGTCGCCTTAGGTAATTCTGGATGTTGTTAATACAAAGTTCAACCATTCAACGTTGTAACTGCTTAACGTTAGGGGCGCTCACTTGTCAAGGGATGCTCAATTCTAAATCTCGTTACCGTTTGCTGTAGTGACAAAGTTCAAACACAGGTACAGCATTGATTGCCGATGCTTGCGTACTCGTACTAATCCTTATTTGGGACCGGTCGGGCTCTCCAGCTGCTTGACCGGAAACTCAACACTGCGTTAGTCAACCTTAATTTCAAAGTCCGTTCGGGAAGGCCCGACTTCAACAAAAAACTTTATGAATCATAATACGCTTGTAGCGCGGGAAATTATCCATCTTAGGGTTGACAGCTCTGACGTGCGGGATGGGAGAGAAGATATATCATAGGTCAATATATTTGTTCTGGGGAGACTACAAAGAGTGAAGACTGGGTACTAAGTGAGTGGGCGAACAGTGTGCAGCACTTCTGGCCCCAATCGAAGATCTGCCTAGGAGAAAACAGGTGAGCTGTGAATCCCTGACAGGTTAGGAGTCCATTATAACACATTGCAGTGAAGCTGCAGAAAAACCCAACAAGGTAGGAGGAAGGGGGTACTCACGGGCAGTGGACTTCAGTGAGTTCTGGGCATGGAGACTCAAATGAATTCTTTGTGAATGGCAGGAATGGCTTGCATATATGGTGCCATGATTTGGGCATGCTTCCACAGGTATGACTGGAAGGTGTCACTGGCCCAATGACCCTTCATCTTGACGACCTCAAATGGAACATTTTGAAGCAAATATTCGAGAGTGGAACCAATGCGGATGCTGTGTCCCTGGAGAGGATCTGTTCCTGCCACTCTAGCTGCTTCTGCTAAGCAGGATATGAACTTCTGCTTAGTGAGAGGTCTGTGACCCTTCTTGTGATGGTAGGTGAATAGCATGGAACCAGGAGGGGGTGCATTGACTACCAGATGGTTGAGAAATGCTTCTTCTGGGTCTGAGGGTCCGTTCTGCTTGGCAAACGAGACATCTTCACTGTTCCTCAAAGTTTTTGTTCAGGGAACGTGAATTACCCTCATCTCAAGATTGTTGTGGTCACGCTTGATGTGCACATCTGAAAGTTTGGTGTGAATGTCAGGGTCAAAGGACAGAAGGGTGGGCACCGTGAATTCTCCAACTCTAGCTGTGCAATAAAAGGCTGCTGTCAAACAGCTGTATACTGATGCATTGAGTGGGGATTCGAGTTTGAGCTGGTCATGGAGTGAACATATGAAGTCGATGGTGTATGGGCACCTCTTTTTTCGCCTTGAGGAGCCAGGTGTTATGTTGTCCACCACTTTGAGGAGGGAGTCAATCTGCTCATCATTGAGAGCCCACTGGTGACCATGTAGGATATGCCAGGCATGGACAGCAAAGACATAATTTGCTATTGTTTTGCCTGAGTATGATCCTGCCGCAAATGTGATGAAAGTGGCAATGAGAATGGAATCAGCAGGAGCACGATCTTGATCAGGGATTGAATGTGAGTCACAATATATGTGAAACACAAGAAGGCCAGAGCTGTATGACTCACAGGTGCTTTTGGCCCAGGCATGGATCATGACATCTTGGATCCTGTTCATGTCACTAGATGTGAGGGAGCTGGGGGGGAGCCTGGATGTGGCTGGTAGCCATAATCAGAGCCGATCTTTTGCTGCACAGTGTGGACGTAATGCTGATGGGATTGGAGTAAGGTCAACAGGATAGGTATGCTTCTGCTGTTTTGATGAGTTGCTCCCCTTGGTGTTTGAGTTGCCAGTTAGTGAAGGCATGCTTGGTGAGCTCTGGTTGGGTATGGGCTTTGGCATGGTCATGAACCAAGATCTGGGTGTGGGGTTTGCAGATCTTGTTTGGGTGTAAAGGAGCATCAAAGTCAACAAGGAAGTTCCTGAGAGAGGAATGGATAGGAATGGGGGGCAAAAGTAAGGAGCGTGGAGGGTACTTTCCACAGGAGGCTCCATCAGCAGGGTTAAGGGCACTAGGTACATAGTGGGTGAGGACTGATGATGATGCGGATTCTGCAATGCTGTGGATGCGTTTGAAGATGCTATTGGTCACGCAGTTGCGACTATGCCCTTTCCACCAGCCTTCAACAACCCCTTGGTTGTCTCTGTAAACCTTGAAATAAGGTATTGGTTTGGGTTTGGGAGTGTATGTGATGGTGAGGACAAGAAACTCAAAACTGATGGCTTCAGCCCATCCAATGTCACGATCATCATTTTTCCAGCCAGGAATGAGTCTCCATGCCCTCCACCAGCCATCAATCCAAATTGCGACTCCCATGCCTGAGCTAGCATCTGAGAAGGTGTTGGGATCGACGACTTCGCATGGCCCTGGGATGGATCTGCAGATGGTAGGTTTGCGGAGGGTTGCAGTCCACCATCTGAGATCTGTGGGACAGTCCTTGGGAGGGGAATGAGGTACAAGCGGACGATTACCAAAGATAGGAAGCATGGCTTCCAACTCAGTGAGGTAGGCTCTTCCAGCAGGAACAATGAGTGCAGCGTGCAAGAGCTTGCCATAGAGTTTTTGGACTTCAGCGAGGGTGTGGCATGGCTGGGCCTCCCAGGTTGAGATTGCCGCCAAGTACTTCTCCTTTTTCCTGGCCACAAGTTCAACTGTGTGGGAGTCCAGGTGCCATACAAAACCTGTGAATGGTGGCTTGGAGCTGAAAGGAACATCTTTTGATGGTTCCCATGGCATTCCAGTCTGTGTGGAGAAGAAATTGATGTTGTCCAAGCAACATGAAAATAGGGCATCTTGGGGAGACTGTGGTGCTCATTGGGAGAAGTCACAGATGGGGAATGAGCAATCCTCATCAAATTCTTCCACTTGCTCGTCTGGGAATGAGGTTCCTCAATACCATTTCCTCCTGCCATTAATGCGAAGTCCACCAGAGGCCTGTATGCCCTGAGCCCAAGACATTCTCTGCTTGTTGTACCTGTCCAGGTACTTGAGGATAATTCAAAAGAAAAGGTGGTCGTCAACCCACTTTGAAAGCGGGCCAATTCCTTCACTGCACAGAATGTCTGTGCCTGCATCAGCAAGTCCACCATATGACCCTGCTGCTGATGAGCACCCAAAACAGAAACTGGTGTCGATTGCGAACTCATCTTCTCCCATGTGGACCACAAGGCCTGGGTATTGGGAAGGGTGGAGGGGGATGGTTCTATAAGCTTCTGCAACATCTTGTGTTGCTCCTTCAGAGCCAGGAGGGAGTCTCCAGACCAATAATGAAATAGTGGCAAATGTACCATATGTACAAGGGTAGATGTTAGAGTCAATGCATGAATTAATGGATTGGATGTGTTGCAAAGGAGAACTTGCTTCGTGTGATAGGTTTTGGATGAGGTAGAATTTTCCTGGTTTCCCCAGTTTGGGGATAAGAGAAAGTGGAGAGGTTTGGAAAGGGCCGATGATTGACTCCAAGTTTGCTTTGGAGAGCAAGCCCAGGTAGTTGCTGGTCTTAAATTCTCAAGCAAGGATTGTGGCAAAGGCGTCAGTGTGTTGGATGATGGAAGGGTTATTAGGTGGGGTGTATGTATTTGTAATGATGGGGATACTACCAAAGAAGCCATATTGTAATGAGTGTGGTATATGTGGATATTTAAGTATAAGATGAGATTTTGTAAGGATGTGAAGCCAAGTATCAGGTTTATATGGGGTGAGGGCCTTAAGCCTCCTGTCCTTGAGGACAGTTTTGAGCTCCATGATCTGCATTCCCGCATCCAGAACATTCGTGTATGTGGTCTTTGCTGGTGCTTGAACAACTGTTGGGGCACTGCCAATCGTAACACAACTGCAGGCCTTGGGCGTTGATGAGACAGCCCTTGGCATTTTGACGACAGGAAGTGGGAGTTTTGCTGTCCCATAAGAACTCGCTCTTGCACTTGTGTACATTGTGTGCAAAGCAGCCAAGGCAGAGAGCACAAGCATAGTGGCCATTGGATGCTGCACTGACCTGAAAAAATTGCCTGTCTTGGGCAGGTTTTCTTTCATCTTGCCGAGTGCACTGCCAGTTCGGAGAAGAAGGATGGGGGGGAAGATGACTGGAGGAATTGCATGGTGGGGAACGAGAATGAGATCTAGCATGCTGCAACCCATTGTGATTTTGATTGCGGTGCAAGGTAGGTTGGTCCCAGTTTGGGTTTTGCTGCATTTGATGGGCGAGCTGAAACTGGAGGTATGGGAAGTGGGGAAAGGGCCATTGGTGATGGGAGTGGAAATGGAGGCAGCAATGGCAGCAAAGCAGAAGCAGAGAGGAAGCATGTAGTGGAAGTGGAGAGGAAGCATGTAGCAGAAGCAGAGAGGAAGTGTGTAGTGGAAGCAGAGAGGAAGCATGTAGCAGAAGCAGAGAGGTAGCATGTAGCGGGAGCAGAGAGGAAGCATGTAGTGGAAGCAGGAGATGGCAGCAATTGTCGCATTTTTTAACATAAGCGTGAGAGGGAGCGGGTGACAAGTCAGTACTAAAAGCTTCTTGCAAAATGTTTGAAGTGTACTGACCTCAGTGAGGCTCTCAAGCCGTGCTTTATTCCAGATTTCCTCAGTCATGTTCTTCAGTAACAGCAGATTGAATACACTGATGTCAAACACATTGTCTAGAACAAGGAGATCGTGCCAGTCTCAACACACATGAGCTGTGTATAAGAGTAGGGCTCGTTCACCGAAGGGTTCAGAACAAGATGGGTGCGCCACAATGTTCATAAAGAACATGGTCAGAGTGCACTGATGTTTCTCCAGCCAATTCAGTTTGTTAATGTAGAGGAGGAAGTTATTCTTGGCCAGGTCGAACTGGCACCATTCAAGGCTGTGATCCTGGATGGCCTTGCATGATGCTTTGAAGGAAGCCACTGGTTTGAGAGTGATGAAATCGTCGACTTTGGCAAAGCCAAATGTGTCATTTGCAGATGACTTTGCTTCATCTGAGGTTTCCTTGCAACCATCTGGGCTGAAATACCACAATTCGACATACTCAAAGGTTTTGAGCTTGTGGATTGCATACTGAGATGGGCGTGGGGTGAGGGTGTTGCCTACAGCCATTCCACTCTTGAAATTGTTGATTCTGGGTTTCTTCTTTTCAGCTTTGCATAGCTCTGCTTTGGTTTCTTGTTCTATGCATAGGCGTTCTTGCTCCAGATGCTCATGCTCTGCCTGTGTGGCTTCAGCTGCTAAGCACACATCTTCAGTTTCTTGTTTGACCCAGGTGATGCTCCTGAGGTTTCAGTCTTGTTGCCATGCTGCGATCAGATCAGCAGCTACTTCCTGGTGTGTCATTTGCATCCTGCCGATGACAAGAGGTGTGGGAAAGTGCAATTCTGGACATCGAGCTGGTGTAAGTTGACACATACCCCCTCCTACCGTGACAACGTTATGGTCACCTTAATTTAACCATATATAGTAGCTTACTAATGTAACTTCGAATACTTCTAAGACACAAAATTCAATGACATTGATTGTAGAACATATGGAACCAGCAGCGTGAAATAGAAATGAGGACATGCAAAGCATAAGAAGTACGTAGGTCCATAGCGAGTCAAACAGATAACAGACTACGTGAAAACAATTTCAAAGTGTCAAGTTCAGACCGAGTGTGAAACAAATGAGAAGCTGCGTGAAGTTCTCGATCAATGGATCAGAAGAAGTTGATGGTGGAGACATTGAAATGGACGGAATAATGAATTAAAAGTATGCCAATGTTGTGAATCCATGAATGAGATTATGAGACGCGTCAATAACACATATCAAGACACGAACGACGCGCATATATTCATTGATTTTGGTCACATGATATCACTCATGACATCCAAAATACTGCATTCAGTGAGCAGCGCCCTTCAACACGCTTTTTTCATTGATCCGACTATCTAGATATGTTCTAAAGTAGTATAAACCACCCCCTTCTCAGTATTCAGCAAACGATTTCATTAACTTTTGACGCCGCTATCTGGTAACTCAGATCACGCGTCTGGTAAGTTCATGTGGCTGTATATTTAAGGTTTACATGATGACTAATTTTGGGCTCTTTGTACGGGATTTCCCTTTCGCACACCTCTTGGCCGATGATTCGATTTCTGAGGAGTTCGAAGGTGGGGGAGGCAAAGTCCAGTTGAATGTCAAGTGCCGGGTTTGTTGCGATTCTAGCCATGTCGTGTAAGTGAGAGTGTTCAGGTTTAAATGAATTTTTATGAGAGCTCTTAAGATATGATGAGAAAGACGGAAGATTTAACGGGAAGAAAATAGAAAAGAAAACTCGCTAGGATTAGATACTGCGAGCTACTAGATGGAGGAGCGGAAACAAGAGACGCTACCGGCGTCTTCCGCTCTCCCGAAGACCTTACTCTAATCCTTCACTCGTGCCTCGCTACGAAATAGAGTGGCAAAATAAGAGAATTTCGGTGATGCGGTACTAGTCGTCGATTAATCGAATTTCTTGTGAGTCGTAGTACGAAGCAAGAAAGCGGTGTCTCAAAACTTGTTTTTCGGGTAGACTACGCACGCACTCGTTCCTCGCGCTTACGTAGAACACAAGATATCCTGTGATTGAGATGTCCTCGCCATATTGACATTGATCTCATTCAGCCTAGGGATCTAAGAATGGACCAGCTCAAAGTCACTCGTGATTGTGGTCTACGCGTCCCTGAGCCTGTGCTTGACTAGGCAACCCAAATAGAAAGAAGGCGCTGGCAGTCAAAAGTACTTTCCACGGTATAGTTGGTTGTTGTAATGCTTCCAGGTATGACCTGTACTTCGTTTTTTGGAAGCATGTTGCATATAAATAATGTTATTGGCAGGTTGTCGGCAGAAGCTAAGGACATCTCGTGTACATAATATCTAGGGTAACTGAGAAGCTGATCGTAGACATCAGCATTAGATGTAAGTTCTCTGGTCCGGATCAACCAATCCCATCTCCCTCGCCATGATCTGTAACGCAAGGAACTGAGAGTAGAACCGTGCTGAAAAAAGATCGCCCTCTGCAAACCAGAGTCCATCATCTGGAGCAGAACGTTAGCATTCCCGAGTCGCGCAATCAAATCAACGGAATACTGACGTCCAGTCGGCCTCCAAATACCTGCGAGCTCACATTCACTATCCCATCCTCCAAGGTCATGGACGGCATCCGCGACCTGGGGCCCAAAAAGGCCCTCGGCGACTTGTTTAATCGTAGTTTTTGAGTACCTGTAAATAATGCGTCAGAAGTGCGCAATCACACGGATAGATGTTTGAAAGATATACCCTGTTGCAAAGATGACAAGGTCGGCCATCACTCGCGAACCATCGTCGAACACCATCCCGGTAGGGGAGAAGTGGGAAATCTCATGCCCGGACTTGACAGTGATCTGGTAGCTAGTAAGCAGCGTGCGTGGGGAAACTCAGTGAAAGTGATAATACCTTGCCAGACGTGATGAGCTCTGCACAACCCCGGTCGATGTAATAGCCACCTGGGGTGTCGGTGAGAAGAATGGAACCATACAGAATAAACAAACACACCTCGTCGAACGGAGAGACGGTGCAAGAAATTGTCCTCAGGACCGGGAAGGAGATAACCATTCCGGGACAAATTCTCCCTGAGGTCCCTAAGGGAAAAGGGTAAGATGAAGAAATTGTTTCAGATCTTGCCAACTAACTGGTCGATATGGGCATGTATCTCCATGGTGTCGTACTGGGAATTTCGAAGAGTTGACAAGGGGAGGGCGACATAGAAGCAGTCTGCGACCTCTGTCGGAGGAACATCCTGCCCGACATATCCTACGAGTCAAATCAATGGAAGTCTGCGCAGTAAGTACACTGAGGTTACCGGTAAGCATACGGTCGATCGTCTGGCGGCTCACAACGGCGGTCGGGGAACGCTGGACAAGCATTGTTCGAGACCCGTGATTCGCCATGTCCTGAGCAATATCGTGAGCAGAGCATCCTCCGCCCACGACAACGACTTTCTGCGCGCCCACACAGGAAGAGGACCTGTATTTGCTTGAATGGATAATAGAACCGAGAAAGGAATTCTACACGCAGAGAGTCAGCGTCGACAAAGAATCGAGTCGTACTTGCGTACTTTTCCTGGAATCGAAGGCGTAAACGGGAGTGCACCTCCCATTGTACCAATGCCTGTGGCGCCAATCAGGTGCCGGGCTGTCACGGTAATAGAGGCTTTCCCAGAAATAGATACAGACAATGTCCAGGTACCTGATGAAGCGTCATATGAAGCAGCAGAAATGTGCGCCGAGGTCAACACATGAAGACCAAGAGTCCTTTGGTAATTTTCAAGATAGTCGGCAACGTCTCTGCAGGGGATATATTTTCCGCATCCCTCTGGGAATGTGACGAAGGGAAGGTGATCTGCTGGTACATCAGCACAGTACGAGGTTGGCAGTTCTTCAGCTGCACGTACTATACGTTCTGGGAGTATTCGTCTCCAGAGACTCGTATCGAGAACGCCAACTATCGCCAATTGCGTCAGATCTCTCCAAGACAAGTGTAGAGATGCCAAGATTCTCCAAACGGGCGGCCACGGATAAGCCGCACTGACCTGCGCCCACGACGACCGCTGTATAATCCATTATAGTATTCCACTCAGCGGGACGACAGAGAGGCGTATGTACACCAAAACGATCGACCACGCCGGACAACTGATCCATCATAGTCACAAAGGACCAAGCCTTCCATGAGGAATCCTCACTTTGAGTCAGAGTGAAGACTCCAGTGCACTGCGCTATGACCGTATGAAATTGTATAATTCCTTGGATGAACAGTCTTGTAGGACCAACACGCCGATGACGAACACCTGGCAAGAGTCGGAACTGACTTGGCCGCGCAACAGCAACGGGAACTGAGAAAAATTGCTGAATTTTTGGAAGTGCGTGTAAGGTGCGAAAATCAGGAGTGAATGCCAAGAGATCTCGCCAGTAGCTATCGTTCGTAAACGAGCGCTTGAGAATAAAACCGGGGGTGGATAAGTCACAAACCAATGCAGAAAGCCACGCGGAAGAGATTGCCTCTGGTATCCAACAATAAGCGGACTTGGTTTAATTTTGAAAGGCAAACTTACCTGCAGATAATGGAGCAGAGAAGGTTTCTACGCGAGACATATCTCCTGAATGATCAACTTGAAAGGTTGATTATGGGGACCATCGTCTCTACTGACGAGTTCTTTTATAGGTTTTATTGTGTGAAGCTCACCTTCTCTCAACGTATTGCAGCTGGATATGTGGATTTGTGCGAGAAGCGGGGGTGCGAGAGCCGGATCATCCTCCTAGAGAGACAAGTCGTAATTCTTATGATGCGTCCTGTTAGAAGACAAGTAGAAGCTGAAAATCGAGGTTGTGACCGACGGATCTAAGCAAGCGAAACTCAAGGGCCAAAGAATCAGTAAATCAAAACAGGGTCGAGCGGACGAGGCTGCGAATGATGGTAACAGCGAAATAAGTGATGACCATACGATACCGGGCTGTGGTTCCTGGGTACGAATCTGTCCAAGTCGACCCTCGTCACAAGCCACCCTGCTGCTGGATGCGTCTAGTTTTCCACAAAACCCTCCGAGTTTGGGGGCATTAGGGTGGCAAAACCGGCGCAGCGCGGTATTGCTGGCTAACAACAATAACTGCGGGAGAGCGCGATCATGAGTATTTACCACACGGCGCACTAGCAGAGACGGACAATATGACGATCCGCCTAGACTTGTCTCTGGCAGACTGACGATTATAATGGTGGGGTCAGTGCTACACACTAAGACGGTTGGCTGCACCGAGGAATACCGAGGGTTGGCCTAGAATATTAGCTGTAAACAGGATGGTTCCAGACTTGATTAATTGATCGAGTGCAACGTCGAGTGTCATACTCAAACTTAGTTTATCATGATTGTGGCGTTTGTCCCACGAGAACTGTAATTTTGAACCTGAGGACTTTGTGAGGACTCATCTCCAATAAGAATCGGCCCTCACCGTACCAACGTAAAACTGATGAGCTACGAACATAAAATTTCCGTAAATGACTATAGAAAACGAGACTTATCGCCGCTGATACTATGCATTTGACAGTGCAAAACTGATCCATGCCTGCTACCCACCTGCTCGTCTTCAGCTCCCAATTTCTTAAAAAAGGTTTGAGGTATTTTAATACAACTCAAGCCGTTAACCACGAAATCAACCGACGTTAGTCGGCTGCCATTCGTTTTCGCCTGTAATTGTGAGGATGTCGTGAAGGTATAATGAAGCCAAGTCAACGTCGGGCATACCACCAAGTATGAAAATTTTCCGCTGGGTGTTGGGGTCAATGCCGGAGTCTTCCGCCTCTATCATCAAGTCATCGGGCTTCATCGCCCCCCATTCACAATAACACCTTTAATACGTCCGCCCAAAACAGCTGCCTGACTTCACCACAGGTACGTACTTTGGCCAAGGCGCCTGTAAAAAATTCGCAAGTTCAACAATCAATTAGCGAGTTTGAAGGGGAGATTTTCAAGGAGACTTTCGAGGGATGTTCGCAGCTAAATGCAGGCTGAAATTTTTGGTATTGTTGTCCATAGAATGAAAAAAGAAAACTATTACTCAACGTTTAAGCTTTGATCTTGGAACTTTCAACCGTCGCTGCACTAGCAATTCCAAAAATATCAGCCGACACATTCAGGGATTTTGGCACATACACACTAACCCCACCAGTCGTGACAGAGCACCCCACGATCTAATGATCCGCCGCCACGGCTTCCGAGTCGTAAGCAAATAAGGTTGGAGAATATGAGGGGCCCATTCTGTGGTATAACCACCATTCTGGATCTAACACAGATTTTGATGGATGGCAGTGTTCACTGGCTGGCTGCGAATATCCGACGTCTTCTTAATTTTTATCTTCTAGCCTCTTCTAGTCCTTATTTTCGGTGTCAGCAGTAATAGATCTTTTTGTGGCTCATTATGTTGCGATTGTCGGAGCGGGGTAGGAGAGGCCCAGCATACGCAGAGGGAACCTTTGCTTGTCAAAGTAACCTAAAATTCGTCACGTGTTTGCATGTTCCTAACCTACCGGCAACTTCCGTAGTATACAAACTTACTTCTATTAGTATGACAGAACTAACTTAGTTTTGCCGGTTATAACCGGCAAAACCGAAGGCGGGGAAATGTTGAAATCACATCAGTTAGTAGTCAGGGTCAAGTTGGTTTAAAGTTTGTCTGACTTATTCTATTTCTCGTTCTTTTTGCTTAGTAGGTACTTTGTTATGTTGGACACATGCATATGTTGGACGGTATGAATGGTTTGAAAACCGGTTTCGGCTGGGTGCGTTGAACTCCTCGTGTAATAGTACCTACTTAGCTCAAGTAAGGTCCAGCACTGTCAAGTTAATCATTTTGCCAGCCGCGACGCGAAGTAGTTTATGGCCTCGGAAACACCGATATGTAACCTACTCAGATAAATTCATCATAATTGAATCATAAATGTTAACGCATGGCATGGAGCTTCAAGTTGGTATGTTGACATCACCGCCGCCATGTCAAAGAGGCTTGGGAATTTCAAAAATAATGTCGAAGCGGTGTGAATGGAATTGAAAACAAATATATTGGTCTAGAATTGCGCCAGCAGCCCTAGTAGTGCACACGGCACTGGTTGTATGCCCCCCGCAAGAACCTTCCATGAAGTTTTCTTTATGATCAACCATCAATCTCCTTGTGGCAGTTACCTGTCCACTGCGAAACCCGGGTCTTGTCATAGTGAAGCTTGTCCATTAATCACGTGTCCGAAGAGATACTGACCGCACAACCGAGTTGATGCACTCTATTACCAGTCGGAGCCCGCTAACCCCGTGGAATTGTGAGATTTAACTTTGTCCCGGAAGCCAATTAAGATTTCCGATTGTCAATCCGCAAGATGTAAGTTAGTACACCAGATCATGGGACATAATTTAGACCAATCCTAAAACATGCCTAGTCTAAGTCATGTATGAGACCATTGCCCCACTCACTGGCCCTGCAGAAGGCTCCCCGTCACACCGGCTTGGTGTCTATACCACCTTCAGGGCCATTAATCAGCTTCCGCACTCTATCACTGACCAGTGGCAGGGATGGCAGCGTCTACCGTGATGTGAAATTCATGTGAACGTCCCAGATCAATAACCTATAAGCAGAATTCTTGTTCTAACGCCCAACGAACTGCCTCCGCGACATCCTCTGCTTGGTGAGTGGGCTGATGACTTGGAGGTCCACGATGGGGATCATATACGCCCGTGTGAACTAGGATTGATTTCCACCCTGCAGCGTTGGCACCTGCTATATCAGATTCGGGGTTATCTGCGGTGACAATATAAATGAAGGTCACATCGAGGGCAAGAATTCCGAAATACGTACCGCCAACCATGTACCTGTATAGCACGTTGCGCGGTCATTAGCTGACCACAAGGGCGGACGTCGCATCAGATCATACGAACAGTAATGGTTTGGGTACACTCTGTAAGCGATGCTTGAGCATTATCTCTGCAAAATTGTACGTAGCCTCGGTTGGTTTGCCAAATTGGATGTAGGGATAGGTGGACCCTGTCAATGACTGCAAAACCACGCATCAGATTGTTCTCGATGGGATTAAGCGGTAAATAACAAACTCGCCTGGAAAACAGCCTGGAATGCAACTCTAAATGCTCCTTGGCCCATACGAGGAGCTTCAAAATCCGACTGCCATATCAAATCAGGATTGCAAAATACTAGGTCGACAGGTTTTCGTGCATGATTAGTTTCATGAGATCCCCCGATGATACCCTGGATTACATCGCACATGATTTGGATATCGAGAGCCCAGTTTCTAGGATCATGGAAGACAAAGATTGCGCCAAATGGGATCTTTGAGAAGTCAGTAGGCTGTGCCATCATGTTTGTGTAAGCCGTTCGCTTGAACGATTGAAAATCTTACCCTAACAGATGCTCTTTCCTCTTGTGTGAGGTCGTGGAAAGGCCATATCCTGGGAAAATAAAGCTGAGTCAAAATTATGAAGGAAGCAAATGACTTGCGATGGATGCCAAGCGAGAATATCGAAGGTAGTATAAACTTTCTGGAAGCCATATCTACAGTCAATCGAGATTCCATCAATAGCATTCAGATGCAAGCCACGAGAGTTATGTACCCTTCCGCGACTCTCCGAAGGATATCACCCTTGCCTCCAAGAACCAAGACTGGCACGTCAGCGTAGCTGTGCACAATAGACTTCAGAACAGTGTGAGCCTGTATAAATTGGTCGGGATGAATCTGTCAAAATTTGTGAGTAAAATTTAGGATTCAGAACAGCTTTGATATAGCACCTGTACGCCAAGCTGCGAGCTCAACTTGTGACACCGTTCTTCTTCGCTTACACCACCGCCGTTGGTGAGCTGCGGCGACAATTGAATGCTTACATCACAGAAGGACATGGCAATCATTTACCAGAATAAAAGGTATCTTGCTTTGAGTGAGTCAGCTAGCTGGATGATAAACAGCAAGAAAGACACAAGTACAGGCCGAGTTTATTGTTGCCATCAAGGATGGATAGCGCTTCTTTAGCAGCAGGCAGAGGATTCTTTCCACGAAGGAGAACACCATCCTGGGAAGAATATGAGACACAGTTAGTCCCTGAACAGTTTCATGACATCATATCCAAACCATACGATGTCAAATGCGAATGCCAGCCGCGAACGAGGCTTGGCTATATTTCCTGGACCTGTTTGAAAACGCGTGAACCGTTATACCGAGTTTAAAATCGACGATTGTGGTAGCCAACAGCCACTGCCAGCTCACCAGTCAAGTAACGTGCGATTTGCTTGACCGTCACCCTGTTGCCATATTTTGAACCAATAATGATGTGTCGAGGAATCAACATGCCTGCAGCCTGAAAAACGTCGTGGACAGCAGGAGCAAGCAGCAGCCGAACTGTGGAGCACCTATTATTTCCAGGTCGCGAGTACAAGTCTGTCCAAGCGTGGCACCGATCAAAGGACTGAAACAGTACTAGCACTGAAAGTATCGAACGAAACACTGAATTACCGGATCTCACGTGACTTCAACAGCCAGCTAACTTCTGACACTCACTATATGGACGTGTAACGACTAACTGGAATACCAGTGGACGTGTCTCATATTATCGGAGCCCAATGCTTCCCTCACCAGTCTCATCCAACCGACGAGGAACCTCCCAGCACCTTCACACATTCTCCTTGTCTAACCTCAAACGGGCTCTGAATCTCCTACGTGCGCGATCAAGGTTCACAAACCTAAGCATTGTCATTCTCGCAGGATGCTTCGGCGTTTCATTTTTATACAACCTCGCTTTCATATTCTCCTCTTCGACTTCACTGTTAGCTTACACGCCACCTCAGAGCATCCTCTCGACCATAGCTCGTAATGCAACTCTAGAAAACCTATCTCATCTTGTCATCGTTCCAGGTCATGCAATTTGGACTGGTGCGCAGCCTGATCAGGTGTTAGACGTGGACCGATGGACGTTAGAGGAATATCAGAGAGGGGGAGGTAGTTACAGGATTTCTGCGTTCGTGGAACACATCAGACGAGGGTATGTCTTCCCACCAAATTACAAAATCACAAAACTGATAAATTTCAGAGTAGAAATAACGCTCAAAGATGATTCATCTCTACTCGTTTTCAGCGGGCAGGTATCCGACTTAGGAAAATACGTTCGTTTCGCTAACCCTCCTTCCAGAGGTCAAACTAGACTGCAGTCGACCACGACAGAGGCAGAATCTTACATGCGTTTAGCAACAAGTCTAGGGCTCTTTCACCCGGACTCAGAACGAACTCCCCATGAGACCCATTTCCTTCGTGCGACAACAGAGACCTACGCTCTTGATTCATACCAAAACTTTTTATTCTCGCTGGCTCGTTTTCATGAAATAACAGGCCGGTACCCCATGCAGGTCACCATCGTTGGCTACGAAATGAAGCGCCGTCGTTTCGAAGAGCTTCACCGCACAGCCCTTCGATTCCCCGCTCATCATTTCGAATATATCGGACTCGAACCTTCCGCCAATGAGGAGTCTGCTCGTATCGGCGAAGTAAGCATTCTCGTCTTTCTCAGCGGTTTTATACTGTGTTCAACTGGAATTTAGGTTAAGAATGGATACGCGCCGTATAAGCTCGACTTGTATGGCTGCCATGATTTTCTACTTGCCAAGCGACGGGCGCGGAACCCGTTTTTACGGTTTCATTCCTATCATACATCGGCACCGGAGTTGGCGGGGCTGTTGGAGTGGTGTCCTGATGATGCGGAGATGGTGTATAACGAGCCGTTACCTTGGGACGTTTATGAATGAGATGTCATTCTATAATTTTGGAGTTCGAGAGATCGGGTCTATTTATGCGATAATTGCTAACTGACTCGCACGCGAAATCTCGTTGGAACGTCTGGGTGGGTCTTGTCAGTCCAATTCAAATGTCGGTGCAAGGCTGGACAACAACGATACTTCACCCCCTATGAAAATATTCGTTTCAAGCGGCTACGAGCACGAGAACTTCAACAATCGAGAGACGACTACGCATTGTTTCCGCGGGCTCAACCGCTCCGTGTGCATGGTAGTATTGTAAACATCCCTGGACTGGAAATAATTGCAACGATCACCTGCAGCAATTTCAGCTAGGCTTAGACACTACAGTTTTCCCTCCTAGTCACAAAATAGAACCACTACCATCCAAAATTATCAATTCATCACGCACATAAAATAATAACCAATAAAATTACTATCAAAATGCATATGTTACAATGTCAATGAAACGCAAGTAGTTATCGCAAGCACCATACTACGACAGTAATAAAAATTTTCGACGACAATGACTCGTACGACAACGATGACGCGTACATGGGCACGCAGTAAGTATGGCGCGCACTCGAGTTGGTAAGAAGCGGGATCCTACCAAAGAGGCTCGCATTCAAGGGCGCCGCCATACACGATACCCCTGACTGGTGTTTATACCAGTTTGTGGAGTGGCATCGTGGCTGTAGGTCACGTGGTATATTGTGACCGTGAGGCAAGCGGTCCCGGATATTCTGAGATTGAGATGTCCTCCCCACTATTTTAGAATTGAGCATCCTTTTGCAAGTTCTCACCTGATCATACATGTTTTGCGTTGTTTTGTTGATGTGATTATTTATTTCGTACTCGTGAGCTGGCCTCGAAGTCGAGTAACCATCTCTCTCATGCCTGTGAGTGTTTCTTCCAATCTGACAAAGGAGGATTGGCATCCATCCAGCCTCCTTCCCTATGATACGCTTCTGAATCGCCAGGATGACTTTGACTCGATAATGTCTTACCCGCAGTCCACTGCTGGGACTGGAACCGATTTCTACGACCGCAGTCTGACAAGTCGCAGATATGCCCTTGTTGGACTGGCATGCTCGAGTATCATTGCCTGCGCTTACATAGTTGCGGGCGCTGTCATCATCCACAATTACGGAGTCTCAGGGGTGGCCTCCATTGATATTTACATATTGCCGCCAGACCTAATGCTAAACTTCACCGTTACGTTATGCACCGAGTCCACAAGCTTCGTACATGGCATCTCATTGCGTTCTGCGCTAGCCTCACAGTCTCGGCTTCGTTTCAACACCAATTTGCGTCTTCTGACTGCAGTTGGTGGATGGAGGAACCCCAACGGCACCCTGCTTAATGGTATCATGGCCTTTCTCCTCATTATATCTTACAGCTCGGCCTCATCCGCCACATTTTACGATACGGTTGATGTACCATCAGGGTCAATAGGATTTGAGGTCTTTGCGGGGGTACCTCTCCTGTTTTTGGGCGTCGCACTCCTTCTGCAGGTGGTGGTCGCATTGTCAGGGTTGTGGGCTGTCAAAATATTGACATGGAGCTCCTCACCTTTCGACTTGACTGCCGCTATGGTCCTTCATACGCAACTGGTTCCAGCCCCCTTCCGGTGCATGCGTGTGTGTCTGATTTGAACGTGCCGGGGGTCCAGCGAAGCCATCGGATTCGCAACCCTCCGCGTGGCATGCGCACCCCAGCATCCGGAAAGTTGTCATTTCTCTCTGGGGGCTCGTTGTAGCATGCGCTGGATGGGCCGCGCTCGTCATGTGCATCTGGGGCGAGTATGGCGGTGATAAGTTCATGTCCTATGCGTTGAACATTCAAAGATGGTCATTCACCCCCAATCAGCAACTTTTCGCTCCCGCCAGTGGCATGCAGTCCAATAACATCTCGTATACCATTCCGGGTGTCAGTATTCAATGGTGGATTCTGGTCTTCGTCAATATGGCAGTTATCCAAGGACCGCTGACACTTGGACTGCATTGCTCAGAGCTCATCGTGAACATTATTCGAGATGAAAGACAGTGGAGATGCGCTACCGGAAGGAAAGGACTTAGAACGGCAACAAATCCATTGAAGGGGGCTTTCACCAATCCACTCAGTCTTATACTTTTCATCGTAAAACCTCTCCTGCGTAAGTCATTCACGTCCATTTGTTTGATTTGTGTTATTGAACACCATCATCAATGATAACAGACTGGATGTTTGGGCTTTCGTTCTTGGTATATGGCTACGCCAATAACGGGAATTTGGGAACATTGATGGTACACATGTTCACTACCCAGGTTCGCACTTATTGTCCATATCAAGCTGCTGCAAGATCCTTACACACTCTTGCAGATCTGGAACTTATGTATAGCGCTGGCTATATTTGCCTGTTTCTTCACCGTCGTTGCACTGCGCCGACCGCGCGGTCCCCAGCCAGCCACATATGGACACCTCCAGACACTCGCCAATCTTGTGGACGAGTGGTCGCCTATAATGTGGTGGGGCCACAAGGAGGATGGAATCCCGTACTGTCATTCTGGTAGGGTTCTTTTATGGTCACGAGGATTATGGATTAACGGTTTCAAATAGGGACGAGCGATCATCCGCTGCCAGATGTGAAGATGGACTGTGTCTACGGTGGTTCTGGCGTCGAGTCCCCCGCATCTGTCTCGCGAGAAGCCTTCACGGAATTCCATACTATAGCTGGTCTGGCCATGCGCTGACGGTGCGCACGGCCAACCATGCGGTTGAAAGAGGCACTTTGTGATTTCCACCCCGTCTGCGTGTTGCGAGTATACTTTGGACTGATTGACTCGGATAATGTATTTATTAACAGGACTGGGATGTAGGAATTGATTGAGATCTTCAACGTCTCTGGATATCATATACTCTCCTCACATTGTCACTTTTAGATAACATTTAGACCTCTCTTGCTACGCCTTTTGTTGCTACAACTCCAAGCACAACCGATATCTCAAAATTAAAAAATAAAATAAAACTCAATATACCTAGGGCTCGCCGCTCCAAGACAGAGGTGAAACGAGGCCTTCTCGAAAACCAACCAATACCTACCTGTTGTTCGTACGATCTATGGACGAGATACCACGATCGTGCAGTGGCCCATACTGTGTGGGGCTTTTGCTAGAAAAGAAAAGCAGCACACGATCGACGAATCTCCGCAGGCTGCTGTGTCGCTGTGATTCCAACTTGAACGCATTTAAAATCGGACACCAAACCTTGGACTGAAGCTGACTCGCGTCCCCAAACTATACATTCCGAAAGCGCAACTACCGGCAATTTGGAACGAGTCATACCCAATAAAATTACAAACAGGTATCAAAAAGTGCATATGTTACAATGTCAATGTAACACAAGTAAGTTATCGCAAGCACCATACTACAACAACAGCAATAAACACGACAACGACGACGACGGCAATGATGGAGAATACAAGGCAAAAATGCAAGAAAACCAAAACACGCAGAAAACACACAACACAGCGTCTAATAAATAAGCTCTGGTCATGAAACGGAAGCCTGCCAGGCATATGCATAGAGACATCCGAGTCCAAGTTTACCGCGAGATATAGGCATCAAGGATACACCTACTTCCCTTGAAACCCCCTAACAATTGTTCGTATCCCCCCAAATCTCTGCTTTGTAGGCGGCGGACTCGTGGTTATCGGTGTTGGCTGCCACCCCTCCAACGTCGAGAATCCCATTCGAGATAATTTATTAACGCTTCGTGTTGCTGGCGTTGATGATATGTCACGTGATCCTGTGGTCCGTGCTGCTGGCGATGCGCTGCGTGCTGTCGTTGGGATGTTACGTGCAGCTGTCGATGAGATGCTACGTGTAGATGGTGATAAGTTACGCGTTGTTGATATGACGTGTGTTGTTGGTGCGTTCCGCGTCGTGGATATGTGTCCAGCATGTGTAGGAGCTGTCGAGATGCGCGAGAGCGGTACACCCAAGCCCATACCCAAACCCGTCAGTTCTGTATCTTCATCTGGATCATACGAGTCAGGGGTGCACGTAAATGTCTCAAATGATTTCTGCGTGCGTGGGCTGGGGAGCGGCAAGGGATGTGGATGCTGGTTCGCGTCGTGGTGCGGGAGGGGTAGGTGTCGCGATGCGATGAGAGGACTGCGTCTACGTCGGGTGTTGTCTGAAGTTCGCGACATGCCGTCAAAGGGTGAATCTGACATCGTCCGCCTGAAATCAACAGAAGCCGTCCGTCTGATTTCGTTCGGTGCTATCCGCGTACCGTGTTGCAGCGACGTGTCCTCGCTAGATGCGCCTATATCATGCGTCAATACGTGAAAAGCATATAAGGAAAGATAACGAACCACTCCTACTGCTACTCCTCGAAAAACTCAACTCCACAGCCTGAGGTCTACTGCTCGATAACAAAGACCTCTCACCTACACCCAAACCATTCCCGACAGGTGTCGTCCCCACATCAACAACCAGCACCTCCTTTCCAACAGCATCCTCTTCTTCTTTCATCCTCCTCTCAATAGCCAAACTCTCTCCAAACATTGCCAACCTCAAGCTCAAAGGCGTCCGTCCAGTCCCTTGATCCCTCCTCGTATTCTCTTCCAAATCAACAGCCATATCAAGCACAGACTGCTGCGCCCGCTGAACGAGCGCTTCTACCTCTGCTCGTGAAGATATCGAGGAGATGTTAAGACCTGAAGGCGTTCTATGAACGCGTGGGGATATGGGGAGTGCGTCCATGCCCATGTTTATGTCAGTGTCCGTGTCCATGGAACGGGACACGATTAGGGGACTGGCACCAGAGAGGTGGGGCGTTGGAGGCCATGGCGAGTCGCTTGCGCTAGATTGTGTGAATGTGCTCGCAGTACCTGTCGTGCCTGAACTGCTCACGGAGTCTCCACGCAGGCGACTTTCAGAAGACAAAATACTATCGTCAGGAGGAGGTGGCACGTTGATGCTGAATGGGAACCGAGCGGGTACTGTTACTGCGCGGTCGGGGGTGAGCATGATATTTGGCGTGGATGCGGAGTGGACAATAGGTACGCCGTATTCTTCATCTTCGTCTTCGAGGTCGTCGAGGTCGATGGCGTTGACGAGGATGGGAGGAGGGGATTGGGGGATTCGTGGAGACTCTTCGATCGTGTCTGGTATACGATCGATGTCCGGGGCACCTGCTGAGGAGCCCATGCTGAGCGTACGCAGGCGGCTGTCATGTGGAACGCTCCCGCGTGAAGGTGGGCTGCGCGCGCGCGCGGTGAGAGAGGAGGAGCTGGAGGAGGAGTTGTCAAAGCGGATGATACGGGACGAGGAGGGTTGCTGGGAGCCGTGGCCTGAAGTTGAGCGGGTGTGCATGCGCAGTATGCCCTGTCTCACAGGGGCTGTTGGCTCAGGCGGTATTTCTTCACCAGGTGTGGACGAGGAACTGGTGGAACGATGCCATGGACTGGGGTCAGGGGAAGCGCGTGCGGAATTAGTTTCTAGCCTGCGGCGGTAGAGGTCATGTGTGGATATCTCGTGCGGAGATGATGAGAGTGGTGTGGGGAAGAGGCGTGGGGAAGATAATATTGCCGCAGGTGATGCGGGAGATGCTGTCCCAGGTACAGGAACGGGCAATGAAGAGGGGGAATTGATCGGGGGCTCTGAGACGGAGGTAACGCTTGACGAAGAGGCGTCTACATTTGATTTCTTGAACAGGCTAAGGAGTGACAGCTTTGAGTTTAGTTTGCGGGGAGAGGTAGCCTCGGCGCCTGTGCCTGCCGATCTCGGGCGACGTGAGGCTTTTGGGAGTGGGAGGCGCTGGGGTTGTTCGTCGTAGATATGAGGGAGAGATGGGCGGCGATCAGACGAAGGCGAATCTTGAGGTTGTAAGACGTCTTGTTCAGAGGAGCCTGAGCGCACAAAGGGTGGTTTTTGATCGATATCAGGGGTGGCGCTTGCGGACTTGAGTGCGGTGAGAGCATGGTCGATAGAGCGTTTGAAGTGGAGCTTCTTCCTGAGGGAAGACTCGACGTGCTCGATACAGGGATGGGGACGTTCCCTGGAGGAATGACTATCGCTATCAGGTGTATTGTCACCGCGTGCACGTGCAAGTATTTCGCTTGCGAGGATATCAGCGCACTCAATCCAACCATTCTGACGGGCAATAATCTCAGGGGTGATACCGTGCTTATCTGGACGATTAGGATGGGCGCCATGGATAAGAAGGGTGCGAACGATGCTTGCGTGACCGTTTGCAGCAGCGAAGTGAAGTGGGGTTGCACCAGAAGTACCAACTATAGGAGCGGCAGAGTCACGGCTGCGATCAGAGTACCTGCGGGGAAGTCTGTGGAAATTTTTCATGAATATGTGATCGGAATTATGGATTATGACGAAGACTGACCTTGGTGCATTGACGTCTGCTCCGTATTTGATGAGAAGATTGACTACGAGATCATTACCACCTGCACAAGCAGCATGTAAAGGTAAAACGCCGTCTAAAACAGAGTTTACGGGTTGGCCATGATTGAGAGCAAACTGAACTAGTCCGATGTCGCCTGATACAGCAGCTGAATGAAGTCCTAGATGTGGGACTATTATATGGTCAGAAAAGTCATAAAATAAAAGTGACTGAAGACATACATTCGGTAGCGACATTGAACTTTGCTTCTGCTCTGTGGTTTCTGGAAGGGGCCAGCATGACAAGGTGCCTAGGCGATTACACGATTTGGAGATAAAAGTACCATAGGATGAAATGGCTGTACTACAATACACAGGTGCGGTGTCGCTGGTGATGATCCTTTACAAAGGCAAGGTCCGGTATCTTCAATTACCCAGCTTACAAAGCATCTATAACACTCAGCCAAGCTGGCCTCCAATGCACAGCATCTGCCACAATCCAATATCACATCAGATATGTCGGTTTTCATCAAACCTAATGTCCATCCATGGAAATTTGGGACTTGATCGACGTTTCAAATGTTCACTGCTCTTTTACCACATCACCAACGATGGTTGTATCGACCACAGGCTAAGCTCACCGAACACGCTTGGTATTTGGAGGTACGGAAACCCACACTACGATGACACTTGCAGGGCCATCCAGCTACAGGAAAATTGACATTGACAACAATAGAGAAAACTCCCAGCCTGTCAGAACTATCTTCGACGTCTAAATCTACGCTACCTTAATTACGGTGTGAATGTGAGTTTGGAAACTCTTTGTACTTCAGTCAGTAACGAATTTGACACTGTTAATTAAGAGGTGCCAAGCGGAAGGGTGGCTTTTCGAGACAGCCGCGCGGCGCGCACGTTGCCGCTTGTTTCTGTGCTTCAAGTTCATTCTCCGTTGCTTAGCTATATGGTTTGCTCTGGCGTTTCTTGATCTGCTGCTCGATCTCGCCTCCAGAACATGCCACCGAAACGAGTACCGCAAGGCGTTATAGACCGCCTTCTCGGGACACGAGACAGCAACCGAACGTGTTGAATTCACTACCACATTTTCGTGACCCCTACATGAATGGCGGTCCGCATTTGTGTTCACCCAGATGCCGGTATCCATCCTACAAACTCGTGCCTCCGCACCACCTCCACGGGCAACTTGCGAAACTGGCACTAGTGCCCGAACCGTAGAGCTTTTCCTGAGGCTGTCCACCTGTGCATCGGAGGTTCACTAGATGCGTGCGCAACCCACTTCTCTTAGCTCACTCTTCGGGGCCCGAAAGCGTTTTTGCCAAAATGAGTTAAAAACGCCTGTTGCAGTTACGAATGGGCGGCTACGTAGCATGGATTACATATGATATGCATTTGAGGTATACATGAGTCGTCAATGTAAAACTTTTCATGACGCAACAAGTCTCTATATCTCCAAAGAGATTTTCGAGATATTTCTTCGCGCCTTCTGCACCAATGATCCCACTAGTCACTCCGTCCGGCTGTATCACAAGTACTTTTGTCTGGTTCGCTTCCACAAAGTAACCCGAATAAGCATAGCTCTCCTGATCAACAACAAGGTCAGCAGGAGATGCAACGGGCGTCGCCGATGCCGATGACGGCAGAACAACAATTGTGCACACAACACGTTTGTCGCATGCTTCCAGTGCACCCAAGAACAGGGTTGCGTCTGCGAGACTCGGAACGAACACAAGCACCGTGATACCACGGTCTGTATAGACCAAAATGCGTATTCACGTCAGACTTTCCACTTCCCACCTGGAGCATATCGGGTGCATCAAGCGCCCTGTCCCCAGCCTCCAGATGCCCCTCGTCAAGCACCCCGTATGCATCATTGGCTTCCCTAGAATTGCAAACTCTTAGAGAACGATGTTGTTGAATCAGCAGTTGATACCAAGCATGGAAGGGACGGTGTTTTGTCGGGTCGCCATGTCTCCTGTCGTTATCGCCCGGTTAAGAATCGAGGTGGTCATCTCGAGGATTTCTGAGATGACAGGCAGATGCTCGTTACTGTGTCTCAAGAAGATATTTATGGGCAAGTCTTTTTTTGACGAGCGCAACTTTCCATCCTATATTGACCTGGTGTACGGCGCGCTCAGTTGTGTCATACATACTGCATCTGTCTGACTCACAGCATCAAGTTGTAGACCTGAATTAAGTCCCTATTCCTGTAGAAATGAGCAAGTATTACCACCGATCAAATGGACTGTGGACGTTTAAATATGTTATAGCGGCTATTTCCAGGAAGACATTCATAAATAGACATACTGAGCATCTACGGCAACTTCCATCGGCACTGTGACAGCTACGCAAGCCGCCTAAATTAGAATCACATACCGCCCGCAACGAACACTCGGCCATCGCCAAACTTATTTGTCATGCGGATACTGGCTCTAAGAAAGACAGATGTCAACGTGCATCGACACGTACAGAAAAGGCAAAACACATCGGAATTCACTCGCCCAAACCAGCTTGTTGAAGGTAGCCTTCGCAGGTATCAAATGATCTCGAAGACAAGCTCCTCGTTCTGAGCGATCTTCGTCAGGTTTAGTTTAGGACAGAAGATGAAAGACTACCTGTTATCCTCAATAAATTTGTCAGTTGGATGCAAGGACATAATGCAGGTCAATGTAAATCTTCAAGTATCATATATATACGATAGTTCACCAAAGTTTACAATTCGGTGCCACTGTTTTCGAAACAGGATCAGGAGATTCTTCCATCGGATAATGGACTCACCGCTCTATCAATACCAATACCTTTGGATGAATATCACCGGCAAAACCCCGGATATCGTCTCCAGTCTCACCCAAAAATATGAGCTCAAGCTGTTTACGCACAATGTCTATGAACCAAAATTGACCCGGTATTTCCCAAGTAGCGCATGACAAACCCAAATTCCGGGACCACGCTGTCCGATACGAGGATTAGGACCTTCATCGATGATGCAAACTAGGATGCTGCTACCAGACTTGTTGGCCCAGCGCCTACCTAAGAAAGGGAAATTCATTTGAGGTACAGACAACCATCATGGACAGGTCACTTACGATTAGTACAGGTGGATGGATGGAGTTCATACGTAGTGCTCGCAGGAGGACGAGTTAGCTCGAATTTCAGGGGAGTAGGATGGGCATCGAGGGAACGGATCGTCATCATGTGAAGAAAAGCCAGGGACATTGTAAGCACGCTGGCTCACCAGAGTTCCCATAATCTACATAACGAATCTATCAGTATCCTTACAGAAACGATTCAGTCACTTCCTGCGGATGATGATTTCTCAGAACGCTCACCAATATGCCGTCCAACTGTCATATCGATAATATTAGCATCCTTACAGAAATGGTTTACATTTCCTATATTTGACACAACACTGACCAACACATTAGTATCCTGACGAAGATGACTCACACTTCCATCGGATGATCTGTCAGAACGCTGACCAGATACCTCATGACACGAACTGGATGGCTGCGGACACTGACGGCTTTGATACCAACTGTCAGTTCGCCTAATGGACATGCAGACCGTTGAGTGTGATGAGTAACGATTTTGGTTCTAAGAAACCTACACGTGCACTGCCTCGTAGCTGCTCCTTAGAAAAGGAGAATATAATGTTCCGCAACCTAATACAAGGAAAAAGACGTTCCTTTTGTAGGAAGCAAGTGTGCTCTTGATTGGCATTCCGAGTCAAATCTCGCGGCGTTCCAGTAATATTAATCAGTGCTCGGCCTCAAGAGCGCAAAGCTCCCAGCGGGCTAATGATATTTCGGAGTCGATACATAGTGCCAATCGGCTCGCCCAACATATTTGGAATCTTGGGGTTTCCCATTGATGGGAGAGATTGTTTTGATTTGACTCCAGAGCCCAGTGGCATTCATCCAAAGTTGAGATGCACTCTAGAAACTTGAACACCTTGACCTCTACACAGTGAATCGCGAATCCAGGATGCCACAAAGGAAATCCCATGGTATATTAGCATCTAAGAGAGGGATTTAAATGACGAGGCTCCTACCTGAACATTCAACGGCATCATGAGCTGTAAAATCGTGGAGCGAAACAAGAAAAGGATGGTGTAGGCATGACCGTTTAAACTTGGACTTGACCGTCAGAGGAAAAAGTACGGGCCGCGAAGGCAGCTGCGCCCGAAACCCCGCAACTCAACTGTTAGGAGTTCCGCATTATAACCACATCCTGAGCTTGGAAACTTGTACTGTTGACCCCACACTCGCTTGTGCCTTGCGCAACGTACCCTTCATGCATACACCCAATCATGAACGTATCTCGATATGAGTAGTTGCCCCCGCTCCAAATGATCTCTTATGTGCATATCGCCGTCGTCAGCTTGCGTCTAAATACATTATATATGAGAAATACAGATGTCGACCGTCGATGTTCCAACCAGACCGACGTATCAATTTGGTGGCTCAAGAATACTTCACGAATGAGATTGGTGAGACTGCAAGTATAGTATCCAAGGTCAAATCATCAGCATTGTCTCTTTAAAGAGAACATAGCCTGCTGTTAGGTCCCACTGGTAGTGCGAGTCAAATCAAATTAGATGCAAACCAGATAGCGCGGATATTACTGGCTATAAAGCTTATAAGGAAAATTATGTACCATGTAATAACGCAAGTAAGGTCCAAGTCCAGTAAAAACTTAAAGCCCGAGGTTGATGGGAGTGCATCCAACGTTGACAAGGCCGTTCTGAAATTTCCCTGTCACACGAGTGGAACAAAGAACACTGTTTGTAACTCACCATTTTGTTGTTGCTGCAACACATAGGTTGTTGGTTGCATCTGGCGCCATTGGCAAGGCCGACAGCAGTCATAGGGCTGCAGTTCTGGCCGACCTTGCCGGCGATGCCAGCAGCTATTTCTGCAACGCCACGAAGATTTGCCATTTTGTTGTAGTCGGAAGTCTGCACAAATCATGAGAATCATGAAAAATAAATAGGAATCTATTACTCACACTGGTATAACTCTGGCAGCATTGGATGTTACCAGTGTTGCATTGGCCATCACGGAGAGTGAGGGGACTGGCGACAGCGAGAGCCGCAAGGAAAACAACGGTGAAGAAACGAGCGAACATTGTGTTGACTGAAACAGTTAAAAGAGTGTGAGGATGCGTGACACTGGTGAGCTGATTGAGGAAGAGATGGGTTCTGAAGAATTGAACGCATTGTAGTCCACCTTTTATACTATCAAATACACCCGGCCGCTCCGCCTTTTGTCGATATTTTTTTTCCAGATCGGACAACCGATGCTAATATACTGTCGTCTGGCCCGTGGTCTGGACTCTGGAGTATGTGCTAAGCCGTAAACGCTATTGAATGTGCATTACGTGAATATCACCTTAGCGTGAAGTGGACGCGTTTCGACCACGTGACCCATCACCATGTCACTATTCGAAGTCCGAGGACTATCTGTATCCGACTCGGGGGAGGAACACTGCTATGGTTCCAACATCCTGGTCTGGATGCTGTAATTGAGTACACATTTCTATATTTGGCTGACTTATGCTCAGGCATATGTCTGTCTGAACATTGTTATCAGCGTCAATTTGCAATTTGTGTGCAGTCTGGAGCTTACTATATACAGTCATCAATGGCTCATTGATACAAAACATGGCTCACACAATGACAACACATTTTCTTCTCTCAAAATTGCTCATGCACATTTAGACAACATGTATCTTGCCCCAGGGAAAATATTATATTATGTTGACCAACAAAAATAGTACTGAGACATGTGTCTTTACTAGTCAAAACCCTAAATTTAGACAATTTAAAATTTGTATTCCGCATTGCATGATGACAGTAAATTAGAGAGACATGAAACTGTTCAGGATGTATAACTAACAGTTCTAGCTATTCAGAACATGTGTTATAATTGCATGATGTTGAGATTAACATGTGTAGCAAAGGAATGTTTGTCAGCTAGTGGAAATGCTATTCAGACCAGGTTGGGGTTGGTGAGACTCTATGCAAAATACACTATTGCAGCCACAAACCAATCAGAACTAGTCTCTACCTCTTACTATGCCTGGCCATCCTAAATCTGCTACAAAAAAACAGCAAGAAGTTTGTCAAGCTCATGATTATCTCATGGCTAAAGCTGTGTCTGCATATTGCACTGAGCTCACAAAAAAGCAGGGTTTAAAATGTTGCAGCTCACGAACTATCTGTAGAGACTTCAAACAAATTCCAAGGCCAAAGTTGAACATATGCAAAGATGAGGACGGACAGTCAGCCAGTGGGGAGGAATTTGACCTTAACAATGCATCAGACAACAGTGGTGAAGAATGATAATGAAGTTTGATAGTGCTCGATAATGAAATCTATTGTTTGTTTGCGCAAAATTACCTAATCAGTAAGCTGTCTCAATGAGTGACATTTACTGAAAAACAGGTCCCCTCATGGTTTTGGACGTTGAGCTTGAATGGTTGCATATTTTTCTTTGAAAATTTAGGTGTGTATTCTAGAGATAGGCTACTTGGTTGGAAAAATAAAGTTGAGCTGCTAGAAAGAACCATGACCCAATGATGGCAAAAAAATCAATTTCCTGTCTCAAAGAGCCATTGATAACTGTATGCAATGCCAGCTGCTGGCACTACCACTGGAATGGTGTGGCATTGTCAGGCGTTATTGAGGTTTGTAAAAAGTCTTACTGAATGCAAGTTACCATGATGGGAATGGGAAGAACACTGCGGCAGAGCTCAGAACTACCTAGTAGTTGATTCTTTGCACATAAGTTCTGCCAATAGTCTTGAAGTCTTGAGCCAGAGCTATCCAAGAGCGGGAGCACAATTCTTCCAGTCTCAGAAGTACCACACACAACATGAAGATTGAATCCTTTTGAGATGAAGCATCCCACAGGCATCTTTGAGGCTATGTGATTGACCTATGATCAACCTTCAAAGTGAGGCTAGCTAAGTGCTAGATGTTGACAATTTTCACACTTGATGTGACCAAATCATGAGCATAAATACATAATATAAAGTGAAAAATGACAAAAGGAACACAAAGAACAGTGTGGATATCAGATCAAGCTGATTGAGATAGCTGCCACATGAGCCATATTCCAATCATTTGTGACAGCCACATCTCATTGTGTCACTGGTAGGAATTTTGTTGCTAAAACCCATGTAGGTAGGTGTTCTGAAGTGCATGGTGTTGTTTCCTTTCACATGTGCTAAATCTGCATAATTTCGAGTTGAGATTTTAAAGGTGAAGTCACAAGTAAAGAATGGAGCACTATACATCTAAAATAAGAAACATTGCTTTGCACCTTCTTCACTATGGATAATTGTTCCAAGTACTCCATCTGGCAGCATCACAAACATTTTTATCCAGTTAATTTCGATAAGATGAGCTGAATTAGTGTGGCCCTCTGGATCAACACAAACAACTTTAGCAGAGAATGTGATTGGTGTCATTCATTCTGGTGATGGCAAGACAACAGCTGTTCATACAATGCTTTTGTCATATACCTCCATTGTCTTCAAGATCAGGGTCACAACTGTGAATAGACTTGAAGTGAACATGGGCACCATGTGGAAAGTACCAGCATGATGTTGTGATTGTGAAAATTGACCCAATCATAGTGGGCCCAATGTTACAAACTTGGATAGAGTGTCATTCCAATAAAGGAATCAAGGATCAAGTTGATCAAGGATGAAGCCTTATCAAGTAATGCCTCCCTCAGGAGTGATTGCCTAGACTCCCACAGGATCTAGAGTTCAAATATGACAATGGCTAGCCTCCTTCCCAAGGAGCTAGAGTTCAAGTATGAAAGAGAACTGAGTAGATTCAAGTTAGAGAAAATACAAGCAGTAACTAGGGGTTTATATATGTAAGAGAATTGTGCACAGACCAGGCTGGGCTAAGGGTAATGAATACTAGGAAAGGAAGGTTCATGGGAAAACAGAGTATGAGTCAGAGATAAGAGAGACCATGAGGAAACAGCACAGTGAAAAGGAAGTGTTAGAAGTACAGCCATTAGGCGTCTGCAGTGATGATGGAAAAAGAGTGGGGCACTGTAACACCCAACACTTCATTGGTTCTCCTTCCATATGCCATGTTTTAGTACACCAAAACTTCACACTGTCACTTGCCAGTGAACCAATGGTCAGCACTGCACCATCAGGAGAAAAGTTCACCAAGGTAATTTCTGTGGTGTGAGCATTGATGGGTTGGGTGAGAGGTTCACCCATTTCACCATGCTAGGCTATGAGCTCTCCATTTCCATCACCATTCACTATTATTTTACCATCTCGTGATGCCGCCAATGCCCACACCCCATTGTGATGCCCCTCCATCTTCTTCAACATAACACCTGTCCCCAAGTCCCAAAGACAAAGTGTGTGGTCACTTGAGCCCGTAACCATTCATTGCTTATTGGGGAAAACTGCAGTTGCATTTACGGTCCCCTCATCATCATGATCTTCAAAAACTCAAAGAGATTTGGTGCTTGGAATGAGCTGTGACATTATACTGGATGGTATTGAGCATGGTCAAGGAATTGTGGATGTCTTTCTCTAAGCTGTAGATGTGCATGTATTGCTATGCAACTAAGGTCCTAGCTCACTTCCATAGATGCCCAAGACACGACGTAGTTCGCTTCCACACTCCTTCACAGATCCTGCAAGAATGCTTCCTCCTTCGAGTTCATGTGAGTCATAACCACCTTCCTCAATTGCACTTCCTATCTCCATACATTTCAGAATATATTCCTTCGCATTCAATTGCGATAGTGCAGTTTCTACTTACCGGCCCTTGAATTTAGCTCAAAACTATCCATCCTCCGCATAAATATTATTGTTGAGCTATTTCTCCAACACTTCATCATGTAACTTGTCCAAGTGCACATGACTTCTGTAATATCATGTCCTCATCTTGTTGATTCCCAAGATCTGCCTGTGCACTAGATGCAACCAAATTTCTTGGTAACAGTCCCTTCTCACATCTCAAATCTGCTCCTAATGGAGGAGTTTCCATCTTTGGAGACATGTTGTATCGAAAATCATAATTTTCAAAGCTGTCACAGCATTGCTTGCAGTGCTTTGCATCTTGCTCACCTCAGTTTCTCAGTCAACTACTGGCCCATTGTTGGCCTCTGTCTTCTCATTCACCAATTATCTTCCCATGTCCATTCTTGTTTCAATCCTGCACCACATAAATGTGCAATATGGTCAACATGCTCTACTCAAATTAGTGAGCTCTCATTACAGTCAAAGTTGTGTGAGCCTGCATTTCATTGTTGATATGTCACTGCAGCATTCAGGAATGTCATGTTATTAATCATGGAATACATGAGCCAAATCCTCCTACATTAAGTGAGTATTCCAACTTTTAACTGATCTTGCAAGGTACAAGAACTTTTGGGTCCAAGGTCTCACAATCCACCACCTTATGACTTGTTATAGGCCAGTATAAAGAGTCTGCAAATTCTGTGTATGGTGCATCTTGACTCTTGATGCTGTGCTCTCCAAGGTCTGACAGGATAATGACAAAAAGATTAATTATCTGCACTGATAAGTGCATTTTAGCAGTGCTTACTACTATAAGACCTTCACACTTTCTCAGTGCATTTCCTACTGCCAGCCTCTTGCCTACATATGTATGTGGACCACACCAGGCTCAGTAACAGTGCAGAAGAGCTCTTGCCCAGAATGCCTGTCTCTCTTTGCTGTGTGTCATTCTGAACAGAGTGGACATTCCAGGAAGAAGATTGTATGTGGCTGTTTGTTGCGGAGGTGGGTGAGTGTATTTTTCTTTCGTGATGTATTCCTAACAACAAGCCCATACATAGCCTATGTTCGACTTGTCAAAGATGTTTCTTTGGTCCTGATCTGATAGTCATCATCATGTTGTTTATTGGTCTACAACCCCCTTGTGCCAATGCACAATTTTTGGACAGTGAAGGATGAAAGGATGGATCACTGTCAACTTGCCATGGTCCCACTCCTGAAGAATTCTTGAGGATGAACAAATGATTGCAAGAAAGGATTGGGAAGGGATGGGATTTGGAATATAATTTGCACCCAAGCACCCATGTCCAGACACTCCATCATTATCTATAGTCCGGTACACATGCACTGTATGAGTATTATTTTTAGAGCACAAATGCAAACTGCTCAGAGGTCCATAAACTTTGAAACAAAACATATGACTACAATATTTCTATGGTCCTGATATCCATCAAGTCTCCAACAGAAACCATATTGTTGATCTGTCCAATGATATCATGGTCTGATGTGATCCTCTTATATTCTCCACTGCGCTGCTGTGCCAGCAAAAATGTGCTGAAAGGCTGTTCAAGGTGAACAAGCAACCACAATGCTCGTGATTCTAGGTCAACCACCTCCTGTTTTACAGAAGAACCACTGGACCAGTCATCTGATGGAGAAGAGGGTGGTGTGCAATATTCCTCATTGTTTTCTGTATTGTGTCCAAAGTCAGACAGTTCCACAAATTTAGATGGTTCCACAAAGTCAGGTAGCTCGAGGAGAGACTGATCCCAGGGATGGACAAGGATAAATTTTTGTTCAGTGGGCCTTACCAGCCAGAACTGAACCAGGGTCTCTTCAGTGGTGATGAGCAAGTTGTGTAGCCCATTTGCCTTCACTCCATATGTGAACAGAGTTTCTGGGGCTGGACTACGCACCTGTCTAACTTCCCTAACATTGAATGCAATACAAGGCAGATGCAATCTCTGTGCTGCGAAGCAAGGGGCACTCATGTTCTGAAGCAGGGTATAAAGGTTTGAAGCAAAATCCACAGCTGCCGTCTTTTGCAGTGAAGAAACAGATGACTGAATTTCATCTTCAGGTAGGGGTGGTAACTTGCATGGTGAAGCTTCATATGAAATGATGGGCATCAGGAAATTGACCCGAAACTGATATGGCCAGATACACATGACAAATAAAACATTATTATATGTCTAGCCTTAGATTTATATATTTTTCTCATCATGTCACATATATATGAAAGAAGGTATGATTACACAATGGAGATAGAATTTTGATATGTGTATTATAGGTCGACAGCAGTGTGATGACAGAACCCTCCAACCATTATAATTGGCTGGCCTCAAGACACATAATTATATGTTCAGCTTTGAAATTAGATGATGTTATCATGTGGTCACAGATGTATGAAATAAGGTATGACAATATGAGGGAGAAATAATATTGATATCTATTTTTGATGGGACAACATGACAATTAAACATTCCATATATTGCAACGGGCTGGCCTTAACAAACATTACTACTAGTAGATGACAGTACTAGTAGTGGTACATAGCAGTGTGATTGTAAGTAAAAGTGTTGTAAGAGGTAGCCATGGATATTCTTCAACCTGCTGCTCTGCATTGACTGCCTGTTCTCCAACCTCCTGATCTCTGACATGGACCTTGTCGCAGGCAATATCAGCCTCAAGATCTTCAGGAGGAGTTCTGGTTCTAGCAGGGGAGATGATGGATGCAGACAGCTGTGTCACAGGTGCAGGCCCAGGCCCACTGATGGACATGGGTGCTGGAGGCATGTGACGGGTACCCTTTGCCTCCATGGGGGCTGCAGGCATATAAGGGGGGAGCTTTGCAGGAGTGTTCAACACAGCTGTATCATACCACTCTTTCCTAATCAAGTCCTGATTGACACCAGTGGAATGCATGGAGAACATGATGAGAGCAAGGTCACCTGGGGGAAGTTTAGCAGCAATGCAAGCTGTGTGCGCTTTGTCGCCTGTGAGGTCTGCGTCAACTGAGAGGATGACAAAGTGGATGGTTGGCTTCGGGGCAGAGAACTTGATGACTTGTTGAAGAAGCCACCATGAACGAGCTCACCCGAGGTTGAGGCTGAGATGTCAAACCTGATGTGCAATGCAATGAAACTGTCATTGCTTGGGGTGCCATTTCATGGAGTGAAAAGAGTCAGTGTCAGTGCTGGGGATGATACATAATAAGAGTCACCCACTACAAATACGATTAGAACCAGAAGATCACACTAGCACTGATAGAACTCACAGCACATCATCCATAATGACCTCAGGTAGTTCCCATACAACAAAACTGCCATCAGAGGTGACACCTGCCAGTCTGTTGCTGTATACAGCCATATTGATGACCAATATGGCAGGTGCAAAGACCATTGGCAGCTGAAGAAGAGTGCGATCACTGCTTGATCGCAAGATGATGTGAACACGACCCTTGGTCATGGCATATGCAATCCAATGAGTAGCGCTGATGGTCATACCAGGCAAGAAGACAGAGTCCTGCTTGACCAACACAATTGCAGTAGATTCCATGGTGTCTCTAGGAGCCTGCACATTGTCCAGTAGCTGTGATACATTGAATACAATAGTTTGAGGTTGTGAGCTAAGTGAGTGTAAGTAAAGGCACATGTCAAAAATGTGGAAAACTTGCCTTGGACTCATATGTGCATTTCCTTTGGCAGCACCTTTGCCTCTGCCCTCATTCTTCTAGGTGTTACAAGGACTGGGTGAACTGTCCTTCTCCTGCCTAGCAGGCGGCATGGGAGCCTGGCTGAGAGGAGACTCCACAGGTCATGGCTGAGGATGCAGCTGCTGGGCAGCAGGCTTTGGGGGAGAACTCCTAGGAGGTGAAGCATGGCCAGGCTTGGGAGGAAGAGGTGGGAGTGGGGGCATAGTGCGAGGTTGGATGAGTTGCTGCTGAGGGGTTGGCTGTGATTCCACCTGGGAATATTCATCTGTGGTGCTATAAGGGTCATAAGTAGGAGATGAAGCCTGTCCAGAGGGGTAGGACTGCTGGAACCTGGTCAACTGGTCCATAAGGTTTGCCATGGACTTGCACTTTGGATCATTGAGAGATTTAGCAGATTTTTTACCAATATACGCACTGGCCTGCACAGTAGATGAGGAAGTGGAGTCATTTTGGGGAAGGACAATGCCAACTAAAGTTTGGATGGCATGATATGATCATGCTCAAGTCCTTGTCATGCACCATATGTATCATGAGGAAATCAACAAGGAGGATATTGCCACCTGTGTAGCATAGTCATTTGATACAGGCCAATGCAAGAATTCAGATAAGGACTTACAGCTGAGAGAGAGCGGGGCTTGGGTAACAATGATTTGCTCTTTGTCTGGAAGCAAGTAAATACTTTAGCTAGGAGTGATTGCAGAAGGAATGAGAAATGACCTACCAGTGGGAATGTACTGTGCATGAGCAGATCTGACTGAACCTGAACCTGGTGTTTCGCTTGGTGTTGGCAGTTGAGTAACCAGGTTTTGCATCATCCAGATGAATGGAAGTGTGATTGTGATATCTGCATTGAAAGTAGAGAACAACTCAGTACTCAGTGGTGCATCAAGCCCCAGAGCCAGCCAAACAATGCACAATCACCCTTTCCTGGCCATACCTCTTCTTGATAATGCAAGGGTATCCAATTCAGAGATGAAGAAAAGAAAAACAGTTCAATATTATACCTACAACTCTTGTCAGTCACACAAAACAACTGAGCAATGAAACTATTTACTTACATTCCAAGCATATGCAGCACAGACATGGAAAGATTATCCACAAACAACACCTGAATGTGGATATTCACAGGTCACTACAGAAAAGGTGCACATACAATCAGCATACACAGTGGCACTGCAAGAAGAGAGCAACTCATAGGCTCCTGCAACAACACCCAGAACCCAATCATGCATAATCCTACTCATCTGGTCCCTCCCCTCCTCATCCAGAATCATAAAATGCCCATCTTTGAGCACATCAAGCCAATGCACAGAGCACATATTGAACTCTGAGGAGTTGCTCAGCATCTTGCTCCACTTCACCTGGTCCAGCTTCCAGTTCCCAAAGAGCGTCTCAGGGTCTGTGTCAGGTGAGGCTGGTGATGGTTGGTAATGGAGTCTGAATTGGTATCAAAGTCCACCCATGGCCATGGGCCCAATGGTGCTGGGTGGTGAAACAAGTTATTGAAGTAGCTGAATCATTGTGCAGGGAAAACACTCACATGATGTGTGTGATCCTCTGGTGTAGTAGTATTTGGCAGTGTCTGACTGAAACAGGTAGGACCAAGTAGACACTGTTGACTAAGATGAACTATCAGCACCTTGTTCAAAACCACCTCAAACAACAAGAAATTTGCACTTATGGGGCCACAAAATGATGTAATTTGATTCAATTTATTGATTGCAATCACATACTGATCATTAACTTAGCAGTATTGCAGTCTTCAACAGTTTGTTGGAAGACTATTTACTTTATACATAGCTGATCTACCTATAGAGTAAGAAAGATGCAGGAGAATGAGGTGCGACACAAACAGGGTGAGGTGAAGCAGGCAAAGGCAGTTGATTGTGAAAGGAGAAAGGGGCGGTGGAGGCGGCATGTGTTGAAGATCATAATGATGTGCATGATCAACACTGATTGAGTGGTGAATAGTACTAATATACCTGTAGGATTAAGGCAATGGGAGTCTGAGGGAGAGCAGGTGAGGATTGCACAGTCATCCAGGTCTGGTGTATAATGTATCATGGCTGTACAATGATCAATACATGTTTAGTCTCATCCAAGTTCACACACCAGCAAGTATTGCCTGTGTTGGGGTCACAACTGAATATGCAAAGAAGACTGGAAAACATTCTTTGAGACACTAAATTAGTGTGATAGGTGTCTGCAGTTACCAGGGTTAAAGTCAATATCTGTACCATGAAGGTTGAAAAGCCATGCGACTTCATCAAGAAGCGTAACAACTGAGGCAACAGCATTCTTCTTTGCAATCTCTGCCCATAAGTGCTGAAGTTTGCTCTGGAATGTCTCTCCTGCTCAAAGTGTTGGTCTTGAACTATGCATAGTCATATCATGCTTATCAGTATATTTAACATTCAAAGGGAAAACACTGTTCTGAGGATGCGGGGGTTGGTCCTTGCCCCAGACAATGTCGACAGGGTTTTGATGGAGAGATACAAACTCAGATCCCCTAGGTTCAAGAGATTTTTCAAGACTCTTGGCATCCACTGCTATCATGTTAGCCAAACAACAAGGAGAAGTGGTAACACCTGTACCAGCTGAAATAAATGCAGGATTGATGCCAATATGGGTCCCTTGCTCGAGGTGCTGTCATAGTATTTGATCAGTGTAGGGTCCCAGAAGGACAGGAAATATTGACTTTAGGGATAAATTCCTGCGATGTGGGCACATCTTCCTCCTAAGTAAGTAAAAAGACATCAACAGCACAGGTGGAACAGCATGATACTGTCACTGGAAATTTAACACCACCATTTTGAGTCTAAATGAATGAGTCATTATCGAACACGTAGTATGAAGCAGGAGAATGGGAAAACAGGCCCACCTAAGAGAGCACACAAGGGCACTAGTATGAGACAAGCACTGCCACATAGGGGTTAGAACAATTTGAGGTAATAAGCATGAAACCTTACCAAAGTACCAAAATATGTGTTTGAGTGTGAGTGAACAAGCATGTATGTCCCTTGGGTGTTAGGGGTACAAAGACTTTTCCCACCATTTGATATGGACAGATGCTGATTGACAATCATGGTAATAGAAAAAACAGTCACAGAAATAACATAAAAGTCCATTGTACAACTAGCTCGCATTATAGTAATATAATGGTGGAAAATATGAGCTGCATAGTTAGACTAGGAAGTGAAACCAATAACCCAGTGATATAACTACAAGTCAGAATATGGGAGTGACCAGGAACTGGAAGATGTGGATGAGGTTGACATCCAGTCATCAAATCGAGCATCAGATAGATCTGATCCATCCATCTCAGCAGTTTCAGAAGCCCAGCCTACAACCATCTTAGTATGAGAAACTTCGAAAAAGCTGCATGCCCACCATCATCATTGCAGTGGAACTCAGTGATGCATAAAATGGCTTCAGACAGCATGTTGACTTCAGACTGTGTGCATTGCTTCTTCAAGTCCAGAATGTGAAAATCAGACTTGAGCACAAGCAGCGATTTAAACTCCTTTGCTATGAAGTTGTTGCCATGGTCGAGGTGTGGGGGCTTGTTGGCTTCTGCCAATGATGCACTCGTGTATACATGATATGTGAAGTTGTCAACCCAAGCTTTCATTACATGAGGTAGGGGAATAAATTCATCGTCAGGCTGCACAGCATCAGAATACCACGCCCTTGTAATATGAATAGCACTCACCCTTGGGATATGTTCATGACAACAGGCATATTGCAGAGTTATTTGGAAACCATTAGAATCTTGCATAGTGTCTTGAGACTGTGATGACATGAGAAGCCATGCGTGGCATTTTTCTTGAACAGCCTTGGTAGGTTGTGTGGGTGAGATAGTCTGAGACAGATGCTTTGCATGCTCCCATATACCCAACAGTGTTGGGTGTGACCAGCTTCTTTGGATCAACACCACTTGGAGCTAGGAACAAATTTAGTGTCAGACATGATCCTTTGAACAACATGACTCACTTGGGTGACATCTAGCATTCAGCTCTTCACACAAGTTCACAATAGCATTTGTGAACAATGATACCTCTATCTGAGCCTGATTCATTCTCTCCTCCATCAAAAAATGCCCCCCTCACTTGAGGTATTCCAGGCAACTCTCCTCTTCTTGCTGGAGGGTTGTCTGCATCATGTCCTCCATGAGGTGTGCTTCAATGAGAGCCTTGATATCAAGTGGATCAACCAATCCAAACAGCATGGAAGCTGTGGTAAAGAGGGAGTCTGGAAGCTGGAGGTGGGGTTGTGAGAGAGTGATGAGGGAAAGAGACATGCACTAACAGATTTATGTCCCTTTGTCTGCAGCCAAGACACCAGGTCATTTTCATTGTGTTCAATTCCAAGAAAATTGAGGTTCAAAGCTGCATCTGATGTAGAAAGAATAATATTTGACATATCGAAGGTGGTGGGCAGAAAAAAAAGGCCTCAAGTATGTTCACACACCCATTGAATGCTGACTCAACATATACAGTTGATCTTGTAGGAGCAGTGGCCAAGCTATGGCGCACCATGGATCAAACTGTAAGAACATTAGATTTGAAAATGACAATAACAAGATTAAATTCACACACATTTTGAATGCAGCGAAGTCTAGGTCTCGCTTACACAACTATATTGTAGGCTTAGGAACATGATCATGTGCCATTGGTGTGCCATCAGTGCGCCATTGATAAAATTAGCTGTCCTCAAGGCTCCATTATGGAAGAGATGACTTCTTCCAAAGCCCCTAAGTTGTGCCATCAGTGTGCCATTGATAAAATTTTAAAAAAAGAGGCTGTCCTTGAGGCTCCATTATGGAAGAGATGGAACTTCTTCCAAAGCCCCTAAGTGGCATGTGAGCATGGATATTGGTATAGGCATTGTCACTTACCTTATAATTGCCTTGTAGGACGACTTGACATGCTGTGGTAATGAATGTTTAGGAGGCTGTACTTGAGCCCCTTGTTTTAAAAATTCAGAGTCACAAAGGTTTGATAATGGAAGACAAATTGTGTACATTTCAAAAGAGCACCTTACAGATGACATGAATGGAACATAATGTTAGGAGGCTGCTTTCTTCCTTGCCTTCTTACTAAGGCTAAGACTGGCTCACCCATTTGACATCACCCTTCCTGCACATTCCATTCTGATTAGCTAGTGGTACAGACATCACATCTATGTAAACTTACCTGACATCACATAACATTTTCATAGCCAACATAAATGCTGTGTGGCCAGAATTGCTGGATTGTTCAAATAGCATAGGAAGCATCTGGCATACATGCGCATGAAAATTGCTTGTAGACATGAATGCATGGAAGTCTTTGACTTCAATATCAAGGAATGTCAACAGGACGATGTAAGCCTAATGAAATTGGTGAATGAAAAAGAATATAGAGTAGAAAGGCAACTGACATTGGTCAGTGCCAAGGCCAAGGTTGCCATGGGTGGGTATGCTGCATGTCTAAAGATTGCAGGACACAGATCTGCAAGACAGATATGATTGCCTTGTGTGCTGTTGTGCCAGAAGATCACATAGTACATAAACTCTTTTGTGACCTGGTGGAGGAGAAACCATGCTATACCATTATCCTGTGTGACAAGATAAGAGTTTGAGCACCAAAGCTAATTCAGAACACTTACAGTGAGTGGAAGACGATTTGACTGTGGGGGCTTCAGCTTAGATAGCAGTGATATGACCTTATTATTAAGCGTGGTCCCAAAGATTGTGCTGAGGTCAAAGCCAGCACGATTGCTTTTGAGTGTCGCAAAAATGTGACACTTGTTGTCATGCATAAAGAGACTAAACCAAGTGTCGCCCTGTTCTGGGATGAGACAGGTAAGGGAAAACAAGGATAACATGAACAAGAGCCAGGATGTCTGCTTCAGACATGGGAGTGTTGTTTGCTATTGTGACCACTATGAGAGAACTTAGCATGCATGTCAGAGAGAATCAAGCTGCACACTGTTTTCCAAGTCCTGCAGCTGAAATTTTGACTGAGTCAGAGCATCAGGCCAGATGGAGTTAAGCAGTGCCTTTTGCTCAGTAACATAATCAGACATGACAAGTAGGAACAGATTGGGACATTCCCTGCAACAAATAGCAGCTCGTATCATGCACCGAAGGTTGGCAAGAGCCTTTCCCCAGTTGGGGTACTGGTGTGAAATACGTTGCAGTGTAGTGTTTTTGGTTTTGGTCCTGGGTTTGTGATGAGCACCAGTTTTTTGTGTGGTGAGATTAGACATGTGGGCATTGGGGTTGCCTCCACATGCCAGATATGCGGAGGTGCCATTGTGAGAAGTCTTGAGGATAGATGAACTGATCAATGAGCCAGGAAAACCAGACTCCAAAGAGTCAGCGGCAGGACTATAGGCCCAAGTTGCACTGGAAAGAGGGTCATAATGTAAATGATCAATGGTGGGATATTGCCCAGATGATTCCAAAGAACTAGGTGTGATCATAACTGAGGGCAGTGAGATCTGGCATTGGCAGGAGAGATGTTGAGTTGAAAAGAGGGAACCCCACAGAATATAGAACAGGATCATAGCCTGAGGGATGGAGTGCGAGATGGACAATGGTGTCCCCAAAGTTCCATGTTATCTACGATATTGTCAGGTTAGAGAAAGATAAAAGTGTGAGGTGCATGTACACAACTATAAATGTTGTAATTATGATTGGCATGGCCCAACCTTTGGCCTACCAAGGGAAGAATAAACATAGGAGGCAGGTGGTCCTGCTGTGGGGTTGATCAGTGGAAAGGCATGGGGCACTGTCGAGATTCAACGTACCGCATAGATGGGCACTTCCAAGCCTGGCACTTCCTCATAGGCATCATGTAACAATGGAGTCAACAAATAAGCTGATAATACAACCTTCAATTTTAACTAGAGCAGCAGTCAGCATATATAGCACACAAAAATAAACACTTACAACAACAAGATCTGCATGTGTAGACTGCACTGACAATGAGACATTGCAAACAAAATGTCAAGGAATGCAAATACATAGAGAGGGTAGAGAACTGTCGGGGACCCAGCAGAAATATACCCTATGAATGGTAATGAAGCCATTACCTCAGGGCAATTATTCAAAACAAACTGTAAAAGGAGTGAGTCCTCCAGATGATTTGAAGTGAAGAACACAACTTACTGAGAAGGTGAAGAATGCATTTTCTCGAAAGAGAATTGAGTCAAAGAAAGGTGCACCATTGTCTGGATTGTAGAGGATATCCATCACTATCTGGATAGAGTCAAGAGGTAAAGAAGACGCTTTTAAGGATAATACCTGTGAGAAATTAGGCAAGTGCCATTGCAGTGCCATTGTGTTATTATGTTCATTCTTTATTACATGTATTATGTGCATATGGATGTATTGAATGTGGACATATGCATTGTGGTGATGTGCATAGAATATCATAACCCTGTGCCATCAACTTGAATGCTAAAATGTTAAATTTTTTTATGTGTGATGACTCACTGCTAATTCTCATAATCTAAATCTACATTGCTATAGTACATATCATCAAATTCCTCTGTCAATGATTTGTTACTGGAACCAAATTGCTCTCCAATGGCTTCCACTCTCGAGGTACCATCATCTTCCTCTTCGTATTCACTATTATATTCATCAGCATCTCCATTGTTGCCCACATAGTCAGCAGGGACGTCTTCTACTTCACTTCCTCCTCACTGAAGATCAACCTGTGCACCGCAATGGTGAGAATAAGTGTGTCCGACCCCAAGGCCAAAGTGGAATCACATCAGCATGTCACAGTCAACAAACCTGAAACTGTGAGTTCAAGATTGCTATACACAAATTATGCCCCTGACCCACTGATTAATGAAGTATGCGTGCCAATCATCCTTGTCCCCTGCACAAGCTGACATACCCGATCCTTCTGGATGTCTCTTGTCCTTCTCAAAACATGGTATTATGTGGCAGCCCCTTAGGACATTTGCTGGATCAAGGAAGTTGAACAAATACTGGTCTGCCATGAGCAGAAATCTAACCTGATTTAAGGTCAAGGTCTCCCAGGCAGAGACCTGAGCCATGGGCTCATACCAGCAAACCCATAAGAACTCCATTTGTAGTGGAGTGTAGTTGACCATGCCACTTCCAATATAGATAACATTAACATGATACACACCCAGCATGTTACCATAGACAAATTTGTGCCCTTGGTGCCCTACATCATTGGCAGCACAGAGAACCATCACATTGCAGTGGGAAGTCCTAGGGTTGATGACATCTTGAGCTCTGCGAACATCATAGTTAGTGTAGTTGAACCTAGCAATGTTGTGGCAATACATCCTATTGTCCTTGATAATGACCTTATTAGTGTCATTCTCTTCTCCCACTCCTGGCACAGCAATTTGTTCCAGCAGATGATCCTTGAGCTTTACAAGGAAATTCTGTGGGGCATGTTAGGAGGTGTTTGTGCACAATGATTCATCTCACCTTGATTGCTGGATCACCCTTGTGGCTGATTAAATACAATCCTATATGAACAGGACTTTTTTCTGTCGCACCAATATGGTGGTGGATGTGTGGGTTTCTGGCTAATTCTGCAATTTCGATGTGGGGGCAATGAACTATCTTGTCACTGATACGACAAATATGAGCCTGGCGGCATTTGATCTGGGTCAGCTGTTTCTCAAATGATTTGCAATCCGTCTAGCAATATCTGGACTTGGGTGAGTGATGCTTGAGTTCACCATACAGTGATTGGTGAGTTAAGTGTGAAGATTAAAATTTATGAGACGGACAGGTTCAGAGCTGTATGAATTGGACATGCCATATTGACAGATTGTAGACACATAGTCACCCAAAGCATGGAACTTGTACGTCTGGAAGTTGAATTCTTTTTTGCACTTGACAGCAGGTGATGTCTGTGACTCCACCACCTCCCCTTGTTCCAGCATGCTAGAGCTATGCTTACCTTTCTTCCCTCCCACCTGTTTTGCTGCTTGTTTTGCTTTGCATTGGGCATGAGCTTCAACCTCCTGGTGAAGTTCTTGTAAATTGTAAGCTAAGCAAACTGTTGCTTTGAAGTCGCAGAATTGTTGGCCAACTGCCAAAGTGACACAATCCATGATTTCTAGTGTCCAATCAGAATGCATTTGGAGTTTGGTGAGTCTGTGCCAATGCACCATGGTAAAGAGCAAATGCAAAACAGATGAATTATGTGGCTCAGGGAGAATGTCATATCTGCATATCCAGATCTCAGATCCAACCATTATCTCATCTCAGATCCACATCTTATCTCTGATCCTATCCACATCTTATCTCCCTCCAACATCTTGTCATTCAATCTGTCCACTTGTCCGGTCTGGTCCACAACTCATCCGAATCCACAACCAGTGCTCATCTCCTTTCGGTAACCCCCTAACTCCGGTGTTTCAGTTACAGTGGCTCAAAAAACTGTCCGCATGTTTTGACATTTTTCACTATCTATGATATTGTGTGAGAACGAACAAATGCCTCAAGGACATGCTCATACCACATTGTAGTATGGCTTCAGGGCTTTCATTTGAGCCCTACACCGTGTGAATCGGTGGAAATATGGTGGAGATACAAGGCTTACAAAATCATGACTCATGCAGACAGTTTTTTGAGCACATATTAAAACTATATAAATCATCATCTATGACACCATAACAATCATGCCACCATTAAATAAATTATAAAGTGGTGTCATTATGTCATTTTAAAGCCATATCTAACTATACAAACCAAAAATTTCCATATGTCATGGTTATATTCACCATGAAAGCCACCCCCCTGCTCAAAGGAATAATATCCTCTCTCTTTCCTATTCTGGCCTCTCTGCTTGTCAAATTTCCTCTAGAACTGGAGTATGCAAGTCCACTGTGGCCAAGTTCATCAAAGAAAGTCACACAGACAAGGAAAACTTCTGTGAAGGGCATCCATCCAAGCTCACCTCTACTGATAGGAGGGCTATTATTCAACATATCACTACAGGAAAGGCTGATAATGCTGTCCAGGTCACCTATTACATCAATTCCACCATCACATTCCCTGTCTCTTCACACACTGTGAGAAACATTCTCAAGACAGCTCATCTCAGGTCAGTAACAAGGAAGAAAAGGCTCTCCTCTCTATCACACATAAACAGAGATGACTAACCTTTGCCTTAGCCCATCAGAATTGGATTACATGGACTGGAAGCATGTTATATGATCATATAAGACCACAATAAATAGGATTGGGTCAGATGGCAAGGTATATATGTGAAACAAGAAGGGTGCTAGTCCTCTCTGCATATGTGTGATAGAGAGGAGAGCCTTTTCTTCCTTGTTACTGACCTGAGATGAGCTGTCTTGAGAATGTTTCTCACAGTGTGTGAAGAGACAGGGAATGTGATGGTGGAATTGATGTAATAGGTGACCTGGACAGCATTATCAGCCTTTCCTGTAGTGATATGTTGAATAATAGCCCTCCTATCAGTAGAGGTGAGCTTGGATGGATGCCCTTCACAGAAGTTTTCCTTGTCTGTGTGACTTTCTTTGATGAACTTGGCCACAGTGGACTTGCATACTCCAGTTCTAGAGGAAATTTGACAAGCAGAGAGGCCAGAATAGGAAAGAGAGAGGATATTATTCCTTTGAGCAGGGGGGTGGCTTTCATGGTGAATATAACCATGACATATGGAAATTTTTGGTTTGTATAGTTAGATATGGCTTTAAAATGACATAATGACACCACTTTATAATTTATTTAATGGTGGCATGATTGTTATGGTGTCATAGATGATGATTTATATAGTTTTAATATGTGCTCAAAAAACTGTCTGCATGAGTCATGATTTTGTAAGCCTTGTATCTCCACCATATTTCCACCGATTCACACGGTGTAGGGCTCAAATGAAAGCCCTGAAGCCATACTACAATGTGGTATGAGCATGTCCTTGAGGCATTTGTTCGTTCTCACACAATATCATAGATAGTGAAAAATGTCAAAACATGCGGACAGTTTTTTGAGCCACTGTATACCATCCAACATGGCAGTGAATTTATCAATGAATATCCTTGAGTTAATGCAGCTGGCAAGTGATATGCAGGGATGACTGAAGATCCCAATCATCTTTTGGGTGCTTTTCCATGTCTATTTCCTTATGGATATGGTGGCTTTGAAATCCAACATCCTCATACCATCTCATATGAGGCTCAAGCAAAGTAGACAATGAAGTATGGAGATAGACATTTTTGCAAAGATTTCCACTTCATGTTTCAAGTCTTTGGAGTGATACAAAAACATGAAGTGTGCAGATCAGTGGTACTTCAAGTTCAAAAGAAAGCCTTTCATGAAAATGAAACATCCTTTGCTCAACTGTCCACACCAGATCTTGCTGCAACTGGATGAGAGGAAGTGAATGGAAAAGTACCATCAAATCCCATCATCCGCTCACTTAAGAAGCATTTGACTGCTGTGTGAGCAAAAATGACAGGTACAGATGAGTTGAGGATAAGCATTTGTGCATATATTTGGGGTATGACTATCATGAAAAACCACCCATCATTATGGATTACAATCAACCCCACCAAGACTCATGATCCAATTGCACAAGTCTTTGCTGGTGAAGATATTGATTTGGATAAATTCAACTGTAACTCTGGACCTGATGCATTACATCGAGCTATGATTATCGCCAATGATCCTTATGCTGCTGCAAATTTTTTCCATTTCACCATTCGAGCAATCCTCAAAGAATTAATGGGAACCATGATACCAAAATCACAAAAAGGGCATATCAAATGTTGAGAAGATATTTTTGGTACTGTTGAAAGATATGTCAGCACAGTCAATGCACAAGGCTGAGGTACTCTCCACTTACATATGCTCATATGGTTGCAAGGTGCACCGACAGCTAATGTGATGAAGGAGAGATTGCAATCCCCAGAATTCAGAACTGAAATCACTAATTATATTGGTTCCAACATTCATGCACATCATCCACAGGTGACAGAAGAGACACTGGCAAATATCCCCCATGAAAAAGCCATATCATATTCATGACCTCTTGATCCTCACAATCCTCAGTTCACAGCTGATCATATGAACATTGAACAGAAGTTGGTTCATGCAGTACAAGTTCACAAGTGTGGTCCAGGATGCTTGAAAGTAGCGAAAGACAGGATACTGTGTAAATGGCAAGCACCATTTTCATTGGCCCCTGAACCATGGATCAATGCAGGAGGGGATTGGGGACCACACTGAACCTATGCTTTCCTCAATAGTTGGAATCCTTGGATACTCTTGGTGACACATTCAAATCATGACTGCAAGATCATCACAAATGGTGAAGACACAAAACATATCTCATGGTATATATCATCCTATGCAGCCAAATGACAACAACACTCTTCCAATGCATCAGCTCTTCTTGCAAAGACTTTTGCTTATCATCAAGACAATGAGAGATGAAGTGTAGACCTTCATCAAGTTAATAAGCACCTCATTCAAAGATGGACAAACACTCTGAGTCACAAGCAAGAGTTTAGTGCACCTGAAGTTGTGTCATACCTGACAGGCTGGAATGACCAGTATATTTTGCATCATTTTGAAACCATTCATTGGAGTTCAGTCATTGGTCTGTTGAAACAAAGTTTTCCTATCCTTCAAGAGCATCAGTAAGCAAATTTTCATATGCCAGGATCTAAAATCATCTGACTCTTCAACATGCAGTCACATGTCTTCAAATGACTATGTCTCTCTTGAATTGCATGAAGGAGCTCTTTGCATCAAGAACCAAATTCATGATTACATTGACCACAGGGATGAACTTGAGAATTTCAGTTACCTCGATTTCTTCCTGAATACCTATGATATGTGATCAGACATGGATCCTTCTGCAGTTCACAAAAAGGAAGGGGCAAGTGTGCACATTCCGTATAAAGAAGACACTCATCACACTGGCCATGTTCATGTTCTATGCAATGAAGGACATGAGACCATGCCACATATTCCAGGTCAATGGTTTCCTGCAGCCAACAATGTTGAGCACTGTGAAATATATTGTGCTTCTATGCTTGCTCTTCTCAAACCATGGCATAATATCATAGGCATCAAAAAACCATCCAATTCATTCTCGACCACCTTCAACGATTTCATCGTGCATGCTCCAGAAAGCATCACCCAAATAGTCACCAATATTCAGTACTTCCACAAATGTGCCAAAAAAGCCAAAAGTGAATGAGAGAAGGAATTGCTGTGCAGTTTTGGTGCTCTGGACATAGGTGAACATCTAGATGACAATGCAGATGAAATCATCCATCTAGAATGTGAAAAGAATATAGATGATGAAAACATCTCTCAGGACAACATTTTGCAAGCTACAGAAGGTTTGGTAAATCCATGTGAGCTGTTATATGCAGATGTCGCATTGAACATCGCTGAAGAATTTTGTTTTTTTGATGAAGATAGCTATCCTCTTACTGTTGCCAACAAGCCTGCTAATCCTGCTTCCCATAACAATCTACAGCAATTGCTTGACTAGCAACAAATCATGACTACATGTGATGAGCCACACATCAACTGTAATCCACCATCATCCAATCATGACACAATGAGTGCTGGTGCTGACCACACTAATAACAATGCTTCAGTCTCTTGGCAAAGTAATCCTCACAAAATGGTAGAATTTTCAGCCACTGCCCCATCATATCTCAATCAAGAACAGACTATGGCTTTCAATATTATAGCACATCATTTGATAGAACACTTACAGGGAAAAAACCCACCTCAACTCCTGATGGCCATACATGGTCAAGGCAGAACAGGAAAAACACACTTACTTCAAGCTATTACTTCCCTTTTCTCCAAACTTGGTTGCACAAATCTTTTTGCAAAAACTGCATCAACTGGTGTTGCAGCATGTCAGATAGGAGGCAAGACATTGCACACATGGGCGACTATTCCTGCAGGAAAAGGTACACCTTGATCTGACACTTGGGTTCATTGTCCAAGTAGGGAGAGCACAAAGAAGCGGATTACAGATATGCAAGGAAATTTTCTCTTTGCCACTGATGAAATGAGCCTGCTGACAACTGAGCTCTTGTACCTTCTATTGCAAGTCACATCTACTTTTCAAGCAACAGAAGGTGAGTTTACACACAACATCACCAATATATCTACTGAACACAATGAATCTTAAGGAATTCCACTACAACTGGTGACAGCACCCTTTGGAGGACTTAGTGCAATCATACTAGGCAACTTTCACCAGTTTCTGCCTATCACTAGCTGTTACCATGCTTTGTATTCTCAGAATCCTCAGACTGCTAAATGCCAACTTGGCAGGAACATCTATCTGTGGTTTGATGCAGTTGTTAAACTTCAACAGCAAATTCATATCACAGATGCTGTCTGGCACAACATTCTGCAACATGCGAGAACTGGAGCATGTACAAGTGTTGATTTCTCAGAGATTCAACAACTTGTTCTCACCAATAAAGAATGTAACATACCAGACTTTTCCTGTCCACCTTGGAACAATGCAGTTCTAATCACACCTCACAACAGTGTACAATCTCGATGGAATATTAGAGCTACAGAAAAGCACTGCTTACTCACTGGAGAGATATTGTACATCTGCCCTGCGGAAGATTCCACTCATGACACACCACTCCAACTGCACAATGACTAGCTATTACAAAATTATCGTTGAAGCAGACTGAACAACTGCCTGCCATGATCTGAATCTGCAAAGGCATGTATGTGATGATAACATGCAATATAGCAACTACTGCCAACCTGTCAAACAGATTGCAAGGATGCATCTCAAATATCATATTAGATCCTAGGGAGCCCAACATTGACACAAAGGCAGCTGTAGAAAGAAAAGTATTCTTGCTTTATCCCCCAGCACTCATCATCATTCACCTCGACTTTTGTGAGTTACCACAATTACAAGGTCTTCCACATCAGCACATACCTTTGTCACCCTTGGAATGCAAATTTTCAATTGGTACAACTCCTTCAACAAGAATAAAGCACAGGCAACTTCCTCTGATGCCCACTTATGCCTTTACAGACTTCAAAGCACAAGGGCAAACTATTGATTATGTGCTGGTTGACATCAGGAAAACAACCTGTTTTGTGCTGTCTCCCTTCAATGCATATGTTGCTCTATTCAGAAGTCACAGTTGCAACTGCATCTAACTCCTCAGAGATTTTGATAACAAGCTATTCCTTCAACATCCTTCTGAAGATCTGCATATAGGAGACAGCGGGGTTGAGCAACTTGTAGATGAAACAAAAAAATGTTATGCACAGTAAGTAATACTGACCTTGTTCAACTAATATAAGCTGATCATGACAAATCAGAGCTGGAATATCAAATGCTTCTCAGTAAAATAATGTCTGTAGTTGTTAACTTACATCAGCATAACCAAATAAACCCTCACACTGACCATCAACATGTTTGCAACCATGCACAACATTGCACACCATTATGATGGAAATGGTATATTTATTCTAAGTGCGAGAATATTCAGTAGTACAAACAGTGACTACAGCCACCTTGCAGAGAAATCACATCACCATATATCTGCAGTCCATGCAAGGACTGTGTTACTGCTCACAGGTGAACCTTGGACCGAAACAGAAAAAGAGATTGTATTAATTGACACTGAGATGACAAACAGTGAGACAACCAGCAACTTCATCAGTAAGCTTTGAAAAATAATCCAGAATATCATACTGAACAATTGAAAGACATCCTAGGAATGATATTGCATGCAGATGAAATGACAATATACTACTCCAGAGATGAAGACCTGATGAGAAGTCTCATCAGATTAATAAAACAATGATGACAAACACACCTATATGACTTATCAACAAATTCCTACTAAAATTTTAAGGAATAGTCAAACATACAATTAATACCCACCTGAGCGACAGAAGACATGGATATGAACAGTCCCACAACCTTGAAACTCAAGGACACCATAAACAGAGCTATTATTGACAGTGGTAATGCCCTGCAACTCAGAAGTATGAACTTGCAATTGTGAATTATTGTGGGATGACATGAAGGTTGGAATCAAAATGCAAATTCAAGCACCACAACAATAAATAAACAGCAGTCAACAACTGAGCAAGGTCCATGTCAGCAATACCAACCCCTAGTCTCTCAAGGGTCATGAATCATCCAGCAACTCACTCATGTGGACGCCTGATGGCACACACCTTCTTTCAGCAGGCAGTAAATTTATATGGGAGTGGGATCCATTGACCTGGAAGCAAGTTGGTCACCCCTGGGAAGGCCATACTGACAGTATCTATGCCATTGCCATTCATGATCATCCTGCTGGCACCCTGGTTGTTTCCACATCTGAAGACAACCATGTCTGTCTCTGGTGGCTCTCAGATTGACAGACCATTGCCATATTCCAGCATTCATCCATCCCAACATGTGTCACATTCTCTGTGGATGGTAAACACATCCTCAGTGGAGAACAAGATAAGACCTCAGAGTGGGCAGTCCCCAAGTGTATTCATCCAAAGGCAAGTTTCCATTCTCAACTCTTGTAGTGCAATTCAAGCATCCTTCATGCAGATCCTGGCTATTTTGACAGCTCATGATGCATGTGTAACTGGGGACCTGTCTACTGCTGAAAAGTTAATCACTCAAGACATCCACACTGATGACAATGACCTTGACTATACTTCATATGCCAATCGTTCATTCATTATGGCCAAAAGACATGCCTGGGACCACACACTCAAGGATGCAATCAAGGCAAGTTGTACTGACTCATCATGGCCCTCTTATGATAGAGCTAAATTTCATTCATGACATAGTCCATCAGCATTCACCCCTCATTGATAGGCTATATTTCTAGAGGTATTGCTCTCTGTGGAAAAGGCCAAGTCTGGGACATGAGAGCAGCATTCAATGTCACATCCACATTAATGAACCAAAGTCCAGCCACCAACCATTTCCTTCTCTTGATCAAGGTACATTAAATCTATCTCACATATTTTCTACCTCATTGCATATTTCAGGCCATCACACTCTTCAATGCAGAGCGACATGAGGAAGCAATGCTGCTTGTCAAGGAGCTGGCTGCCATCTTTCTGAATGCTGATGCTCTCAGGTGTCATGTCATGGAAGTGAGTATCATGCAGCCATGTTCTGTCAGCAAGCCTAAGAGTCCGTTTGGGAGGTCAGATTTAGGCCAACTTAGCTAACTTTTTTGAACTTCAAATCACATCAAGTAAGCTGGAGCTTGAATTTGAGTCACGCTGTTATCTCTGATACATACTACCATGTTGCTTCACCTGTTGCACCATAGCAGTGACCCTGACTCGGATCCACCATCCCATGATACTAGAAGTGACAAAGTCTCAGAAGATTACTCGAACTCTTGGGACGATGATGAGGCGGATGAAGGGGATGAGGTGAATGAAGGGGATGAGGAGGACAATGAAGATGATGTAGAGTGGGCACATAAGAAGACTCTTTGAGTGGTCATAGGCCTATTCCACCAAATAGTCACATCAGGTTCTGAAACTCTCACCATCACGATGGATGCCTTCAACTCCTACACAAATACCCACTACAACAAGACACCCTACCATACCTCAGCACTATGAGGGATCGGCTGGGTTACTGAACTTATCAATGGTCACACTGAATGTATCTGATGTGAGCTGGGCATTCACCGCCATGTATTTATTGTATTACTCAATGTACTTTGGGAAGGTGGGATCAATGATTCGAAGCATGTAAAGCTGGAGGAGCAATTGGTGATTTTTCTGTATGCTTGTGTCACCGGTCTTTATGTATGCCACATTGGCGAGTGTTTCCAATGCTCTAACAACACTATATCAAGGTATGTTTTCACTGACTCTCACATCCTAACAAAGCTGATTTCTTTCCAGATATTTCAAGTGAATCCTTATCACATTCTCCTCCCATCCTATCTACCCTGCCTATGTTCAGCTTCCTGAGGCAGATGCTCCAACCCCCCCTAAAATCCTCGACAGTCCTAAATTTTACCCTTACTTTGCAAATGTCATTGGTGCCATTGATGGCACACACATCACTTGCCACCCATCAGCTGCTGATCGCCAATCTTCCCATGACCGCAAGGGAAACTTATCGCAAAACTGTCTTGCTGCCTGTGACTTCAACATGCAATTCACCTACATGTTGAGCAGGTTCCAAGGGTCTGTGGCAGATGCTCATGTCTACCACATGGCTCGTTTGTTGGACTTCACGATCCCTCCAGGAAAACTGTATCTTGCTGACACTGGATTTGCAGCATGCAATGAGTTACTTGTACTGTATCGTGGTGTTTGCTACCACCTTGCTGAATGGGACTGTGCGGGCCTCTTGTATGTTGGCTCCCAACTTACCGCACTCTAGTACTTACATACATGGCTTGTAGACCCCGCAACCACCAGGAACTCTTTAATCTATGTCACACAACACTCTGCAATGTTGTTGAGCAGATTTTCGGTGTCATCAAGAAGTGCTTCTGCATCATTCAGCTCCCTCCTGAGTACAGCTCAGATATTCAATCCTGCATCCCTCCAGTGCTATGTCTAGTTCACAACATCATACGTATTCATGACCCAGACAATTTATTAGACTACCACCACATGGAATCAGACAAGTGGAGCGCTCCTTACTATAGCGGTACACTTTCTGATGGGCCTCCAACTGAAGCAGCACGCACTTGTGCACATGCACTACATGATCAAATTGCACAGGACATGTGGGAGGATTATTTGGCAGAAATAGTTCATTGAGGGCTGCCAATGCCGCCTGGTGTAGAAGAATAGTCAATCTCACATTATCACTCTCAAATGTAGCACAGCTGGTTGAATTGATGAATTTTGGATATGCTAATACATCGAAAACCTAGTTACCACTGCTCGCATGAGCCTGTAGGTAGTCTGCTAAGAACAATTTGTGGACACCAACTTGTGTGATGTTAAGGTAAGAATCAGCAACTATAACGTCAGATTGAAATACTTTGATCATCTTGAGAACCTTGTGATCATCAAGATCAGGCTCCTCTTGTACCAGGCAGATGGCCCTTTGCTTGCAGACTGGGGGCGGCTCGTGACCCACAGCGACTTCCTTAAGTACAACAGTTGCGGTGTTGATGCTGCTCTTCACCTGTCCGCCCAACTCCTCCAATGCATTCAGCAAAGTGCACTGGGATTTTGATGACCCTCCTGCACTCTTGCCAGACTTCAAAGAGTGAGGAGGGTGAGATTCCTGGTGTGAGGTATCATCATCCATAGTCTTGCATTTGACGGCCATTGAAGAAGCTGGTGTGGAATTGGACACCAACAAGGGTGCGGAGGGTATGAGGAAGCGCAGCGAGTGTGGTGCTGTATTGGAGGATTGGGCCACTGAGATGAGCTAAGGTTGGACAGTGGAAGATGGGGTGGGGGGGTCTTTGGGGACAGGCATTATCTCAGTGTCGGTGTTCTTGTGGAACTCGATGTTTTCAAGCAAGTTCTCTAGTGACTTCATTATGATGTCACTAGCGCTTGTGCTGTCAGTGGGCGTTGATGTGTTGGCATTAATGTCGAGGCTTGTGTGGAAACCAGTCCAGGTACTGGTGTGAGATGGGAGGATTTCGGTGAGGGCCTCGTAGTGTTCCCAGCCCAAGGATTTGATGGACTTTACTTGAGGATCTGCCTATGAAAATTGTGAGTGTGGTGGTGAAGAGATGGCTGAAAAACACATACCTTAAGTAAATCCACCCAAATTGTCTCAGATTTGGCAGTGATATTCATGCCCTTCTCACGAGTGTAGGATATACCAGATGAGTTGGCTATCTTGTCAACAACTTTGAAGAACTTGCACAGCTATAAGAGTAGTGGTATCAGTAATCATAGTGCCACTGGAGATGAATAGAATACTTACCCGCCCCCACTTCTGATGGCATGCATCAGGGCTTTTAGGGGCACCCACCCCTGGAGTGCCCTTATTAGCCATCTCTGCAGCTGTGGCAACCCAGAATGATTTGTCGAAGTTCATCCCATTGCCACCCTTGGCTTGATGGGTGGTGATGTATGCAATGAGGGCACTCTCATCTGCCTGGGTCCAGATGCAATGGGATTCTTTTTCAACCATTTTGTCGGTTTGGGCAGATCTCCTCTTTGCCTTGACCATAGTGGTCCTAGTACATACATGGAGGCATTGGGATGAAGCTCGGGTTGTGGGCATGATTGATCATTGATAGGATAAGTAATTGTGTGACATGTGTTGGTCACATCAACCAGCAGTTTGGCAAGCTTACTTAATGTGGTTTGAAGTTCGAAAAAGTTAGCTAAGTTGGCCTAAATCTGACCTCCCGAACGGACTCTTAGGCGGCGTCTAAGCGAGTTTCAAAAGTTGATTTGAGCAACACTATTGATGATTATCTATCACGTGCCTCTGTTTATGTAATAGTAGGGCAGAAAATGTGACGCATTCCCTCGTGTCTTGTTTATAAATTTGGGTATTGTCTTGTGTTGCGATGGCACGAAGTCCACCAGAGGACGAATATCGAACGCAGCGGACACCACCACACTCGATTGGTTTTCCATGCATCGGCCACGTTTTGATACACCAAAATTCCACACTTGCCAGTGAACCAGTGGTCAGTACCGCACCATCGGGAGAAAAATCTAATGAGGTGGTCCCATTAGAGTGGGCTTTGATGGGTCGCCAGTGGATGAGAGACTCTCCAGTTTCACCGTGCCAGGCGAAGATTCCTCCATTTTCATAACCGCTTGCGATTATTTGACCATCTCGTGATACCGCCAATGCCACCACCTTATTGCAATGCCCCTCCATCCCCTTCAACACAATTCCTGTTTTCAAGTCCCAAAGACGAAGCGTCCTGTCATGCGAGGCTGTTACTATTCGTCGTCCATCGGGGACCACTGCGACCGTGGTTGCGCCCCCTTCAAGAACTCGTAGGGGTCTGGTGCTTGGAGTTATTAATGTCGATGTTGACGTTTCGGTCGATAACGACAGGCCCATTGTAGTATCTCTCTCTAAGCTGCAGAGGTGCGTGTATTGTACGTTTTATGCTACCCCACCACTCTAACATGCTTCATTTCCATATATGCCCAAGACACGAGGCAGCTCGCCATCACTGTTCCAGCAAGAATGCTTCCTACGAGTCATAACCACCTTCCTCGACAGTGTACCTCCCTGGCGCCTCTGCACTGCGTACATGTATCCGACTCTCATCTCCACATCTTCTAGAATGTATCTCCTCGCATTCGATTGCGACAGTGTAGTTTCTATATCCAGACGCTCGAACACTATTTATCCTGAATGGCTGTATGAATATGATCTCTAGTAGCCACTCCACCTTATCTGAATGTAGGTGTATAGATCACCTCCTCACCGCGTCGATTCCAAAGAGCTGTGTGCACCGGATGCAGCCAAAATTCTCTTTTCTCGGGTCTCATTGGGAGCTTCCGCTTTCATATACGCATTTTATCCAATACTCATGTCATGATTTCACACGTGCCGACAACCCTGCTTCCAGCACTCTGCTCATCGTTCATATCAGTTTTCAGCTTCGCCAGCCCTAGGTTCAGGTTTCTTGTTCGTCATTACCCTCCCAAATCCATCTTCATTGGAATCACGCACTACACAACTAGTGATGCGAGACAATCGTCGATGTTACCAACCCTGGCAAGTTCTCGTCACAGCCTAAGCTATGTGTTCAGTTGTCCAACGGCTGTCACTCCGGGTGTTTTGGAATGCTATCTCATGGAATAAATACTTCCTGTGACTATCACACCATTTCTTTTACCTGATGCCCTGACCCTAATTACCATGTGCCAGGTGCTGCGTGATCGACCCCCCAAGCACGATCATCGATTAGGCTCAACATGCTGATGAAGGCGAAACGATGAGCAAAATTCTACGTCGTTGTCGTCGTATGTAGAGCCACGCACACGCTAAGCCCACTCCATCTCTTTATCCCGCACTTATTGTCTGCCACTGCCAATATAATACGCCATAATGACATTATCGCCTGGAAAGAGGTACAAGATGGTGCAAATATCGTGTACCCGCACCTCCTTTGGTAATACCTCTCAAAAAGTTATTTGACGACCGAAGGCGACAACTACGATATCAAAGCCATATGTACAAAGACCAGATCGCTACATATCTAATAATATTCTCGAGAAATACTTCCTCACGCCTTTCGCACCATGTACGATCGCCCCGACCACTCCGTCCGGCCGGATCACAAACACCTTAGTCTGGCCAGATTCCACGAGGTAAGCCGAATAAGCATGGCCTTCCTGATCGACAAGAACGAGGTCAGCAGGGGATGCAATAGACGTCACTAGTGCAGATGAAGGCAAGACGACTGCTGATCGCACAACACTTGTATCGTATGCCTCCAGCGCACCCAAGATCGGGGTGGCATCTGCATGACTCGGAGCGAACACAAGTACAGTGTGATACCAAGGTCTGTAAAGACCAAAAAGCGTCTTCACATCAGACTTTCCACCTCCCACCTGCAACATATTTGGTGCGTCAGGCGCCCTGTCTCCAGCCTCTAGATGCTCCTCATCAAGCATCCCGTACGCATTGATAGGCTTCCCTGGAATTACAAACTCGTCGAGAACGATGTTGCTGAATCGACAGTTGACACCGAGCATAAAAACGATAGGATTTCGTGGAATGGTCATGTCTTTTGCCTTCACCACCTGGTTGAGAATCGCGGTGGTCATCTCAAGCATCTCGGAGATGACAGGCCGACGTTCGGCATTATACGTTTCAAGAAGAGACTTGTCGGCGAGTCCCTTTTCGACGAGCGCAAGCTTCCAGCCTAGATTGAACTGGTGTACAGTCAGTCGTGGGTTGGGTATTGCATTTGTGAGACTCACGGCATCTTGTACACTGGAGTTGAGTCCCTGTTCATAGAGATAAGTAGCCATCGGCATTTGATGAGAGCGGCACATACTTGACCACCTGTCGGACTGTGGACACTGGACACATGTCAGCAACAGTGTGCTAAGAAAGTACTCAAAAATAAACATACTGAGCAGCATCTGTGAATATTTCCATCAGCACAGGCACATCGTTCAAAAGTAGAATCACGTACCACCCGCAACAAAAACCCGACCCTCGCTAAACTTGTTTACCATACGAATATTGGCTCTAAAGCAAACCAATGAACATCAAAATGCATTGATATACACAAAATACAAAAACGCACTTGAACTCGTTCATACAGATGATCTTGGCGAACGTAATCTCCGCAGGTATCAACGACGCGATAATTTCGTAGACCAGCTCCTCGCTTTGAGCAGCCTTTGTCAAGTCTATATCACCACCGAACATGAAGAATTGCCAGCCATCCTCGCCAACTTCGTCACTTGGACGTAATGAGAGGCTGCACATCGTCAACATACAAGCCTCAAGAGCAGAAACTGAACATACCCTCGTTTGTTAAAGTGTCCAAATTGATGCCAATACTTTCCAAATAAAATCAGTCACGTTCTTCTACGGAGTGAGTAAATTCGGACACACCGGTCTATCAAGACCAACGCAACGTAAACGGATGTCTCCGACCACAATTCGAGCATTATCTCTCGTTTCGCCCAAAAATGTGAGGCCGAGTTGTTTGCGCACAATGCCTGCAAACGGAATTGAGACTCATGATGCTGCACTTGAATTGGGTCGCAACTCACCTTTAGCGCCATCAGCGCCGATTATCCACTTGGTGCTGAAAGTCTCCAATATGTCGTTCTTTGCTAGAACAGCTGTGACACCTTCATCAGACTGCTCAACTGAACGCAGTTCAGTGCCCATCTCGACAAAGCACGAGAATTTCTCTAGGTGGCGTCGTAAAATCACCCCTTGGAGTTGTTGACCTAGCACTTTAGGAACATACTAGTAGTAAATAGAACACATTATCAGCATGGCTGAGAAAACGACGGTTCCTCGTAGTTACGTACGAATGGTACCGCAGGAGTAGGTTCCATATGCGGGATCATTGAATATTCCGTCGTAAGTTCCAACGTCCCTGGCTTGTACGAACGGATTGCAGGGAAAGGTGTCCCCAAGTCGTTGACTTCTGGAACATTCAGGAAGTTGAAGAGTTCGAGGGAGCGTGGCTAAATCATGCATTAAATTACACTTGGGCATCAGAGACCAGTGGTGTCACGACAAACCCAGATTCCGGCACCACGCTGGCCCATGCGAGGATTGGGGTCTTTATCAATGATGCGAACTGGGATGCCATTCTGGAGGAGCGTCAACGCTGCTACCAGACCTGCTGGCCCAGCGCCTACCTAAGAATGAGGAATTAGGCTGAGGCGCAAGCTTGCATCATATGAGCTCACTTACGATTAGCACAGGAGGACGAGTGGAATTCATGTGTAGAGTTAAGAGGTTTTTGGATCAGAATAGCAGACACTAGCGTCTTATAACATATATACTAGTAGGGGACGGCCGAACAGCCGCGCAGGTAAACATACACACCAATGTGGATCTCAACTGTATATCTTGTATCAGTACCCTTAGAGAAAAGACTCGCCGACGCCACTCGTCCGCCGCAGCATTAGATACATTTGTATTTGTCAAATGCTTACCAGTGACTCAATATCGATTAGACGGCTGCAGATGCACTGTCATGACGCTGATGCAACAGACAGGTGTCTATTCTAACTCTGAAGAAGTTCGGGCGGGCCTTGGGAGGCCTATCTACAGGAGTGGCAGATATTGATATTCCTTTACGCAGGTTAGGTTCTAGTCGGACCATATTAGAGGTGTCCTGATACAAAGAACCGGCGGACATTACATGTCCCCATGAGATGATTTGTCAAATTGCTCATCAGAGCTTTGACGCCGAGTGGTCACTTGATTGACTGACGTATGTGAACTAGTGCGATATTAATGTTTGTTCTAACTTTGTGACGGCACTTGCACGCACCTCGCGAGGTTTCTCCTAATATATTCTTGATTCACGAGGGTAGGCTATGCTCGGCGGATCCTAATAGGTACCCGTTGAAGCCACAGAAGCTGGGATATCACAAGTACTTGGATAGTGGAGTCATCGTGACTAGGGAGGGCCATCGTCTTGTCAAAGTGCTATTCTGACGTCAGTCATTGCTGGAAGACGGCATAACGGAGATTCGGCAGGCATAAAATTGACCTCTACACTCGGCCGGGATTCCGAATTCCACATCGGAGCATATACCCTCGCAAGACGCTCTCAATTTCAGCAGCCCGATTCCATCCGTTGATTGGAAACTGGTGACTGCCCCCTCGGAACACGACTGGAAATCAAGCTCAAGAATTGAATGAGAACGATAGTATCCTAGCAGTAGAACGCAAGCACTTACATTCAGCACCTCAGATTGGTGTGCCTACGACTTGAGGAGACTAAGGAAAAACAAATTCACAGATAGCGGTGAAAAACACGGGTGGGGGGATTCAACTGCGTTGGTCCAGAATTGAAGTGCACTCCCCAATAAGTAGCACCTTGACTTCTACACTACGTGACGGCTACATTGATCGTAAAATACGAATGAGTTGTGATGCAAGAATACAAGTAAAAAGAACAGACCACTAAACACCCAAAAATATTCTCGAGAAATACTTCTTCACGCCTTCTGTACCATGTACGATCGCCCCAACCGCTCCATCCAGCCGTATCACAAACATCTTCATCTGGCCAGATTCCACGAGGTAAGCCGAATAAGCATGGCGCTCCTGGTCAACAAGAACGAGGTTGGCAGAGGATGCAACAGACGTCACTGATGCGGATGAAGGCAGAACGACTGCTGATGGTATAACGCTTTCGTCATATACCTCCAGCGTATTCAAAATCAGGGTAGCATCTGCATGACTCGGAGCGAACACAAGCACAGTGTGATACCAATGGTCTGTAAAGACCACAGAGCCTCTTCACGTCAGATTCTCCACCTCCCACCTGGGCCACATTTAGCGCATCAGGTGCCCTGTCCCCAGCTTCCAGATGCTCCTCGTCAAGCACCCCGTACGCATTGATAGGCTTCCCTGGAATTGCAAACTCATCGAGAACGATATTGCTGAATCGGTAGTTGATACCAAGCATGAAAAGAATGGGGCTTCGTAAGACGGTCCAGTTGCCTGTCTTTAATGTCTGGTTGAGAATCGTGGTGGCCATCCCAAGCATCTCGGAGACGACAGGTAAACGCTCGGCATTATACGTCTCGAGAAGATATTTGTCGGCGAGTCCTTTCTCAAGGAGCGCAAGCTTCCAACCTAGATTGAACTGGTGTACAGTCAGTAGTGTCATACATGGTGCACTTGTAAGACTTGTATACCTAAATTGAGTCCTTGTTCAAAGACAAATTAGTAGGTATCGGCCTCTGATCAGAGTGCACATACCTGACCACCGGTTAGACCGTGGACATTGGAAATATGTCAGAATCAGTTTTGCAAGAATGGGGTCGAAGATATACACACTGAGCAGCATCTATGCAGACTTCCATCAGCACAGGTACATCATTCATAAGTAGAACTACACACCACCCACAACAAATCCTCGGCCCTCGCTCAACTTGTTTACCATGCGGATATTGACCCTGAAGTAAACCAATAAACATTGAAAATGCATCGACGCAACCAAATAAAACACGCCTGTACTTGCTCACCCAGACGAGCTTGTTGAACGTAATCTCCGTTAGTATCAACGATGCGATGATCTCAAAAATCAGCTCCTCGCTCTGAGCGACCATTGTCAGGCCTAGATCACCACCAAAGATGCTAAAGTGCCAGCCATCCTCGCCAATTTCGTCTGTTGGACGCAATGAGATGCTTCCAAGCGTCAGTATACACATTTCCAAGCCTCGAGAGCAGCGACTGGACATACCCTCGTTTCAAGTTTCCAGATCGGTACCAATACTTTCAAGACAGTCTCAGAAGCGCTCCAAGTATAAATAGGATGCACCGCTCTATCAAGATCAACGCCCTTTAAACGAATGTCTCCCATGACCATTCGGAGATCGTCTCTAGCCTCGCCCAAGAACGTGAGACCGAGCTGTTTGCGGACGACGCCTGCAAACCACAACTCAGATTCATCCTACTGCATTCGAATTTAATCGCATCTCACCTTTAGCGCCGTCAGCGCTGATCATCCACTTAGTATTGAAGTCTCCAATATGCCGTCCTTGGCTAAAACAGCCGTGACACCTTCGTTAGACTGCTCGACCGAACACAGTTCGGTGCCCATTTCGACAGAGCACGAGTATTCCTCTAAGTAGCGCCGCAGAATCACATCTAGGAGTTGTTGATCTATCAGCTTCGCAGCATGCTGCAATACAAGAAAATCATCAGCATGGCTGCTTGAGATGGTTCTGCAAAGTACGTACGAAAGGTATCGCAGGAGTGGGTTCCATGAGCGGGACTATCGAAGATTCTATCGCAAATTCCAACGTCCCGGGCTTGTAGGAACGGATTTCAGGGAAGGGTTTCGCCACATCGTTGACTTCTGGGACATTCAGGAAGTTGAAGAGTTCGAAGGAGCGTGGCTAGAGCATGCATTAAACAAGACTACAGGGCATCAGAGAAGTGATGTCATGACAAACCCAGATTCCCGGGCCGGCACCATGCTGTCCCATGCGAGGATTTAGGTCTTTATCGATGATGCGAACTGGGATGCCATTCTGGAGGAGCGTCAACGCTGCTACCAGACCTGCTGGCCCAGCGCCTACCTAAAAAAGAGCAATTAAGCTGAGGCATAACCTTCCATCATATGAGCTCACTTACGACTAGCACAGGAGGACGAGTGGAATTCATGTGTAGAGTTCAGAGGTTTTTGGATCATAATAACAGACAGTCGCGTCTTATAACATATATATGGGACGACGGATCAAAGCGGAAAAGCGGCGTAGATAACTACGCATTTCAACTGTATATTTTGTATCAGTGTCCTCAGAGAAAGGGCCCGTCGATACCACACGTTCGGTGCGGTATCATATGCATCTGTCAAAATGCTTATCAGTGATTCCATGATGACTAGACGGCTGCAGGCGCACTGCCATGACTTTGATGCAACAGATAGGTGTCCGTTTGACTCTGAAGAAACTTGCGTATGCGGCCTTGGGGGGCTTATCCACAGGGATGTAAATATTCCCTCACGTAGGTCAGGTTCTAGTCTCCCCTAGTCAGATCATATAGAAGGAAGACAGTCGTTCCTTCTTGATTAGCTATGCTCGCCGAATCCCACTAGTTGAACGAGCGCGAAAAACGTTGCAGACGCTCTCAATCTCCTGACTCCAAACATTGTGCAAAGAAGGTGCAATGAGTTGATCGGAAAATGGGGACCGCCGCCCCAGCGGAAGACGGGGAAATGAAGCTCCAGGCTTGAATATTTGAATGAGGATGACAGTGCCAGATAAATAACTTAGAGCCAGTTCGGCAACAAGATGTTGACCAACATATTTGAAACTCAGCTCGCTGTCATTTGCGTCCGTCTGTGTAACTGAGTGATGAAACAACAGACTCCCTTCGTCGGAGTCATTACCGGAAGGGTATCAACTTGGGCAACTATTTGAAAAAAGGAGGGCTTGAGAAAGCCAAATATTCACCTATACACGCACAAAATAAAACGCAAGCAAGGTCATAGCCGGCTCGCCCAACCCTAGTAGTCAAGTGTCACAAACGCCCAAAACTGACGCTCCAAAACATCAGAAAATGTGTTCTACCAATTATCAAAAAACGGACCTCTCCTGGTAACATTCTATGCCCAAGAAAGCCCAATGAACTAATCAAACCACCTAAACACTTCGTGATGCAATTTCAGGAGGATCTCAAGCGCATGCTCCATGTTTTCCATGACAGCCTGCTGACGGATAGCTTCTTCAGTACGACGCTGTGCCTCGACATCGAATAGGTCAGTGTTGAGAGTCGAAATCTTGCACTGTCGATCAAGTTCAGTTTGTTGTGCGCGATCACGCTCCTGTCGCAGGAGCTCTGCAAAATGTGTTGGATTGAACTGGGAGGCAGCAGCTACGAAGCTCCAGGAGTGTCTAAGTGAGGAGAAACTAAGGAAAGTAAGAAACAATAGTCACGCACCTCTTGTAATTGTCTGATAAGTCGTGGATCTCTAAGGATTCGCAGTCTCGCCGTCTCTGCATCTGGATCTGAAAAGGGCCATCAATACATGCGTACATTGAAGGCCGAGCCATGCGCCCGAACGGTAGCCTTGGGCCCGGGATCTATCACTTCGTGTCTGTGGTGCGAGATGCTTTGTTCGCTGGGTAGCATACTTGATTGGATGGTCCAGCGTCGTGGACAGTTACATGCATGTAATCGTATGAGCAGAGGACAAGAACAGAATTGACGTGTAATAGGTCAGGGCTGGATAAACTTGGGGTAGATTACTCGGCTCACCTCTGCCTCTAGCAAAGGCATCACGTTTTCAAGCTTCATGTCAGGGTCGATGTCAACAGCACACAGCTGGCTTAGCTCCGTCACCAACGTCAACTGCATCGTTGCCACATTTACTCTCTACCAGTGTATATACAGGGGTAAGCGGAAGCTAAGAGTCTCGAGGAAACGGAACAAGTTTGGATCGTGAGTGTTGTACTAACTACGACCAATGCAGATAAAATCAGAAGTGAACGTGAACGTGGCTATCGAGAGGGCCAAAATCTTAGGCGATTTACATCAGTTCAGGCTCTCAAGCGCGATTGCATGCTGACGATCCTGTGCTGATCAGTGAGATCATCATAGAGTCCGGGCGTGTACGGCGGTGTGAGCAGGAGAGTGCGCCTGGGTTTCCGTGGATCTAGCTGCAAAGAGCGAGATGAGGATACAAGAGGATGTAAATGACGAGCAGCAAATAATGTCCACTTGGTTGCATACCTGCTGTAGCTTGCACCAGCAGCTAGCTCAATCTACGCGATGAAGTGGACGTCGGAATGCTTTGAGTGGGGAAGACGTGATGCAGAACCTCACCTCTGGGTATTCTTAAGTATATACTTCTACCCCATCAATCAGTCTTTGATCGGACGGCCTCCCCAGATTTAATTGATTCTATCTGTGAGGTCATAAAACACTGCATCAGCACAGAAACAGAGAAGAGAAGAGAAGAGGGTAACTCACACTGTCCAAATGAAGTAGATCCTGTTGGATTGATACATGTATCCCTGACTCGCAAAGACTAGAGCACACATAGCCCTAACATTAGCCTAGCCTGTGCAACCCAACAAAAGCAAAATACGTACCATTTGAATTCCACCACGTTGACCATTGATAAAGCTAGGCACTCTCCGGGCCTCCATGGATGAGGATCACCGCAGGCCACGTCCCATGAATCCAAGTCGCTCCGGAATCTGAACAGGGCCCTCCTGGTGGAAGCTGTGGCCTGGGCAGGAGTTCCTGGGATTCAAATGGGCGCGATGCCAATGCCGACCTGAAGACGAATGATGTTGACAATCCAGTGTGGAGGACAAAATGATGTTGTCTTCGACTGATCAAGGAGAGCAGAGTCATGACGCACGGCAAATTCCGACCGTCTTACTACTACTACCTAGACGATGCCATCTGATCGCAAGCAAGTTGTGGTGCTCTATGCAGAGGCGAAGTTGCAGAAATCTATAGACTTACCAGGTAATTTGACGGTTGCCAGAGCTAAGGAGGAGGGGATGGTGGCAATCAGAGATCACTTGAATATACTTCCCGCTGTGCCGCCTGTCTCCCTGGACCCCGACTGTACCGATTTTTACCCAGGTACGTCACTATTACCCACATATTCACGATGATACATATTCTGATCCCACTTGATCAGCTATAAAGGATGATAATACCATCATACGCAGTCTGAAGGGTAATCTGACGATGGTCGTGTACCCGGAGCCTCCTGAAGGACAGCGCTTGACACCCTCACCTTTTGTCGATGCTCTTCAATCTGCCGTTCGTGAAGTACGCGACGTCAAGGCTCAGCAAAATACCGCATCGTTGATTAAAGAAGAGAGCGCCAGGTGTAATGTCAAGCCAGGTGTGTTTTTCGTGACCTTTAACTTCATCACTGTCGGACTAATATATTCTCAGCTGACAATGACGTCCTTCTTCGTAGATTCGAGGCAATGGAGGAAAAAATTGGGCGTGACATAGCTGAGCTGATGCGGGAAATTGCTGGGCTGAAGCACAACGTCGAAGAGCTTGCTGGGCTGAAGCCCGCGATCGAAGAGCTGAGGTGGGAAAATGCTGGGCTGAAGCACGATATCAAAGAGCTGAGTACTCCCAGTCAAAACCTGCCAGTGGAAAATCTACAAAAATAGTGACGACAAGATCCACCAATATCCTCAGAGAAATTTCAGCCATTTTGTAGATTCAACTCTGGTGGTTTCGTCTGTTTGATCACTCAGCAAATGGATGAAACTACTAGAACTTTTTTGGGTGTTTCTAAAAATTGAACCCCCTCGTCGAGTTTACACGAGTGAGTAAAGCTGTTGACGTTGAAGTGCCACTTAACAAGAAAGTTTTGCGCTAGACATCATATGCACAGTTTACGAAGTCCAAAATGTACTGATTGAAACATTTCGATTCGCATTTATATTTAGATATGATCACCATCTAATCTCTCACAATGACATCCATGAGCTACCCTTCTTTTCTTCACGGCTCTCGAGGCACGATGCAGAGTAGGAGTACGACGGACAACTTCATTGTGATATTGTATTGCTCCGTACTCAGTACTCACCCGCTGACCGCGACGAAGGTACAAACTGAACGGTCTTGTGCACGCCTTCCGCCTACTCTATTAAATTAGGTTGGTATCTTATCATTCACTTCAGATCTCTCATCCATATCAGGGAAATGGCAGGTTTCCTGATGCACTGACTGCACGATACCCGCGATAGACGAAGCCGGATCACCAGACCAGACTGTACCCTTTTCGGGTTCTGGAATATTGATGGTGCCATTCAAGTGATGCGAGAAGAAAAATCCCTGGAAAGCACCCCTTTTGTCGACGCGCGAAATTCGGGTCATTGGCATTGGAACCGAGCTGCATCGTATACATAAGACCCTCTTTACGATTTCTTCTGCACAAGATGAAACGACTCGCGTCAGCTACGTTTTTGGCTTTTCTTGCGCTGTCCCGCCCAATCTATTGCACATCTCGGAGGCAACAGGTCTTCCAACATCTTGCACCGTTCGTGAAGTTGGATGATTGGATATTCACCGGCATATTCTTTGACGATACGGCACAGTTCTTGGGTATTCCGTTTGCTCAACCCCCGTGAGTATGACCACGCAATCAACTTAATCAATGGACTGAATGTACGCAGCGTCGGGAGCCTTCGCTTTCAGGTCCCTCAGCCATTGGCTCCTTATGAAGGTGAACACAGTGCAGCTGACTATGGTCCGGCCTGCCCCCAACAGGGGTCATCAACTAAGAGAGGAATTATTCCGTCAAGTGAAGATTGTGAGTACTTATCTGATGTTCTGCTTTTCATCCCATTCATGCAAGCTGTTCTCTCCTAGGTCTTACGTTAAATGTCTTCACTCCTGCTGACATGTTCCCTGGGTCGAAACTGCCCGTGATCGTGGTGAGTCATGATCTGAGTGCTTTCGATTTGGTGTTCCTGAAGCTCAGCTCTAGTACGTATTTGGAGGTGGTTTCGAGACAGGTAATAGTCGATCGTAAGTTATTCGGCATCCTGGTGTATTACGCAAGTAGTACCCATTTGCTGGTAACTCACTGCTCGAGTGTCTTACTTACCCTGTAGAGACATATTAATGGAATAACCTTATCCAGCATGTCAATATTTGCCTAACGAGAGTAAGTAATGTATGTACGATAAAAGTTCGCTACGATAAGCATTCCAAAATCGAGGTATTGCATAGTATTGAGGGTGATAATGAGAATAATGCAAGATACATACTAGTCCTCGAGTGTGCATCGGAATCAGTATCATAATCACGAGGGTCCCAGAAATAATCAAATTTACACACCGTGAGTTACACACCGATATGAATGAAAGCCATCCACTGCTCGAGCGGCACTTTCGTCTTCACGGCGTGTGTAGCACAGTTGAGTGCCCAGGCCGCCTTCGTACAGTCCACGACACCGCCTTATCGAAAACTTCGACGACGTGTTTTGCGACAGCATCGTCGACCTCCCACAGCGTGCCAACGAGCTCTTGAACCCCGAAAACTAGAGACCAGCTGCGAGATGAATGATTTCTTCAGGCGTCTTCTCATCGCCAACAGCGGTATGACACGCCAATAAGAACGCGAACTCGGCGTGCGGAATATCCATGTTCATTATATCAAGCAGCGTCAGAGGTTCATCTCTCATGACGAAGTAAGAATTGTAAGGCTGCGTAGGGTCCTGCTTGCCATGACAAGCAAGGTGCACTCAGGTGTTCTCTTCCAAAGCTTAGAGTGCACCTACTCGTGTGGCTTCATCGCCAGAAATGGTGGTACGGCTGGCCGTTGCAAGGACAAGCTGATGGACAAGCTCGAGCTCACTGTCGACAGCCAAGAGTGCCCTGCCTTTCCCTGCACCCGGTTGACCTTGTCCGATCGTCGCGAATGACAGAGGTATACGCTTCTTCTTCATCTGTCTAAATCTTATTAGAGCTAAAAGTGTTGGCGTGTAAGAACAGACTGTAGAGATCATGCTCTTCCCAGAGCGATCTGCCTTTGTTTGAAGGGCTTAGCTGCATGGAGAGGAATGGACGTGAAAGCTGCAGTTGGACACAGCCAGATTCGAGAGCGGCGCTTTAGTTTGAGGACATGCTTGAGTACGTTGACGATGGGTAGCATGATCTCGTTCCATATTATCCGCGAGAGTACTATTAGATCCATCCTCGACTCCCCTGGGTTCATCCGAGATGCGTGTTGTATCGCCCTGGTAAAGCGATCCTTGAGAATCTTCAGATCTGCGGGAGTGATAGACGATAAGGGAACATGATGAGGTTTTCCTGATATCGTAAAATAATGGCACTGCACGACTATTGACTCGCGATGAAGATGATAACTGGGCCGTGAAGCGCTGCCACTTGCAGGTTTGCATACAACGGCTGGGAGCAGGAACCGCGAGAAAGCTTGAAGATGACGGATTTCAGCCGCAGCTTCCCACTGCTTCATAAGTCTCCTGTGCTCGGTTGCTGCTCGATCAGCAGCAGCCCTGTTGGTGATAGTTGCGGAACTCTAAAAGGCGTTGGAGACGAGCTTGCTCAGCTCCGAACAATTGCGCGCCAGTTCCGTGTTTGCTAACTTGAGGTCTTCAACTGGAGTCTTGAGCCGAGAGGCCAGTGACCATTACTGACCACAGCCCTGCTCTACCAGTTCTACCGCGTGCTGAATATTGGCACGGCGTATGGTATATGATGCTGCGTCTATAGGCAGCATTGAGGTATCACGAAATGCCGCAGCAGCTTTCTGTCGTGAAGTCGTCAATGACCGTGTTGCCAAATGAGCATTCAGAAGCTCGAAAAATGTTGAGTAAGCCTCCAGTGCGAATGCATGACCATGCTGCTCAGTGCTACAACAGTCCAATTATGCGACACAAAGATGCACTGCGACAAGCCTTGAGTGGGGTGTCCCGATACCAATCTGAAGCTCTCTATAGCGAGTGACAAATCAGCATTCTTCAGCTGCATATAGCTGAAATACCTGCCAGGGTGCAGTGAAGGCACGGGCCCCAATGATTCTTGGCAGAGAGTAATAGCCCCCTCGACATCTTCATTCTTCCGAGTTTGCGTGAAACGAGAGCAGATCACTGAGCTCAAATTAGCAAGAATTAGATGGCGCTCCAGATGGTCGTGCCGCCTTACCTGAAGGGATTCGCAATACCGATCGACGACCCCGTTAAGATCCTCACTGACATGCGAGTTGCCATATGCGGTTGTCAGCGCAGAGGCGAGGTTGTTACGCGTGGTGTCGCGACGTGGATGCCCAAATAGACGCAACACCAGTGCCTCACGAAAGAGGTCGATAGCTCGGGCGATGACATCAATGTCGCCGTGTTCATTGAAACAGGTAACGAGGGCGGTCCCTAGGTTGCCTGACGAGAAACTACGAGATTTGTGCCCAACAGAGCGCAGACGAAGCGCTTCTTCGTGCAAAGAGACGGCCTCATGGAGCCAAGTGCTTTTGGACAGCGTAGTCAGCCCACAGGACAGAGCTCAAGCATGCTTTCATTGAAGGTGGATGCCTTCATCAGGTGCATTGATTGGAAGACTATAGAACACGTAATCAATTACACTGTCTACGTCGACACTGTAAAGGTAGGTGTCCTCTAGACAGAGAGGCAGTGGCTTGCAGCACAGCTATGCGAATTCGTGAATGTCGACGGTAGTAGAGTCCTTGCGGTCGTGCCAGTTCAATGCTGTAATGAGATGATAGAGGGATGGTGCGTGATCGGGGTGGCCCTGCGGACGCAATGCAAGGGCTTCGCGGAAGAGGGAAGTGATGGTATCAATGTCTTGAATATAGATGTAGGCTTGAAGGCGGGTATACGCGAGGTTGGTGAGAACATCTGCGTGGTCAGGATGGTTGACCGGAAGCTGGTCCAGAACCAACCGAAAATGCTGCACAGCATGGTTCAGATGGGAGACCCTCTTGCGTATCACATATTTCGCAAGTCGTGCGCGGCCCGCATCTGTGTTTCGAGAAATCTCGCAGTCTACAAGGGACTACAGTTGGCATTCCGTCAGCAAAAACTACAGCAGAGACCAGCGTCACTCACACCAGACAGTGGGCCGCCCTCGTCGTCGCAAGCATGTAGAACCGCAGTCTTCAGCGTGAGGGAAGGGTGAACACCGCGCACGGGTGGGAAGGATAAATCTACGAGATGTTAGTAGATGTGCATGAACAAGGAGAAAATCACTCACCGAAAATTTGATTTCCCTGGTCGAGTAGCTCATCCCAGGACGTTTGAAGTTTCCTGATGACTTCTCCACTGCCTAGCATTTGATCAACCTCATAGGACGCCCCGATCTCCACTGAGAATGCAGGTGAGGTATGTGATGATCTGGAAACCAAAGATCAGTTCACAGATCGCGTGCAGAAGTCTACATGGACATTACAGGGTCACAGTATCGCCCCACGCTACGGATTTATTGGATGACAGAACTTTGATGGCTGATTTCCAGCGTCTCCTCGAGCCAATATTGATGGTTATGTAGATGCCTGCGGGTATGGACTTCAAAGGGACTTGAAGATTATTTATGCTGATGACTGTAGATAGAGCGTGAAGATCACGAGATGGATACAAAGTAATATGGAATGACCTACTTTCGAGTCTCATCATGATGTATTGGCTTGTAAAGCTACTGCGCGTGATGGTGGGATGAAACAAACGACGAGCGACACGCAGCATCCGAAATTGAGAGCGGTTCAGAATGAGTGATAGGAGAAGGCGGAGGGGGGGGCAGAATGAGTGGGACTGTGTATGGGTTCGGCTGAGAGGAGGCTGCACGTGTATATCCATGTTGTTGATGGCAGTTCGGCACGCTACCAGAAAAAGTGTTTTCACCTTCGTCCGCTCGGTGCTGTGTAGAATGCTATGTATTACCAGAAAGCAGTAAAAAGAAGCACAGCCACCTACACATCGACTTCGCTCAGGTGCGAGCTCAAGGTCTTTCGTAGTTCGTGGTCCTATTCTCCGAGTTAAGCTTAATTATTGGAATAAGAAATTGGGCCAGAGAAAGAGACCGATGAGCACACAATCCATGCCGTCGTTGTAGACCTCGCCGTTTTCATTCCCGCAACTTCAAGGGGGATAGCGACTCAAGTACTCATCATGGACTGGACTAGATGACTAGTGACATGCTTTCAGGAGTGTGCGGACATCACTTTAGTCTGTGCTCTTCTTCTACACCGCCCGCCCCTGATGCTAACTACATGTCCTTTCGCAGTTCGCGCTTCCAAACTGGTCTTTCCTTGATACTACCATCTATCTGCCCATGCCCACCCTCTTTATGAGGATCTCCAAATCCTACCTCTCGTGCACGTGCAGTTCGATTGGATGCCAGGCAGCTCCTTGGCATGCTCGTCATACAAGGATAGGATTAAAGGGGATGCTTATGGAAACTCCACAGCCGTGTGGCGCAAAATTCAGAGTGGGACCCTGCGCTTCAAGAGATTTGGCGTTGTCACATAGTCAATTGTCATCCAGCCCTCGTTGTTGGGCTACAAGTGCATTGCCATCTGTGGCAACGAGGAGCTCTGGGATGCCATAGAAGCTTTTGACTTTACATTCATATTTTTGAATCGTGATCCAATCACTATTGATTGAGCTACTCTCCTAATCGGTCTGTCGGAATAAAGCTTCGGTGTCATTTTTACAGGCTATTGGACTTTTCAATGCCAGTCGTCGTGATGAGGCCATGTGCTGAGTTTAATACTTGTCAGTACATGGATAGTTTTCCGTGCAGCGTCGTTAACATTGTGAACTTTATGTCACACGGACCCACAGTTCTCATTCTGAAACAGACACTCGGTCATATCTCCATGTGCGGCTTGCAATAACTACTTTCGAGGACGGGCGGCATGGCGAAGCCGCTAATCAACTCCACGATAGTATTCCCAGACTTTTTCTCTCGCAGAGCACTTTTTGGACCTAGACTGAAGATATTTACAGTGGCGTCACAACAAAGTCGCAGAACACACTTCCACTCACTGATGATGTGCGCCGCATAGCACTTCGATTGGGACTTTGATTTATTATGGCAAACCGTCAACCAAAGACGGTGCAAAACGTTCCTCCGCGCCGATCGACTGATTGAAGCTATCATCGAATCTCATCATTACATGATGAAGATGCGAAGAGCAGCTGCCTCGAATGGTCTACCGGTGAGTGCGTTAGCGTCTGACAACTTCATATCGGAACTCATTCTGGTATTGATGATCCTTCAAGCAAAACTGCATTATGCGATGCGTCACAAAGGGAGATAACATTGCTGCGAGCAATTATGAAATGGGTATTGAATTGAGGCATAACCACTGATCTGGTGGATGGTCCGTCACTGACATGTATCACGCGGTATTAAATGAATATCCTCCCCCTTGGCATTTATTTATCATGAACTACTACATGTATAGTTCAAGACACTCTCAGCAAGTGATTCAAGAAGAGGGCCATAAGGTGGAGCCGTGAACGCCAGTGATATCGATTGAATTATCAGATAGGTTATAACCTGATAGTGTACATCAAACTCATTTAGATCTTATCGTGACAGTCTAATATATAGCTATTTGATTTTGTATCTCTAAAGCGAGGCTTAGCATGCAAATAATGCAGTATCCATAACGAATATCATCCCAATCCATAAGAAGGTGCCAGCACCTTGAGCATTTACACTCGTAAATCATCCAACCGTGATAAATCATGAACATCACCCCTCACACTCCCCTGCTCAACAATATACCCCATCCTCCCAACCCACTACTCCCACCCCCGGCAATCATACTTATGTACTCCTCTCCACCCCTGCTCACATACCCCTCCCCTCCTCCACTCCGCACATACCCCTCCCACCATCGCCCGCGGTTCCACTCCTCCCATACAACACTGCCCTCGGCGTCCCACCCACACTCCCACTCAAAGCCGCCCCCGCAGAAAGTATCCTTTACATAGAACACGAGTACTTACCTTCACACCACAGATTGGTGTACGGCCCGAGGAGACTAAGGAAAAACAAATTCACTGATAGCGGATAGTCGCGAAGAAGATTCGACTGGTTAGTCCAGATTTGAAGTGCGCTCCCCAATAAGTAACACGTTGACCTTTACACTACCTAATTAACCACATTGATCGTAAAATACGAATGAGTTGTGATTTAAGAATACAAGTAAAAAGAGCAGACCACTAAGCATCCAAAAATATTCCCGAGAAATACTTCTTCACGCCTTCTGCACCATGTACGATCGCCCCAACCACTCCGTCCGGCCGTATTACAAACACCTTCGTCTGGTCAGATTCCACGAGGTAAGCCGAATAAGCATGGCCCTCCTGATCGACAAGAACGAGATCAACAGGGGATGCAACAGACGTCACTGATGCGGATGAAGGCAGAACGACTGCTGATCGCACAATGCTTGTATCGTATGCCTTCAGTGCACCCAAGATCGGGGTGGCATCTGCATGACTCGGAGCGAACACAAGCACAGTGTGATACCAAGGTCTGTAAAGACCAAAGAGCCTCTTCACGTCAGATTCTCCACCTCCCACCTGAACCATATTTGGTGCGTCAGGCGCCCTGTCCCCAGCCTCCAGATGCCCCTCCTCAAGCACCCCGTACGCATTAATAGGTTTCCCTGGAACCGCAAACTCGTCGAGAACAATATTGCTGAATCGGTAGTTGATACCAAGCATGAAAAGGACAGGGCTTCGTGTAATGGTCCTGTTGTTTGTCTCTAATGTTTGTTTGAGAATCATGGTGGTCATCTCAAGCATCTCGGAGACGACAGGTAAACGCTCGGCATTATATGTTTCAAGAAGAGACTTGTCGGCGAGTCCTTTCTCGACGAGCGCAAGCTTCCAGCCTAGATTGAACTAATGTACAGTCAGTCGCTGTTAGGTGTTGCATTTGCGAGGCTCACAGCATCTTGTACGCTTGAATTTAGCCCCTGTTCATAGAGATATAAGTAGGTATCGGCATTTGATTAGGGCGCACACACCTGACCACCGGTTGGACTGTGGACACTGGAAATATGTCAGACTCGGTTTGGCAAGAAAGCACTCCAAGATGGACATACTGAGCAGCATCTATGTAGATTTCCATCAGCGCAGGTACATCATTCATAAGTAGAACTACATACCACCCACAACAAATCCTCGTCCCTCGCTCAACTTGTTTACCATGCGGATATTGGCCCTAAAGTAAACCAATGAACATTAAAAACCCATCGATGTAACAAAATAAAACACACCTGTACTCGCTCACCCAAACGAGCTTGTTGAACGTAATCTCCGTGGGTATCACCGACGCGATGATCTCGAAGATCAGCTCCTCGCTCTGAGCGACATTTGTTAGGTCTAGATCACTACCAAAGATCATAAATTGCCAGCCATCCTCGCCAATTTCGTCTGTTGGACGCAATGAGGTGCTGCCCATCGTTAATACACACATCTCCAAGTCTCGAGAGCAGAGACTGAACATACCCTCGCTTCAAGCTTCCAAATTGGTGCCAATACTTTCAAGGTAGTATCAGGAGCACTCCTCCGTGGAGCAAGTAGAAATCTGACGCACCGCTCTATCAAGATCAACGCCCTTTAAACGAATGTCTCCCATAACCATTCGGAAATCGTCTCTGGTCTCGCCCAAGAATGTAAGCCCGAGTTGTTTGCGCACAACACCTGCAAACAATGACTCAGACTCATCCTACTGCATTTGAATTTAATTGAATCTCACCTTTAGCACCATCAGCGCCAATCACCCACTTAGTATTGAAAGTCTCCAATGTGCCGTCCTTTGCTAGAACAGCCGTGACACCTTCATCGGACTGCTCGACCGAACGTAGTTCAGTTCCCATCTCGACAGAGCAGGAGAATTCCTCTAGGTGGCGTCGCAGAATCACATCTAGGAGTTGTTGACCTATCATCTTTGCTGCATGCTACAATACAAAAAAATCATCAACATGGCTGCTTGAGAGACGACGGTTCCGCATAGTACGTACGAATGGTATTGCAGGGGTAGGTTCCATTTGCGGGACTATCGAAGATTCTGTCGCAGGTTCCAATGTCCCGGGCTTGTAGGAACGGACTAAAGGGAAGGTTTTCCCCAGATCGTCGACTTCTGGGACGTTCAGGAAGTTAAACAGTTCACGGGTGCGTGGCTAGATTGTGCGTCCGATGAGACCACGGGTGATACGACAAGTGCCTGTACGACAAACCATTATTCCAGGACCGCGCTGTCCCATGCGAGGATTGGGGTCTTTATCGATGATACGAACCGGGATGCCATTCTGGAGAAGCGTCAACGCTGCTACCAGACCTGCTGGCCCAGCGCCTACCTAAGAAAGAGGAATTAAGCTGAGACGCAAGCTTCCATCATACGAACTCGCTTACGACTAGTACAGGACGAGTGGAATTCATGTGTAGAGTTCAGAGGTTTTTGGATCAGAATAGCAGAAACTCGAGTCTTATAACATATTTGCTAGTAGGGGACGGCCGAAAAGCCGCGCAGGTAACCATACGTGCCAATGTGGATTTCGACTGTATATCTTGTATCGGTGCCCTTAGAGGGAGGACTTGCCGACGCCACACGTGCGCTGCGGCATCATATGCATTTGTCAAAACGCTTACCAGTGACTCCATAATGACTAGACGGCTCCGGGCGCACTGCCATGACTTTGATGCAACAGATTGGTGTCCATTTCTGAAGAAACTTGCGTGTGCGGCCTTGGGGGCTTTTCCACAGGGATGGTAAATATTCCTTCACGTAGGTTAGGTCCTATTCTCCCCTGGTCAGACCATATAGAAGAAAGACAGTCGTTCCTTCTTGATTAGCTATGTTCGCCGAATCTCACTAGTTAAACGAATGTTGCAGACGCTCTCGATCTCCTGGTTCCAAACATTGAACAAACAAGGTGACATCGGTTCATCGGAAAATGGAGACCGTATCCCCATCGGAAGACAAGCTCCAGGATTGAATGAGGATGACAGTGCCAGAGTAGCCAGCTTGCCATCAATTGATACGCTTCAAGTTCATACGACCGGTGACTCTACAAACAGCTACAAACAACCCTCAGGGACAATGTGGCTCCGTCACTGACATGTATCAATTTGGTATTAGCTGAACATCCCGTTGAGACTCGCAAGCCGAGAACATACGTAGGCAAGCGGCGGATTTCGTCTGAGTTTCGGAAAAAAAGTGTAATATAAGATGTATCGGTCGTCTGCTTGAGTCAGAACTTCGTAACCTTGTTCACAACACATGGATCTTCCTCCTTGGTGTTTATTTATCATGAGCCACCACATGCAGTATAGTTCAAATGCCCACGGCGCCCTCAGCAAGCCATTCAAGAAGAGGACCATAAGATGGAACCGTGAATGCCAGTAATATCTGATTAATTTATCAGATAACCGGTGCACATCAAACTCGTTTAGATCTTATCATGACAATTTAATAATCGTTTGATCTTGTATTAATATTCCCGGCCTAGCATGCAGTAAATGTCATACCAATCCATAACAAGGTGCCAGCACCTTTATCGTAAATTTAAACTCGTAAATCATCGCATCGTGACAAATCATGAATATCACCCCCTCACACTCCCCTGCTCACTAACATACCCCATCCTCCCAAACCCACTACTCCCACCCCCGGCACCCATACTCACGTACCCCTCTCCACCCCTACTCACATACCCCTCCCCTGCTCCACTCCTCACGTACCCCTCCCCACCCCCACCGGCACTCCCACTCTTCCCATACAACCCCGCCCTCGGCGTCCCACCCGCGCTCCCACTCAAAGCCGCCCCCACAGAATACCTCGCCCCGCTCCCAGGAGCAGTAGCAGTATACAAACTCGCCGCACTCCCCGCAGCCCTATACTTCCTCCTCGGCGTCCGCAACCCTGCATCACTGCTAGTATCACTAGAATCTTCATCCGATTCAGCTGCAAATTTCCGAGAGGGTGGGGGGATCACTACTGGTTCATTCGGGTCGTCGAGCATGGTTTTGGGGCTGGAGGGGACTATGATCGTGTTGCCGGATCCGGTATATGGGTGATGTTGGGCGGTGTCACGGTATTGGTGATGACTGTGTTGGGAGGGGGTGGCGAGTGCTGGTAGGCTGCTGCTCGGTGTGTATGGACGGGCAGTAGGTGGGCCGGTGGGTACGAACCCAGGTGGGAGGCCTGAAGGTAAGCTTGAATACATCGTGCTACCTGTAGGTGGTATAGGCACCATCGACGGTGTGACGTGTGCTGGTGATGGGGAATACGACGAAGGTGGCGGTGGCAATGGGCGGTCGGCGTCTGCAGGACTGAGGAAGTACGCGCGCTGCCCAGACGGTGTCACTTGCGACATGTTAGACGCGGGACGTGACTAGAGTTGTGATGCATCTGACAGTGCTCAATAAACTGAGAAGAGAGGTTACTCACGGGCGGCTGGATCGTGATGTTGACGGTACCAGATGACGATGAACTAATCGGACGTGTTGATTCTGGCGATCTACCTGCTGATTTAGCAGAGGGTGCTTTCTGCTGCCGAATTTGTTCTCTAGATGAACGCGGTGCCGGCATAGCAACATGTACGAAGCCAGCCTGCAACTCGATAGGCACACACGCCACAAATGAGTTCTATCGAGTAAGACGCACCTCGTCCACCTCTTCTTCTACAGTCGGTCTCATGCTCCGGCTACTAGGTGTACTCTGCTCACGTATGCTCGTAACCTCGGGAATGACGCTCAGCCCACTGGAGCGAGGCTGCTCCGGAGGACTAAGCAGATCTAGTTCCGACGTTCTCGTAGAGGCCATGCTTTCCGTGCCCGAAGCTCTCCGACGTACCGTTCGTTGGTTACGAGCGTCCGAAGCGGGGACTGATAACGGCGCACCAGGAGATCGAGGCTCTGGTACCATAAGTACAGGATCTTGAGGTAGGGAGCGCAAAGGTGTGTCAGGACTCGAATAAATGGGAGAAGGCGTACGACGCGAGCGCTCAAATTCGTGTGGAGGTGGCAAACGGATGATGAGAGAAGAATCAGTTTCTGGGATCCAACCGTCTGAAGGAACATCGTGCAGCGCGTTGGCAGGGGAGAACATGGTACTACGTGCAGATGAGGTCTGGGTTGCACGTCGCTGTGGCTGTGGTCGTGGTTGCGGCTGAGGTTGCGGCCGAGGTTGTGGTTGTGCACGGGGGCGTGTAGGCGTGCGAGGACGTGATTGTTCACTAGAAGTGCTCGATACTGGTTCTGGTCTGAATCGCGGGGTATTCTGCGGCTCACCAGAGCCACCTCTCGAATCGCTACCTTCGTCATCACTCGGAGCAGAAAAGTAGCGTTCGAGGACACGATCTGCTGTTACTCGACCTTGTGCATAACCCTTGGTGCGCCCATGCACGTACCCCATATCCTTCCCCATCTCCAGTCCTTCCTGGAGGCCCTGTTTACGGCCCTCCTCGCGAGCGACTTCCATCATCTTCTCCTCCATCAATTTGCGCAACCTAGACCTTGACTTTGCAGCGCTCTCCTCTGCATCCCTCCTCCTGTCTTCGACGTCCTTCATGACGCCTGTGCACGAAAAATCTCCTTCTGGGCTTGTTCGAGTGCGTCTTTGTATAACCTGAGTTCCTCTGTCAGACGTACGATCTCGCTTTGAGAGACTACGCGCGCATCATTGGCCTCTTTGAATCGTAGGCATGCTTCCTTTGCTTTAAGCTCTGCATTATCAGCACGGTCTTGTTCGAATGATAATTGTGAATTCAAGAGAGAGACATCTGCGCGGAGGTCGCGCACGGCAGACTCCGCATCTGCAAGGAGCAGTATAACTTCACGGTTTGAAGGGGGCTGGGAGCTGGTGCGAGATATGGGCTTCGAGGCCTTTGAGGCGGTAGAATGGTGTGATTGAGAACGTGCGATGGGTGGTACTGGGAGTGGTGAGGTGTTTGATTTGTCGCCACTGGTATCACTGGGACCTGCTCGGGGTGTGCTTGGTGGTTGGCTCATGGGACTAGATGAGGCACTTGATTAGTTTGGTTCAGTCTTGATAAAGGATTTACATACAGGATTAGACTAGGACGGGGTTATGAGGAGGCGTGCTTGCTGTGCCAAGGGTTGATACATGGCAGTACTACTTATGATAACTTTTTAAGTCTCCATTGTAAGTATTCATCACTTCATTACATAAGCAATTTTATATATCAACCATTGTCCACAAGTCAAATTCAAGCTTGACGCTGTCGTCCGACCACGTCCTCAGTTGTCATCGGTGGTTTCCGTTATAGATGGGGACCAAATGGTATCAACTCATCGACATGGCCTCTTCATCCCCAACACGAGCAGCAGCTACTAGCGACCACGGCCCGATGCATGTCGATAACCCGATTAAACATCAACACGACAAGCGCCCGTACGCAGTCTCATCATATCTGTCGACACGACGGCCTGGACGGAATTCAAGCGTTCAACGTAGCACAGACAACCCGGCGGTCAAGTTTGATCTTATTCTTTGATTCACCTGGCGCATTGATGAGTATCCCCGTCACATCAGACAAACTCACCGGGGTTAGGTTACGGAACATCCAACGCGTGTTTTTCGCCAATCGACACTGCCGATGAGAAGCCTGGGCAATGGGTTGGACAATGCCATCGTCAAGGAAGATATAGATCCGACATTTGCGTAGCATACCATCAACAGATAGCAACTTCGGAAGTCACACCTCCTGTCTTCTGAATCTCAGTTCCAGCCGATATCCGGTTTCCAACTCGAGTGTGGTATAAGCGTGCCGTAGCATAGGAAGCTCACGCATTTCTCCACGGAATTGGTATATCACTCAACACGTGCATCAGACGAAGCATTTCGAGGTGCGTCCGCGTCCATTTTCGCAAGTCGTGCGCTGTCATGTGAATCGGCAACAAGTGGACATATGATCTTGATCATCTCCGGCTAGGACGTCGGTCCGACTGTGCTTCGCGTGCGATTCTTTAACACCGCTTTCTCTTCTTCTGTCCAATTGGCACTGCTTACTTGTTTGTCCAGACTCCCAATTCGGCCGTTTCGACATAAACCTTTCCACAAACCTCGGCGTATAAGATTCAGCCAGCGATTAATTCAAAGCAATAACCTCGACTCAGCATCTGCAACGCAGAAATCTCATCGAAAGACATCTTGCTTGGGATTTCCGTACGTTTGTCGGACGATCCACCATCGAGCGTTGTCTGTGCGTCAGGTTGGCAGAGATTGCGTTCACAAGATGCGCATGTATCGACACGCAAGCTCTAGCCCCCGTACCCAGTCCTCGTCGTCTATGTCTATCCTTCAAGTCCGAAATAAAAATCGGTGAAAGCACTAGAGTTGCTCATCTCGTAATCTTCCCAGCGGAGAGTAAGCATAAAGCGTCCTCCGTATTTATGTGTCCTGAAACACTAAGTAGTTTTCCAGGGAATAACAACTTTTTTTTCGGTAGCTAGTCATGTCGAGTTGACAGAATTGGTAGCACAGACATCCGGCATGAAAGACTGACGATCTGTGCTTCCCATTCCGCCACGGCGATAATTGAAAGGGAGAGCATGAAGTTGAAGAATGATCGATGATGATTGTGAGTGACAAGTTGTCATCCTAGGAACTCGTGCATATGCAGGCTTGGAAACATTTAACAGCGGCGACGCTCTTCGCCCGCTCACTAATCAATTTAATTAAACAACCGTCTCTCACAGCACCGTGACCAAGTAACGATATACTTGCCATATCGCCAACGCATGGTCTCTTATCCGACAGACATATACAAGACTATTTAAATTACCTTCATGGAACTACCTGTAAGCGAGGAGACATCATACGCTGGGGGAAGAAGTGATAGAAGATTTTAGTGGTTCGAATACTGAACCCATGAATCGAATTTAACACCGAATCTACGGTACTACCAACAAGTGTATTCATTGTTCCGGCTATTATTACCATAGATCTAATTGACAGGTACATGTATATTGACTACGAAACTCAGTAGGACCACTCCATAGTGGATACGACTATGGGATGTAAGAGGCTGGTGGTCTAATGCATCTGTGCAGGGTAGTCGACCACGAATAGCTTAATGTTTTAATCGAAACTGTTGCAGTTTTGGACCTGAAGCCCAGGAAAACCTGCAGGTGATGCAGCGTGTGAGATACGAGGATGGTTCGAATCCACCCAGTCGCCTATCCATGAAAAATGGTCAAGAAATGAATGACATGGAGCAGGTGGACATTGTGCCGGTTTGGTTACTGCAGCCTTGGAACAGTCCCCAACTCGTCATTGAAAACTGTTGTATTTTGATCAAATGGTGCTTAGTACTGGAGTGGGATAAGCATCGTATCGTTGTCAAAATTGTTTGTAATGTTGAACATACCTCTTCTGAGGTAAATTAGATCACTAAAAGTTTGCCTGAGTTCACTTATGTGAGTGGGAAACGTTAACTTCTGATCTGTGATAATGGGTTAGGAAAAATACTGCAAGCCGGAAATGATTCCATATTATTGACCCCAGTGATCAGATAGGGACAGATAGGACAAAAAATCACAGACAAAACTCACGACTTGATTTTTTGTCTCACACGAGTTTCAAGTTGCTGGGCTTCAAGTTCAGGTCCTAGTTAGATTAACTTTTGATGTTTTGTATAATCCAGTCGTGACCGTCTTGGTAGACCAATGCAACCGGTAGAGGGTCTTTCTTGTAGCTTGCGACTACAGAACGATGGTGGACTGGTTCACGCGATACAGGGGATGTTTTACTTTGTTAGGAATGGAAGCTGTTGCCAAAAATAGGCAACTACAAACGCCCATGCCGAACATATTTTCCGTGGTACTGAATGTCCTTGGTATAGCTCCCGCACGTAGGGGACCAGCATAATCATTGAAAAGTGATTTTGGGTAGTATTTCGGCCTGAAATTCAAACGGTCCAGAAGCTTGACGTTATGTCTGGAAATTCAATTCATAGTTTAAGGATATCGAACATACTTAGTGCTTGCCTTCAGTATTCGCTCCCTGAAGGATGTAGTGATTCCTCTACGACTTTGAACGTTGAACATGAGTTGCGTGGCAAAAAAAAACATCCATACGTGACTGCGATAATATATTTGTGCATGTATACCGAAACTCCGCGTTCATTCAGGCTTTATTAATTCATTTAATTATCGGGGAACAAGGTAATTACTATTCTTCCACTCAGAGGTCACGTTGTCGCATCCTTCGTGAATATCGTTCCTCCACAAACGACATTGCATTGAGACTGCGTTGCGCACCTTGTCAGTTCTGTTCTTTGCCTTATCGCTTTCAATGTTTCATACCCTCATAATGGTCTAGCGTATATGGACCGCGGGAAGATAAGACAGAAAAAGAAAAATGAACCCACCAGCCTGGCTTTGATAGCGTTAGTGCGTTTTGCATTGGATTCTAATATTTACGATAACGTTTGTGCATAGCTTTTATCCCATCCTCACTGTGGCATGATAGCCCGATGACTGAGGCAGAGAGCAATGGGGTGGGCATAATGCGACAGATGCCAGAGGAGTAGGCGGTTTGAGAATCGAGGGGCTTACAAGCGTTGCAGAAGGTGTTGACAGTCTGTGGAATAGGTGGGTTTGAGGTGGGTTATCTGTTTGCTTCATTTCAACGCATTCTATTTTGTGCTGTTAGCCTCTACGACCCAGTCTTGGCCAGCGAGGCCAATCGCTGCCAATCCAATGCCGACGCTCATCGAGGATCGGTCATACCATGCCCAGACCTGTGATAGATGACTATAAATCTGCAAAGATCCGGTCATCAATCAGTCAAGGGTTTCGAGGCAGGAATAGATATCCATCTCATATTCCGCCGATTTGGGCGTATCATATAGAGGCTGAGTGATGGAATATAAGATCTAGCCTGAACATCATTGTTATATGTCCACTAAGTTCCCCACTCACTTACAACCATCCTCAACTATGACCCTAGTCTCAAATGATCCCAGTTGGTGGCCAATGATCAGTTTCTTTCGTTCAACATCTTATTTTGTAGGTATGCAGTAATCTATGTTGTATGATAACGGTGTCTCGATCTAACCTAGCCTGCGATTTTGCAGTTGCCTCCTCCATTGTAGTGATTCATGATTGGGGTGAGCAAGGGGGCACACATTAAAGAACTACTGATATGCTTTTGAGATCTTCAGTACTGACACTTGGACAAGAGGTAGGTTGATCTCATCATCGGAGCAGCGTTCTCACTCAGAATCGTGTCATAGGTTGAACTGGTCTGGGTGAGCAGAGTCCCATATCAGAAGACAACATCGTGATACCATTGATTCGGGGCAGAGGCAGCGCTGGTCCCTCATGACCATTTTATATCTCGGTGTATGTAGCTTGAGTTATGTGCGTAGCTAACAAATTGTGCTAACGAGTCAAAATATTCTAGATGCGCTATGCTGGAATACCTTACGCTATGTATGTTTAATATTAGCAGTGTGGCACTGTGCTAATGATACATTCTCACGATCAGCATCAACGCACTGTGTACGTCTCCTTGCACACAGTGTGGTTGACTCTTCTAACTGCCGTCAAACAGTTTACCTTCCGTCATTCTCATGGACAGATGTAGTGAGTATTCTGCACCGACGCCTGTCATTCCTGTTCACTTACCTGCCTGTTTACTAGGGATGAGTGATATTCTCGACTGGGTTGTCGGTTCAATATGTATAATCACTGTGACAGTTGTAGGTTCCTTTGAAGTGTATAGTTTTATGAGGGTAGTCACTAAACGGTCATTTCAGGCAATATTATAAACTACACAATAAATTCGGCAAATGTGGTCATAACTGCCATGCTGGGCGGTGAGCGACTCAGCTGCAATGTCCCAGTGATATTGACTGACATATCATGTCAGCTATCATGATTGCTCGGTTATATGCTATGTATCAGGGATCGAAAAAAATGCTGGTCTTTCTCGGTTGTAATCTTCCTGGCTGTCAATATCACCTCTGGAGTGGCTGCTGTAATAGTTCTTAGGAATATTTTATTGGGTAAGTTTTAGTTACATATCAAGAAATCTAGCTGACCCAACGAATACCAGAGGAGATCATTCTCTCTGGCACCTATCAGTGCACTGACTGTCTACGGGGGCGACCAAAATCTGTTTTTCGTGGTTTGGATACTCAACACTGCATGGGAAGTTCTCGCACTGTGTCTTTCAGGCTGGATTGCTGTAAAACAATTCCGCGACTTGCGACGATTCGGAACATCGACCTTTGGGAACTGTTTGACAGTGTTAATAAAATCTCACGTGCTTTACTTTGGAAGGTAAACTCGTATTTTGACTTGCTTATCTTTACCGCTGAAGTTACACACGAACTAGTTTTTTTGCTGCATCTTGCTTGAACTTTGGTTCTTTCGCTCCAACAATCGAGGTATGCCGATCATTCACTGCATGTGACTGCTATTCATCATTTTTATAGAACTCAGTTTCCATGGGAGCTGTCACATATAATGGCGCCCTTATCATTATCGCCATGTTGCAGATGTTTATACTGGGTCCACGCCTCATCCTTTCCGTACGAGAATATCAAGCTAAGCTAGTAGGCGACTCCGACGCAGAAATAGGCATGAGTTCGATTACTTTCCAGGGGGCTACATACGTGTCAACTAGCAGCTGCGTGTAGCACGAGAATCCTTAGTGCTATGCTTGGAGCGGGAGAAAATTCTTGGAGGTCAGGTACTTAAATAAGTTATCTTCCAAAAACATGTTCCGAAGTTTGTTTGAGAATATTGGTCTGGCAATTTATTTCTTGTTGTACCACTGGTACGCTACTGGCACTTAGTGGTAGCTGCCCACCCAACAGTACTTGCACTGATTTGCAAGCTGAACCACGCGGAACATTCTACGACCAATTCGCCGCACACCCCAAGACTCGCGGTCTCAGTGGCCACCTTACTTTGATAAATCAAATGTATAATGGATGGTAGCGATATTGACATACCTATTCGGGTATGTCTTTGGGAGGTTCTCACTGTGCATCGACTTGGATGACTCCGCAGCCACTTCATCGAGAGATACAGTACACTGCTTTTCATGATCAAGGCTGCAACAACTTTGCAGTCTTGCGCCGCAGTGGACACCCGGCCATTCATGTTGAACGTTGAATCTGTTGAACGTCAACCTGTGAGCTTGTCCACGTCTGTCATGTCGATAACTAGTCTCTCAGACACGTACCTACCAGCATACAGCTATTAACGATATGGCACGCCATGCGAGTAGCGTCACATTCGCTGACGAGCTACAGTAGGCCGCCAGCAAGTTGACATACCCGCATCTGCAACTGCCACCTTGCATGCCGAGCGCTAATGTCTACTTTGTAAGTAAACGATCGTTTCATTGCGAGGAAGCACCATTGGGAACTATGTCACTTTCAGTGAGGGAGACAATGGTTTTTTGGGTGATCACCTTGTTGGTTGGTTACGATCGAAGCCACCACACTTTAGGCTATCAGTCGGTCAGTGAACTCGACCAAAAACAAGTCCTACATCTCTATGCCCCAATCCAAGGATTGAGACATCGTCTAGGAAGGTCTGTCGTATGTGGTGGTCCACATCGAGTCCATGAAACGGTGTGGCGAGTCCTTTGTGATGATGATGGCAGAGACAATAGAGACATCGATCCACAGGGGAATATACGAACGTGGTGCATGGAATCTCAATAATCTGAAGGCGAAGACCGACATATGACGTTAATTCACCTGTGAACCCGTGATCCCCAGAACCTGACTCCAATAGACTGATTTGTGAATAGTGCGTCAATGCCCGACATAAAATATTTCCACGAATCATCGAGCACGAGGTCGCTCGAGAATGTGACACGATCCAGCTAGAGACGGGAGATCGGTGCTCTTCTGCATGCAAAATCGAAGGTCTCATCCGTAGTAGATATCCCCTGCATTTCAACGGAACAAAGCCACTCGGTTCCTGATAGCGCAAGCACCGAGAACGCGCAAGAGAAGACCGGCGTAGCGGTTGGGACGTGATGGTCGGGAAACCCAGTTGTGGGATCGAAGCGAATATTGATTTTTACAAGATATAAGTGCATGTCTGCAGGGAGATTCGTGACCATCGCGCATTCCTTCGCTTCACAGATAATTATTCCTGATTTATAACCAGTGTATCCCTTCAATAGGCGTGAGCAGTTGAATGAAATATTTCATACCGAACGATTCATTTTCTTGTCAGCCTTCATCTTTCGGCGCTGGTTAAGTGATACCAGCTGAATTCTGAAGGACGGTTGTTACCACCATCAAAAGAAGGGCTAGCTTCGCCTTATCCTACTTCCCAAAAGACGATCAGCATGTCCGAGAGAGAAAATGAACTAAACAAGCATAATTTACAATGCCTTCCTTCCGATACAAATCCACCTCCTCACATCCCCCAAGTTCTCCACTTCGTAAATAAGCGCAGACCCTACGAATTTCCTGTTGGAGCTCTGCATCCTGCGATTCGGGCGTCAAGAGACCACCAGCTACTTCTAGATGTTCGAATGGTTCGCGAGACAAGATACTGGTGATGGAAATGTTTTGTGGGAGACTGACTGGTGACTCTACGTGCAACGAGTTTCTTAGCTCTTAGTAGATGCTTGGGACGAACAGCCATGCGACGCGAGAGGGTACCTTCGTCGGTGCAGCCTTGTGCCTAGACTATGTAGTGGTGCATCTTCATGGATGTTGATATACAACAGACATAGTGTGATTTTCAATTTGGATGGAGTTGGACGTGCACGGTGTATGCAGCTCAGAGCGGACTGGGAAGCATGACTGCTAGTGTGGTGAGGGTGTTAGAGCCGTGTTAGATTCAGGGCGCCGAGTAAGTTATTTTCAGTACGATGCACCCACGAGCATACCATGTTTGTCCTCATCGGTCACTTGGTGGAGGAAGGATCAATGATCCAACTGGCTGCAGGAGAACCGAAAAACTCCTGATACCTAGAACTAGTCTAGTTATCCACACGTATTCCTCCCTGGACCAATTAAAGAGGGACATCGAAGACCAGTATCAGTGATAGAAGTTTTGAAACAGGATGATCATGATGGTGGCCCGGAAGGACTTGAACAGTGAACACGTGCCCGCGTCCACCGGTCCGAACAGGTCCGCTCTTGCACTCCTTATCACATATATGATATCACAACTGGCATTGACCGCTAATGACACGAGCTCTCAAGATCTCACATATCATCCCGCAGCGAAGTATCTACAGCTACATCCACAAGAGAACAATGTCCTCAACACCATCCCTACCAAAGTTCATCGTCTGGGCACCCGACTACACCGATGAGGGTGCTCTCCAACGAAGACTAGCAGTAAGACCGACCCACCTCGAGAACATCAAGAAACTCGTCAGTCAAGGCACCCTACGTAAGTTCAGCACGAGCCATATACCTAGCGCTAAAGCACTTTGAAATTGGACAGGCCTCGGCGGAGGGTTCATGACCCCCGAATCCGTCGACGCAGCTGCAGCAGACAAAAAGTTTCTCGGCTCGTGCATAATTTTCGAGGGCGAGAACATCGATGTCGTGCGTAAGCTCGTGGAGGAGGATATTTACTATAAGACCAATGTAGTATGTGTCTTGGCTGTTACGATGTGATTGATATTGGGGCGCTGATTCGGAGATTGCTATGATGCACAGTGGGACAAGGAGAAACTCGTTATTCTCCCTATCGCATTGGCAACGGCCCTTCCGCCTGTGCCTTCTTGATGCCTGCAGATACCGAAGATGCTACTTATAAATGGAAGATGTTAGCAACCAATGTGATAATAGCACACAATCGCAATCCAAAACAAGACTTTTGGCGGGGTACCGCGGCAATTTTGAAGAAGGGCCGCGAGGCCTAAGCTTTTTGAGCTTATCTGTAGTTCTCCGCCCGCTCTTGATCCCCAACAAGTCCCCGAGATAACAATATCTCATTGTCTTTTCGAAGCCACCAAACCGCTTGAACGCAGAAACCCCAGAAAACTTCAATGAGCCACGCGATTCCCTGATGTCCCTGCATGATGCCCTACGTTAAATATGGACCAACAGTCACCAAGCCAGCGAAACAATAGCATGATTGACGCGCAACACTGTGATCCCGTCGATTATCATACCTGCGAACCCTATTGTTTTCCCGAAAGAGACATTGCACGGGGGGTTTCCATCACGGAGTTTACACGTCCAAAACGCCAGCCAGCGGCGAATGATTTATTATACCATGACTATTATGTGCATATACAAACTAGTTCGTGAAAGTTCGTGACGACATACATTGTACATTGAACAAGAAAAAGGACACATTTGGCGAAAGAATAATGCCATTTTTTGTGTTTCGTAGTTCGATGAAGAAAATAGTAGGCGATACTATAAGAATATGAAAAACGACTGAAGAACAAAATGAGAACATGGTATATGTTATTTGGATGATGATGGAGTGAAGATATAGCAATAGAAATATTGAATGCGAGCAAAACCTCAGCGATGCAGAAATGATATGAGATAGATGGTAGATGATGCGTGGGCAGGTATACGCGTGGCAAAGCGCCCATGATAAGATCAAGAAGCGCTTCGGATATCACATGGAAGCAGATGATGCCGTGATGATGTGAATATCTCTGGGGAAAAGCGGTTGTGGGGTAGTGAGCAAAGCGATCCACTGAGGCAATCAATAGCACAGGAAAGCGGTATCGATAACATTATTGCAAATGGGGGGAGGGGAGCACCGATGGTTTTCTTTTTGAACTCATCACGTGAGACCACTAGCAAGCCGTCGAGGATGTCTCGACGCTCATTGGAGACTGGACATCCAGGTCTCAGTAGAGTCAATAGAAGAGAGCAGGGTCAATAACAGAATCGTCAGGAACAGCATAACACGGCTTCCAACTCGCGGCAACCCGCCGCGTTGACGAATGTGCTGCGCCAGCAGGGGGAACATAGCCAGACTGTGATACAGCAGCGGTGTTCGTCATCTGTGTGAAGATTGGCGATTGTGCTTGCGGTGGCGGAGGGGCGCCCACCTGCGGCGCCGCAGCATTTTGCGATCCACCCTCACCCGCGTCGAAGTTGATATACTGTAACATATCGCGTGTGAATGCACTCGGCTGACGCTGACGTTGTTGCGTTGCTATATAAGCTTGAACATCAGGGTTGGGCTTGAAGAACGACGTGAAGTCGTCAGCCGAAAGGGTTGTGTTGATGACCGTATCTGCAGGATTCACGGTGCCAGAAGGACTCACAGTAGCGGACTGTTGCTCCTGTGATGTAGCAAATGCCGTCTCGATATCGAAACCATTGTAATAGTTTTCGAGTTCCTGTGACTGCGCATCGGGCTCTGGACCCATCTCAACTTGGAGCTCGCCCTCGGGCTGAGCAAGGATATCTGCAGGATTGACGTTGGACATATTGAAAATGCCGTTGTGACCAGTAGATGACAACATCGCCTGAAGAGACCTTTCGAAGACGTGAATCGATTCCAAGTTGTTAGCAGTTGTTAGGTCAAAGTTCAAGAAATCCTGGTGCGCGGAAAAATCAGTGACGGTGACGATAGCGCTGAGAAACGACGTACCTGTTGCTGGTAATCAAACGTTCCTTCTGGTTCGGCAAACTGATCCCACATGTGTTCGGATTCTTGAGCGCTCCCAGCACCAGACGGCTGCGGCAAAATGTGTTCTTGAAGAGTTTGCCATTGAGTATAGGCAGCCTGCGGTTGCTGCACAGGCATAGGCTCCATGCCGTATAAGTTGTGTGGATGGGGGAATGGAGGAAGATAAAGCTGCTGTGAGGGTTGGGGTTGCGCATCCGAAACGGGAGATACGCGAACTGAAGGCAGCGCGTCCACTCGAAATAGAAGATCATCCGGGATGGATGAAGATTCAGAGGCTGATGAAGGATTCGGCGATGACGCAGCTGACAACGGTGGCGATGGACCCGCGAGTCCAAACTGCATTCCCGGATCGAGGAAGGTGTAATCGTGATGAGGGATATGCGGGGGGACGTCCTGGACAGGCATGACACCAGGGAGAAGGTAAGGATGTGCATGAGCAATTGCGGCTTGTTGTGGTTCGGCCTCTTGAATTGGGTGTGGTGCAACTGCTTGGTGCTGCTCCTGCGAGGAGCCAGCCGCCGTGTATGAGCGACCGCGAGGTTTCCTCTTCTCGCGGGCGCGTTCCTTGAGCTGCCTTTTTTCTTCCCTGAGGCGTTCCTTCTCCTCTTTCTTCATCGGTTGGAACCTGTAATCAGGGTATAGACGCTGGTGCTCTGCCTTTCTCGCGTCTGCCAGACGTTCATACTCTAGTTTAACCGCATCCGACTCATTTCGCCACATGTCAGAAATGAGTTTTGAGACGTCGGCCTGGGCTCTGCTTCGTTGACCAGGTGCTGCAGGTGGTAAAACCTTGATCTTATCTGAGCGATAAAGGATCCAAGCGTTTGGGGGCCGGGGAGGTTGTGACTGAGGAAGATGCTTAAGTTCTTCATCATCAGTTGCGCGACCTTTTCCTTTTGATCTTATTGGACCCGTCATTGGGTGCAATGGGTGAAGAGCGTAGTATAAAGTGTATAGCTTGAGATTTGGAGGATAAAAGTTCCTCTGAATGGAAGGATGAATGTTGTGGTTAAGAGGAAAAGTTGGAAGGTCGCGTCGTAGATGAAGTGCGGGAAAATGAGTGAAGACAGGTCCCATTTTAGTAGGTCCTTGTGGGTCCACTCTGTTGTGGAATTGTTTGCTCTGTGGACCGGTTTAGCACAGCTTCTGAATCACCAAAGTCCGCAATCTGCTCTTTCAATGGTCTTTCCACAACCAAACCATGCAGATTTGACAGAAGGTACGCATTATACAAGAGCAGCTGTGGACCACTTACTATGTTGTCCATCGCTCGGGCGTTCATAGAAACAAAGCAACCTCAGCGCTGCTGTGACAGCTGCCACAGCTCACAAAGAGTTATACAAGGCAAATTACTTGCGTCGACCGATCCCCGGTTTCAGATGACTTGCGGGTTGTAAAGAACGAAGACCAGAAGACCGGCAGAAAAAGCCACTAACTTTGCCCAGCCTCGGCGTGGCACCGGGCGGCGACCTTCATCCAGGGAGTCAGGGACTAACCCTGGAAACGAATTAGCAATTTCTCGTCCCCGACGACGCGCCTTTGACTTCATATTCTTCCTCTTCTTCTTGGGTCATAGAACACAGCTGTAGAGAGTCTTGTCACATATAGCTGCCTCACCAATGTTTTTCGTGACACGTTTTCGATCAGTGTATTACCTTTTCAGAGCCAAAACCTAGACTGTCATAGGCCTCAACGTTGCAACGCTTGGCCAGCCATTAGCGCTGAGAATCAAACCCTACGGAGTTAGGCCGTCCGGATAGGAAGATTATTTCGAGCCTCAAGGCCGTCTGCAGCCGTTTACTCAATGTTTGGCAACACAAGGATCCACACACGTTCAAGAAGGATTCTCCAGGACAACACATGTTTTGATACAAATCTCGACCGAGTATTTAAGTTGCGTTATGATCAAACAGATACTGTAATGCATGCGGAAATATCGTAGCTTGACGCGGATGAACACGACCTTTGAACAACATACAGAATTGTGACACCGACCATCTTGAAAACACAAAACCATTCAGAGCTCAGTAGCCTCCGCCGTAACCGCCACCGCCGCCGCTGTAACCGCCGCCGCCATATCCGCCGCCGCCGCTGCCGCCATATCCGCCTCCACCGCCACTGTGACCGCCGCCGTAGCCTCCGCCCCCATAGCCTCCACCTCCGCCTCCCCCACCACTGGGTCTAGCGTTGGCCAAGTTAACCCTAAGCCGGCGACCGTCAAGCTCTTGCTCGTTCATTCCGTCGATGGCTGCCTGAGCATCTTCATTGCCGGCGAAGGTGACAAAACCGAAACCACGAGAACGGCCAGTTTCACGGTCCTTCATCACGATAGCCTAAAAAAACGCAAACGTGCAACGAGCAGGAGCGCATATAACAATTTTAGTCACAGAAAAAAAAAAGCCATGGGCGATCTGCCATCGTCGATGTCTATCTTTGACCACGATGGGAGATCGCCTCGAACAGATCGCGCACATCGGTGACATTCCCAAAATCTCCGAAGGCCTGTAAGGTTGATCAGCCTCAAAGACGAACTAATCGTGCAGAAGAACTAACCTGTCTCAAGGAGTCATCCGTCGTGTTCCAACTCAGATTACTGATCGATATGCCGACATCAGTAAAATCGTTCCTAGCCACGATTAAAGCAACATCGACGTACCCAACATAAACTTTTGCCGCCATGATGATATGTGATGACGAGTAATACCCTTCCTGAACTGTCAGAGTTCAAAGAGAACGGGCTGATAACAAAGACAGAATGGGTGATGGGTTTTATAGTGGGGCGCTCTGATTTTCAGACTCCCCTGGCTGCTTTTGGACATGTCAACGTGGTTTTTGAGTTTACAGCCAAACTTCGCATTTCGAGTTGCCCGAATTCTCTTTGCACCCCCCGGAATTCCGGTGGTCATTTGATGAAACTTGCATGCGGCCAGCGCACCGGGTTGAAACAGATTCAGATCACGCAGCTGATCATCAGTCTCGCTTCATAGCGAGATCATGTTCGTGGCGCTGGGAAACGTAGGTGTCAACGCGGATCTTTACTGATGAAAGTGATTTATCTATCGTAGGAATTGCAGTGAAACGCAGCAGATCACAGGATGCTTGATTTCTTATCTGATTATGCCATAATTGTGGACTCTCGACGTTCTCCAGACTCAAGCTAGTGCACTACTTTCCCCTTTCCGATACGTTCTGGAAGATGCCGCAGGTGCCCTTTCAATTACATAATTTCCATAAACCTGTCCCTCTTCACCAACTGTTCGTGTCTGATTGAACAGGATGAAATCGTAGGTTATCGTGACTTCAAGACTTTTTGGTCAGGTGGGTATACTACAGATCTTCCCCACTATCTGGCAGGCCTCCAAGTCACATTCGGATCATCAACTGCTCCATCTGCAGGTGATGTCATGTATAAAATTGGTCCAGATCACGAGCTATCGTCATTTCTAGACTAGCCTATACCATCTCGACCTTCTAGCTGAAGCAAAGAAGCAGGCACGAATGCTATGGCGAATATCAGATATCATTACGGCAAATATAAATTCACTACGGTTCTAACTTATACCAGCGCGTCTTTGATAATATACTGTCTGCAGCGAACGCCTGCCATCACCTCCTGAAAAATCTAACGATGGTATTTTTCAGGAAACGGGAACTGTTCTCATCACCCCCAGTACCATGCACGTGTGTACCTTCGAACCAAACCCGCTCTGCTTATCCGCTTCCAATTGTCTTTGCATCCCAAGGTGGGAGTAAAAAGACTGTCCAGGCGAATTGTCGCGCGCGACCTCTGCACATAAAATCACCGCATCAGTCGAATCGAGCGATGGAGCGGGAGGTGATTCATGACAAGGGGCTCCACAAGACGATCGTAGGCGCTGCACAACTTCATGTACGAGTCTGCGTGCAATTCCTTGTCGTTGGAACTCGGGCGATACCCCCAGTGTCAACAAGGTAACCCGCGGAGCGCCCCCCCCAGTGGATCGATCCTGATCCCTACTCGAACCAAGTGGCCCTGGCGTTGATTGCCGTATCTCCATGGTAGCAGAGGCAAATGCTATGACTTTGCCGTCGCATGTGGCTATCAAACACATATGCTGTGGCTGTACAAGCAGCTGCAGAAAGAATGCCGTGGGGTATGCGATTGGGAGGAGTTTGGTCTTTGGGGTCGGTCAAGCGACCTACCAGTCAGGGGCTCTGATGTGCAAATGACAAAGTGTTTCCTCACATGGAGTGCACGGACTTGTGACATATCTGAAGATCTCATCATCCGTATGCCGATTCCGTCCGGCAGCAGTAATGCCATGTTTCCACTACCACGTTGAGTCATAATAGATGACATTCAAATGGTATACTGGTTTGTTGGCAGATTGTTGTAGTAGACGAAATCGTAAGGATGGGTATGGACTCGGAGGAAGATGCTTGCAAGAGTAGCACTCGAGTTTCAGCTTTTTAAATTTTAGTACGCCCCACTGGTTTCGGGCATTGTCGTTATGGAGTACGATACATATCGATATTAAAGGCATAGTGCAATGACGTGATGCAATTGCTTTCCCTATTCGCTCCGAAGAGGAACATATTAAGATTTTTCAACTTGGCCTAGTGTTGCAGAACTTTTCACAGCACATCATTTCGATAGCACAACAATGTCCCATTAAAATAATTAACTACATAGGTAGACGGGAGTACACGTAGGCCCTAATACTGAGCAATAACATTCGCGAAGATGCTGCCAAAGGCACGCCGGACTGAACAGCATGCAGAGTTGCAAAATTTCTCACCTTGCTTTGGCAGGAACCGTCACGCTTTGTCACACCGATTCTCCGCTTCGACTGCCCAACACTGCCACTGCCAAGCAGAAACCCTAAGCAACCTGTGCTATTTCAATGCCGCAAAATTCTGCATGGTGTTTAAATAAAAAATAGCATCAGAACTTTCTGCGTAAGGAGCGCCTATGTACCTAGTAGTGAGGGTAGCGAGTATTGAGGCTGCTGCAAGACACCTTGCAACGCCGGGCGAAAGATAGCAAATAGAACGAAGGACATTGTGCGGTCAAGGAACTGACCGACAGAACATTGTAACTGATGCATCGCAGTGGATTATTAACATATACAGTCCAGGGTCCTTCTACTGTAGGTATTACGGTCTATGTACCGTGAATTCTTGAAATGAACATGGTGATGACAGAACTTTAATACCGTTCTGTCATTTCATTATTGGGCTTGGCCGACGCTTCGAGATACTTCGTTGGCCAGAAGATGATGTATGTGCAAATGCCAATCAACAATGGCAGGGAGTCGAGGAGGTAGAAGTAGACTTGTCAGGCGAGGATCAGATCAAGCAATTTCGGTATATCCAAATACTCACTTTCATGGGTGACGAGATAGCCGCCGTGACCTTGACCAAGCTCGATGACACGATAGATGCAGCGAATCTGTATCGCACAACATCAGTGAAGATGGATGAAGTGTGGGTAAAAGGCGCACCATGTAGGCTGTTGAAGAAAACATCAATATCCAGAGAATTGGCCCCCATGGCTCCTGCCGGACCAGAAAACCATCTCGAAGGATAGCATGCCATGCATGCGCAACCAGGATCATGAAGAGCGCAAATGAGAGTGTCTGAATGATTAATCCGGCGAGCAGTACGTCCGCGCCCAGCTTTTCGCTTGTCACTTTCGTCGACACTTCCAGACCGCCACCTGCACCCTGCACAACGTCGTGATCAATCTTCCGTGTGAAGGAGACAATCAATCAAACTTCAAACCTGTATGAGGAATGTCGTAATGTCGCTGATAACGAAGTACTGGGCAACTTTCTCTGGCTTGATCCAAGAGTAGCGTCTGTCCACGCAGTTCACGATGAAACGCCCGTAAAGGATGTAATTGAAGGCGAGATATGCGGCAGGAGGTAACAAAGTGAAGAGTTCTTGGACCATGAAAATCGGGAGAGAATTTGGGTTCATCGCCATGGGTATGCGCATAAAAAAGCCAATGGACATAACTGTTTTGCCGGTCAACACGTATTTCGAGATGGGTCATGAGAACTTACAGGTTGAGGCTATAGGGAGACAAAGTCCCCACCATGCCTTGTTCATAAACAAGCGCACGAACAGGCAAATGCTAGCGATGGAATACAACCCGCCTGCCACAGCTGCCGCGGCTTTACTTGGGTCATATTCTGGATGAAATGGATTAGCCCCAATCCGAAAGATGATGCTTTGTGGACTGACTAAATACTGCAGAGACTAATGTCAGCCCTTCGACACTGGTTGTGCTGTTGCTGCTGGCTATTGTATGTAAATATCAAGTTCAACAGATATCGACAAATTACTGACCTGCCTTCACCGCGCCGATGAGGAAGGCGACAATGATCAGAGTGTTTGGAGATCGCATACTCCTCATGACTGGAGGATGGGGTGTAAAAAGGTGGTATCAAGATGCCGCAACTCTCAAGGGTTATATATACCCCAAATGCGATCTAGACCCTCCCAAAGAAGCGAAGGTCGCTGCGGGCCTCACAGCTGCGACCTGTGAAGGATACTGTGTTCAAGCGATACGTGATAGCACGGTAATCATCAAACGTCGTTCCAAAGGGACACAGGAGTGTCCAACGATCGAAGCCGACGTAATACGTCTCCCGTCGGAAGGGAAACTGCGCACTGCTGGCTGGTGGCATATCACCGGATGACATCCGACGGGAAATCATATTATTATGTGTCAAGTATCTCAGTTTGACTTGGATGTGCTCACCAGAACACTGAGATGGATTACCCTCGATACATACACGCGATTGATACATGACTGGAGAATCGGCAATCGATCTTGTGCCGCACCGAAAAAGAGCACAGCTCTCAAGTTCAATTCAAATTAGAAGTGGTTCAGGTTACGCGTTATGATGAAGCGCAGTTCAGCAACACAACAGGACTTACTGCACAACCCACCGTACCACAAATGGCTATCCACCCCTCTATCTTCTCTTCTACGAATGCCAAAAGATTGGCATTCAGGCTACCGTCGGAGTCACACGACAACATCACACGTATGCCGTCATATCAAGGACCCGGGTGGTAAACAATGATCATGTTGATTCGCCGAGCACCGATTGGTAGGCCTCCTTGTGATTGGCAGTGAAAATATAGTGAGTTCCAGATTTTGAAATGGAGAAGAGGTAAATGATGTAGTATCCGACACCGTAGGCCATCTGTCGAATTCAGTGTCGATTCCCCAATATCGAGTTAACCTAGAAAACCAGATAATAACATCTTGAATTTTGAACTATACATGCTACGGTGGTCATCAATGATCGATGATCTTGACTTGCAGCACATACAGCATGCCGAGAGATGTTGATTGCCTCGATTCTCGATGATAATCCATGGGCGGATTTGGAGCTTGATATGTCAACGGCTTCACCCAAGAAGCATTATATTGTACCCAGGCCTGATTGATGAATCTGGTTGATGGAAATAAAAGGACATTCATCCAAAGCAAGCGTTGGACGACGAACGATTTTCATTGGCTGACTACGCTACTAAGCTGACATAATAAGCTTCTGGCACCCCCTGATACCCCTGAGCAAGCCTTCAGTTACAAACAACTATAGGACTCTAGCCCAAAATGGCCCACTGGCCCAGTGTGCCAGAGGCCGTTCAATCCGGATTCTGCAGCAGTCTGACAGTTCCTCCTAGGTCATGAAGTATCTCATGATACGAGTTACTTTAACTTTGAGTATGAGAGTGCGCTAAGACTTAAGGTTGCAGCCATCCGAATATTTTATAAGCGTGGACTGCATACATCAGTATGAATCCCGCTAAAGTTGATTTGCAATTTGGGTGATCACGATCCTTGGAGAGAAAACACCTGAAGGAACCGTCTGACGGAAGCCGTTATCGACCACATGTTCGCCCGTCGTCCTTTTACTTTGACCAGTAGAGCCAGTGGAATTTTATCATCATTTTATAAAATGGGCTAAGATTACATCATATTGAAGGAGTGCCGATGACGAGACATACTACGTATACAAGATTTCATACCCATACAGTCCGAGGTCGTGGTCTGACAGTGATACACTAGTGGTAAAGATATGTATAACATCGTGGAAAATAATTGCGGAATATAAAAATATAAAAAAAGAGTACAAGAATGAGTGAGAATATGTGATGGGCTGGCTGTCAGTGGTCAAGCTTATGCGGCTTGGCAGTCCTTGGCGTGTTTCTTCATGGCGTCGCGCCGAGAATACGACTTGGTACAATTGATATTCTCGCAGGCCCACCTGGTCTCCATGTGGCAGCTAACTATGTGCCGCCCGATGGCACCTCTTTGCAACTTTCGATTGCAACCCTTCCAGAGGCACACAACGTCTTTCTTGTCGTTTCCTTGTATGCCGTGAGAGTCGCAAAGATGTGTGCCAAGTTTGCGCTTGTTATTCGAAACGAGATGACCACACCATTTATCGTTTTCAATCCATGCGCATTCATGAAGGGTCACTGAAGCAAGGACGATCAGAGGTTATAGTGAAATGATGGAGAGAATGACAAACGTTGTTCTTGACGCGGCATCATGGTAGGCAATGGTTCTGTTGACGGCTGTGGTGTCATTACCTGCAAGGACGGAAGGAATTGGCCTGGGTTGTACCAAGCAGGTTGTCCGGACTGGCTCCTAGTAGCTGAGTGAACAATATGCTCATTACTCGATCCGATAGACCTACCAAACATATGGTTGGTTTAGATTTTCATCCTCAGGTGAAGAATACAATAGATCTTGAGGATAGCAAAACGTTCTATCGTCTGCTATCTCTGAGTGTGATAACATAGAGTTCTCAGGAATGCTCCCGAATGCCGTATTATCATTCACATGGTGCTGGTGTGCAGAGTCCCTGTAGTTTCGCAATGAGGAACTAGCATAATGATGTTGAGGATAACAACGTACTGCATTGCCAACCACTCTGGAGAAAGGGGGAAATCACCCTGGAAGCGCTGGTCAAATTGACCATCGACAGTGGGTTTAGGCCACCACGCGGTCGAAGCGCGAGATGTTGCAGGAGCGTAATTTGGGCTATCACACACGCAATAAAGTCAGACCCTCTAATCTTGGCACCATTAGATTTCATGTATTACCCTGTATTTTCATCCCTTCTGAATTCAGCGGCATCAGCGACTGGATTGGAGAATTGCATGTAGGCGATCGATTGTAGTTGGATTGAAGGTGGAAGGTTGGGATCGTTTTCTACTATCCATAAGGCCAAAGCAGGGCTTTTTATGCCTTCCCACTTCCGAAAATGACCCTCTAGCCACAAGTCCACAAACCATGAACCTTGGTCAAACACAGCTTGCAATAATGGCCAGCGGAGACCCAAGAAAGGCAATAAACACAGATACCGACATATTCGTGTGCGGGCATGTGCACCAATGACAGTAACTTTTAAGCCAGCATTCGAGTCATAGCAGACGGGGCGGGTCCACTAACAGGCACGTTGATAGGGGAAGAGCAATTGCACAAATAAATTTCCACGTAAGGGTTATCCTTGGGCCACATTGCATACAGCAAAAACGACAGGTAACGGGATATTACTGTTCAAAGAAGAGGGGCCCGAGCCACATACTGGCATGAGCTCGGGACCGCAGTGGGAGGCGCACAGAACAATCCATTACAGAATGGTGGTGGTGGTAGTGGTGGTAGTGGTGGTAGTGGTGGTGATGGTGGTGGAATTCCATTTCGCACAGTTGGCGGAGTGGAAGAACGTAATACGCCACGGCCTTCGCACATAGCGGGACGGATGAAAGCTCCAACCGGAAGTCTGGGACCATATGTAAGTGCGCAGAATACATCCCCGCCTTTGCTGTATAAAACATAATAAATCAGCTCAATGTGTCGGGTCTTATCATCTACTTTGGGATCGGGAATAAAGACTTACTTTCGGGTGGCTCCTCCGACGCCACTGAGGTTCACAGAGGACGCCAGAAGGTTCATATGCCATGGTCATGCAGTCACAGCATATGGCTATCGGTAGCGTTGGCAGCCTGGCCAACCCTTGCAAGTACTTGTGTCCATCCTGTTTCTCCCGATCCAACATAGGAGAGGGTACGGCGGTATACAAGTCACGGTCGTGGCCAGACACAGTAGCTATTTGGGTACCCATAATGTGTGAATGATATTGTTCGAAATGAAGTGGCGCCTTGGCAGGCGGGGCTCACATACAAATGAACACAACGGCAAAAGCCGCACAAACGTTCTCAAGGCCATGTCAGGGCAGAGGCGTATTAAGATTCAATTCGACATTCAGTGTTCAACAGCCACGGCCTCGTGTTGGCCTCATGGATCAGTCAGTTAAAGATGGTATGAAGACAATTAGAATACACTGGATCACAGCAACCAAGTAGAGACATGGGAGAAAGAGATATGCGATGCTGAAGAAAGATGACAGATATGGTTCCTCTACTTTTGCTGAGCGGAGTTGTAGCATCATCCCCCCCTACTTCTTCAGTGTACCAATGACAGCGTCTGGTGCATATCTTGGAATGACCTACACAGCGAATGAGCCAAGAACAAGGAATTGGGATAGTGTTTCATACCTTCGGGTCGTGGAGCATATTGAACTCCTCAGTCGCATCACGACCAGCGTAGAGAATAATAGCTTTTTCGCCTCCTGGGTGGTCAGGCAAGAACTGTGTCGCGAAAAAAATTAGCAAAGTTGCAGAACTAGAAGGCCTACGCTTACGGATGTGACGTCCAGCACCTGGCCATTAACAATAACCCAGATGTCGTCCTTCTTATTGTGCTTAGCTACATCCGCGGCACTGAATTCCTTTGATAGTGACGACGACTGGGCAGGGACACTGGTGGCAGCAGGTTGTGTAGGTGCAGATGAAGCAGCAGGCTTCGACTCGAGCTGTCCTACGAATGCACCAAGACGTCCGCCTGCCTTCTCTACGATGGCGCTAGTCGTCTGGAGGAGATAGGCAGCAGCTGAGTCGCCAGATACACGTCCGAAAACAACACATCCAAGCAATGACGAACCACCAAGACGGTTGGCACCATGCACACCACCAGCAACCTCACCAGCAGCGAAGAGACCAGCGATGGGTTTTCCGTCCTTGCCGATGACGCGTGACTCGGGGTCGATTTCCAAACCGCCCATGGTGTAGTGCAATACGGGGGTCATGATTGCGACATTGAAGTAGTCGTTCATGCTCCACTCTCCTGATGAGAAGTACTTCTGGAGTTGAGCAACAGAGTGGAAAATCTTAAGAATGGGTATTACCTTTTTGCCGAAAGGATCTTTCTTTGCCTTGACACCCGCGTTGTACGTGTCGAAAGTCTTCTTAAGATATTCAGGCTTGACGCCCATCTCTTTAGCAAGAGCCTCGCCAGAATCGAAACGCTTCATGAGACCACGACCGACATAGTGCTTGCAGTGCCATTCAATCTCGCTTGAAGCCTGTCCGTTCAGGATCAAGCGAATGGGATACTAAGGAGGATCATTTGGTAAATGGCAAAAAGAGACAAGCACATTCAAATACCTTGCCGTTCTCCCAGATCTTGCCAGTGACGTAGTCACGATGTTGAAGCTCATCGACGAAACGGTCGCCGTTCTTGTCAAGTAGCAAACCGCCAACACCACGAAGAGCCTCTGCAGCCAAGAACTTCACTTTCGCGTCGGGCTCGTTAGGGTCAACAAGACCCGTCGGGTGCACCTGCACTTTCTCCAGGTCGATCGCACTCGCACCAATAGCCATAGCAATCTTCTGACCATCACCCGTGCAGTGGTCACCATTCGTCGTCGGGAGATCATAGTATTCGGGACGGTGCTTCTTCAGCAGGGAGTCACCGCCAGTGAAATCGGCGGCATAACCACCAGTAGCGAGGACGACGGGGCCGTATACAGTTTCTGTCTTGCCATTGCGAACATACTCAACACCCGCAACTGCGCCAGACTCGTCTTTGACAAGCTTTGTAACACGGGCCTTCTTGTAAATCTTCACGCGGTCAGGCTGGCTCACCGCCAGATCCTCCAGGCGCTCCATTTGTGCGTAAGTGATAACCTGTCGGTGGAGAAATGCGGAGTTAATACAAGTTCGACACCGAAGGAACGGATATTGCGGCTACATACCATACCAGGGAATTGTGCATTCCCTCTGTGTGTGCGGGGCTGACTGTGGCCTCCTAACCGCGCGACCTTTGAGAGGTCAAGGCCGAATTTGTCCTGTAGCCAGTTGACAGCATCGCCCGAGCGGCCTGTCAACACACGGATGAGGTCGTCGCGAGCAAGTTCACGAGCCTGAAATGCATTGGTATGATATTTGGGCATAAATATGGAATCACTCACAGATTTCTTCGTGTCCTCAAAGAAAATCTTTGCGTTATCTGGAATACCGGCCTCCTGCTGCGTCTGGGTACCAGCACCGTTGATACCAGAAGTGGCCTTGGTGGAGTTTCCACCCATGAATCTGCGAAACTCCGTCAATAACTGTTTCACTTTTAATGTGAATCCTTGTACCCTTGCTTGTCAAGTAGCAATACATTAGCACCACGCTCAAGAAGAGTGTGAGCTGCAGAGAGACCAGCAAGGCCACCACCAACGACAATGACTTGTGACATTGTGATAATTGTTGGGAATGTGCGGAGAGGATGGTAGTAGAGAGGGAGCAAGATGGGTAGTCAGTTGGGGTAAGCGGTTCCGGGTCAAGTACCAGTAATTGCTAGCCAATCACAATGCGCAAGGTTTAAATTAAAACGCAGCATGTGATTAATATCGCATTATGTCAGCTTTCGGGTATAGAAAAAAACATGGAAATCACGGGCGGCCAGCAAGGAACAAGACCTCCGTCAACCCTCCGTGGATTCTCCTTCCGGGAACCTATTCCCGGTGTCCCTCATTCGCAGGCAGAATTATCTATTGCACCAACCGTGCAAAATCTATTTACGCGTGATCTGTGGTATACAGTGCACTGCAAAACATATCCGATGACACCGCAATCTATGCCTTGACTCCCTTGTTCGACCCTTCCCCCATGACAAACTGATATAACTCCTGGCAGCACTTTTCAACGATATCCGTCATGCTCATCTCTTTGTCCTCTTTGTTAGGTTCGATTAAAACAAGGCCTTTCACCTTATTCGTCAGGTCCCCATTCTCGACATCGCCACCCTCGAATATTTCGCGGTGTGCGTCTAGGTATCCAGGGAGGACGATCTTCTCCCAGTAGTCAGGGGGGTCTACCCATGCATCCCCCTCTTCATTAAAGTGTACTCCATGAGAGTAGCCGCATAAGTCATAAGTGTTGTGGACAAAGAACGGAGGCGCGTGGAGTTAAGGGGAAATTAGGCACGTCAACGTGTGCAAGATTGACATCCAAGAAGTAATGAAAAGGAGCGAAAGTCAATAATCATCGGAGCGGGATAGGAACGAAGATAGAGCGGAAATGCTGAAGTACATACTTGCTGTGATGTAAACCTGCCGCGCTTTCCTCCGGCCTTCCAATGTCTTGAGTGGAACGCGGAGTAAGAAGCGCATATCTAGTTGCTCTATGACCTCCTATGACCGAGTCTCGTTGATTCTTCATTCTGTTGTGACAACAATGCTGGCGTACCTGATCCCAATACAACAGAAACCCGTCGACCAAGCCCCACACTATATTGATGTGGTCACTCTCCTTGACTTGATCTTGAATAACTCTGAAGCGCTCAGCCAGACGGCGTTGACACTCTGCTTCTATAGGTAAATCTGTCTGCTTGTTCAAATGTTCATGACTTCTATGATCATCTGGTAGGCTTCCTGTATCTTTCACGTGCTTTAAAAATTTGGAAAGTCGTGGGTAGTCGATTGCGCAATCTGGAGCATCCCAGTCCTGGTAGCCATGCTTCATGGGAAGTAGTTCCTCAGGCTGCGCGACCGCTCAGCGAAAAAATACGATCGATTCTAACACTGCCTTACTGGAGCAAAATCCTGCCATAGATAAGTTAATGCTGACATTTTTTGAGAAATTCACCGACATCCTGGTGCACAATGACACTGTTGGGCAGTATGTTCTTCAGATGCTTCGCGAGAGTGGTCTTTCCTGAGCAAGTAGCACCCCTTGTCAATATTGTAGATAGTCAATCGGTAGTTCGTATTCAAATGTGAGGTGTTCACATACCCTAAGCCTACAAGGATAACCTTGGTCTGAATTTCGGCCATCTAAGCCACGACACCAAACAGGTCAAAGACGGTGATCGATATACAACTGATCAGCTCCGCCGGCCGACTCAGCCGAGTTCGACTTGCTCAGGGTTGTCACTAAGTACGGTCACTACAGTGGCAAACTGAAGGAGCACATACGGCAAATACCGGCACAGTCAATTTTTATGTTCCCCATGATCCCGGTCCGCAGAACTCTTCGTGGCACACAACCTTGTAGATCTCAACATCTCCCACTATAATAAGGTTGTTGAAGCGCGGGGAAGAATATGCAATATAGGGTAATGTATTTATAATACTAATTTAGGTGTACAGCTCGTCGAATGTTCATTCAAGTTCATCGTAAATCTCATACCTGTTTCTCTACCCTCTTCTTAACATCTTCTGCACTCTCTGCAACTTTCTGAGCGCCTTCACGTTTCGCCTCGTCTGTCTTTGACTGCCCCCAATTGAACCAACTTTGGCCTGCGTCCTTGGCTTCATCCGCGCGTTGTGTGACGGCGTCCTTCGTTTCCTCAAACTTTTGTTCGGATGTCTTCCTGGCGTCCGCTAGTGATTGCTCAGCTGCATTCTTGTACTGATTCAGTTTTTCCTGTGCTTCGTGTGCCGTCTGTCGTGCCCGTTCACTCAGGTCGTAGAGAGATTCGTCTACTTTTTGGCGAGATCCAGTCGCTTTCTCTTTAGCTGAGGCCTACACGTAGCAGGTCAGACGACGTGGTCCACTTGGATTCTCAGACGACCGACCTTTGCAGTACCATAGCTCTCCCGAGCTTCTTTAAGGGCATCATCAGCCCTTGCTTTCCCTGCTTCCTCAACTTGCTTTATATCGTCCCGCACTGCACGCGCTGCCCGCCTCATGTCCTCCTCATCTCTGCGTTTTTTCTCCTGAAGACTGACTCCCCGGTCGCGGTTGTAGAAATAGTACATTCCCCCAAGGGCCGCAACAGCAGATGCGATAATGAGGCCGTTGTTGTGTCCGCCACCATCGGTGGAAGGGCTGGCCTTTGGATTGGGCGACGCTTGCCCCGGCGGAGGCTGGGTTGCGTACATCCTACGCGCCTGCATTCGAAATTAGTTTTGAGAAACATGGAACACTGCTCGACTCACGACAGGAAGGATGGCGGTCGGGATACGACCGTGAACAACGCTGGAACGCAAATTGGGTACTCGGTACATTGTGAAGGAGGCGGTATAAATTATTTAAGTGTACAAGCTGTGTGGTGTGTAGTTAACGTTGATGTTGGATGAGCGTATGCCTTTATATCCAACCCCGGCTCCTAATGACGACAAACGCTTGTATGACGTCGATTAGTCACGTGTGCGCGTCCATCCCGACGCGTCCCTCCTCACACGTGGCTCTTCCTTCTATTACTATCATCCAACCGAGCTTCGGCGCTCAAGCACTCGAATATCGAGCTTGAAAGTTTGACGAGCCATCTATCTCGTAACCAGCCAGCTGAGAAGAGATGGACCGTCTGATCCCAAACGGCTCGCTTTATCGAATCACACGCATCAACACGTTTGCGTGCGGCCGCATCACTACAGAACCCGTCCTGCTCTAAGCAGCATCAATCTCTGCATCTCGTTCATCAACCAGGTGACCCTGATTTGCAAATACATGCCTTATTAATCATTGCACGAACACGTTTGACACTGCCTCTATCTTTGTTGTATCATTGGAGCCACTCTCAATTGTACTTCGGACGAGAATTAAAACTCACCCCAGTTTTGACCCAGTCTGAGTTCTCTGATTCTCCTATTTGATTTATCATGCATCGCACGCTGCATTGAGTCTTGACAAGGGTAGTAGGGCAGAAATCGACGGAACCATTCGTTCTATCTTCGAATGGAGCTGCGACGTTTATATAATGATCCGCGGTTTCCACGAGGATAGACAATGTTACAGGGGCCGCTCGCTTCAGAGCAAATCAAATTTGAGAACTGAATAACCAACCTCAATGACAAGGATCCAGACAGACACCCAAGTGCGTGCGGTGTGTCCTTGCACAGCTCGGGGAACGGAATCCCGCAGGCATTACTATTAGCTGCTTACCCAAGTCCTATAGGCGCATATTCAAAAGTACTTGGAATACAGGGTAGACCGTCTCATGATGTGGGGCTTGCTTACTCGTCATTAACACCCGATACGTGAAGGTCAAAATATTGCTTGTTGGGTTGCTTCTACTGTTCTTGACGTGGAACATCTGGAAGCTGAAGGCAGGACGATAAGATGGCACCCAAAGTGATCCATGTCCAGTCCGGAGGATCTAACACGAAGCTTTAATTAGCGTACGGACCCTGGTGTCACACAGTCCTAGTGTTCGCGACGAGTTTCGGAGATCCTATCCGATCATGGGCACGTGGGAGGCATGTGTAAAAGCCTTGTGGCAATCATGCCGACGTCATCACCAACATCGACGTCCATCGCGCGTCTTGCCGAACTCGTTCTTGTCGATCAAGAGGGCCACGCTTACCGCGTCACAGATCATAGACCAAGGCCTTTGTAACGCAGTCGTGATTGGGGCGACCGTCCATGGTGCAGGAGGTGCGAAGAAACATGTCTCGGAAATATTTTTGAACGTGTGAGCAAAGAATACATAACTTCTTCAAACGATCTTTCATCAGCAACACACAAATAAACATAGCAAATTACATTCGCAACTGAAACGGATCCAGATAGTTATGCAAATAGACGTACCACACCTTCCTGAACATATCAAAGTTCCCTGCTTATGGGCAGGTCTTCTCTCTTATCGTAAATATCATAGTTTGGCAAGGTTCCTGCAGCCTGCAATTCTTTGGCCACTTTCTCTGCACCCTCAAACACCCGGAGGAAATTGCCCCCAGTGAGCCCAACTAGTTCTTGCTTACTCCATCCGCGTTGGTACAACTCAGCGATCTTAGAAGTTAGAACAGTCAATCATCGTTTAGGTTTAGGTGGAAAGATGCCACATACAAGAGCAGGATATTTTGAAACATCCTCGAGTCCCTTCGGAGTGATTGTAATCCCATCATAGTCGCTTCCAATTCCGACGCTGCGACAACCATCAGATCGGTAGCCGAGCTAGTATCGGTCATAACTCACTGTTTTACTCCAGCAACTTTTGCAATATGCTCAATGTGATCGGCGACGGCTGCAAGATCAGCCTCGTCATCGGCAGCAACGAATGGGCCATTGAAGTTGACCTGCACAATCATTAAAATCAGTAGATCAATTATTTTCTGGACAGACCATAACAACAGCGTCCCTTTGCCCTTCGCCGAAACCGACGAGACTAAGCACTTCATCAGGCACATTGCGGGCAACATTGTGAATGGCTCTAGCAGATGAATGGGACCAGATAACTGGTGCCTTAGAATGCAGCAGGGCTTGCGTTGCAGTCATGTCAGAAGTATGAGAAAGATCAACAAGCATTCCAAGTCTGTTCATCTCCTCCACAAGCTTAAAGCCAAGAGGGCTGAGGCCGTAGTGTCGTGGGGCACTCGGTATGAAGATACCGCAGGAGTCGGCGAAAGCGTTGTGACAACCGTGGGTCAGAGTTACGTAGCGAACCCCAAGCTCGTAGTACTGGCGGAGGACGGCAATAGAGTTCCCGATTTGATGGGCACTGAGATGGTTTTAGGGGAATGGAAGGAGCTAGCGAGCGAAGTGGTGCTCACCCCTCAACACCTAGAATGCTCGCGATTTTGTGGTCTTTTATTGCTGATTTGATGCCACTCACGCTGACAGCGTATGCAAAATCCTGGGCCAGACATCAGTCAGCATTACTAACATAAGGCCATATGGAACTCACGTCAGGATACTTCGATATCAGGCCCTTTGCGACGTCAATTTGCTCGAGGGTGTCTCTATCATTACATGCGGTCAGCGAGATGCATTGAGCTCAACAAGGAACATTCAGACCGGACGCGCCAGGAAGCCTTCAAGAAATCGGGGCCCTCATCTTCAGGGCTTGCACAATCTACATACACAGACCTAATGAAAGTCAGTTTAGAGTAGAATGCAAGGATACCGCTGTATACCAAAAGAATCCTCCGACTTTCCCTTCCCTCAAACGTGGAATATCTACATGCATGGGCATTTGACCGTCAAGAGGAACGTCGGTAACGTTGTTGCGCCAGCCGAGGCGAGCAAGTAGAGGAAGATCTTAAAAGCGCACTGTAAGATGACAGACAGGTCATATTCGGAAGGAAATATACCAATGTGCCCATCCTGTATATTCTGTCAGCGAGGAGTAAGCAGAAGATATGGGTCAAGAGACGTACGATGACCGGAGCAGTGTCGAGCACACGCTGTGCTGCAAGCTTAGGATCCCGGGGCAGCTTTTCTGACAGTCCAATATCGCTTACAAAGCCTGGGTCGACCAGTGCGACGACTGCAACAACGATGATTACAACAGCCAGCGCAGACCAGACGAGTGCGCGGTTGCGAAGTGTACGAGAGTTGTGCTCATGTTCTGCGCTCGAAATTAGAGGTTCGTTTTCACTGCTCATCGTGGACACCAATAGCGAACGGAGGTCATTCCTTGAACTCATATTTGGTCTAATTTTAGTAATTACGACAAGCGGTGGCGCGGAAAAATTGGTCATGACTCATGGCAAGGGTGTCCGCCGAAACTTTTCAAGGGGTCAAGTTCCCAGAAAGAGGTGTTTTCCCGGGGGGTCACCTTCTTTCTTTGGCCAAACAATGAACCAAAGGGAGTCACGTGTATGGAGAAACGGTCGGGCAAGCGGAGTTTGAAAAACGGTCGAAAAGCTGTGGCGTCACGGGGCAAGTTCAAAGTTCACGTCGTACTACTCTTCACTGGTGCACGCTCATAGTGCTCACTAGCACTCGCAACCAGTAAGTGCAATGACCGTTGAGTACACTCATGGCTGGTGTTAGGACTTTCTATATTTCAGTACCACAACCTCATGGTCTCAGCATCACCTGTTTGTCACATTTATGCAACTTCACTTTTTGTTTTCATGTCTCGCCAAATGGCAATTTTGCAACTTGGTAATGATGCAGAAGCTACTAGTGTGTTTATGGCTTCTACATCATTATCAAGCAGCCAATCTAGGCCGTAACTGCTGCATCTCCCTCAATAGATCAATCAGGCCTTATCGATTACATGCCTTCTTTCTCAATGACGAGCGTGTGATTGTTGATATACCACGACCGTTGTCAGCTATAACTTGCGTGGGATCTGCGAGGATTGGGGCAGTCTTTCACACAAAGGTGCGCACGTGAGTAAACGTTTATTTGACTTTGCCGCGCTGCTGTTGATGTCGCTATGCTTGGAGCAGAATCTTTGCCCATAACGATCTGGAGATTGAATATCGAGCATTAATAATTTAATGCTGTTCTTCTATGCCTCGTCTCTCAGAAACAACGCACGGCCATGTATAATATGACGAAATTTCATCACCAGGAGCATCGAACGTGTCCCTGCGGCGTTCCGACTACGAACTGCTTAAGACGTTTGTCGTGTCTACATGTGGTAGTACGGCATAGCCAGAATCGGGGCCTGTGAGGCAGATTCAAGTTTGCTAGTCACTAGTGATAGAGGGGGAATTGATCCAACGCGAGAATGACGTGGGCACATTCAAACGGTTGGTCTCTGCCGCTGTCAGATGGTAGACAGACACGGCCGTCGGTCAGCATCTGTCAAAACCTCTTCAACGATGAGATAATATATGCCTGCCCAGAAAGCTGCAACTTCTTCTGCAGGTTCCCCCTGGTTCTCACACGTGATATAATTGTCCAATGACGTCGCAGCAGTTGCCGCAGCCTGCAACATTTTCTTACTATTCGAGTCTACCACTACTTGCGTACCACTACTGCAATGTCGTCTCAATTTTGAGCCTCCCTCGATCGCCGGTGCCCACTCGGAGCTCACTTGTCTTGGCGGTCACGGTGATACCCATTGTGAGTAGTTCCTTGGCTGAAGCCTGACCGTCCCTGACGCTGGGCCACTATCAGTATTTTTGGACAAGAAGTTTCATCCTCCCTTGTTTATCATCCTATTTGTACACGCCGAATTCGGGGGCCGTACAAACTGCTGCGTCAATCAGAAGACCCATAAAGGTGTACTGTGTACAACTTCCTCTCTGGAGTAGCACACACTCCTGCGGCTTTTGGACTTCCCATTGGGTGTCGCCGGCAGGTGTTCACGCTGTCATGGACAATGTAAAGCGCCAACGTATCATGTTCCCATTTTATTGCGACACCCATGATTTCCATCAAAATCATCGAAACTCCACAATGATCTACGTCCGGAACCATCCGCTGATTGATTGGTTTGAGATCCTGTTCCGTTGATAAGCACTCCCGAACTAGCAAGCCAAGTGGAATACATGACCCACCTATATATACCTGGAATTTTGATTACCTCCCTCCAAACGCCTCTGACAGTCCCTCAAACTCTCTGTCCACGATGGTCGAGTTTCTAGCGCAGATGTATATCACCGGGATCTGGCTGGAGGCGGTCTTGTATGGTATGTAGCTGACAAATTTCTTTTGTGTCGCCAACACAATCTTCTCATCTAGGTACCAAGTGCGCTCTGCCATAGCACGTGGGGTTGTTTCTGATGGAGGTTGTAGCTGCGTCTTATTCTGCATTTGTCTTTTCATCCTACTAGGTCATCACGGAGCATCTCGAAAGTGAGTAGAAGCCTAAATGGTTTTAAACAAAAGCAGAATCATAATATGATATCTAGAACGCTCCTGTTCTCGAGCGTCGTCCAATTTTCGTTGGCTACAGCACATGTTATCATAAGCTTGCTAGAGTTGATGGCTGCTTTCGCAACTTCAGCCAGCGCTGCTGATAACTACTTCGCTGACCCTGGTGGCAACGAACTGTACGTTGGTGGCTTCTTTGTATACGTCGTCAATGTCGGTAGCGAAGCATCAGCATCTCCAATGTCGTTTGACTGATACCTATCATTTCCAGACATTCGCTCAAGAACTACTTCTAGTGAGTTTCGGGTCCAGGCTCAATCATAACAGAGATGAATGTGTGTCTTTCAGATTTGGAGACTATACGTGATCTGGGGTCGCAACTTCAAGATTTGTATCATACCGGTACGCTATATTTGTCATGTCTACCACTAGTGTAACATTGGTGTTGATAACCTACGATCATTAGTTCATTCTCTGGATGCTTCACTGCAGTAAGCTAGATATGTAAGACAAGGAACTATCTGTTGTGACGCCCTGTCAGTTATAGCGTCGATCGCCGTTTCTGGCTTTATGCCCGCAACAGCAACGCCTCTTACGCGCAATGTCCATTCATACGGACTCGCTGGGTGGGGTCTCGAGACTGGTGTCAATTTTCTTGCGTCAGGCGGCATAGCATACCGTCTATGGCACGCAGGGCGCCGCACGGCTGTTCTCACAGGGCGACCCAACTACAAGGCTAGCTTCTTCATCATTATCGAATGTGGGGCCCTTATCACAACATGTACCGTGATCATGTTCGCCCTCTATGCAGCAAACAAACCGGAAGGACTCGTTGGGGTCGGAGCAGCTACTCAAATTGCGGTGGGTGTGGAGTAGGCTGTCTATGGCGTGTCGTTTGATTTTTCTCTCTCCAGACTACCTCGCCGTTATTAATCATCGCGCGGGTGGGATTCGCCATGTCCAAGAGAAAGACGGTTTCGACAGCGGCCACCTTTTCTACCCTCCCGAATCCCTTACAAGTGAATGTTAACGGGGCATCGTATACATACAAGGATTACCCACTAGATGACGTTTCAGCTGGGGGAAGTGGATCAAGGGACACGAAAGAAACGAAAATAGAGATTGCAGCTTGAGTCGATCGCATATATCGGCAGAAAAGGAGTTTAGACAAAGATATTGATGTTGTTATGACCTACAAGTTCAAAATAAACCTGTGTTTGATTGATGCTGTAGTGGTTGAGAACTGGAGTACAATGTTTTGCGCTGCTCACAAACCTCGTGAGTGGTTCGCCTGAAACTTGGAAATTCCAGCGATGAATAAAAGTAAATCAATATTCTGACTGGAAAGGGGTGCATGATGTAGCAATCAGGGGGATAAGGTTATCGGAATAATCGACGTGAACTGTTGTCATTGATAGTGAGTGTCACATGATGTATCGTATATGCTTCTGTGAAAAAAGCCATACCGTCCAAAGTACCGAACTTTCATAATACGGGAACCATGCGATATACAGCACAATGGCTTAATCGATATATTTAGAAGAGCCTTAAAGAAAAATCACATCTTGCTGAGTGAATAAACCCCGGAGATAGGCATGGTCAACTGATTGGCCGTCGATCATATGATTGAACCAACCCATCGCTGACCACTGTAGATAGTCATGTCGACAACAATCGTCTTGTTAATTAACGATATGGAGGATGATGGTTTTAAAAAACTTATGGCTGACGTATTTGCTTCTATCACGGATGTGCATGGCAAGGCGATGTAATGTGCTGAGAGGGGAGCAAAGCACACCTGGCAAAGTATCGCCAAAGTACCAGCCGTCTGAGCACAACAAACATGTGCAATCGTCCATCTGAGCCGGACTTGTAGAACGCGATGCGAAAGCCCTGTGAGCCAGAAAGTAAAAGCAGCGCGCCTAATATAAGTGACTGTGATGAGTGGAAGCCCAGATGGCTCGGCTCTGCTTCGCAGGACACAACCATCATGACGTCTGCAATCCAGACTTGACTCCAGTAAATGGGGAAAATCATGTTTGTGAAAACGAATAAAGTATGAAGGGAATAACGGATGGGGCGCAAGGAGCTAGACAGGAGTAGCAAATATTGAGTTAACGGCAACGATTCGTGATGCCAGTGAGTGGAAGCCGAGATAGCTGATAAGGCAATGAGTCTGTTTCCCGGTCATCGGTATGAATGGAGTGCGGGGAGCTGGATCACGGGGAGTCAGAGCATATCCTAGATCAGGAAAGTTCACTGAAGATGCTTACCTTGTGTTAATGAAGTAAAGCCTAGATACAGTCTCACGACGAAAAATAGCACGTGTGAACTATGAACGCAAAGTGTAGCAGTGAAGACGACACTATAGGACCATCGTCCCAAGTAAACTCGTTTTGCGCAAGGAGTAATTACGTGCAAAAGGGTAGAGAGTGGGTTTGAGTCCGGTGGCGGTGTTTCTTTCGACGTTGCAAAAACAAGGGACCCATAATAGATGGAATTGAGTTGTGGGATAGAGCTATGCCAATGTGCTAGCTAACGGGACGTATATGTGATACTCACATGTGGACTTGAATCCGATGCAGCCCGGATGCAAACAGATGAGTTGAGAACATTATTATGCAGTACAATGAGAACGATGCGAGAACGAGTGCAATGGCAGTGGGCACGTTGTTGCCAACCGGACGGCCCACGGCATCCGATATCATACTCGCGGAGATTAGGTCTACGACTCAGACAATTTCGACATTGCTGTCGAGACTCCGTATAGGATCTTGAAGCATCCTTTGCTTCTTGCTGGTCCAGAGAGTACGTATCTCACCTAACGAAGTACGAGCGCAACTGACCAAAAATATATGTCATCATTTTTCATATTTATTATGTAATTACAAGAATATCGTTGGGTCAGGCCCCAGCTCTAGATCTACACTGAGATTGAGGCAGGAACCAGTGTGCATGGGCCCCGTCATACCGATTTTGGCGATGCAAGCGCCGAACGGTAGTATATCTAGCATGAACGCTAGATCGTTATACACCCCCAACATCCCCACTCGCTCATACACATCCCTTTAATATGACCGTAGTCTCAAATGATCCCAGTTGGTGGCCGTTCATCAATTCCTCTCTTTCTTTAAGTTATTGGATAGGTTCGTCACAGCAAGACGTCTCGATCTAACATTGACTTACGGTTTCGCAGTTGTTGCCAGCGTCGTGGCGGTATACGATTGGGGTGAGCGGGACAGTGTTCAAAAACCCTTAATATTCTCATGATATTTCCAGTACTAACACTTGAACAAGAGGTAGGTCGGTTCTATCGCCTGATCAGCCAACTTGCTAAGAATGGTGTCATAGATTGAACTAATTTGGGTGAGTGACAGAGTCTCATATCAGAAGAAAAACAGGAAAATACAATGAATTCGTAGCAGAGTCAACGCTGGTCTCTCATGACTGTGCTGTACCTAGCTGTTCGTACCCCATGTTATACATGGCATGAGTGTCAGTTGTGCTGACACCAAAATGTTCTAGATACGCTATGTTGGACTACCATATTACGTGTATGTTTCGGAGGCCAACAAATTGGTGCTGTGCTAATAGTCCATCTCTCGCGATCAGTGTGTATATTCTGGGTATGTCTCATATGCGCTGTGTTCCATTCTTCTGACCGGCAGCACACAGTAAGTATGCCATTTGTCTCGCTGACAGATGCAGTGAGTATTTCGCAACTATCTCATTCCCATCTAATGAATACACTCACATGTAGGGGTAAGTGAGATTTTGACCATGGAACTTGGCTCAACATAATGACTCAATAGGTGTGAGTCGGAGTGTTTGATCCTAGTACGAGGGTGGTCACTAATTGGGTGTTTCAGGCAATATTACGAACTCCATAGTAAATGGGTCAAATATAGTCATAGCTGCCATGCTGGGCGGTGAGCTGCAATACCTCAGTGATCTTGGCTCGACTGAAGCATGATGGCAAGTCATCATGGTTGCTCGGTTGCATGCCATGTATCATAGATCTAGAATGATGCTTATCTTCCTTGTTATTATTGTTCTGGCTGTTAACATCGCCTGCGGAGTAATCGCGGTAATAGTACTCAAGGACACCATAACGGGTAAGCTTTACTTGTTGACTTGAGGAATACAGCTCATCGAGCAAATTCCAGAGGAATTGATACTCTCTGGCGCGTCTATGTGCGGTTTTGAATATGGAGGGGATATCCAGCTTCTGGCTTTGACGACTTGGATGCTCAATATTGTTTGGGAGGTCCTCGCACTGTGTCTTTCAGTCTGGATTGCTGTAAAACACTTCTGTGACCTACGACGGCTTGGTCCATCGACAGGATCAACCATCGGGGACTGTTTCAGAGTGCTGATAAAATCTCACGTGCTTTATTTTGCAAGGTGAGCTTGTAATGTGAATGTGGTTATCTTTCTATGTTGAAGTTCCGCTCGTGCTAACTTTGTCGGTGTCTCTTGCCTCCAACTTGGTCGTCTCTCTCCTAAGCTCTCTGTACGCCGATCGGTCACTGCCATCTGTATGTAATCGCTGCTTAAAATTTCCGTAGTCCTCAAATTCTGTGGGAACTCTGATATTCGATGGTGCTCTTCGAGTTTTCTCGAGTGTACAGATGTTCGTGCTGGGACCACGCCTCATCCTTAGCGTTCGAGTATATCACGCTAAGCTCGTGGCTAACTCCAACGGAGAAACTAGCATGAATTCGATTGTCTTCCAGGAGCGTGTACATGTACCAACTAGCAGTACTGTGTAGGGAAATGCTCGCCGAGTGTTCTGTATGGAGGAGATATTTAGTCGATGATCCGTTGTAGTATTTATTTTAGTTATGATGTTTCAAAGTATATTTAAAACAAGGTTTATGTAAACAAACTTATTTCTTGTTGTATCACTACTGGAAGTCAGCGAACCACCCGCTCACACTTGCAAGCTGAAAATATCCGGAACATCTAGCAACCAACTCAGTCCTTGATGCTGGATACTGAAATACAACGAGAATCAGTATAATTTGGCTGATTCTAGAGCACACGGATGATGATAAGCTTTCAGTTACATCCGTCTCAGGTACAGGTTCGAATCATGAATACAACTTTGTAATACTTGGGAAGTACTTGAACGTACTTTCAGAGCCGGGAATGATATTCGTCTCACTACATATCATACGGAGTACGGAGATAGATTACACATTCATGACGAAAAGGTTGTGATTTAAAGTGGTAGCCATTAGTCCAGCTAAGAAGGTTTCAAAAGAAAATCAACTTGATCGTGAATACTTCCTAGTTCCAACCTCAAAGCGTCAGTCTTTCGTTCGACAGTCGCGCACAAACAGCCTTCGGGGGAATGGAGGCACCAAGTCGTCGCTCGTCGGGCATTTTTGAGGAGCCGGTAGACGGTCCCCGCGCCGACGAGACAGCAGAAACAGGGGCTGCGGTCTTGACGGGACCTCGACGAGCGACTAGCAACTCCTCGATGCCCAACCGCGCACGAGGATCGATTCCTTCGGCCCGTAGGACCATATCGCGCTCAATAGTATAAGCCAAGAGCGCACCGACTCGATCTATACAAACGACGAAAAGAAAATCAAACACAACAATGACCAACGCTTACTGTCTATGTAAACAGGGAATGAGGACCTCCGCTGTCTGATCAAAAGAAGCATTTTGAAGTATGCCGCTTTGTACGACACATGTTCCTCTGAACAAATCGTGAGCAGGGACACGCCCATACTCCATCTGATAGTGACGCATGCGATCTTAATTACCAAGAGCATCAGTCAAAGAATCTGCTAGAATTCAAATCATATTTACGTCCGTCAGGGCGATGATCTGCACGGAAATGTTATCATCAGTTGGCTATAAGAGATGATTAATGACAGAGACAAGACCTCATAACGCCGAACTTTCCGGTCTTCTGTATCACTGAATTGCACAAGCTCGGTCATAGCGTCCAGAAAATGGTCGAGAGAACCCAAACGATTAGCCAGTCTTCTAAAGACTCCCCAGCGATAGAGATTAGTATCACGGATGTGCATGGCAATGAGATATGATGTGCTGAGAGGGGAGCAAATCGCGCCTGACAAAGTATCACCAAAGTACCAGTCGTCTGAGTACAACAAACATGTGCAATCGTCCGTCTGGGCCGGACTTGTGGAACGTGATGCGAAAGTTCTGTGAACCAGGAAAGTAAAAGCAGCGTGCCTGATGTTAGGCAGCTGACCAAGGATTTCACAAGAATCAAATCTATTCATGATCTATCATCTATTTGAGCACAACGAAGGAAGGAGAAGTGACTGTGATGAGTGGAAGCCCGGGTGGCTCGGCTCTGGTTCGCAGGACACAACCGCCGTGACGTCTGCAATCCGGACTTGACTCTGGCGAATTGGGGAAAATCGTGTTTGTGAAAACGAATAGTATAAGTTTGAAGGGAATAGCGGATGGGGTGCGAGGAGCTAGACAGGAGTGGCAAATATTGAATTAATGGCAATGATTCGTGATGCCAGTGAGCGGAAGCCGAGATAAGTAGCTGGTACTAAGACAATGAGTCTGCTTCCTGATCATCGTCATATTACCCGTCTGGGCTGTCCGTATGAATGGAGTTCGAGGTACTGGGTCGCGAGGAGTCAGAGCATATCCTGGATCAGAAAAGTTCATGGAAGATGCTTACCTTGTGTAAAGCCTAGATACAGGCTCACGACAAGAAAATGTTGTGATCACGTGTTGAAAATGGAATAGTAAGTGCTGGCAGCCCTAATACCGCATCTGAGCTCATCAATCATATTTGCAGCCGTGACTCAACGTTCGGTGACCTTCTTCCCAAGCTTTCATTCGTCCAGCATGTCCATACCTGAGTGTCATTAATTGTATATTTTACCAATAGCCGAGATACCCTGGATATGAAGCAAGAAAAACGCGGACAAGAACCACCATCGCCTATATACGAGTCTCTACCTCCGCCCTGGCTACCCAAGTCACACAGGACTGCTGATGTTGGTGAGCACCCTCAACTACGTGAGGAATCCTACCGAATCATCCTTATGCATGTCTAGGATACCCTGGTTTTCATCCGCCCCGCCCAGGACAGGATGAGGATGTCTTGTCTGACAAACATATAAAAGACGGTTTCTTGTTACCGCTTCCCGTGCCTGTAAGCTTGAGGTTGATCAGTGTGAAATTGAAGGGCTGATGATAATCAGGATGAGCACCAAAGCGCTGCAGTTGTATTTCTACAGCAGGATGCAAAGGGTAGCCGCATATTCGACCAGAGCGTGCTCGCAGACCTCGAGCACCTCATGAATGATATCTTTACTCGAAAGGCAGACAGTACGGTTGCTATACAGTAAGCTAAACATCTCGGTGCCGAACTTCGTCCAACGGTTTCGTAGGTCATCAACATTCAAGATTCCTTCACGAGTGACCATGAGTGATACCAAGCGACAGACCTGGTTCGCTGAACTTGCAAACCCCGATGTACCCTTAAGTAAACTCGGCAAAAGTGTGCCACATGGCGCTAAAGGACACGATCTACTCGACCTTCTTCATACCAACAACGTTGCCATACCTCGTGCAGTCTGGTTTCTTCGAGTGTTCGGCGCAAATGAGACTGTGAGTGCTGATGTAGTATTTCTCAACTACGTGATTTATATGACAAAAGGCTGGCCTGAGAAACAAACCGTCTTACAATCCAACCCAGTACAGCGTAGATTGGGCGATAGTGGTGACAAGCTATATCAAGAAACAGCTTGCTGATATTGCTCTACCAAGCGCCCCTAGACCTGGAATGAATATCAAACAGACATTTAAGGGCGTCCTTTCCGACGCGGAAAGCCGGGATCGATGGGTTTCCCGTTTCACGTACTGGTACAGTGTTTGATTCAGCTATTCAAATATTCGCTAACAAAGTCAGCCTGAAACTATTGCGACCATTCTATGATGAAGGTCTCGTAGACCATCGCACTTTCCTTGCATGGATTGTCCATCAGATGGCCGCCTGCAACCTTGCCCAAGCAGGATTTGTAGCACATTTGGCTGATGAGTATCTTGATGGAGTTCTTGAAAAGCGCCCACTCGCGAAACCCCTTTTAGACGCATCCATCGCGAAATTGAACGAAGTACGTTTTATGGCCACATGCATTCATTTATCGCTAACCATTACAGATCAGGACGACTTCCGCTCAGGGTCACCTGAACAAGCTTGAGGAGATTCTGAAGTCTCTGATTCAGGTATGCATCAACCTCTGCATTACTATCACATACTTGAAGATCCAAAATCAGCGCATTTGTGTAGCCCTTCCGGACACATTCGTTTCTCCCAGCACATGGCTAGCGCATTCATCGCTCTTGCGTTCTGCACTTGCTGGCCCTGCTGATAGTGGTCCTAGTGACTGTCGACGGCGTGACTTTCAGCAATTCATTTCGGATAATTTGATAGATATTCAGCGTCGCAATGACGCCATGCTATTTCGCAATCTCCCGCCGCGAAAACTCGAGCGTCTTGGGTCCCTGGTCGTTGATATTCAAATTCTAAATTCGATCTGCAGTAGCACGGACATGTCCTCCATATCGTTTTTCTCTTCTCAAATTCCTGATTGCACATCAAGCTCAAGTTTTGTCGACAAACTCGACACTTTGTTAACGTGGGCTGTGACGCCACTGCAGTATGGCTCTCATCGCCCATATGCAGCTGTGACCCTTCTCCGAGCATATCACGAACGCAACGCACGCCGCGAGCTATCTTCAGCCACCCTTCACGATCACCTCTTCGATTGGCTCGACTCCAAACCTGTTGCCCGGGAGGCTGGAAATCTCAGGGCAGTAGCGGGTCTGTTCGGGAAATTGATGAAGAGTGGGCTCTTTGATTACGCAGCTTATGCGCAGAGACTCGTTGCGAGAGGCGAGGAGGGACTCTCTCTGAGCGAGGTATATTTATTTTATGCCATATCAACGTTATTCTCTGACTCAAATTGTTCGTCAGCCTGACAAAACGGCTTCCTTTCATCGTAATTTCCTTCGCTGGATACCGTTACAGAACACAACATCATCTCTTTTAAACCAGCGCAAAGTTATTGTCTACGGAGCGCGTGCACGACAGACCCCTGAAGATGTCTGTGAACGTGAGATGCGAAGGGAAATCCGCGCAATCTTGCCACTTGTATTTGGGGGTATGTAGGACCAACGTTTTCATTTGGTTTCTATTGCTAATAAATCATAGGTGACACCCTTCCGCCTTCAATTTCTATGACATCTCTCCGAACCAGCTGTCCTACTGTGCTTGGCGCACCATGTTTCGAGCAAGTGCGAACGATCAAACAGTGGTTACTTCCGAATTTACACAAATTTGCCTCAAGGTGCGCAGAATCAAACCCTTCATCTTCTGTATTGACGGAGCGCGCAGATCGCAATCATTAGATGAGATCAGTACTCTGAAGACATATAGTACAGCGGTGGAACTCCTCAGGTACACTCATAGTTATGGCTCTTTGCTGGAGGTGTGTTCTGCTCCTTTCAAGGTTTGAATTATTATGGACGGCTCTTATGCAGTTGAGTCTCTCGGTCTTGCCCCAGACATCCCACGCAGAATTATTGACTGCCGTCGGGGAAGTTTTCCACCGCTTCGCAACTATATGGACGGCAATGAACGTCACTGGCACGATTACCTCCACACTCTATTCTACTTATTTACTCTGGCGAACGCAAGGGGGGAAGGCCAGATCTCTCCTGACCTTGATTATTGAGATGGACGATGGACGACAGCTAGATGCGGCGGCCAAAACTCAGGTGGAGAACGACATTGCGGCGTTCACAAACGCGCTGGCTCCTAAGACAGACCATCCAGAAGCCGTTCCGTCGGTCATGCCCGAAATTTTACTTCTAGCTGAAGATTCCAAGCCGGACGCTCCATCAATTCTCGCAAATAGTCTCTGGTACAGGTATCGCACCTCCGGAGACTGGGCATGGAAGGTCTGGGACAATATTGTGGCTTCATTACGCCAAGTTCCCGTCATGAGCGAGGACTACGAGCGTCGTCATACATACGCACTTCGTTATGGTCAGTTTCTACTCAATGTCGACCACCACCTTCCTGGCGGCATCGATAATGACGTGCTCCAATGGTTTCTCGGTACTGGAAAAAGTGAAGTGCTAGGATTGACGCTCGAAACCTGGGATGTACTTAGAGTCGTCCTTCTCTTCCTATGCGTGCACGGAGCGCTATCGACAACTACACTGCTTCAAGGACTAGTTTACCCTGCCTGGCAACTGGGAGCTAATGCAGGCCCTCTCTACCAGCCACAGAATATGGAAACGTTTATACAGGCGGCCAGTGAGCTTTTTGACGCGCTCGTGCTCCAGGAGGAGTGTTTCATCAGCACGATTGTCCCACAAGAGCTTCTTGACGCACAACGGATTCACACTTGGAGACAGGATGCCTTCCGGGAACCTCATTTCACCCTTCTCGCCAGTAATATACCGAATTTAGTGCTCCTGGAGCACAATAACGTCGTTTCAGATGAACTTCGCGGATTTGCGCGAGACCTTCGCCTGCGGACGTGCGAGAGTCGCGATATCAGACAATCATGCTATCGCAATCTTGACGCTGTCCGTAGGGGCTTTGAGCACCCGATTCAGTCGGGAATGGTCGCAGAAACGCTTTGCGAACCGCTCGTCAACGCACTGAAAATGATTTTGAGTGAATCAGACGAAGGTACGTGGAAGGTGCAGTATATATTGACTCTGAGATTCACGTTCAACCGTAGACACAGATGTTAATTCGTTTTTGAGCACTGGGATATCATCCGTTCTGAGCCCGTGCACACTGGCGGCGACTGCAGTTCAGCTGCAATTTGGGCTGAGGCAACTCGGAAGGGCGCTTGCTTGTGAGTCGACGAAACAGGGTGCAAGTGCATCGCTCGACAAAATGACGTCTTTGATATTCCACCACTCGATGGCCTCGGAAGAAGCATACTTCATTGCGGAGATGGCGAGGGGCGTCGATGGACCAGTAGCGATTAAGGTAAATGGTTTTATGCTCGGATTTGACGCACACTGAAAGCGACGAGTAGTTCATCAATAATGGCTTCAAGAGTATCGTTGATATTCTTAATCGAACCCCTGCTCCTTCGACTCCGGAATCACTACTGGTGCGGGTTGGCCGTGCAGGCGAGGTGCTTCGTGTACTATCACATGTCTCAGAGCCATTGCGAGAGGAAGGAACTGGACTTGATCTTGATGTCTCAACGCAAGAGCGGCTTGCGAAAATCATTCTGGAGTCATTTCAATTCGCCAATACGATGTTTTCCAAAACGACTGATCACTCTCTGCGTGTTATCACTGAAGCCGTCATATTTTTGGCTCGACTCCTTCAATTCGACCTTGGTTTCTTTGGGATACGGACGACACACTTTCGGGAAACATGTGAGAAGATGACGCCAGTTCTCTTTGACCTTGTCGTGGTATGTACATAACGCATTTTGTATCCGAGCTCTGAGATATCATGATCGCAGATTCATGCATGCGGCCCTGCACAAGACGCTGTTGCATTTGCACTCCTTCTTGATACCTTGTACTTCCTTATAGACGGTATGCCGACCTCTAATCACTGTGTTTTACGTCGTTTAAATGTAGTTCTCATAGATCTTTTCCTGCACTCCAAAGCTTCGTCGCCAGACCCGTTCAAGTATTACCCCACGAAACTTCAGTCTCCCCATCTACATTCCCTCCCTAGTTCACATCGTATACGACTTCTGACTCTCTTTCCACATCTCCGGTCGAATGCAGTTGTTCAAGACCTCGCCCACGCTCATCGAGATAGCACAGGCCTCCTCGTCTATGGCGCACCCGTTCAGAACCGCCCATGGGAATGGATTGAGAACCTCGACAAAGATGATGGCATAATCCGAAACAATGCCTCTCTGTCGCTCGAACTGTTCGGGGCGAAGGCCACAGGCGACCATTTGATTGGCTATGTGCAAGATGAAGATCGTTGCATACCAACGAGACTGGAAGGTGTCTTCGAAGATAAATTAACGGCCGAGGGCGTCTTCCGTCGAGACTGGCGCGAAACGCGACTTCCAGCGCACTCTGATGTCCGTGCTGGGGAGCGTGGGGTAGGAGAGGGAGCAGACGAGCTGGGAACTCTGCCTATTTTTGGATTGCAGAAGCCGGGATCGAGAAGAGTGTCGCCTGCCTCGTCAGTGCGTTCTCGGGGATCGGTCAGCTCGGTCCGTCGTAGTCCAGCGTCGCTCTCGGGCAATCGGTCCGCCGTTTCTACAAGGGAGGGTACCGGGGAGAGTGGTATCGGTTCTGGTCCAGCGGCAGGGCGCAAACGAAAGGCTTCGGCTTCTGTGGATGATGATGACGAGGTCGAAATAATTGAGGGGCCTGTACCAGCAAACCCGAAGAAACTCAAAGTGAAGCCAAAACCAAAGAAAAAGTAGCTGTATACCCCCTTGACCCGTCTTGATCAAATGTTAATTAGCATGTTGTCTTGTTTACATTGTGTCTGGTATAATAATGCCTACAGTGCAGGTGCTGTACCATAGTTTGGTTTATGGTATACATGTGTATGATAGAATATACAAATAACGTAGAAGGATGAAGTATTCGTATACATACAGTACACTGAAGCTGATTATCGAGGGAAAAAGCCATCAAATGAACCCGCCTGCTGCCTACGAAGATTAGAAGACTCCCGACGAGTGTCGGGTTGTCCAAGGACGCCCCCGACGATGGAAACCATGTCCTTGACTGCAAAATTTACAACTGGTTTTTCCGTGACTTCCCTCCGACATCCCGGACAGGTATACTCCGGCTGCTGTTGTCGGGAAGTATTATACATTGCGTGCAGTTGCAGCTGAAGCGGATACGAGACGTATGGACCAATGGTGTGAAGAACTTGAGGGAGGTCCCGAGGCAAGGGTTTGCGGTTAATGTTGTATGCGGGATGTGCACGAATATGTTTAGTGAGTATTTCGTTGAACCAGCCTTTGAGGCACCCCTCGCAGTAACAGTGTCCGCACTCAGTGAGACTAGGGCAGAAAGGTTGATACATGGAAAGCGAGGGAAAATGAGAACATACAGGTAAGGGGAGTGCATCAAATGCGCGCATATATCACAAGAGAGCATGTCACCCAACTTGGTAGCATCCTAGATAGATGACTTAGTAGAGAGCATGGCAAGATACGGAAAAGAGCACGTACAATAGTCAATTCTGATGTGCCTTTCGCTTGCAAAGCGTCAAGTTTCTCCCGTTGCAATTGGATCTCCTGATGGCCGGCAATAATTTCTCGGGATTGTGCGGCAAGCTCTTGACTTTGCTCCTCGAGACGCTTCTTCGAATTGTCAAGTTGTATGCGCTGGTCAGCGACCTGCCTCTTTAGGTGTTCATTCATCTAATGGCCTCCTGTCAGTGCGAATTGAAATTCTGGTAATCAAAGAGACGTACCTGCTCCAATTTCGAATTCTCCTGCTGCCAAGATGAGCCATCGTTTTCCGACGCCTTGGGAAGTATTGGTCCTTCATCCGACGACGAAGATATCTCCAGAACATCCCTCGTCGGAAACGGCTTCTTTGAAATCTTTTTTTTGAATCTTGAGGATGAACCAATTTTGCTCGGTTGGATATTCTCATCATCCGAAGATAAAACGATGACTTCAGGGATAGTAGCCACGTTTGATTTTGGTTTCGAGCGGCTGGGTAGATTTCGTGTAGGTGATGTATATCTTTCTTTTGCACGTGAACGAGAGCGCTGTTGGCTGGATGAGCGTGTCGCGGGCATGATACAGTTAGAAAGAATTGTAGGAGGTGTTGCGAATTAAGGAGAAATGACTTGCGCCTAATCACTTAAATACGTACCCCGTGACTTGTGGACTGAGGTGACTGTGGCCTGATCATCAACCAGACAATTATGGAAGTCCCCGCCTCAGTTTATCTAAGACCACTATGTCACTCAACCGCCTCAGTGGATGACTTCGACGTGGCCAGTGGCCACATCAGTGTGGCCGTATTACTACTACAAGTTAGTAACGCTCGATTTGATTATGCTGGTCATCGTGACTCATAAAATACGCTGGCGGCTGTCTCTGGCGCAACTTAGTGGATCTTCGGACCTCTCACGAGATAAGACGCAATACAACAAGAACCCTCCGGTTGAACAAGATTAGCGAAGGTCAGCCATACCGTAACCCAGCCAATAAAGCTTACCGATATGGCAATAGGGCAATAGGGCATTAAGAAACGCGTGAACTCCGTGGCAGCTCAGTGATTGATACTGTGACAGTACCCATTGAGCCACTATAAAAAGGGGCATGAATCGTCTATGGTCATGCCCAGTTGGACCTCCCCACTTGGCTATCGTGCTCCTTTTCATAACATCTTCAGTACGACTCTGAACGGACAGAAACTCTGGATGGATTCGTCGCTTGCTAGCAAGTCGCCCGTAATCTCTGATTGCGATGTCAAAGTTGTTATTCGGCGCCCCACCCCTTCAAACGCGCGTAGATATACTCTGCTTTTGATCTTCTGCATTACGCAGTTTCTATATACACTCACCAACTCGGCATTGTTCTCTGCTATCCCTTTCCTTGTCCGGAAGTTTGGCTTCACCCACAGCCAATCAATTTGGATCATTAGTGCATACCAGTTGACTTTTGCATCCTTTCTCCTTATGGTAAGTCCTGCCTTCGTAGCTGACTAGAGGATTTTTACCACATATTTGCAGAGCGGGAAAATTAGCGATATCTACAGTCCTAGTCAGTCTGACCAAGGCTGTATTTGCGAGCTTCGCATTAACTTTTAATGAAGAATACACCTTCATAACCGGCAAATTCATCCTAGGGGTAATCTCTATCGGCCTCGGTTTTGTCTCCAATGGTATCTTGTTCCTTACACTGAGAGCCCTAAGTGGAATCGGTTGTGTTCCTTCGCTGCAGTCACGAACTTGAGGCTCATTTGATCATTGCAGCTGCATCGCTTACCATACCATCAGCTCTAGCACTGCTTGTCGGACTTTTCCCTGAGCCTAGGCACCAAGCAGTAGCCATTGCAGCGTTTGGAGCTTGGGGGGCAATTGGCATCGGTGAGAGACCTCTGCTTCGTAACGCCGTCTAGGTATTCACGATGAAGATTTCAGTGTTGGGTCTAATTACTGGTGCCCTTTTCGTCGAATATGTGAGCTGGAGCTGGATATTTTGGTTTGTGTCGACGGTGATCATACCAACCACACTCATTTCGGCGGTACTTATTCCTTCACAAACAAAAAATGTGAAGAGCGGCTGCACCAAATTCAGGAGTCTTGACATCACAGGAATATCAATTCTTACAGGTCAGTTACAATTTCAAATCGTTTATTCACACCATACTGAGCACATGACCAGTTGCCGTTATACTTTTTATATTTGCTGTGACAACAGGGTCTATTACGGGCTGGGGATCAGCCACGACACTAGCACCCTTGGTCATCGCCATTGCCATGATTGCGGTATTCTTTTTCTGGGAGGCCTTGCAGCCAATCGAATGCGCCGCCGTGTACGTCTGCTCGATTGTTTAAGGTCTCTAATTTACACTGATTTACAGACCGTCTTCCACATGGTCCATTCCGAATTTCTCTGTTCTGTTCGGAACGGCTCTTCTACCATATTTCTGGTGGGCAAACATATTCACCACCTATGTGTCCCTGTGGCAAGATGTTTATAAATGGAGCGCTATGTCCTCTGCTGTCCATATGTGAGTATAGACCGTGTGCTTAAATCAGACCGGTCTAATGATCTAACGACGCTAACGTTCTTTCAGGCTTCCAATAGGCATCACCGCCTTTGTCTTCAGTTTTACCAATAGGATAAAGGGACTTAGCGGCATGAGTGCCAAGTGGCCCATACTTTGTGGAGCACTGATGATGATGTCGGCACTTGTTTTATTCGCCTTTGCCGACAGACCTGACAAGTACTGGCCGTTGGTGTTCCCCGGCTTCATCATCGGTTCTGCAGGTGCAATGTTAGCCAACATTTCTGCAAAGTATGTGCCAATCTTATTCTCAGAGCACTAGTGTTATATCAACTCACACAGCATCGCGATATTCCGAGCCACGCCCCCCTCCATGGCAGGCACCGTGGGCGCCATATTCAATTGTGGTCTGCAACTTGGCTCTGCCGTTGGGTTGGCTGCCGTCAGCTCTATTCAGGCAAGTGTGCAAGACAGAAATGGGGGCCCTTCAAATTATGAAGGCCAGTCTGCTGGCTTTTGGTTCATGCTGGCCTGCATCTCTGTTGCTGCACTGGCCGTTCTAGTCTTCTACCACACCGACCCAGCCCAAAATCGTGTCGAAGGATCAGTTGTTTGTGATGGAAAGTGAAGCAAATTTCAGTGACATTGTAAAAGGGTATAGCTCCTTGCCCTGAGGGAGAAGTGAAGGTGGAGTGGTTGGATGCGACGAAGGAAGGCACGCCGAATTGTGTTTGGCCCTTGCCCTTGGAACTCCTAGTCCGGTGGGCAGTGTCGGAAGGGTCATAATGAGATTTACATATGTTGGAGAGTCGCCCTGTGTTTAAAGTTGTTGTTCGTGCAGGAATCTTTAGGTCAACGGTTCGCATTCGGTCATCATGATTGTTCTAACGGTACCTGTTATTTGCCTCCATACTGTGTCATGGGCCCAGCTGGTCATCGATCGATCATTCGAATAGTCGAAAGCACTTTATGATTATAGGGTACATCTTGAGAAATGCCACAAAGTTGGCGTACAACGGATGTCTTTATAACATCGGTACTGTCAAATGTCGGCCACACGCTACAAGGCGCTATCTGAAATACCCCTCCCAAATCCAGGAAACTAGTCCAATACTTAGAAGTCAGTCATTCCTTCCATATCTGGAAAGGTACTATGATGGTTGGTGCTTTATGATCACGAGAACGAGGGCATGGGAATGGATATATCTGAACATACAAATACAAGCTGAATCATAGTAGAGTTCAGACTAAAAATGAGAGGGAGAGAGTTGAGAAGGAATACTCGACATGTGTGAGTAGGGTGTAGATGTGGACGAGACAAACGAGGATGAGACGCATGATATGATGTCAATGTCCGAAGGAAGATATGTGAAGAGCTAGTAAGGCATACCTCAGGTTATTTCGATAATTAAGTAAGGAATGTACGTGCCAGAGATGATCAACACTTGATCAATAACCACGGCCGTAACCTCCTGGATTACCGTTCCCACCTTGCTGACCATAGCCTTGCTGACCACTGTAGCCGGTCGGAGCAAAACCGCCTCCATACCCCCCACCTTGAAAATTACATCAAGAACGGAAAGATATATGTGAAGTGGTACCCACCTTGGTAGCCTCCATAGCCACCTTGACCGTAGCCAGGTTGACCTCCAGCAAAGCCGCCCTGACCCCCATAGCTAGGCTGCTGACCGTAACCGCCGCCGCCGCCTGAAAACATGTTCAGGACCAAGGCTTGCTATGTTTGCAAACTTGCTACGAACCAGAGTAGCCGCCGCCGCCGCCGCCACCATAACCACCTCCAAATCCTGCACCCCCGCTGCCTCCGGTCCCGGAGCTACGAGGATTAGCGAGGTTTACTTTTATCCTCCTGCCATCAAGCTCTTGCTCATTCATGTTGGCAATAGCATGGTTTGCTTCCTCAGTCGTCCCATAGGTGACAAAACCAAAACCTCGAGAACGGCCAGTGTCACGGTCACGCATGACAATAGACTGAACGGATCAACTCAATCAAAAAGATAAACTGGGTAAGATAACTCGCGCACGTCAATCACTGGTCCATAACTGCTGAAAGCCTATATTGTGCAAGGTCCCAAGACCGAAAACGCGTAAGAACATGCATCTCGAGAACAATTTCAGACGAAGATGACATAGCGAAGCAGCCCAAATCAACAGCCCGCCCGTCAGAATCGTATATAACTGACATTGCGCAACGTGTCATCAGTGGTGTTCCAACTCAAATTTCTACATGCAGAAAACAAGAAATGTAACGAATCAGTTTCGCTCCCCTCCGCCGCGAGACGGGAGAAGCGCTTGCGAATTAAGTCAGACGGCATAGACTGACCCAACGTAGATTTTTGCACTTGATTGTGAGATTGAAGACATAGTGAAGGAGATCACTGGTAATACAATAAAGTCTTGAAAACTGTTACACGAGACCTGAACGAAACGGAGACCAAGACACAGTAACGGGACGTGGAGGTTCGAAAAAGAGTTTGAGCGAAAGGGATTTGTCGACGATCACCCTTATATTCGAGCCCCTTTATTTCAAACTCCGGCCTGAACTCTACTCTAGATTAATCTCCTTTTTAGGGTTGCATTGATCGAGCTACCTCCGCCCTCCTGATTCAGAACACCGTGATATGTTTTCTCTCACGACACATGGACTCAAAAACATTCAAACACTCGGTTTATTTTTGCAAATCAAGACGACCTGATCAAGCGTTTGTTAAAGTCGTATTTCAGAACCTGTTTCAAATCCCTTGTATCATCAACGCGATCAAAAGGAGCTAGGCTTATCTGCATTCATTCATCATTGAATCAAGCGCGAGACGGAGACAGCCATTGTTTCTTATCTGACCCGCTTCTCAATGCCGGTATTTCGACTTGCCAAGCTTGACGGGCTACATATCTTTCACATCTATCGGACTCTATCCTTCACTCATGGGTGGCAAGACGCGAACCTGACGGACGATGCCGCCAACTTGAAGAGCTCGTGCTCTCGCATATGTTCTTAAATTTCTTTCTAACACTCAGCAGTCACCGAGCGGAGGGATTTCCGCGGCGTTGAAGAGGACTTGGCACCGTTATCAACAAAAATTACCGTTCTAGTCTTGACAGAACGATCGAATTGGTAGGTGCAAGTAGGTGCAACGAGTATTTCTCGGCAGCAATATCCGGTCTATCGGCTAATGATGGGGGTACAAGAGGGCGCAGGGTCCCGTGAACGCATGCTCCGAATTCGTTCAGGTGATTCAGAGTACTAACTTTTCGAGACAAAACAAAAATTTGAGGGTTGAGTTCGATTTCAAATCATTGCTGTTCGTTGACCTTCATCGCCAACCTGGAGCGCTTCTCCCACCTCCCACGCACGGCTTACACCTTATATCATATCCTGCTGGTTAACTTGCGAGACCGTCATGTGTCACCTGTTGTGCTTTGAGTTGACATAGGAGCTACGCCCCCCATAATATTCGTCTATCACATGGCCTGCGCTTGTTTTTCTCATGAGGATAAGTACAGTGCTCACAACATTGGTCATTTCCCCTACGCCTTTTTCGCCGCTTCGGAGGTCCCTCTACTGCATCTACGGCATCTACCGCGCAGCCGCGTGCCTGGCATGCCGGGTCCTGCAGGGTCCTGCGTGATACGGCTAGTTATAAATGTATTACTTTCACAATAACTCCTGAACTCGCAATTTCGTATTCTTGAATCACCCTTTGCCTTTTCAAACGCAGAAGCTCACGCAATATGGACGTCTGCAGTGCCATGTACGGGTGTCAATAGTTATCAATCTATCATTAGTTTGATCTATTGTTTTAGCAGGTGCATTCAGCTGAGAGCTATTGGAGATCGACAACCACCGTTCGGCGGATCTTGTGATGCTCAATTTAACAGCCGAGCGCATCCTATCTTTGGCAGCTGCGTCCCAAACGCGCTTGGCGTTCAAATCAAGATATCCATTATTACAAGGGTGGAATAAACGCCCAGGATGTAGCCAAGCTAGATCAGGCAAGACCTCCCACGAGTGTTTTTTTTTTGGAAACAGAGGCATGATTTGAAAATGCAATGTCAATTTTTTGGCCTACGAGCACGCGACACATGGGCCACAGGACAAAACCAACGTTTTGGTAAGTACGTCAATTGTCATGATCAGAGTTAAATCGTTCAACATCAGGGGAAAATTCATTACGCCAAATCGGCAACTGCCGGATGTACATAGTCCCAGACAGTCGGACTCCCAGGGGCCAGTATATTCCACTTGCGCCTCTCACTAGCGCCTTATACCAGGTACCACCCTCTGGCTTCCCAGTGTCCAGATTTTGAACCCAGTAATTGCAAACTCCTCACGCTGTCTTTTTATTGCAGTGGTCAGTACCTTGCGCCAGACGACGCCAATGATCAGCATCCCTTCTATTGACAGAAATTGTCCTATTTTTTTCCTTTTTGCGAGGGACCGTCCATTTTCAGGTGATCAGCTTCATTCCGTTCAACACGGCGAAGCTTGTAGTAGAGAAGAGCGAGTTCACGGGCTTGCTGTCCTGACAACAACAATTGTGTTATCAAGGTATCCAATTCTATTGTGCATCCCATCCTGGCTCCATATGCCCATTTTGCAGTGCAGCTCTGATAGATAAGTGCAACATCCAGCGAGTCAAGGACTTAATCTGACCTCCGGTCCATACCGTATACCAAAAGGGTCAGTTACCCTTGTTTCTCAAAGGATACAAGTCGGCGTCCTCTTAAGTACGTTTTCATTTCAGCGTCCATGCCATATGCTGAACGGACCTTTTTGTAAGATAAGCATGCGGAAGTTAACTCTGGCTTCACGTATCGGTTCGTAATGAAAACTGTGACGCCTGTACGACTAATCCAGGAATTTCAGACCTGTGCAAATCAGCGAGTTCCCGTGATCCTTCACTCTCGTTCAACGAAACAAATGATTTGAGAGTCTGCACTCATGAGCTTACTTTTCCATTATACGAGTTGCGCAACCCTCTGTGACATTTTCTGGGCTTCGTAATCGTCTTCTTCTTGGTGTGGGGGTGTCTGTAGGGAAAACCGTGAAGTCCGTTCGAAGGAATGCCCAGTCACTTGTTCTGTAGTTGGATGGAGGTCTACCAACGCAAATAAGATTGTAACAAGTCGTGACACTACTATTTCCAGTGCTTCAAGTCATTGAGTGAACTGTGTCGACAAATGGCTTCTACAGCCAGTCGACAATATTAATGGTTCTTAATCTGGACCTGACAGTGGAAGTCGCACTGTAACATAGATGCAAATCGCTTTCAAATCGAAAAATCTGGAATACCTTCCAGCGATGCAACGCTCAACGTGCTACGCAGCCGAGGGACATCTGAATCAAAACAAAGCACGTGCGATCATAGCCTGCGTATATACGCTGGAGTTAGGCGTCGCATACCAGCATGAGGTTCAGAGTACCCCACGACAATACTCAACCCATGGGTGATACGAGTTTATGCAGTCGATTTTCGGTGGTATCCATACATGCAACCGAGCGAGCACATCACTGTCCCCTTCTCACCACAGACGCCACATACTTCTCCACCAACTCGTGAATAGTTTCCGACGATGTATTGAACGTATTATGTACCTGAGGGGACACCAGAGTCAGGAGCAAGTGTGATGGCAGGTGAATGAGTGTGATGGCAGGTGAATGAGTGTGTATATGCACGCTGCAAACTAGTTGGAGGACTGGACGTGCCAGAATGACGTAACATCGGAATATCCTTGGACAACGTTTGATTATTGTGCACACGTTGGACTATCTACCCACAACCAAGTACTTACCAGTACATTTGGTTGCGAATAGATAGTCCAATGGTTGTGATAACGCGTCTTCGCCCTGCTGAAAGTGTCGACACGAGTTATGAAGATTTATCCTAGCGCATGACAATTTGGATTCCCGTCGCACTAGTACTAGCGGAGGTAAAACAGAAGACGACGTAACTTGAAGAGAATCTGCCCAAAATCGGATGCATCGAATACGTTATTCGAGTTGGAAATGAATCGATGGTCGACAGCATTATTATAAGGTTTCCCTTCATGGGAAAGCCTGTCGGAGTAAATCAGGTGTGCAAATTAAAGTTGGAGAGTGTCAGCAACGTGGGAGAGCGGTAAGAATTGTGACAAGAACTTGAAGGTCTTGTTCTAAATCAGTACACGCGAACAACTTTCATTAAAGTCGGTTTGTACTTACTGCGTCTTGAATACAGTGTATTATTCAAAGGACATCTGTCGCACCTTCCAATATCACATCCTGCAAGATCAAACGTATCAGAACACCAAATCACATGAATAGGGTACTCACTCACCGACTTTTCTGCAACTGCAGTGACTCTCTTGTCGCGGACCGCATGCGCACGGGAGAACCAGCTCAATCTGATTGGCATCGGCAAGATTGACAAGAACCATGAATGATGCCGTCCACAACCAGCGTCCGGGGTCCATCGTGTTGGAATTCCCCTCGCACTAGTACTAGTGGAGGTAAAACAGCTGGTGACGAATGTGTTCTTCGAAATGGGTTGATAGTCGGCCGCATCACAATAATCCCGTAACGATAGTTTGGGCGGGAGTAAGCCCCCCCGCGATTAGGGCTATGTCTGCCAAAAGGTTTTCGACATCAAAGGACTAAATATGGTTTTTTTTGTTTCAAAATTCCCGTGATACTGTAATGTGAAGCCTGTCGAAGTAAACCAAGAAGCAGTCAAGTGTATAAATTAGAGTTAAATCACGTGTTGGAGGGTGTCAGCTTACAATATGAGAGTGGTAAGAACTTTGGCAATGACTTGATGGTCCTGTTCTAAATTAGGGATCAGAGAATCCTCAGGGTGCTTCACGTTGGCTGCGGTGGTTTCCGACGTTACACATGACCTTATGTGACTTGATAACGAAAGCCCTTTTCTATATATGATTATATATATATCAGCACGTATGACGATATCTGCGGCTCACCCGAGCAACTTTCAGTGAAATCGGGTTGTGCTGCGTCTCGATGAATGGTGCATTACCCAAAGGCTACTTCGCACATCCTGCAAGCTCAAACTTGTCAAAATATCAAAACACTTTACATAATTAGCTACTCACCAAGTTCCCTAAGAGACGTCACACGTCTAAAGAGACAAGGACTTCGTAAGTCCTGTACTATGTCAGTAAGGAATGTGAGTATCATATAGTGAGACTTACCCCAGTCGAGTATGAACAGACTGGGGAAGAAGGGAAAAACGAGACGAGCGAATGTACCTGGAGCGGAGTTACCGTATTCAGTAAGTACGTTGAAGGTAGTGAACGCGACACCAAACAAAAAGAAATATCTATACTACTATGTTGACGGATTGACTTCCAACATTCCCTGCATTACTGCCCACACTGACACTGACACACCCCTGTTAGCCCGTACTATACACGCACGGGCCAACCGGCCTAGTCCAGTCCGATCGCATCAGCAAGATTGACACAGAACCATGGATGACGTCATCCGGCGTCCAACTCGAGATCAGAGTTGTGCATTCATATCCAATTCGACGGTGAAATGAGCCCGGGCATGGGGTATAAGCCCGAGGTGTCAATGGATCATTGTTGTTGTCATGACCAATGTAGTAGTAGGTTGGGTTGGTATAGTGATGGAGAGTTCTTTTGTTGTTAATTCATATGATTCTATGCGGAAGTTGTGCGTATGGTTTAGGGCTTGGAGTGGTGAACGGGTAGGATTTTGGGGTTGAGGTGAGGCGTGGGGTGCGCGGGGAAGTGGAGTGTCGATCCGGCACAAGTAGATATGGAGGCGGAGTGAATAGGAAAGCAAGAGGAACGAGTTCTGGTCCCTAGTAGGGGTATGACGTGGATCGGCTGAGAGTATCCGGGTAACGTTAATAATCATCTACATAAGGGTAACGTGAACTAGAGGTGACGTGAATCGGCGAGGGGATTAAGAGGAATGAGATTGGCGGTACATACTGCGCTTCGAAATGTCAGCACGAAGAGCTATTTCGAAATGCGATCTGTATCAATGCCGGCGGCATAGATACACGAGTAGAGCGGGAGAAGCGGAAACAAATTCGGATGTTCCCTTCATACGGATATGATGCGCGGCCAACAAGGCTCGTAAAGCGTGAGTAGGTAGTAATTATACCAGGACCCGTTGGATTGATTTCAGCTTGGCCTGCGCTAGATTGAGCAGGATGCCACAAGGGCAGAAAAAATTTACAAGGCCATCGGTGGAGTGACGCAGGGAGGGCTACCTGTAGATGCTCTATCATGCGAGCGAAGAGGGTGAATATGATATGTAACCGACGGGGCTCGCGAAGTATGAGGTGATAATTATACTTGTACCCGTTGGCTTTGAATTCGGCTCCAACGGCCTGCGCTAGAGGGCCAGGAAAGACTTACAGCATCAGATGAGGTGATGTAGTCGGGCACCCTGAGAGTTGCTGTACACGACAACCTCGGGGACTGAACCGGTCTTGTGTTGGACCTGCTGGGGCGCTGTCGCCGAGCCCGAAAGGGGTTGTTATCGCAGGACGATAACAGAAATTTGAACGGAGAGATATTATACTTTTTGAGACATGGCAAAACCATGAAAGGCGACTTAAGAAGAGAAGTCAGGCATCATATTGAGGCGCTGAGCGTCCATCAGTGATTAACAACGAGATAGGAGACATGATCCGAGTGAAAGGGTAGAATAGAGGACGTACTATTTGTACCGTATGCGCAGCTACTAGGCCTGGTAAGCGGTTATTACAAAGAAGGACGACATGCGGAGACGGTGAGGCTAGCTGCCACGTGTCTAAACCACAGTTAATCGCAAGGTTATTCGGATTTTCTCGCCCGAATCGATGCCCGGGGCTTCAAGAATTCGTGTTTAGCGAGGTATATACTGGAACGATTTTCATCGAGCGTCACTTAGCTTTGCCATTCACTCCTTTGCAGCACCCCGTGAGTGGTCGTCTGCTGCCTCGTTTACTTAAAGTTGACGTGTACGCGCCGCGTGCCTAACGTTGTGATTTCACAACAGTGTTTCGCACAGCCACAAGCTTATATCAAAAACCGAACTCTTCAAAAAAATATCGGACAGGGCCACCCTGGAAGGCTTTGATCTTCCATGACGACCATGCCATCCGCCCCCATCGTCGCCGCCGTTCTGCTTGGTGCGCGTGTCGCGTCGCCCGCCGTCGTCCTTCTAGCTACACTATCCCTCGTATCCTCTAAGCGCCTTTCTCACCAATATCAAAGTCCAATAACTCCCGTCGTCGTCACATCTCGTGTCCCACGGAGAACACTCATTCTCGTCCTTCTCAGTATCAGCGCTTTCACTTTCTTAGCAGATGGTCTCGCATACGTCGTATATGCTGTCCTTAACAAAGTTTGGCCTAAAGGCACTGGTATCGAAACCGCAAGTGTTTTGGGTCTACTAGCGTATGCCGGTTTGGCAGCTCTTGGCGCATGGAAGGACGTCAGCGACGATGAGATTTGGAATCGGGGTCGAGTCAAGATTGCAATAGCTGTCGCTCTTGCACTCGACATCGTCCAGGTCGTCCTCTCCTTGATTGGAACAGGTCCGTTCTTATTCGCTTCTATCATTCAATTCATTTACCTTATCAATCAATTAAATTCAGACCCGCATCACATGTGCACATCACCCCTCCGGTCATGCATACCTAATCTTTTGCATGGTGTTCTACCACTCGCACGAGTGCTTGCACTCCTTCCTCTCCTTGTGGCGCTCTTCTTCCCTCGTGTCATTTATCTTACTGCGCAATCAAATGGTTACACAGAAGAAGCCGATGAGACCGCTCCTCTGATATCACAGCACGTTCCTCACGATTCGTTGCTGTTGCAACCAGAAGATGCCGACCCTGATGGTCCTAGTAGTACCGGTAAATACGGCACTTTTACGTCCAGAAGCGGTCCTACTACCCGCAGCGCGTCTCCAATTCCAGATGTACGAGAGCCAACCAAGGTAAGTAGGGCTGTCCTAACCTAGTGTAGCGCAATCTAACTCGTCCACAGACAACCCCACGCGAAGTAGCCGTCGATCCTTCATGGCGGGAGCTCTTCACTCGTATATCTCGCATCACGCCCCATCTTTGGCCTTCCCGCTATCCCAAGCTGCAATTCATCGCAGTATGTACCTCCATTACATTCTATCACACCAGCTGACCATTTCCTAGTTAATCTGTTTCCTCATCCTTATTCTGGGTCGCGTAGTCAATGCCTTTCTTCCTCTCACGCTCGGCGCACTCATCACCACATTCGACACTCCAGGCGTAGCTCCAGTCTCAGCGTTCGGCGCAAGCCCATGGCCATACCTAATCACATACGTCTTGCTTCGCTTCCTCGCTTCCTCAGGCGGTCTCGCAGCCATCCGCGATGCACTCTGGATTCCACTCATGCAATACAGCGATCGTAGCATGTCGATGCTCTCATTCAATCATGTCCTTGCTCTTTCTCTCAGCTGGCATACGAAGCGCAAGACTGGCGAGCTTCTCCGTATTCTCGATAGAGGAAGCGCAATAAACCGCGTTGGGGAGCTTATTGGGTTCACAGTGATTCCTGCACTCGTGGACATATGTGTTGCGCTCGTCGTGTTTGTCTTCAGGTTTGAACCTGCGTTGGGTGTTGTGGTTGGTGTTGTGATGGGGAGTTATATCTGGGCGAGTGTCGTGCTCACGCGGTACAGGACTAGGATACGGAGGCGGATGAACGAGCGGGATGTGGTAAGTGCTCAGTGCTACTTCGTTTTGTTTGTCATTACGAAGTCGTCTAATTGCATGCATGCTTAGGTCACTCGCGGAATCCATACGGATTGTCTCCTTAACTATGAGACTGTCAAGTATTTCGGTGGGGAGGAGTATGAGGCGCAGAGGTATACGGAGGCTATTGGGGAGTATCAGAGCTTAGAGAAGAGGGTCGTTTGTGAGTGTTTTCGTCTCGTCTCATTTCAAAACCACGTCTTGTGCCAAAGTTGTTTCTCGTTCTCAAACTAAACCCGTGTTTCATTTCAATCGCGAATGCGAATACTGATCATACCTATAGTATCTCTCAACCTCTTGAACCTCGTACAAACGCTCATCATCACGTCCGGTCTTCTGGTCGGTTCTTTGATCGTCGCGTCGCGCATCACGAGGGGACAGAGTAATACTAGCGATTTTGTGGTGTTCATCACTTATTATGCGCAGGTGGGACTTTGTTTTGTGTGACAATGGTGCAGAGCTGACGTCCTTGGGCCACGCCAGCTCTACTTCCCTCTCTCGAATCTAGGTAGCGTATATCGCGCAATCAACCAAAGCCTCGTCGATACCGAGAAATTACTTCATCTCCTCAATGAGCCCACCGAAGTTGTCGATGAGCCTGATGCCAAGGAATTGATAGTCACGAACGGCGAAGTTGAGTTTGGTACGTAACCCTCCATTCCCATACGCATCCATTTTAACCCACCACAGACAACGTAACCTTCTCCTACGACCATCAAACTACTGCATTACACAATATCTCCTTCAAGCTTCCCCGCGGCGGACGTGTTGCTCTCGTTGGCGAAAGCGGAGCAGGCAAAAGCACAATCCTGCGCCTCCTCTACCGCTTCTACGACCTCCAACCTGGCTCAGGACGTATCCTAATCGATGGTCAAGACATCCGCACGGTAACGCTCTCAAGCCTGCGTCGCGCAATAGGCGTCGTACCCCAAGATCCTGTGCTCTTCAACGCCAGCATCGGGTATAACATCGCTTATGGCCAGCCTTCCACCACTCCCCCTGATGAAAACACCATCGTCTCGAGCGCCCAAGCTGCTCAGATGCATGAACGTATCATGAGTTTCCCAGAGGGGTATGAGACGAAGGTTGGGGAGAGGGGCGTGAGGCTGAGTGGGGGTGAGAAACAACGGGTGGCGATTGCTAGGACTATGGTGAAGAATCCGAGGGTGTTGCTTTTGGATGAGGCTACAAGTGCGTTGGATAGTGCGACAGAGCGCGGGGTGTTAGACGGTGCGCTTGGGAGACTTGTGGATGGGAGGAGTTGTTTGAGTATTGCGCATCGGTTGAGTACGATTAAGGGGGCTGATTTGTGAGTGTTTTTTTGGGTGTTTTCTTGGCGATGCGGTGCTGATTTGTTTTCCTGTGAAGAATTATGGTTCTCAAGGATGGAAGGATCGTTGAACAGGGCTCACATAGGGAGCTCCTTGAACTCAATGGCCTCTTTGCATCCATGTGGGCAGACCAAATAAGCGCATCCGAAGATCCAAAAACCCCAGCTGGATACGACGTCGATGACGATGCCCCTGTCGTCGACATTCCCGACTCTGAAACACGCAGCACAGCAGTCGAAGAGCGCGTAGTTATCGATTCTCCTCAAGTCGTCCCATCATCCCTACAAGTCAAACCAGACGCACCTATATCATTCCCCGTAACCGACGACGCACCCCAAACGTTCCCGACAACGGCATCCACGTCTGACGCGCCTTCCATCCACAGCTATCCAGAGCGTTCAGCCATACCTGCGCATGTACAAGGCGCGAGTGTTACGTTTGACGCGAAAGTGGCTACGCCTCCGCGGACAAGTTCGCCTGAGCCTAAGAGAGCGCTCTCGACGCATAACATCCAGAGACTTGCGAGGAAGATAAGTCTCAGCGGTAAAGCTCCGAAATTACCTGGTGTTTTACGCCGGGACACGAGCTTGCGAGAGGCGAGTATGGCGAGCAGCGGAAGTGGTGCTGGAACTGCGAGTGGGAGCGCATCTACGCCTCCTACTGGAAGTGCTAGAGCGAGCGTGGATGAGCCGCAGACCGAGGCTGCTTTGAAGAAAGAAGAGAAGAAGAAGAAGAGGAAGAGTTTTATCTAGAAGTTCCTCCTTTCTCTCTGATTCCCGTCTCTTTTCATTGTTGTGTTCCTTTCCTTTCCTTTTCCTTCCTGTCCCTTTACTTTCACTGCCATATGTTCTGACCACCTTACTTCTAACGACCCCTGCCACGACACATCATCATCTTTCCCTCATCAATGACATGCATTTTTCAATCACATGTGACTTGCGACTTGGATTTCTGTTTTATTCGATACATACTTGTGTTGTGGTGCTATATTGATATCACTCGGTCGAATGTCTGCTTTAAATTCGGTAGTCAAACATGGTTCTTGCATTGTTGCTCTGATGTTAGTCCGGGATCTTGGTCTGTTGTGGGCGTGCGTTTTATACACTGTATTTGCTATGCGTGTCGTATGTAGTAAATTATATTGTGTAGTGACAAACGAGGGGAGGCTGAAGCAATTACATTGTACGAGCAGCGGTGTATGAGCTGCCAGAGTACCTTGAAAGATCATAATGTAGCCAGTGAAAAATTTATAGTCCCTAAGCAGTGCCCTCTGGGCCCTTGAATCCCTCATGCAATACAAAAGAAGGCAGACTCCGTCATTTCTGTACAGCTTGTTGTACGACTTTTTAAGGAGCCATCTTGCAGAAAGAGTCCGAAAAAAACCCATTGATTCGAGTGAGGAAACCTCCCAAAGTTTGAAGCAGCGATCTCCAAGAGTGACTTTGTGGGAAGTATGTTCGAGATTGCAGGTTTCTGTATCTGGCGACGTCTGCGCAACGTCGCGTCCCGTAATCAGGTTGATGATGGCACTTTTCCCAACTCCAGTCTCCCCGAAAAGCAACACATTCAAAGGACCAGAACCGGCAAGTGACTTGACCGCACGGAAGGATCAGTACACGTAAAAACAATGCACCATTAGACGCTCACTGTAGATAAGTGATGGTATGCTAGGGGACTAGAGTGAGCGGCCTTGCGTGATTGAACAAGGGTTCGCGGGGAAGACCGAAACGGCGGTGCGGTCGAAATGCCAGCCTAGTTGATAAACATTTCAGCCGAATGACTTCAACCACAAGCTGGCGAGTTCATACCTGCTCCGCCGGGTATGCACTGTGATCACTTTCCTGTACCCCGTCAACAAGGATATCCTGTCAGAGTCAGAAACTCTACTCCTACGTGACGAAATCAGTCAAGAGCTTACATCTTGTCTCAAATCCTCTAGTTCCCTTGTTATGAAATTCATAGCTGTGAGGGCACATGGACGAGCAGATGGATCAGTTGACCAACACCGCTCGATATGATTCCAGCGAGCGTCTGTGACGTCAGACGTTGCGTCGGATATCGCAGGACGCGGGATATCCTCTCCACTGAGGATTTTTTGAAAGACTCTGATATCTTTGATACCATGCCAAGGAATGACTAGAGTCAACAACTGGAAATAAATGATCATAATAAACACAGGTTTTGTGGGCTTGGAATGCTTAAACTCGCATGATACATGACACGACCAAAAGAGTACATGTCGTTCTGCGTGGTCGGTTTGATATCGGAAGGCCCGAACAACTCGGGCGCAGCCCACCTGATTGCACCGGGCCGAACAGACGATCCTTCAATTGGGTGGTCTTTGAAGCGTCCGCAGATGACATTTGACAAACCGAAGTCTGTTAGGCAAGCCTTGTAATCTCCGTCCTTCAGATCTACCAACACGTTGAACTGGGTTTTTCAGTAAGTGCAATTAAATGTAGAGGATGAACTCACGCTCGTAATGTCACCGTGAACAACGGTTAAAGAATGAAGGTGAACTGACGGCAGACTTATCAGTTGAAACAAGACGACTGTGAAAGGAATGCAGACGATAGTAGAGCCCAGATGCTACGCCGTGAAGCTAGTGAACAAGAATAATTCAGCTAAGATCTATTGCAGTTAAACAAGTTTAAGTTACCAGCTTCAATTTGGACTTGATGGTTAATGTAGCACCCTGTTCTGTGATCAGACGGAGCAGTGTGCCGTCCGGAAACCACTGGGAGACAAGGGCTGTAGTTGGCCTAAAATCCTCTGTCGTTCCATAAAGCGTGACGATATTGTCGTGATCGAGGTTTGCCCATATTGCAGTTTCTCGTCGAAACCTCTAGCGAAACCTCATAAAATAGTGTTCAGAACAGAAAAACATGGACTCTTACTCTTAAGTCCTGCTCTAAGGGGAAATCCCCGCAATACCTGAAGGTTTTTACTGCGACCTGTGGTGCGATGGTGGACAGGCTGATCAGCGAGTTACGCCGGCACTGCCCACTGGCCAGACCTTGACAGGACCCGACGGCCGTCTCCATTCACATTTGTAAACATCTGCGAATCCACCACTGGCGATGTAGTCGTTTTTCGCACCGAAGATCTGGCCTGTCAGATCTTCTGCCAGCGCCAATTGTATTTCGGGACTAAAAATGAGGGAACTGAATCAATGAAGACTTGTTTCAGTATGAGCACCCTACAGAGGTGAGGGTTCCGAGGTGGATGCCTAAGTAAAATGCATCAAGATCTGTCACAGATTGGGATACCAGTGGACTGTCAAACCTGTGAGTCGGCATCCCTAGACTGGGTGATGCACTCAGGGACATTTGTGTTCCCCGCGAGCTGCCCTGCGTCCTGTTAACTCGAGGTGCAGTGATCATCATAGACAGCATCGGAACACGCTGCCGTAGTCACTGTTCTCCCCAACCTGGATCCTCTTTGGGAGCCTGAGAGTGTGACAGTATTGACGATGGCTGTCAAAGTGCGTTGACGCTTTCCACTCTGCACGACCTTGGATTTGGAGGGCATAACATTAATGGATGTATTTCCTTGCTCTGCATCAAATATTGCGGTTGAATGACTTTTTCCCACTCCGCCAACAGAGATATCCTGTAAGGGAGAGTAAGGATCCGGTCCTGCGCGAGGAGATTACTCATGAACACACGTCGTCTGTCAAAGCCTCCAGCTCGCTCCTCAAGAAGCTGATGACCATTGTGGCAGAAGGACGAGCAGATACATCACACGACCAGCATTGTGCAATCTCATTCCAGCGTGCGGTTGTCACATCGGGTGTCGCAGGACGAGAAATGTCTTCTCCTCCAAGAATTCTTTGAAGAACTACCATGTCGTTTATACCATTCCAAGGAATGACCAGTGTTAACACCTGCGCACAGACGATCATGTTAAAGGTACGTAAGTTTTGTGGATCTACAAATCTCACATGAAACATGACGCGACCAAATGAATACATGTCGTTTTGCGTGGTTGGTGCAGGTTGGTCATCGGCCTTCAGCAACTCGGGCGCGATCCACCTGATGGCACCAGTTCGAACATTTGATCCGATTGTGCGGTCACCTAAACGACCACTGAGAACTGTCGCCAGACCGAAGTCTGTTAAGCACGCTACGTATTCTCCTTTCTTGATGTCAACTAGAACGTTGGACTGGAACTCTCCGTCAGAAAAGTTTCATGTCAAGGAGATGAACTAACACTCGTAATGTCTCCATGAACCATACCCAGCCCATGAACTGACGGCAACCATGTCGGTGGGAGCAAACTTAGAATGGAAGAAGGACGAACGATAGGAAAGGCCAGACGCTATATCATGGAGCTAACGACACGAAAATTAAGTTAAGACGCATAAGTTATACCTAAACAGCGACTCACTAAATTTAGCCTCGATCTAATGTCCAATGTGTACCGCTCTGGAACCATGGAAGAACAAGAGCTAGAGCAAGCCCAAATCCTCCTGTCGTCCCCAACACAGGAACGATGTTGTCGTGTGTGAGGGCAGCCCAGTTCTCAGCCACGCGTCGAACTCCCTATCAAATCAATGGTATACAAAGCAGAAGTCTTGACAGATTCTCACCTGTAAATCTAGCTCTGGCACGTCAACTTTGATGACTTTTACTGCAACCTGCAGCGCGATAATTAATAAACATATCACTGTACACCAGCAATGTCCAGACCTTCACAGAACCTGTCGGCCGTTTCCAATTACATTTGTAAACTATTCCAAAATCACCTGCAGTGACAAGGTCGCCCATTGTACAAACAATCTGGCCCGTCAAGTCTGCCAGTCCCCGACTGGGCAACTTAGGTTGTCGATCCTGTGAATTATCGGTCCTAAACTGATCGATGTATTGAAGAACTCTTGCGGCCCTTGGGCGATGGCCCGGTTCCCAAGACCAGCATCTTTGGATCAGCTTCCAGTGATTGTCGAGCATGTTATTAGGTCGTGCGTGTGTGGCATTTTTTGACAGCGCAATGCAGATCTGATGCGATTTCTTTTCTTTCCATGGGATATCCCCCGAGACGGTCTGAGAGGAGAAAGCTTAGGATAGACCTGAAGAAAAGGGAGAGATCGCACAAAGAACATAACACCACCAAAAGAATATATATCACTCATGAAAGTCGGTCTTTCAGGATCATATTCGAGTCCGATGACTTCAGGCGCCCGCCATCGAGAATTGAAACTGCGTTCGGCGGTGGTCGAATTCAACTGTAACTCCCCATCTCCTTCGATTGTTGCAAGACCAAAATCAGTGAGGCGCGGATTCCTAGAACCATCTATGAGTACATTTCCCTGAGAGGCTTGTGAATGAGCGCGGTATGCACAAAAAGACCAACATACATACGGGGTGAAGGTCCCCGTGAACGACATTCATTGATTGAACTGGGTGGACGTCAAGAACAAAACGGAAGACATGGTAGAAATCGACGAACGATAGTTGAGACCGTCAGCGACGCCCTTCACCTAGAAGAATGAGAATTGATAAACGCTCTTTGAATGCGATCGGTGTGAACAACCGACTCACTAAACCAACTTTAGCGGAAGCAGTAAGGGTTGTTTCCTCGAGATAGACATATAATGTTCCGAATGGCATCCATTGTGAAACGAGAGCCGGTAATGAAGAATCGACATTTGCGATGCCAAGTAGCGGCACGATAGTCGGGTGTTTCAGTCTAAGCCACACCTTGAGTTCCCGATACATTCTCTAGATAGACCATGTTGAGCAAAATGACGTTTGAATTGGCACACGCTGACTTTTTTAATTTTCCCCATAGCTGTTGGATGATCAACTACGAAGACCTTCACTGCGACCTAATGGGGGTTAGACGGACGATCGATGAACTTGCGAAAGCTATCAGACAGACCTCCGCTTTGCCTTTGCCAGTCTCGATGATAAGCCGATAAACCTGACCAAAGGATCCACCTGCTACTGGAGACTCGAGCTTGCCATAAATGTGAGATGTGAGGTCATTGATAGAAGTTGGATTGCTGCGAAACATGAAAACTTGGAATTCAGACAAGGCAGTGTGCATTATTGAAGAAACCCTCACTCTTCGACAGGCACAAGACCTGTCATACCAACTTTGGCTATGGATTGGAGGGCGTATAAGAAGGGAATGACTGTCTTCCTGCTCGTGAGTCCGGTCTGCCGCTATAAGGAAGACAGCTGCAATCGGTCAGTGAGAAGGTGGGTTGAAGTCGGACCAAGGGTTCACCTGGGTTCACAACATTGCGTAACTGGACATGCACATTGCACACTCGGCCCGGGGCTGGCAGCCATGCTGCAGAACATGCTTGGCGTGTGCGGTATCGCCTCGAGGCCATGATGGATCAGATCGATCATTAGACCCGCATAACCAGAAGCAGTCCTACTACCCACTGTGTTTCCAATAATTAATTAGTCAGTATATGCCAGAGCTGCTAATCTCAGCTGTGGCGCAACCTAACGCTTTCACAGACAACCCCGCGCGAAATAACTGTCGATTCCTCATGACGAGAACTCTCCACCCGCATAACTCGCATCACATCCCATCTCTGGCCCTCCCACCATCCGACACTTGCAATTCATCGCAGTCCGTACTTCCCTTGCATTTTATCACACTAATTAACCATTTAATCTGTTTCCTCGTCCCTGTTCTCGAACCTATAGTCAACGCATTGCTTCTTCTCTACGTCCCATTCCGCTTCTTCGCTTCTTCAGGCGGTCTCACAGCCATCCGCGACGCACTCTGAATTCCACTCACGCAATACAGCGATCGCAACATGTTGATGCTTTCATTCAACCATGTTCTTACTCTTTCTCTCAGTTGGCATACGAGATGCAAGACGGGTGAGCTGCTCCGTATTCTCGATAGAGGAAGCGCAATAAACCGCATTGGTGAGCCTATTGGGTTCACAGTAATTCCTGGATTCGTGGATGTATATGTTGCGCTCGCTGTGTTTGTTGTGAGATTCAAACTTGCGTTGAGGGTTATGGTTGGTATCGTGATGGGGACTTATATCTGGGCGAGTATCGTGCTTACGAGGTATAGGACTAGGATTTAGAGGCGGATGAATGAGCTGGATGTGGTGAGTGCCAAGTATTGCTTCGTTTCGTCTATGATTATGAATTGGTCCTTAATTGCACGTACGCTCAGGTCACTTGCGGGATCCATACGAATTGTCTCCTTAACTGTGAGACTGTCAAGTGTTTCAAGAGGTCGCGTATGAGGCGCAGAGGTATATGGAGGCTATTGTGGAGTACCAGAGTTTAAAGAATGGGGCTGTTCGTGAGTGTTTTCGTCTCATCTCATTTCAAAAACCACATCTTGTTTGAAATTTTCAAACCAAACCTGCATTTCGTTTCAATCATGAACGCTAGCGCTAATCACACCTATAGTACCTTTCGACCTCCTGAACCTTGTACAAATGCTCATCCTCTTCTCGTCGGTTCTTTGATCGTCACGCGTGCATCACGAGAGGATAGAGTAATACTAGTGGTTTTGTGGTGTTCATCACCTATCACACGCAGGTGGGTACCTTATCTCTTTCGCATCGCTCATGGCCAGCCTTCTACCATTCCCCTGACGAAAACACCATCGTCTCAAGCGCTCAAGCTGCTCAGGTGCATGAACGTATCATGAGTTTCGCAGAGGGGTATGAGACGAAGGGTTATATTGATATCAATCGGTCGAGTGTCTGCTTTAAATTCGGTAGTCAAACTTTGTTCTTGCATTGTTGCTCTGATGTTAGTCCGGGATCTTGATCTGTTGTGGGCGTGCGTTTTATACACTGTATTTGCTATGCGTATCGTATGTAGTAGGCTGTATTGTGTAGCGACAAACGAGGGAAGACTGAAGCAATTACATTGTACGAGTAGCGGTGTATGAGCTGGAGGACCATAAAGTAGCATGCGTAGTAACCTGAGGCTAACATTCGAGAACCGTATTGCACAAGTAAGCTTGACAACTTAAGCTGGCCTGGAACTGCGAGGTGTCTGGGTACCTGTTTGATAGGGGTCATAAATGAGACTGCGGATAGCTTGTTCTGATCGCTGTCGACGTGCGCGCATCATGGGTGATGCATTTGGTTCGTCAGGGAGCGATGTGATACAAGCGTGTGCGGAGAACCGCATCCCGAGGCTTTTCAGGTTGTCTTCGTTCTTCGCCCACCACTTATCCATGTCCGTAGGATGATCTTCCAAGGAGGTGACCACAGCGGCGATTGGTACGCCGCCTGCCGCAGTGGAGGCAGAGCCGACTATGTCGGTGAAAAATTTATAATCCCTGACTAGTGCCCTCTGGGCCCTCGACCCCCTTATGCAATACAAGAGGAGGTAGACACTATCGTCTCTGTACAATTTTTTGTATGACTTTTTCAGGCGCCATTTTGTGAATAAGGTCCGGAAAAAACCCATTGATTGGAGCGACGAAACTTCCCAAAGTTTGAAAGTGTGGGGTCCAAGATTGACTTCGTGGGAGGTATGTTGCAGTGTGCAGGCTTGCTGCGTCTGGCGACGTCTGTGCAACATCTACTCCCATGATCAAGTTGATGACAGAGCTTTTCCCAACTCCAGTCTCCCCAAAAAGCAACACATTCAAAGGAGCTAGACCTAAGTGTACCTTGCCGCATGGAAGGATTAGTATGCAAGACTCGATGGCATCAGTAGGTGCTCACTTGCATGGAAGCCTGAGAGAGGGTACGATATCTTAGACTTGGCGACGGAACGATGGTTTGCGAAGATTTGGATACTGTAGATCCTATGTGATCACAGCTTCAGCATAATTGACGAGCGTTGTGGTCAAATTACTCTAACTACGAACTGATAAAATTACCCGAGCTTCTATCGCATGGCTGGGAAGTCCGAATACACTTAGGTCATTCTGTGAGAGCAAGATTCAGCCCCTGCGTGACGAGACAAGTTCAGGAACCTACGTCAGCAGCCAAAGCCTCCAGTTCGCTCTTTAAGAAGTTCATGGCCATGAAGGCAGATGGGCGAGCAGCTGGATCAACTGACCAACACTGCTCGATCTGATTCCAGCGGGCGTCCGTAATATCAGACGTTGAGTCGGATATCTCAGGACGCGGAATATCCTCTCCTTTTTGGATTTTTTGAACGATTTTGTACTCGTCAATGTCATGCCAAGGAACAATCAGAGTCAACAACTGGGATGAATGATACATCAAATATAGATTTTGTGGACTTGAAACGCTTACACTTACATGGAACATGACACGACCAAAGGAATACATGTCGTTCTGCGTGGTTGGTTTGATATCGGAAAGGGAATCATGTGGCCTGAACAACTCAGGCGCAGCCCACCTGATTGCACCAGCCCGAACAGTTGATCCTTCAATTCGGCGTTCTTTTAAATGTGCACAGAGAACATTTGATAAACCGAAGTCCGTTAGGCAAGCCTTGTAATCTCCATCCTTGAGATCTACCAAAACGTTGAACTGCATTGTTTAGTCAGTGCAATTGAATGTGAAGAAGATGCACTCACACTCGTAATGCCACCGTGAACAACGGGAAAAGAGTGAACTAACTAGCAAGGTTCATCAGTTGAAACAAGACAACCATGAAGAGAATACAAACGATAGTAGAGCCCAGATGCTATGCCGTGAAGCTAGTGAATAAGGATAATTCAATTTAGGTCCATTGTAGCTAAACAGGTTTAAGTTACCAGCTTCAATTTGGATCTAATGGTTAATGTAGCACCCTGTTCTGTGATCAGACGGAACAGCGTGCCGTCCGGAAACCACCGAAAGACAAGGGCTGTGGTTGGCCCGAACCCCTCTGTCGTTCCATAAAGTGTGACGCTATTGTCGTGGATGAGGTGTGCCAATATTGCAGTTTCTCGTCGAAACTTCTAGCGAATCCAGATAAAATAATGTTCAGAACAGACATACATTAACCCTCACTCTCAAGTCCTGCTTTGAGGTGCAATCTATGTGATGCCTGAAGACTTTTACTGCGACCTGTAGTGCGATAATGAACAGGCTGATCAGCAAGTTACGTCGGCACTGCCCACTAGCCAGACCTTGACAGAGTCCGACCACCGTCTCCATTTACATCTGTAGACGTTTCCGAATGCACCACTGGCGACGTAGTCGTTTATCGTACCGAAGATCTGACCTGTCAGATCTTCTGCTAGTGCTAGTGGTAGGTCGGTGGGGGAGATGGTAGTGTTTTTCCTTGCAAAGAAACTAACGACTTCCGTTGCCTCCGGGCGATCATCTGGGTTCCAAGACCAGCATTTGTGAATTAAGTTCCAGTGATCGTCAAGAACGTTGTCGGGACGAGCAGGAGTCGCTTTTTTCAATAGCTCAATGATGATGTGAGTTGAGTTTTTCTTCTCTTTCCACGGTATACCCCCCGAAACGACCTGAGAGGAGAAAGCTTAGGATAGAACTACAGAAAAACAAAGGGATCGCACAAAGAACATGACACCACCAAAAGAATATATATCACTCTTAAAATTCGGTTGTACAACTTCAGCCTCCGGGTCGATTCCAATGACCTCAGGCGCACGCCATTGAGGATTGAAGCTGCGGTTTGCCGTCGTCGTATTCAGCTGCGACTCTGCGTCCCCTACGACTGTTGCGAGACCGAAATCTGTGAGACGTGGATTCCCCGCACCATCTATAAGGACATTTGCCTGAGGCTTATGAATGAGCGTAACATCCACGGGGAGACGACCGTACATACGGGATGAAGGTCTCCGTGAATGACATTCTCCGAGTGAACTGGGTAGACATCAGGAACAAAAATAATAATAGGATAGCAGTCTACGAACGATATCTGAGGCCATTGGCAACGCCCCTGACCTTGTAGCATAAAATCGATCAATGCCTGACGAATGTGATTGGTGAACAAGAGACTCGCCAATTCAGCTTTATCCAAAGCGGTTATTGTACCTTGCTTCTCGAGATACATATACAATGTTCCGGAGGGCATCCATTGCGAAACAAGAGCAGGATATGGAGACCCGACGTGTGCGGTGCCAAGTAGCGGTACGATAGTTTGATGTTTTGACAGTCTAATCCACACCTTGAGTTCCCGATGCATTGCCTACATGGTCCATTGAGCGAAGTGTGATTTGAGTTGCCAAACTCCGGTTGGATGACTGACCTTCTCATATTTCTCCACAGCTCTCCCAGGATCGATCTTGAACACCTTTACTGCGACCTGATGGATATCAAATGGAGGATTCAGGAGCTTAGGCAGGATGGTCAGACAAACCTCTTTTGTGCCCTCGCTGGTATTGATGGTGCGCCGATAGACGGCGCCAAACGAACCAGATGTGCATGGATCCCCGAGTTTCAACGCGGAAATTTGAGACGTGAAGTCGCTTGGGATATCGCTACAAAATATGATGAAAGATCGAGAGACATTATTAGAGACGACTCACTGTTGAGGTGCGAGTCTCTTCATGCCAGTGGGGTAGTAGGGCTACTACTCTGCAGGAGGGAAGTGAGGCTGGTTGATAACCGCAAGGCGCTTATTGGGGTTCAGTAAGGGGGCCAGCCGGCAGCCATGTTGCAGAACACTGTTTCGTGTGTATGTTATCGCCTCGAGGCCGTGATCAATCATACACACGGATTCAGGAATTTCGCTCGACCTTATAAGGCAAATATGGTCATATCACGTTGGTTGGTTTTCAATGATGATATACATTGCATGCTTAGACGATACCTTCTACATCGTGCTTGACCCCTAGTCCAGCCTCGGCATGGTTCCTCCGCGAATCCAATAGTTCATCTGCAGAACCTTGCTGGCAAAACGTCTACCCACCACTGTGGCTCTCTGCCCACGAACCTAGTGAGTTCATCAACCTGTTTCTGAGTAGGGCGCCGATCATAACTGCCTGGCTGGTCGTTGAAGATGTACAGCACGAGAACGACACCATCAACTATGTATTCCGCTGGAACTATCTGTCCAGGAGGCAGTGTTGCATATGCCGTTGACAACGATTGAACGTGGAAGTTCTTGTTGAAGCTGTAACTGGGGTTCGCTCTGGCGTTGGTCCTGGCGTTGGTTTCGGAAAGGTCGGGATGTAGCTTGGCGAGGAAGGAACGAGCAGTCTCATAAAGCCACTCCTGAGATATGTAGTAACCGTACATCTGAGCATTACGTTGCGGAGGTGGAAGGGTTATATTGATACGGTTTGACTTGGACGGTTTGGTATGTCCAGAATCGCACCGTTCGTCTTGCTTGGCTTCACCAGGCTGCACAAGAGCAATTGAGAGGGATATCAACAAACAACACCTGGACACACCTGCATGCTAGACATCACTCCATCGAGGCTTTGTAATCGCTGAGACATGTTCAAGATGATTTTGAGTTCATTGCATAATGCTGGAACGCTGAGCAGGATGGACTCTTATTTTGGCACTCCAAATTTATGTAAACTTCGACCAAACAACGCAAGAACAGGTTCACTAGCACGGTTTCAGTATCACTAGTCTCACAATATTAATGGCAAACGTTAACGCCGATCTTGAATTATATCTCGCCATCGATGCCGCCGCCAACGACCTGAGCCAGAGGGAATGCCCCTGGTATGCAGTCTGGAACATCTGCTTGAACCAATACCTTTTTGCACACTCCAATACCCAAACAACAGCCTGCTCGACAATCCCTCAATATTCACTCGTCTGGACCTACGATGTTGATGTTGATCATAATATTACACCGTCCAGTCATTCATCATCACCTGCTAGTAACCATATGCAAGTATCTCCCCCCCCACCTCAGCACCTTCAACTTTCCAAACGCTCTGTTAAGATACCTGATTTTGTCCAAGTACTCCATCGTGCCATTCAACCACAGGAACTTCCGCCCCGCCATAGTCAACAGCGTGTTATCCTGACTGTTGAAGTCAAGCCAGCGCTCGAAGCCACTACCTTTGACCGCATTCTAAACTCACAAGTGTCCAAGCAAGTTATGTATGCATTTGCTTCTGATCATACTCTCCAGTCGCTTGGTGTGGTGTTGGCTTGTGGGTTATACTGGGTGTATTACGAAGTTGACCGGCCGTCTTCTCGCGAGTTGGAGTACTCAGAGAGGACCATGTATGACTCAGATTATGTGCCCCAGATGGAGATCTCCGCAGATACAGAATCGGACGACTCGGGCTCCTCAGGCTCCTCTGCCCTCAGTGACCCTCCTGATATCTTATTTCACATTCCTAAATGTATCGACTCTATTCTTGATGGTCGCAGCCAATTCTCCCTCGACGACGTGCCACTATGTAAGCAGGCTCTGACTCAGATGGCCTCGCATCTGAAAGCTTGCCATAGTCGGTTTGGGGGATTGCAGGGCGATGGGACGTGCACCACTTGCGCTACAATAGTTTGTCTGCTTTCTCACATTTGTGGTTTACTCACACTGATCTGCATCATTCCTACAGGTAAAAAGAGAGGCGCAAACGCGTGGTAAGAGGGCTGGAGCAAATGGGCATTGAATTGCCATCGTGAATCGTTTAGGCCTTCATTATTATGATTCGAGTACTGATAATATTGAAATGCAGGTCATTCAACCGGAATGTGGCGAGTCCTCGGTGCTCCTTCGTTTTGTCTATGACTATGAAGTGAATCCTAACTGCATGCATGCTCAGGTCACTCGCGGAATCTATACGGATTGTCTCCTTAACTATGAGACTGTCAGGTATTTCGAGGGGAGATGTATGAGGCACAGAGGTATATGGAGGCTATTGGGGAGTATCAGAGTTTGGAGGAGAGGATCGTTCGTGAGTGTTTCCGTCTCATCTCATTTCAAAAATTATGTCTTGTTTCAAATTTCAAACCAAACCTGTCTTTCATTTCAATCGCGAACGCAAATGCCGATCACGCTTGTAGTATCTCTCAACCTCCTGAACCTCGTACAAACGCTCGTCATCACATCCGGTCTTCCGGTCGATTCTTTGATCGTCGCATCGCGCATCACGAGGAGATAGTAATATATAGTGATATCGTGATGTTCATCACCTATTATGAGTAGGTGAGTACCTTAACTCTTTCGTGTGTAGAGTCGACGTCTTCCAATCACAACCATGCTGATGTCATGCACACCAGCTCTTTCGAAGCTCAGCGGCAAATACCGTACAATCAACCAAAGCCTCGTTGATACTGAGAAATTGCTTCACCTTCTCAATGATCCCACTGAAGTTGTCGATGAACTCGATGCCAAGGAATCAGTAGTGTCAAACGGCGAAGTTGAGTTTGGTTTTCCTCATCATTCATATGCATTTTCCAATCACATGCAACTTGCGACTTTGATTTTTGATCTATTCGATATATACACGTGTTGTGGGGCTATATTGATATCACTCGGTCGAATCTCTGAGTAGTCAAACATGGTTGGTTGTTGCATTGTTGCTATGATGTCGGTCTGGCATCTCTGTTGTCGGCGCGCGATTTATACACTTTGTATTTGCCATGCATGGTGTAGTAATGTATATAACCTGCAGAGATGGAATTCTACCGTTAGAATAGAATGAAGAATGAAGACACATGCGATGCAATTGATGCATATGAATTATGTAGTAGAGTATGTAGTGTCGACTCAGATGTCCAACATATCCTCGACAAGCGAAGTAGAGCTGAAGTCCACAATTGCAATCAGGTAAGCACAAGGTATAATTGAAGTCATGAATCTACGTCCTGCTTGATCATTTTAGCCAACTGATTTGCAAGCGTCTGGAGATATACCACAACACTTTGTGAGATGAGGGACAAGATCCTTCCTTCTCACATTCGAACCCCCTGTGAGAAACTCCTTCAGCTTGCGCAACAACGACGCAAACAGATTATCCCCTCCAATCCATGCTTGCTTCTGTCCGTCAGCAGTAAATTCCTAACAAGATTGCGGATCGTGATGCGCGATTCTTCATAAAGGTGTTTGTGTCTGCCGTCCAATCTATTGGCGACGGTGATACACGCATGACCAGCGACCTGGATCTGGTATTTGTCGAAGGTGCTGTGGTTTCTCTCCCAAAAGTCCTCCATCCTCAACTCTCTTTCGAGGTTCGTGATCGCAAGTACAATTGGGACCTTCTTCTCGCAAAGGAATTCGTAAAAGAGTCGGTAGTTGCTCTGAAGCGTGGCAGTGACTCTGCCGGCGCGAACGCAAAATAGAAGCAGATCAATGCCGCCTCTTCTATACAATTCCTTGATAAGTCGATAGGCGTTCTTGACAGACTCGAGGTACTCTTTTATTCCCAGCTGCGGTTCCTCGAGTCCGACGGTACCAAAAACCTTGTATGAGTCTCCGCCGAAATCGATGTTGTATTCTTGCCAATGCATTGTACAGCGTTCCATGGTAGGAGATATGTTCGCTATCTCTTTGCCCGCCATGAGGTTGATGAGTGAGCTTTTGCCTGCCCCCGTCTCCCCAAATAGTACGATAATTTTAGGTCTGACCTCGCTTGTTAACATCGAAAAAATACGGTCATCTGGAGACTACATGCCTGCTACGAGAGTAATTCGTTAGTCTAATGGTATCGGAACTTGTTGAGGTAGTGTAATGCTTGGTCCTACTTATCAATGAGACAATTACAGTACGAAGAGCCTGTCTGAAAACCACGCACCTTGCGGCCATTGTAGGAGGGAGGATTGTACTATATAGGATTTGAGGTTGGAAAAATACAGCAAAAATAAGACTATGTACCTTTCAGCTATTTCAGGACGCATGGTCCTGATAGTGCTATACAATGTTTGAGGTTGGAAAATACTATGGGCACAAACGGCATCTGAAAACTGCGCACCTTTCAACCACTTCAGCCCTCTCCAAAATGGGGGAGGTTTTCATTGCAAGGTATCCAACGACTTCCGTTGCCTCCGGGCGATTATCTGGGTTCCAAGACCAGCATTTTTTAATTAGGTTCCAGTGATTGTTAAGAATGTTGTTGGGACGCGCAGGTACAACTTTATTCGATAGCGCAATGATGATATGAGTTGGGTTTTTCTTCCCTTTCCACGGTATATCCCCCGAAACGATCTAAGAGGAGAAAGCTTAAAATAGAGCTATAGAAACACAAAGGGACCGCACAAAGAACATGACGCCACCAAAAGAATATACATCACTCTTGAAATTTGGTCGGACAAGTTCAGCCTCCGGGTCGACTCCAATGACCTCAGGCGCACGCCATTGAGGATTGAAGCTACGATTTGCGGTCGTCGTATTCAGCTGCGACTCTACGTCGCCTACGACTGTTGCAAGACCGAAATCTGTGAGACGCGGATTCCCCGCACCATCTATAAGAACATTTGCCTAAGGTTTATCAATGAGCGTAACATCCACGGAGAGACGACCATACATACGGGATGAAGGTCTCCGTGAACGACATTCTCCGAGTGAACTGGGTAGACATCATGAACAATGATAACAATAGGATGGCAATCTACGAACGATATCTGAGGCCATTGGCAACGCCCCTGACCTTGTAGCATAAAATGGATCAATGCTTGATGAATGTGATTAGTGAACAAGAGACTCACCAATTCAGCTTTAGCCAAAGCGGTGACTGCACCCTGCTTCTCGAGGTATGCATACAATGTCCCAGAGGGCATCCATTGCAAAACAAGAGCAGGACACTGGAGACCCGACGTGTGCAGTGCCAAGTAGCGGTACGATAGTTTGGTGTTTTGACAGTCTAATCCATACTTTGAGTTCTCGACGCATTGCCTACATAGGCCGTTGAGCGAAGTGTTGGTAATCCCAGTTAGATGACTGACCTTCTCATATTTCTCCACAGCTCTCCTAGTATCAATCTTGAACTCCTTTACTGCGACCTGATGAATATTAGATAGATGATTGATGCACTTAGATAAGTTGGTCCCACAAACCTCTTTTGTGCCTTCGCTGGTATTGATGGTGTACCGGTAAACGTCGCTGAATGAACCAGATGCGCATGGATCCCCGAGTTTCAACGCGGAAATTTGAGATGTGAAGTCGCTAGGGACACCGCTGCAAAATGTGATGAAAGGTCGGGGGACATTGTGGGAGAAGGCTCGCTGTTAAGCGCGGGTCTTATCATGGGTACTAGAACAAATTTGCGGGAGGAAGGATCTGGGAAGTGAAGCAGGCTGGTATTCAAGTTGATACATATGCAAGGCGCCTATCTGGGTTCGTAAGGCGGGCAACTGGCAGCCATGCTGCAGAATATGCTTCGTGTGTGCGGTATTGCCTCGAGGTCATGATGCGATCGTGCAATGATGTAAACAAAGTTCGAATATCTAGGATGCGAACAGTACTCGTTTCCATCATTCAATATCAATCAATTAAATTCAGACCTGCATCACATTTGCACATCACCTGGGCTCTCCGGTCATGCATACCCGATCTTTTGCATGGTGTCCTACCACTCGCACGAATACTTGCACTCCTTCCTCTTCTTGTGGCGCTCTTCTTCCCTCGTGTCGTTCGCCTTGCTGCGCAACCTCATGGTTACACAGAAGAAGCTGATGAAACCGCTCCTCCCACGACTTGTTTTAAAGTAGAAGATGCAGACACTGACTAGTACCACTAAATTCCACACTTCTATCTCTAAAAGCAGTCCTACTACCCGCTCTGTGTCCTCAATAATTAATTCCAGGTGGTGAGAGTCAAACAAGGTCAGTATATATCTAGTATAGTGCAATCTAACGCTTTCATAGACAACCCCGCGCGAAGTAACCGTCGATCCCTCATAACGGGAACTCTTCACCCGCATAACTCGCATCACGTCCCATCTCTGGCCCTCCCACTATCTAAATTCATTGCAGTGCGTCACTAGTTAACGGATTATTTCCTCTCAAACTCGCCACACTGATCACTACCTTCGACACACCAGGCATAACTACATTTCCTGCTTTCAGCCCTAGCCCATGGTCGTACCTAATCACCTACATATGGTTCCGCTTCACATCTTCAGGCGGCCTGGCAGCCATCCACGACGCACTCTGGGATTCCACTCATGCAATACAGCTATCGCAACATGTCGATACCCTCATTCAACATAACCTTGCTCTTTCTCTTAGTTGGCATGCGAAACCCAAGACGGGCTAGCTACTCTGTATTCTCGTTAGAGGAAGCGCAATAAACCGCGTTGGGGAGCTTATTGGGTTCACGCCGATTCATGCACTCGTGGATATATGTGTTGCGCTCGTCGTGTTTGTCTTTAGGTTCGAGCCTCCGTTGGGCACTGTGGTCGTGTCGTGGTGGGGAGTTATATCTGGACAAGTGTCTTGTTCACGAGGTATATGACTAGGATAGGGAGGTGGATGAATGATATGTGGCGAGTGCTCAGCCCTGCTTCATTTTGTCTATGATTATGAAGTGGGTCTTAATTGTACGCATTCTCAGGTCACGCACGGATCCATACGGATTGTCTCCTTAACTACGATACTATCAAGTGTTTCGGTGGGGAGGAGTATGAGGTGCAGATATATACGGAGGCTATTTGGGAGTATCAAAGTTTGGAGAAGAGGATCGTTCGAGAGTGTTTTCGTCTCATCTCATTTCGAAATCCACGTTTTGCTTCAAATTTTCAAACCAAACCTGCGTTTCATTTCAATCGCAACACAAGTGCTAGTCACACCTATAATATCTCTCAACCGCTCATCATCACCTCCGGTCTTCTAGTCTGTTCTTTGATCGTCGCGTCGCGCACCACGAGGGGACAGAGTAACATTGGTGATTTGAGCGCAACATTGTGTAATTGCTGAAATGAGTAAACAATTGCATCCCGATCTGAGGGCCTTTTTTGAAATCCCAAATCGCACCACGGGACAACATGGCAGTGCTCTGATGCACCTGATGCTAAGTTGCGTCACACTATGAACGAGCACATTGTTGTATCCGATTTTTCGAGGTCACATACAAGGACTGATACATATAGTACGACCGATTACATCTCAACTACAGCTACTGATGTATTAATTAGATTAGGTCGTAGGATTGGCGATTATATATTACGAACATCTGTTCGCGATCGGTCTATGACTCGATACCCTGAGCGGGAAGTATACAAGCTGGAGTACCTTTGAAGTATCATAAAGTAGTACGTGTAGTGGCCCGACTCTACAGAGGCTGACATTCAACTATAATTGTTTCAAGTTGACGCCATATTGGAACTGACGGGAGTTCTACCAGCTTGATAGGATTCGTAGAGGAGGCAGCGGATGGCTTGCTCTGATTGTTGTCGACGTGCACGCATTGCGAGTGAGGATTTCGGATCGTCAGGGAGGGAAGTGATACAGGCGTGTGCGGAGAACCGCATCCCGAGGTGCCCTAGATTTCCCTCGTTATTCGTCCACCAATTATCCATGTTTTCGGGATAATCTTCCAAGGAGGTGACCACAGCTGCGACTGGTACACGGCCAGCAGTGGAGCCGACGACGTCAGTGAAAAATTTATAGTTGTTGACCAAGGCCCTCTGGGCTTTCGACCCCCTCATGCAATACAAGAGAAGGTAGACTCCATCATCTTTGTACAGTTTTTTGTATGACCTTTTCAAGCGCAATTTTTTGAAAAAAGTCCTCAAGAAGCCCATCGATTCGATGGACGAAACTTCCCAAAGTTTGAAACGGTCAGTTCCTAGATTAATTTCGTAGGGAGAACGCACGAGCGTGCAGGTTTCTACTCTTGGCGATGTCTCTGCGACACCTTGACCCATGATCAAGTTGATAACGGAGCTTTTGCCAACTCCGGTCTCCCCAAAAAGCAACACATTCAAAGGACCCGACGTTGACTTCTCACATGATTAGTTTGCACAATACGATGTACCAGTATGCGCTTACCAGCGTTGAGGTTCTAGAGAAAGAATGGTGTATTCGAGTAGTGAAAGGTACAGGTTGGCTTGGTGATGCAACGAGGCTTCGTGAGGGAGACTGAGATGTCCGTGGGGTCATAATCGCAACCTATTTGGAAATAAATAAATAAACCAATTGACTCCAAGCACAAGTTGGTGTATTCACCTGGGATTGCACCTTACCGTTGCGAGGAACGGATGGAGTTACCTGCTCCGCGACCAAATACGCACTTTGATGACTTTCTCGTACCTAGGGGAAATGCATCAAAATTAGCCAGCGATGAAATACTTGGGCTGTCGGACCTGCGAGTTATCGATCCTGCACTGATCAGTGTAATCAAGGATACGTGCAGTCTCCGGACGATCCATGGGGTCCCGAGACCAGCAGCGTTCGATCAAGTTCCAGGAACCATTAGGCATGTTCTCTGGACGCCCAGGAGTGGCTCCTCTTGACAGCTCAATGACGATGTGAGTTAGGTTTTTCTTCTCTTTCCATGGGATGTCCCCCGAGATGATCTGAGCGGAAAAAGTCAAAAGATGGCACCACAGTGTCATGAAATAGATCGCACAAAGAAAATAACGCTACCAAAAGAATAGATATCGCTCGTGAAAGTCGGTCGTGCAGGCTCATCAGACTCTATTCCAATGACTTCAGGTGCACGCCATCGAGAATTGAAATCACGTGCCGCAGTGGTCGAGTTCCACTGCAACTCTGGGTCTTCTACGATTGTTGCAAGACCGAAACCTGTGAGGCATGGATTCCCTGAATTATCTATCAGTATGTTGGCCTGGCTTGCAAATAAGTGCGATATCCACAAAAAGACAACCGTACATACAGGTTGAAGGTCTCCGTGGACGACGTTATTCGAGTGAACTGCGTAGGCATCAATAACAAAAACAACGACTCGCTAGAGATAGACGAACGATAATGAAGGCCATCAGCGACACCCTTGACCTGGTAACACGAGAATCGATGAATCTAGTGGAATGTAATTGGTATGAATCAAGGACATACCAACCCAAATTTTGCGGAAGCAGAAAGGGTTGTTGCTTGCTTCTCCAGGTAAACATATAACGTCCCAGATGGCATCCATGGATAAACAAGAGCTGGCCATGGTGATTCGACATGTGCGATACCAAGTAGTGGCACAATATTCAAGTGTCTCAACTTAAGCCACAAACGAAGTTCCCGACGCATCGCCTACAAGGTCAATATTCAGCCAGTTGTTATTTCAGTCAGTGAATCTCAATTGGAAACCAACTCTCTCTAGTTTCGGCATAGCTCTATTATAATCCATAATGATTACCTTCACAGCTACCTGATAAATATGAAGTGGACGATTGGTAAGTTTACTTAGCTACTCAGGCGAACCCAGGCGAACCTCCGTTGTGCCTTTGCTGGCCCTGATGGTACACCGATAAACTTGGGTAAATGAACCGAGAGCAATTGGAGATTCAAGCTTGCTAATTAGGGACGTAAGGTCGACGACGGTATCACTGCAGAACATGATGAAGGAAGACAACACACATTGTGGAGTAGACTCACCCTTCAAGCGCAAAACCTGGGTCCATGGGTGACTGTTGTTCCGCGGGTAGCCAGTTTCAGCAAAAGGTATGCAGGGTCTTCTTAAGGTAATACTGGTGCAAGTGTGGTGAGCCGCTCAGCGGAGTCGAGCGGAGTTTAAACACCACCTAAACGAAATTACTAGAGTCTCGGGGTTAACGTTCAGCGATGCTGACTTTCACCTTGCTTGCCTACACTATAGAGCAGATACTGGTATTCGCTATGGTGATTACACGCAGGCCGGTGTAGTTTTGATCCACTTGGTAGGCGTAGTCAAGGCTGGCACAAAACATTTCCGAACTCTGCAGACGATGATCATTGATTTCGAAGATTGTTCTTGAGTATATCATGTAAAACCCGAGAACCATATGCATGTGTTCCATCGACCGTATATTGTGTCCCTGAATAGCGGCAAGTCATCAAAATGTTTTTGTCAAGACTCGGAATACCGGACTAATAACACTCACATGTCGATGAGTTCCGTCCATGTCATTTGTTACCGCAGATCCTGTTGAACATCAACCGACCATTATACAAATGGTGCGTCGTCACTGCTGTATCTGTCGACCCAAATGTTTAAGGTTTGGTGTAAATTCAACAGGTCTTGAAATCCTTTCAAAGGTCCTTAGCAGAAGCACCCTACTAAATGTTTTGTGTTTTTCAGCTCTGTTCAAATTCTAGATATCATCACCTATTACTATCATAATCACCTTAATTGTGTTGACTTATCCAGAGCAAATTCACTTATGGCTCTGAGGCTTTGCAGCCTGGAAACTGGTATTACAGTTTTTTGTCATTGGCAAGGCGTCTGTCATCTCTTCACCAATATCCATAGTTTGATTGTACCGTCACAGGGATTACAATTGCAACACCCGATCGAGACGTTGGACAACACATGGTGATGAGTATGTACCCAATATTGATTGCAACCGCGTTGAAGCAGCATTACAAAGTTACGTTGAAGCTTCGAAGCTCTGCGTCGTGGATCAAATTTATACTTAATAAGTTGAGTACCCTGTTAATATATATGCTCTGGTATGACTCCGAGCTAGACGTTGGCGGCTACACATCCTATCTCCCTTCCTGCCAGTCTTGACGCCACTCATGATCGCATGATCGATGATCACCGGCACCCTCAACTAGTGTACATATGTGTGTGTACATGTGTGCACTAGAACCATATCCCTGCCACTCCTGTCACTTGCGGCTCCCATATCCAAGCGCCACCCTTCTGTAATCTGGCGTTGCATATACACCCAGTCACAGCCTTCCTCGTACTCCCACTGACCTAGTACTTCTCCCGTTATCTCCCACTTCGACCTCCTGCGCCTTCATGACACCCTCGCCACCTGGCGATCTCCTCGACTACCGGCAATCTCTCTTTACCCTGGCACATATTTCATATGGCTTTCAGCACCCTGATTCTGCCCTCTTCTGGACCTTCCGTCTCGCCCCCTTCACACCTTTGCCACCCGTGGCTATATCCTGGTAATTCCTCATCCATTACCCAGATGCTATGTCATGGTCTGCGACTGGGAAAGACGTCGAAAAATCAACCCTCTTTGCTCCTCGTCCCTTGAACCTAGTCAGATCAGATCATCGGGCTGACTGTCGTTTGCATTATGTAAATATCATTACAACTTGCAACGTTTGAATGGGATGTACATGTCTCGGGATAGAATATCGAGACGTTTGTGAAACCGTGAAATACAGAGTTGGCGCGAATAAAAGTATGTGTATCAATTGCAATAACCCATAAGTGTAACTTGGGATACAGGCAAATTAGCTATGTGAGAATAGGGAAGTTAAGAACTACTGGCTTCTACTACGTCTTGCTTGATCATCCGAGCCAACTGTTTTGCAACGTCTCGAGACATACCGCAACGCTTCGTGAGACGAGAGACAAGATCCTTCTTTCTCACAAACGAACTCGCCGTAAGTGACTCCTTCAGCTTGCGCATTAACGATACGAACAGGTTGTTCCCTCCTGTCCATGTTTGCTTCTGCCCGTCAGCAGTAGATTTTTGAACAAGATTGCGGATCGTGATGCGTGATTCTTCATAAAGAATTTGGTGCCTGCCGTCCAATCTGTTGGCAGCAGTAATGCACGCATGACCAGCAACCTGGATCCGATGGTTTTGGAGGGTGGCCTGGTTTCTCCCCCACCAGTCCTCCATCCTCTGCTCTCTTTCAAGGTGCGTGATCGCAAGAGCAATGGGAATCTTCTTCTCGCAGATGGATTCGTGAAAGAGCCGGTAGTTACTCTGAATCGTAGCAGTGACTCTGTCGGCGCGAATGCAGAACAGGAGTAGGTCAATGCCGCCTTGCTTATCCAATTCCTTGATGAGCCGATATGCATTCTCGATAGACCCGAGGTATTCTCTGATTCCCAGCTGTGGTTCCTCGAGCCCGATGGTATCGAAAACCACATATGAGTCGCCACCGAAACCGATATTATAGTCTTTCCACTGCATCGTACAACGTTTCGTGTCAGGAGATGTGGTGGCAACCTCCTTTCCCGCCATAAGGTTGATAAGCGAGCTTTTGCCTGCTCCCGTTGCGCCGAAAACGACGATAGTTTTATGCCTGTTCTCATTTATAAATATCAAAATGTATACAGGAGATCTGGAGACTACATGCCGTTTAGGAGGGCTCTGTATAGTGCTATGTAAGGGTTGAGGTTAGAAGGATACGGCACAAAAGGCATCTGAAGACGACCTGCCTGCCAGCTATTTCAATCTCTCCTGAATTCCGTTTAGGAGGGCTCTGTATAGTGCTATGTGAGGTTTGAGGTTATAAGAATACGGCACAAAAGGCATCTGAAGACGACCCACCTATCAATTATTTCATTCTCTACTGAATTCCATTTAGTAGAGCTCTGTATAGTGCTATGTGTGGTTTGAGGTTATAAGAATACGGCACAAAGGGCATCCGAAGACGACCCACCTATCAGCTATTTTAGTCTCTACTGAATTCCATTTAGTAGAGCTCTGTATAGTGCTATGTGTGGTTTGAGGTTATAAGAATACGGCACAAAGGGGTACATGAAGACGACTTACCTATCAGTCAGTTCAGTCTCTCCTGAAGTGCGTTTAGGAGGGCTCTGTGTAGTGCTATGTGGGGTTTGAGGTTAGAAGAATACGGCACAAAAGGTATCTGAAGACGACCTACCTAGCAGCCACTTCAATCTCTCCTGAATTAATAATGGCAATTTGCGTTGCAATGCATTTGGTGACTTCGGTTGCCTCTGGGCGACACATGGGGTCCCGAGACCAGCATTTGCTGATTAAGTTCCAGTGATCGTCAAGGATGTTGTCGGGACGTGTAGGAGTAGCTCCTTTCGATAGCTCAATGATGATATGATTTGAACTTTTCTTCTCGTGCCACGGTGTAACCCCTGAGACGATCTGAGAGAGGGAAAAGGCTCAGGATAGCGTTGCAGAGAAATACAGATATCTCACGAAGAACATGACACTGCCAAAAGAATATACATCACTCTCGAAATTCGGTCGTACAGGTTCAGTCTCCGGGTCGATTCCAATGACTTCAGGTGCACGCCATTGAGGATTGACACTGCGGCCTGCGGTCGTCGTATTCAATTGCGACTCTACGTCCCCTGCGATTGTCGCGAGACCAAAATCTATGAGACGTGGATGCCCTGAACCATCTACGAGCACATTCCCCTGATGCTTATGAATGAGTGTAACACCCCACGGAGACTACTCGACATACAGGATGAAGGTCTCCGTGAACGACACTTCGGGAGTGAACTGATCCAACAGGCATCAAGAATGAAAAATAATAACATAATAGAGATCTACGAACGATATTCGAGGCCATCAGCAACGCCCCTGGCCTGGTAGCATGAAAATAGATTAACTCTTGGTGAGTTTGATTATTGTGAACCAGAGACTCACCAATTTGATCCGAGTAGATGCGGAAATTGTACCTTGCTCCTTGAGGTACGCATATAATGTCCCAGAAGACATCCATTCGGAAATGAGAGCTGGAAATAGAGAATCTTGGACCTTCGCAATACCAAGTAGCGGGACGATAGTCGGGTGTTTCAGTTCAAGCCACACCCTGAGTTCTCGATTTATTCCCTATCATTGAGCAAAGTGTGGTAGTTGAGTTGGGGCACTCCAGCTAGTAGCGGAAGATTGACTTTGCTAATTTTTTGCATGGTTCTCCCGGCCTGAGGACCAATCTTGAAGATCTTCACTGCGACCTGTCAATGGCCATTAGAGGACGACTGGTGAACTTGGGGTAAAATTTTGTCAAACCAACCTCCATTGTGCCTTCGCTGGACTCAATGGTACGTCGATAAACTATGCCAAAGGTACCAGCAGATGGAATTTCGTCCTTCGAGTCGCAGTAGCAGAAATTCGAGATGTGAAGTTACGAGAGGTATCAATAGAAATAAAGTGATCGATGGGCTCGGGTACGTTTGTGGTCTCCGGACGATGCCCAGAGTCGCTCACTGTGACCTGTCCATGGTCACAATTGATAAACTCGGGAAAAAGTTGGTCGGACGAACCTCCACCATGTCCTCGCTGAACTCAATGGTACGCTGATGAACTATACCAAAGTAGCAGCAGATGGAATTTCGTCCTTCGAAGTCCCACTAGCAGAAATTTGAGATGTGAAGTCACGAGGGGTATCACTGCAGAACACGATGAAGCCTTTGGGTCAAGGCACGTTATAGGGGAACACTCACTCTTCAAGCGCAAGTCCCTTCATGGTAGGCTGACTTGCGGCAGGAGGAGATTTTCAGGAAGAATAGTAGACTCGTACTTGAATTTGTGGTGCAATCTTTCCAAGTTGTGCAAGGCTTCCGCTGGGGATTATAAGAAGACCTGGCAGCCATGCAGATCAGACCATTCTCGTATTCTATCCGAGAAGCATTGCTGATCGTGGTACTGCCTCGAGGCTTTGGAATCTGATGGAAGGATCTATACTTTTAATATTGACACCAGAGGCAAAGTCAGTGTGCAAGCGGGCACGTCACTGGAGCGTTTTTGAATAGACTTCCATAGATCAATCGATCACCAGTTGCACTAGCACTGACTGCTAGTACCACCATGACAAACTTGAAGGAACCTCTGACTTCAAGTTCAATACGTAAAACCTTTATGTAATAAGTTCTAAGAGCCGTCCTTATCATAAACTGCCACAAACTAAACGTGAACATAGGTAGTACCGCCGTACTAACCGACATGATCTGTACATGTCGTGTACGAGCCGTTCAAAAGCCAACTTCGAATTGAGTACTATTGTGATATTATATTACTGTTCGCCAACCGCAAGTTCATTGCAATCACATCAGGACCTGTTAATATCGCCGCAGCAAGTCATTGATATCTGTGGACACTATTAGCATATTCATGTTAGGAAGCAACCCATTTGAGTTTGCTTTTGGCGCTTCCAGTTCAAGGTTTCGGCCAACCTTCTAGGTAACTTCCGATGCAGGAGGCGGACACAATGTTAGCACGTGCTGAACGACAGTGACCTATCGAGGCCTCGAGGTCTATTGTGTCTGTCTGCTGACAGCAAGCAATACAATCTTTGGCGCGTCATGCGGTGATGCGAGGCATATGGCCCTCGGGGCGGTGGGGGTTGGCATATTGAATCTCGATTCCTGGCCGACTACTATGGATCACTGGAGGTTATGCGGTGATGATGTCCAGGAAGGCGATCGGTTACATTTCACAACGAGCGCTGCACAATGTTGCTTGCACGTTGCAACTGTTAAAGTTTGGTTCTAGTTTCAACGAAAAGGGTAGTCGATACCCATATGCATCCTCATGTTAGCTTTGCAGGTCGTAATCTTCGTTGTGCACCGTGTCCTGCCTGCAATGGCATAAGCATCAGAAGCTGTTGACTTGTCATTCTCATCGAAGATCGTCCACCCAGCCAGAAGAAACAACTTCACTATAATCGTGAGCTCACCGTTGTGCCCTCTTGTTGCTAGAAGCCCAGTACTGAAGAAGCGCCATGCTAGATTCATTAAGTATTGTTAATGTCTGCCAAAACATTGTCATTTTTGGAGAAAGTGGCGTCGGGCAAAGCTCCATCATCAACCTCTTCGCAGGGCACCAGGTTGCTAGGACCTCTCTGGGCGCACTGAACACGCCATGAAACGTATAATGTCACCATCAAGGGTGCGCCGTACCGCATCTATGATACTGCCGGGGTCGATGGCAACCGCATGGACCCAAGCCCATTTCTCAATGTTGTTATCGACTGACAAGTTGATAAAAGAGCTATGGGTCAGCGGAGGAGTCCATTTGCTGCTGTACTGCATCAAGACAGGCAGGATACCACCGACGTTCGTCACCAACTACAGGCTATTGTGTGATTTTTTCTTCGAGGAGAAGATACCAGTTGCGCTCATCGTTACCCACCTGGAGAAGGAAGACCTCATGGATGATTGGTACGCGCGAAACGAGGGATCGTTCGACAGTCATGCAGTCAAGTGTGTTGATCATGCTTGTATCACTGCAGTGGCTAACCTAGATCCAAAAGGAAGTGAGTGACTTGATTATACGGAATAAGGATACAGTAGTGGACTGGAATAGAGGAGATGGGTGGCTTGGCCGGTTCATTGGAAAGTTGAAGGACCTCTTAACGGGACGTCCAAGCAAGTCAGACGTTCTTGGGGTCCTCGTGAAGCGCTGCGGGATGGAGGATAGCCTAGCAAAAGATGTGATCCAAAAACTTCATAAATGACGCAGGTTTGCTCATTACGGTAGCTGGGTATAGAGGCTGTTTCATTACGATTGGTTATCACCATGTAATACGACTGTAGGCAGGATTAGAATATTCAGATCTGCTATGACCGTATCATGAGTTTCCCAGAGGGGTATGAGACGAAGGTTGGGGAGAGGGGCGTGAGACTGAGTGGATGTGAGAAGCAGCGCGTGGTAATCGCTAGGACCATAGTGAAGAATACGAGGGTGCCGCTTTTGGATTAGGCTACTAGTGCGTTGGATGGTGCGCTTGGGAGACTTGTGGATGGAAGTTGTTTGAGTATTGCGGATCGATTGAGTACGATCAAGGGGACTGATAAGTGAGTGGTTTCCTTGGGTGTTTTTTCTTAGTGATGGTGCCGATTTGTGTTCTTGGGAAGGATTATGGTTCTCAAGGACGGGCGGATCGTTGAGTAGGACTTACATATACAGGGAGCTCCTTCAACTTAATGGCCTCTTTGCATCCATGTAGCAGGTCAGATCAGCGCGTCCAAAAATCCCAGCTGGATACAACATCGATGACGATGCACCCGTCGTCGGCATTCCCGAATTTGAAACGCGCAGCACAGCAGTCGAAGAGCGCATAGTCGTTGATTCTCCCCAAGTCGTTCTAGCATCCCTACAAGCCAAACCACATGTACCTATATCATCCCCCGTATCCGACGATGCACCCCAAGCCTTCTCAACGACAGCACCCACGTCCGATGCGCCTTCCATTCACAGTTATCCAGAGTGTTCAGTCGTACCTGCGCATGGACAAGACGCGAGTGTTACGTTTGGCGCATAAGTGACCACGCCTCCACGGACGGGTTTCCCTGCACATAAGAGAGCGCTTTCGACGCATAATTTCCAGAGACTTGCGAAGAAGATAAGTCTCAGCGGTGAAGCTCCGAAATTGCCTGGGGTTTGACACCGGGACGTGAGCTTGCGAGAGGCAAGTAGTATGACGAGCAGCGGGAGTGGTGGTACCATGGTCTGGGATGTTGGTCTGTTGCAGTGGGCGTGAGTTTTATACACTTTGTATTGCTATGCGTGGTACAGGAATTTATATAATCTGCAGAGGTGGAATTCTAGCGCTAGAATATAGAAAGGAGAATGAAGACACAAGTCATGCAATTGATGATATGAATTATATAGTAGAGTATGTAGTACCAACTCAGATGTGCAACATATCCTCGACAAAGACGAAGTCCACAATTACAATCGGGTAAGCATAAGGTATAGTTAAAGTCATCAATATACATCTTGCCTGATCATATCAGCCAACTGTTTTGCGACGTCTGGAGATACACCACAACGCTTCGTGAGATGAGGGACAAGATCCTTCTTTCTCGCATTCTGACCCTCTGGAACTAAATCCCTTAGCTTACGCATCAACGACACGAACAGGTTGTTCCCTCCTATCCATGCTTGCTTCTGCCCGTCAGCGGTAAATTGCTGAACAAGATTGCGGATCGTGATGCGCGATTCTTCATAAAGGTGTCAGTGTCTGCCGTCCAATTTATTGGCGGCGGTGACACACGCATGACCGGCGACCTGAATCTGGTATTTGTCGAAGGTGCTTTGGTTTCTCTCCCACCAGGTCTCCATCCTCTGCTCTCTTTCGAGGTTCGTGATCGCAAGAACAATCGGGACTTTCTTCTCGCAGAGGAATTCGTGAAAGAGCCGGTAGTTGCTCTGAAGCGTAGCAGTAACTCTGCCAGCGCGAACGCAAAATAGAAGCAGATCGATGCCGCCTCTTCCATCCAATTCCTTGATAAGTCGATAGACATTCTCGACAGACTTCAGGTACTCTTTGATTCCCAGCTGCGGTTCATGTAGTCCAATGGTATCGAAAACCGTATACGAGTCGCCACCGAAATCGATGGCATAGTCTTTCCACTGCATAGTACAGCGTCGCATGTCGGAAGATGTGCACGCTACCTCTTTGTCCGCCATGAGGTTGACGAGTGAGCTTTTGCCTGCTCCCGTGTCCCCAAATAGTACGATAGTTTTAGGCCTGTCCTCGCTTGTTAATACTGGAAAAATACGGAGCTTCATCTAAAGACTACATGCCTGGTGATTTTCGTTGCAAGGCATCCAATGACTTCCGCTGCCTCCAGGCGGTCCGCTGAGTTCCAAGACCAACATTTTTGAATCAAGTTCCAGTGATCATCAGAAATGTTATCGGGACGAGCAGGAGTCGCTCTTTTCGATAGCTCAATGATGATCTGTGGATGTGCCTTCTCTTTCCATGGTATATCCCCCGAGACGATCTGAGAGGAGAAATATTAGGATAGAGCTACAGAAAAACAAAGAGATCGCACAAAGAGCATGACACCACCAAAGAATATATATCACTCTTGAAATTCGGCCGTACAGGCCGACCCTTCCGATCTACTCCAATGACTTCAGGAGCACGCCATCGAACATTGAATTCACGCGCCGCAGTTGTCGTACCCAACTGTAACTCTGGGTCCCCTACGACTGTTGCGAGACCGAAATCTGTGAGACGTGGATTCCCCGCACCATCTACAAGTACATTCGCCTGATGCTTATGAATGAGTGCAACATCCACAGAAAGACAGCCGTACATACGGGATAAAGGTCTCCATGAACGACATTCTCCGAATGAACTGGGTAGGCATTAGGAACAAAATTAACAATAGGATAGTGATCTACGAACGATATCCGAGGCCGTCGGCAACGCCCCTGACCTTGTAGCATAAAATCAATCAATGTTTGGCGAATGTGATTGGTGAACAAGACTCGCCAGATGAGCTTTAGCCAAAGTGGTAATTGTACCATGCTTCTCGAGGTACGTATCCAATGTTCCGGAGGGCATCCATTGCGAAACGAGAGCAGGACACGGGGACTCGACGTCTGCAGTGCCAAGTAGCGGTACGATATTTTGGTGTTTTGACACTCTAATCCACACGTTAAGTTCCCGACGCATTGCCTACATAGGTCATTGAGCGAAGTGTGATCTGAATCGCCAAACTCCAATTAGATAACTGACCCTCACATATTTCTCCACGGCTCTCCCAGAATCAGTCTTGAACACCTTTACTGCGACCTGATGAATATCAGATGAACGATTCAAGAGCTTGGGTACTGTGGTAAGACAAACCTCTTTTGTGCCTTCGCTGGTCTCGATGGTGAACTGGTAAACAGTGGCAAATGAACCAGATTTGCACGGATTCCCGAGCTTCAACGCAGAAATTTGAGATGTGAAGTCGTCATGGATATCGCTGCAGGTGATTTCCGTTGCCTCTGGACGATCGTCTGGGTTCCAAGACCAGCATTTCTGAATCAAGTTCCAGTGATCATAGAAAATGTTATCGGGACGAGCAGGAGTCGCTCTTTTCGATAGCTCAATGATGATATGTGGCTGTTTCTTCTCTTTCCATGGTATATCCCCCGAGACGATCTAAGAGGAGAAAGGTTAGGATAGAACTACAGAAAAACGAAAAGATCGCACAAAGAACATGACACCACCAAAAGAATATATATCACTCTTGAAATTCGGCCGTACAGGCTCATCCTTCGGATCGACTCCAATGACTTCAGGAGCACGCCATCGAACATCGAATTCACGTGTCACAGTTGTCATACCCAACTGCAACTCCGCGTCTCCTACGACTGTTGCGAGACCGAAATCTGTGAGACGTGGATTCCCCACACCATCTACAAGTACATTTGCCTGAGGCTTATGAATGAGTACAATATCCACAGAAAGACAACCGTACATACGGGATGAAGGTCTCCGTGAACGACATTCTCCGAGTGAACTGGGTAGACATTAGGAACAAAAATAACAATAGGATAGTGATCTACGAACGATATCCGAGGCCGTCGGCAACGCCCCTGACCTTGTAGCATAAAATCGATCAACGCTTGGCGAATGCGATTAATGAACAAAAAACTCGCCAATTCAACTTTATTGGAAGCGGTGATTGTATTGATAGGTTGCTCGAGGTACGTATACAATGTTCCAGAGGGCATCCATTGAGAAATGAGAACCGGTAATGGAAGCCCGGCGTGTGCGATTCCAAGTAGCGGGACGATAGTTGGGTGTTTTGACAGTCTAAGCCACACCTTGAGTTCCCGACGCATTGCCTACATAGGCCATTGAGCGAAGAGTGATTGAATTCGGCAAACTTCGGTTAGATGACTGACCTTCTCATATTTCTCCACAGCCCTCCCGGAATCAATCTTGAACACCTTCACTGCGACCTGATGAATATTAGATGGATTATTGATGCAATCAGACAAGTTGGTCCAATAAACCTCTTCGTTGGTATTGATGGTGCCTCGGTAAACGGTGCCAAATGAACCAGATGTGCATGGATTCCCGAACTCCAATGCAGAAATTTGAAATCTGAAGTCGCTGAGGGTATCGCTGCAAAATAAAAGGTCGAGGGACTGTGTCATTATGGGAGACTACTCACTAGCGCTGTTCAGCTATCATGGGTAGGGCTTTGCAGGAGGCGAGATCTGGGAAGTGAAGCAGGCTGGTTTCAAGCTGATACATATGCAAGGCGCCTATCTGGGTTCGTAAGGCGGCTAGCTGGTAGCCATGCTGTAGGTCGCCTGGAAGCTAGAGGCTATGATGGATCATGGATTCAGGGATCGTGCAATGATGACATTGATATGACTGTAAGTAGTTAAGACTGTCGTCCCTTATGTAACAGTTACGCTGCCAGTGACAATCAAGCTCCTAGCGCTCACGCTACACGTCAGAGTCACAAGCATGATCATCGCTGATAATTACGCTCTCACTCCACATCGTCCAGGTCGTCCTTTGGAACGGTCCGACATCCCTCACGATTCGTTGCTGTTGCAACCATTTTGCAATCCTACTAGTAGCCTAGTAGCACCCGCCGCTTCCATCAGAATTCAATTCATTTACCTTATCAATCAATTAAATTCAGACGCGCATCACATTTGCACATCCTCTAGTCATGCATACCCAATTTTTTGTATGTGTCCTACCACTTGTGCACTTTTTCCTCGTGTCGTTTACCTTTGTCTGCAATAACATCGTTACACAGAAGAAGCTGATGCGTGTATGAGACCGCTCCCGACATGTCCTCTCATGACTTGTTTTACTGTGTTGCAACTTAATAGAAGATGCAGACGCTGATGGTCCTTGTAGTACCATTTGATATGTCACTTCCATCTCTAAAAGCAATCCTACCACCCGCTGTGCAATGTGTGTGTCCCCAATAAGATTCAATTCCAGGTGTGCGAGAGCCAAACCGTGACAAGGTCAGTATATTGGGCTGCTAATCTAGTGTAGCGCAACCTAACGCTTTTACAGACAACCCCGCGCGAAGTAACTGTGGATCCCTTATGATGCGAACTCTCCACCCGTATAACTCGCCTCACGCTCCATTTCCGGCCTTCCCACTATCCAAAGCTGCAATTCATCACAGTGCGTATCTCCCTTGCATTCTACCACCCCAATTAACTATTTCCCAGTTAATCTGTTTCCTCGTCCTTGTTCTTGGATGCATAGTCAACCCATTTCTCCCACTCACTTGCCACAGATCACTACCTTCGACACACCAGACCTAACTACATTTCCTGCATTCAGCGCCAGCTCATGGTCGTACCTAATCACCTACGTCCGGTTCCGATTCCTCGCATCTTCAGGCTATCTCAGCCATCTGCAACGCACTCTGGATCCCACTCATGCAATACAGCGATCGCAGCATGTCGATGCTCTCATTCGATCATGTGCTTTTTCTCTCAGTTGATATACGAAACGCAAGACAGGCGAGCCGCTCCGTATTCTCGATAGAGGGAGCGCAATAAACCGTGTTGGCGAGTCTATTGGATTCACGATGATTCCTGGATTCGTGGATGCATATGTTGCGCTCGTCGCGTTTGTTGTGAGATTCGAACTTGCATTGGATGTTGTGGTTGGAGTTATATCTGGGCGAGTATCATGCTTACGTGCTGTAGGACTAGTATACAGAGGCGAATGAATGGGCGGGATGTGGTGAGTGCTCAGTCCTGCTTCGTTTTGTCTACGATTATGAAGTGAATCTTAACTGCATGCATGCTCAGGTCACTCGCGGAACCCATACGGATTGTCCCATTAACTGTCAAGTATTTCGAGGGGAGCCGTATGAGGCGCAGAGGTATACGGAGGCTATTGGGGAGTGTCAGAGTTTAGAAAATAGGGTTGTTCGTGAGTGTTTCCGTCTTATCTCATTTCAAAAACCACGTCTTGTTTCAAATTTCCAAACCAAACCTGTGTTTCATTTTGATCGTGAGCGCAAATGCCGATCGCACCTGTGGTATCTGTCAACCTCCTGAACCTTGTACAGACGCTGATTATCACATCCAGTCTTCTGGTCGGTTATTTGATCGTGTGTCGCGCATCAGGAGGGGACAGAGTAACACTAGTGATTTGTGGTGTTCATCACCTATTATGCGTAGGTGGGTACCTTATCTCCTTCGTGTGGTGCAGAGCTGTCGTCTGCTAATCATCACCATGCTGATGTCATCCATACCAGCTCTACTTCCCTCCGTCGAACCTCGGCGGCATATACTGTGCAATCAACCAAAGCCTCGTCGATACCGAGCAATGAGCTCACTGAAATTGTCGATGAACCTGATGCCAAGGAATTGGTAGGCACAGAGCAGGCAAAAGCACGATCCTGCGCCTCTTCTACCGCTTCTACGAACTCCAACCCGGCTCAGGGCTGTATCCTGATCGACGGTCGAGACATCCGCACAGTAACGCTCTCAGGCCTGCGTCGCGCAATAGGCGTCGCACCTTAAGATCCCGTGCTCTTCAACGCCAGTATCGGGTATAACATCGCTTATGGCCGACCTTCTACCATTCTCCCTGTTACTCTCATGTCGTCTGGGATGTTGGGATGTTGTTGGCGTACGTTTTATACACTTTGTATTTGCCATGCGTGGTGTAGTAATTTATGTAACCTGCAGTGATGGAATTCTATCAGCGCTAGAATGGAAGGGAGAACGAATTCACATGTGATGCAAGTGATCATATGAATTATGTATTAGTATCAACTCAGATGTGCAACATATCCTCGATAAAGACTAAGTCTACAATTACAATCGGGTGAGCATAAGGCATGGTTGAAATCATCAACCTACGTCTTGCCTGATTCTATCAGCCAACCGTTTTGCGATGTCTGGAGATATACCACAACGCTTTGTGAGAAGAGGGACAAGATCCTTCCTTTTCACAAGCGGACCCCCGGCAAGTAACTCCTTCGGCTTACGTATCAACGACGCGAACAAGGTATCCCTCTGCCTGTCAGCGGTCAATCGCTGAACAACATTCCGGATCGTAGTGCGTGATTCTTCATAACGTTGCGGGGAATTTCCTCTAGTGGCGGTGATGCACGCATGACCGGCGATCGGGCTCAGGTATTTTTCGAAGGTGTTGCGGTTTCTCTCCCAGTAGTTCTCCATCCCCCCTGGCTCAATTTCGAGGTGTGTGAACACAAGAACAACAGGAACCTTCTTCTCGCACAGGAATTCGTTAAAGAGCCGGTAGATGCTCCGATGCGTAGCGGTGAGTCTGCCGGCGCGCATACAGAATAGAAGAAGATCAATGCCGCCTTCTTCGTCTAGCATCTTGATGAGCTGATAGGCGTTTTCGACAGCATCGAGGTACTGTGGAATTCCAATCTGCGGTTCATCGATTCCCATGGTGTCGAAGACACTATAAGACTCGCCGGCGAAGCTGATGGGATACTCTTCCCAATGCTGCGTACAAACAATCACGTCACTAGATGTCGTCGCCACATTTTCGCCTGCCATGAGGTTGACAAGTGCGCTTTTTCCTGCTGCTCCCGCCCCAAATATTACAATACTTTTGTTCCTATCTCGCTGATTAACACTTTTAAAATACGGAGCATATGGAGACTACATACCGTTTAGGAGGACTGTGGTACTTAACCACCTGCAGTCCCTCCGGTATGGGGGTATCGGGCATACTAAAGGTTGTGTCGGGCTCGGTCCTACTTGTCAACATTAGACAACTACGGCACTAAGAGCATCTGAAAAGTACGTACCTTGTAACCGCTTCAGGAGGGACAGCCTGAACAGTGCTATGCAGCATTTGAGGTTAGAAAAATGCGACGAAACGGCACCCGAAGACTATGTACCTGTCAGCTATATCAGGAGGAGTGGTCTGTATAGTGCTACATGACGTTTGATAAATACGGTGCAAACAGCATCTGAAAGAATACGTGCCTTTCGGACATCTCAGGACGGATGGTCCGGATAGTGCTAGGTAGCGTTTGAGATCAGAAAACTACAACGCAAACGGTGTCTGAAGACTACAAACCTTTCAACCATTTCAGGAGGGGTGATCTGGATAGTGCTATGTAGGGTTTAAGGTTGGAAAATACTGCGCAAACGTTATCTGGAGACTACATACCTGTCAACTATTTCAGGAGGGGTGGTCTGGATAGTGCTATGTAGTGTTTGAGGTTGGAAAAGTACGACGCAAACGGCATCAGAACAATACATACCTTTCAGTCATTTCAGAACGGATGGTCCGAATAGTGCTAGGTAGAGTTCGACGTTAGAAAAGTACGACGCAAACGGCATCTGACGACTACAGACCTTTCAGCCATTTCAGGAGGAATGGTCCGGACACTGCTATATAACGTCTGCCGTTAGAAAAAAAGCGCAAATAGCCTCTGAAGACTACATACCTTTGAACCATGTTAGGAGCAAGATTTCGAATCACGACCTTTGCTAAGCTTTCCCCCAACCCGCAGCGCTTCATGAGGACTCTAAGAACGTCTGCTTTGCTTGCTTGCCCGATTGAGGAGTCATCTGCCTCAACGGCCCTCGCATGCGACCAATCCCCTCTATTCCAGTGTTGTGCTTGTCGACTGATCAATTTGCCCACTTCTGTTCTGGACATTTCGTACTTCTCCGTGCACTTCGGGTCCGGATTGTCCGCTGTAGTGATACAAGCATGATCGACATGTTTGACCGCCTGACGCTCGAACCATCCCTTGTTGCGTGTGTACCAATCGTCCATGTGATCCTCTCTCTCTAGGTGAGTGGCGATGAGCGCGACTGGTACCTTCTCCTCAAAGAGAAGCTCATAGAGGAGCCTGTAGTTAGTGATGAATGTTGGTGGTATTAAGTCCCCCTTGATGCAGTACAACAGCAGATTGACTCCTCCTTTCTCACGGAGCTCCTTAGCCAACTTGTGAGCATTGGTGATAGCGTAAAGGAATCCGCTAGGGTTCGTGCGGTAGTCATCGAACCCAGTAGTATCATAGACGCGATACGGTATGCCGTCGATGGTGGTACCATATGCGTCGTAATGCAATGTAAGACTGTCCTGGTCTGACGAGGTCTCAGCGACCTTCCTACCTGCTAGGAGGTTGATGACGGAGCTCTTCCCAGCGCCACGTTCCCCGAAAATGATGATGTTCTTCGGTGTAATGCATTCAATGACTTCCATAGCATCCGGGCGATTCCGCGCATCCCAAGACCAGCATTTTTGGATTGATGTCCAGTGATAGTCAAGGATGTTGTCGGGACGCGGATGTTCGGCTTTTTGCGACAGCGCGATGCAGATTTGAACCGAATTCTTCTCCTTCCATGGTACATCCCCCGAGATGATCTGGGAGGAAACGGATTAGGATAGAGGGGCGGAAAACACTGAGATCGCACAAAGAAAATAACACCACCCAAGGCATAGATATCACTCTTGAAAGACGGTTTTTCAGGGTCACGCTCGATTCCAACGATTTCAGGCGCACGCCATCGAGAATCTAAGGTGCGGGTCGCGGTCGTCATGGACAACTGCAACTCTGCATCCCCTGCGACTGTCGCGAGACCGAAATCCGTGAGACGTGGATTCCCCGAATCATCTATGAGCACATTTGCCTAAGGCTTGCGAATGAGTGCAACATCCACAGAGAGATAACTGTACATACAGGATGAAGGTCTCCGTGGATGATATTCTCCGAGTGAACTGGGTAAGTATGAAAAACAACAATAATGAGATAATGATAGAAGGCGACTGACGGTAATTCAGGCCATCAGCAACGCCTATGGCCTTGTAGCATAAAACCGATGAATGCTTGGCGAATGTGATTGTTGTGAACAAGGGACTCACTAATTCAATTTTAGTTGAAACGGTAGCGGTAACTTGCTCAAGGTACATATATAATGTCCCAGAAGACATCCATTTGGAAACGAGAGCCGGAAATGGAGACTCGACCGTCGCGGTGCCAAGTAGCGGTACGATAGTCGAGTGCTTCAATCTTAGCCAAATCAGGAGTTCCCGACGCATTGTCTACACAGATCATGGAGCGAAGTGATCACAATCTAGTTAGTTGACCCACTTTTTCAATTTTCTCCATAGTTCTCCCGGGATCAATCTTGAACACCTTCACTGCTACCTAATGGATATTCGATGGTCGATTTCACGAGGGTTGGTTAGTCAGACAGACCTCCATTGAGTCTTTGCTCGACTTGATGGTACGTCGATAAACCACGCCGAAGGAACCTGAATTACATGGAGATCCAAGCTTCAACGTCTTAGAAATTTGAGATGTGAAGTCACTAGGAGCACTACTATCGCTGCAAGATATAAAGCGTCAAGGCAATGGTCATTGAACTCCAAGAAGGCTCACTCTTCAGGTGCGGGTTCTGTCATGGGTAGGGCTACTTTTGGAGGATGGTTTTAAGGAGTGAAGCGACTACATTTGCGATCCGATCTTTGCAAGGCATTCACCGAGATTTGTAAGAAAGCCTGGTAGCATGCATGCTGCACAGTCCAGACTGTATTACTGATCATATCGCCTCGAGGCCTCCATGTGGATGGACCCGTAATGATACGATTCGGGAATTGACGCGGACGAATCGTGTAATGTCATTTCATTGGCACAATACGTACAATGTACATTCCGTGCAGCCCATCGCCTCATTAATGGCTTCCTGGTTATCAAACACATGGTCGATGAGCATCAGCACCTTTGACACCCTTGACGTTGTACCCTTTCCCATAGTCCATGGCCCTACTTACTCCAAGTTTTATCTTATGTCCTTCTGTGCACACTGCAGGCATACGTCTGGGCGTTGTGGTAGGAGTCGTGATGGCGAGCGTGGCGCTGACGAGGTATCGGAACAGTATACATATGGAGGTAGGTGAGCGAGATGTGGTATTGAATGCTTTTTGCTTTGTGTGAGGTGCAGTGTGAGGTGTCCATGTGCAATCGACTTGTGCCATTTTTTGCACTTACGTCGCGGTGACGTGGCGTTCGTCACCTATTTACGCCGGCTGTCTTCCTTCTATATGATCTGACTAGGCCTAGGGGAGGCTACCGAGAGCTTACGTCTTCCAGGTGACTCTGAGCACCTGATACTGAGGAATTGGTCTCCTTCCCTGCATGCCCATCCTAATCCTCATAAACTACCCAATACAAAACGGGTGCTTGTTCTGCGACAGCCAATCCCCACGCTACACAACATCTCCTCTAAATACCTTACCCTCCCTGAGGATGTGTAGCCCTTGTTGGCGAGTCCGGAGCAGGCAAGATAACCATCCCTCGCTTCCTCTACCGATTCTACGACCTCCAAATGATCGAAGGACGGGATATCCGAATAATAACACTCTCAAGCATCCATCGCGCGATTAGTACAGTCCCACAAAACCCTGTGCTCCTCAACAGTAGCATGGGGTACAACATCGCTTCTGGCTCATCATCAACTACTCATCCCCCTGAAAGCAAAAGCTCCTCAGGTGCACGACTGCATCATGAGAAACGAGCGTCCGAGATGCAAGTATGGCAAATGTATCAGTCCGCTGTACCAAGTCGTAATTCAGATACGGCATTCCTCAATTAACGCCTATAAGAGCGGAACTTTGGATGAGCGTGGAGCTGTTACTGCCCTGAAATATGCTGGCGCACTCTTCCAGAAACTTTGAAAGGTATGAAAGGTCCTGCGAACGTCAGTGAGGTTATGCTAATGCTGAGCAGGGCTCTTACCCTCCCACACTGATCTTTGTGTTTGTTCATCATTAATCAATAGCCTCTCAGGTATCATGTTCCAACACTCTGAAGCTTTTTTCGTAAGCAAATTGATTTAGCTTGTGATTGACGCTGATTCTTTCAAGATTATTCTGCAGTAATAATACACGACCGTGAACAGGACTCTGGGTGGATTATGTATGACACGACACCATTCACTGGACACCTACTAGTCCATGTTCCAATCAATGATTTGGAGCTCCAGTGATAGCACCGAAGTAGTCCTGTGCTGTTCACTGCGTCATCTTTCCCTACTTCTGAAACGGTATGCCAGTTCAAGAAACATGTTTTTACACGATTTTGCGTCAATCTCCCATACCCGGTTTCATGTCGTAGCTCTATCCTAACTGCCCTCACTATTATGGCCCTCTTCCAGCGCGTTCGAGGCTGTTGATCAGGATTCCTCCACGGCAACTGGACCCCGCACTTCAACTGCCAGATACGTCGTAGGTGTATGCATGTGCTCCATTGTAAGGTAGTTGACGATCTTGCAGTATGGACGTCATTATTAAGAGTGCGATCAAATATAAATGATCACGCAAAGCCAAACCTCTTTCCTGTCACTTTAGCTCTTGGTGGAACGTCCTGCGTCGGCACGACAAATTCGCCCACCCCCACTCGTAAGTGCGAGGTGCTTAGACGGATTTTCCAAACCCTGATCTATTGATATGAGAAATAGTTGTTACTGAAAGCAGTGACTGGAGTGGCGACTATCGCCCACACTTTCAAGTTTCGGGTGTCTTTATGCCGTTCTAAATCCACACTCAATTGGTTCAAGATATGCATCCGAGTCCTGGCTGTAGTAATTTATGTAGTGCAAACAAAAGGAAAAGATGCACGCGCTGTGATGGTACCAGGATGTAGAGTTGGTAATTAGATAGTACAAACAACCGTTCGTGATTTCTATGCTGGAGCAGTAAGTATACAAGCCGGAGTATCCTTGAAGTATCATAAAGTAGCATGCGTAGTGACCCAACCATACAGACGCTAACATAAATCCAAGAACCACAATTGTTTCAAGAAGCGGACACTATATTGGAGATGACGGGGGTACTGCCCATTTGATAGGACTGATAGAGGAGGCTGCGGATAACATCTTCTGACCGCTGTCGACGTCCACGCATGGCGGGTGATGCATGTGGATTGTCAGGGAGGGAAGTGATACAAGCGTGTGCGGAGAACCGCATCCCGAGGCGTTCCAGATTATCCTTATTACTTGTCCACCATTGATCCATGTTCTGAGGATAACCTTCCATGAAGGTAACCACAGCGGCGACTGGTATGCGGCCTGAACCAGCAGTCGAGCCGACGATATCAGTAAAGGATTTATAATCCTTGACCAGTGCCTTCTCGGCCATTGATCCCTTCATACAATACAAGAGAAGATATACCCCATTGTCTTCGCACAGTTTCTTGTATGACTTTTTCAGGCGCCATTTTAAAAATAAGGTCCGGAAAAAACCCGTTGATTCGATGGACGAAACTTCCCAAAGTTTGAAACGGTAGGTTCCAATGCTGACTTCATAGGGGGTATGTGTGAGCGTGGGGGTTTCTTGATTTGACGATGTCTGTACAGCATCTCGTCCCATGATCAGATTGATAATGGAACTTTTGCCTACTCCAGTCTCCCCAAAGATCAAAATATTGAAAGGTTCCGAAAGTGACTTCTCGCATGATGAGTAATCATAAAATGATGCACCAGAAGACACTCACCAGCGTTGAGACCGAAGTGAAGATATGGCGTGTTGGAGGAGTGGATGGCTTGGCTTGGCTTGGTGAATCTCGCGAGGAAGACTGGCTTGCACTTGTTGCCATGATTTCAGCCTGGTTAATAAGCATTGAAGCCAAATCGCACCAACCAAAAACTAGAGTTATTCACCTGATGTTGGGTAAACTGATCGATGTATCGAAGCACTTCCGTTGCCTCTGGACGACGCACAGGGTCCCAAGACCAGCATTGTTGAATCAATCCCCAGTAATCGTCCAAAATGTTGTCGGGACGTGCAGGAGTAGCTCCTTTCGATAGCTCGATGATGATGTGAGTTGAATGTTTCTTCTCTTTCCATGGTGTAACCCCTGAGAGGATCTGAGAAGGAAAGGCTTAGAATAGAGCAGCAAAAATCACAGAGATCGCACAAGGAACATGACACCACCAAAAGAATAGATATCACTCATAAAAGTCGGTTTTGCAGGATCATACTCGAGTCCAATAACTTCAGGAGCACGCCACCGAACATTGAGTTCACGTGCCGCAGTTGTCGCACCCCACTGCAACTCTGGGTCTCCTACGACTGTTGCGAGACCAAAATCTGTGAGACGTGGATTGCCTAAATCGTCTATGAGCACATTTGCCTGAGGCCGATGAATGAGTGCAACATCCACAGAGAGACAACTGCACATACAGGATGAAGGTCTCCGTGAACGACACCCTCGGAGTGAACTGAACAGGCATCAAGAACAAAATTAATAACAGGATAAGGATCTACGAACGATACTTGAGGCCACCCGCGACGCCCATGACCTTGTAGCATAAAATAAATCAATGCCTGGCGAATATGGTTGGTGAACAAGAGACTCACCAATTCAACTTTAGTGGAAGCAGTAATTGTACCTTGCTCGAGGTACATATACAATGTCCCAGGCGACATCCATTGAGAAACTAGAGCTGGCAATGAAGAATCGACGTATGCAATGCCAAGTAGCGGCACTATAGTTGAATGCTTTGACAGTCTAAGCCATAGTTCAAGTTCCCGACGCATTGCCTATATAGATTATTGAGCAAGCATGATTTTGAGTCGGCACACTCTAGTAAGATGTGATTGACCTTCTCAATTTTCTCCATAGCTCTCCCAGGATCGATCTTGAGCACCTTCACTGCGACCTGGTGGATTTTAGTTGGATGATTGATGGTCTCAGACAAATTGAACAAACAAACCTCCATAGTGCCTTCGTCGGTTTTGATGCTGCACCGATAAACTGCGCCGAAGGATACAGATGCATATGGGCGTCCGAGCTTTAACGCGTCAAAAATTTGAGATGTGAAGTCGCCAAGGGTATTGCTGCAAAGTATGACAAAAGGTGAAGGGCACATAGTGGAGGAAAACTCACTCTTCAATTGCGAGTCCCGTCACACGTATAGCTAGTGGGTTTCAGTAAGTGAGGCGGACTAATGGATGAATGAAAACTGATGAATACATCCAAGCACTTCCACAGCCCTCGGGCGATCCAATGGGTCCCAAGACCAGCATTTCTGAATCAAGACCCAGTGATTGTCTAGAATGTTGTGGGGACGTGCACTGACAGGGTTGGCTCGTTCCGCCAGCGCAGCGACAATTTGAAATGCCCCCTTATGTTTCCATGGCACGTCCCCCGAGACCACCTGAGAGGAAAAAGCTTAGGTTGAAGCTAGAAGAAATACAACAAGATCGCACAAAAATCATGACACCGCCAAAGGAATATATATCACTCTCGAAAGTCGGTAGTTCAGGGTCACCCTTGATTCCAATGACCTCGGGCGCCCGCCATCGGGGATTGAAGTCGCTGCCTGCGGTTGTGCTACCCCACTGCAAATCTGGGTCTCCTACAACTGTTGCGAGACCGAAATCGGTGAGAAGTGGATTCCCCACACCATCTATGAGTACATTTGCCTGAGGTTTATGAATGAGTGCAATATCCACAAAGAGACGGCCACACATACGGGATGGAGGTCTCCGTGAATAACATTCTCCGAGTGGACTAGATGGACATCAAGAACAAAAATAACAATAGGATAGGGAATACGAACGATGCCTGAGGCCCTCGGCAATGCCTGTTACCTTGTAGCATGAAATCGATCAATGCTCGACGAATGTGAGCGGTGAACGAGACTCACCAATTGAGCTTTAGCGGAAGCGGTGACTGTACCTTGCTCGAGGTACATGTACAATGTACCAGAGGGCATCCATTGCGAAATGAGACCCGGCAAATGAGACCCAACGTGTGCGACACCAAGTAGTGGTACGATAGTTGGGTATTTTGACAGTCTAAGCCACACCTTGAGTTCCCGACGCATCGCCTACATAGACCATTGAGAAATTTGTGATTTGAGTCGGCACGCTCCAGTTAGATGTGACTGACCTTCTCAATTTTCTCTATAGATCTCTTGGGAGGATGGATCTTGACCACCTTCACTGCGACCTGATGGATGTTAGTTGGATGGTTGATGCGATCAAACAAGTTGGTAAGACAAACCTCTGTTGTGCCTTTGTTGATCTCGATGGTGAACCGATACACGTCACCGAAGGACCCAGATGCGCATGGACGCGCGAGCTTCAACTTCTCAGAAATTTGGGGTGTGAAATCGCTAGGGACATCGCTGCAAAAAAAATGAAGGATGAAGGCAATAATTATGGGAGAAGGCTCACTCTTCGGGTGCAGGTCCCATCATGGGTAAGGCGTATTTGCAGGAGGCAAGCTCAAGCTCTAGGAAGTGAAGTAGACCAGTGTTCAAGTTCAAATGTAAGGCGCTCATTCAATAGCCACTTTTACGACATCGCCTAGAGCGTGGATAATAGATTGAATTCAGGTCCAGAATTCGTGCAGGGACTCGTTCATTAATGTAGTAACACATATATGGCGGCTTTGGACAAGGTTTGAACAGTCTTCCACAGGCCAGTGTGTGGTACCATGACGTTCGAATCAAAGCTCTGAGAGATGCGTAAGGTTATAAATTTGCCTACTCGGTTCCATCGATTATGATTTCAATACTCCGTATCAAATTACTATTAATATATTATAAGTCCCTCCTCAAGACTGCTCCTCATGTACATGCATGCCAACAGCATGTCTCTACATAAGTTAAGTTACCAACTCTTTGCTCTTGCAACCAGAAACCAGAAACGTTCACAATTTACAATCGAGTTGTAAATCCATCTACCTTTTCAATCTAATCCGTCTTTGAGTCAGGTCTGCATTGCATCTCAAATCTTTTGCATCATGTCCTACCTCTCGAGCGCATCCATCCTCGCCTCCTCCCTCTCCTCATCGCGTTCTTCTTCCCCCGCGTCGTGATAGTGACTTCGCGCAGGGTTGTCTAAGGAAGACTCGGAGTTAGGTTGAATCTGCCAATGCTACACAGACCTTGCCATTCGACTCTCGCACGCTTGGAATTTGGGATGCACATGCGCATATTATATTAGCGGGTTCTGCTAGGGTCGTCAAGGTCTGCCTCATCTGGTTGTAAGAGAAACAACTCAAGGGATATGCTGTGACATGAACGGTCTCGTCAATTCCTCGTAGCGGGAACTCTTCACCCGTATATCTCGCTTCACGCCCCATCTCTGGTCCTCCTGTTATTCAATTCATCACAGTACGTACATTTCACCAACCCATAAATCCTCAGTCATTGATCGCTCCCTAATTAATCTGTTTCCTCATTCTTGTTCTCGGACTTAATGCCTTGCTTCCCTTCACACTTAGCAAGCACTCAGATCTGCACATTTGACACCCGGGATGCGGTTCCCTTCCCCGCACTCGATTCAAATCTATTGCTTTACTTCATCTCATCGAGCTATGTCCTCGGCTTCCTCGCATCCTCCAGCGGCCGGTGTCGGAGACGCCCTGCCAATTTTTTCTATGTTGATGTACGCGTGCAGATCACTTGGAGTATCTGCGTGGATTGTCTGCTGAATAAATTGCCAGACTTTGGAAGAGAGATGTTTGTGAGCGCTATTCTATCGTCTTATCTCAAAAAAAATACTTTCGTGATTTCTAGACCTGAGCGTCCTTTGAACCTCTGAGTCGTCCAAACGCTCATCATTATCTCTAGTTTCCTGGTTGGTTCATTGTTCGTCGCACTTCGCATCACAAGGTGCCACAATACCAGCGACTTTGTTATCACTTCTTATGCACAGGTGGGTACTATCATGTGTCTCCTGCAGTGAAGAGCTGATGGCCTCTAATCACACTAGTTCTAATTACACTGCGCAATTAACCAAGGTCTTGTTGATACCAAGGGGCTATCAAGCATCCTTGCTGAACCAACCAAATCGGTTGATTCCGCTGATGCAAAAGACATAGTGATCTCAAACGACAAAGTTGAATTCGGTGCGCACCCTTTCCTCCCAATCCATCCGAACTACCCCTTACGATAACAAAAAATCCGCGTTGCACAACATCTCTTCTAAGCTTCCTGCAGAGGATACGTAGCCCTCGTCAACGAAAGCAGCATGCGCAAACTCATCATCCTCCACCTCCTCCACCTCTACAAGCCAAAGGACACGTACCCGTAGCATTCCCCACCTCAGGTAACGTACTCCAAGCATTCCCAGCGGTAGCATCCATTGCCCTGCTACGACACATCATCATCACTCTCTGATCATTGACATGCATTTTTTAACGACATGCGACTTGGATTTTTTTTCTCGATATATACACGCGTTGCGATGCTGTATTGAGATTGTTCGGTCAGATGTCCGCTTTGGCAGCGAAACATAGTTCCGTGGATCTTGGCCTGTTCAATTTTGGGCGTGTGTTTATCTACTTTGTATTTGCTATGTGTGTGGTTGTAATTTATATAACCTGCAGACGGAATCCTAGCACATGAAACGAAGGGAAACTGAAGACGAATGTGATGTAATAATATCCGAACTATGTAGTACAACGGGCATGTCATGGATTGTATCGTATCATTGATAAGGACCAAGTCTACAGTTGCAACGGAGTGAGCAAAGGCATGGAAAGGGGTTAAAGTGATTAAGTACAAATTTATTCGTCTTGCTTGATCATATTAGCCAACTGTACTGCAACATCCTCAGACATACTGCAACGCTCCATGAGAAGAGGGACAAGATCCTTCGCTTTCATATGCGAATTGCCTGCAAGTAGCTCCTTCGGCCTACGCATCAACGACACGAACAAGTTGTCCTCTCCCATCCGTGTTTGCTTCTGCTCGTCAGCAGTACACTTTGTAGCAAGCTTGCGGATCGTGATGCGTGATTCTTCATAAAGGTCTCTGTATCCGCTGCCCAATCTGTTTGTGGTAGTGATGCACGCATGACCAGCGACCTGGATCTGATATTTGTCGAAGGTCCTTTTGTTTCTCTCCCACCAGTCCTCCATCCTCCGCTCCCTTTCGAGGCCCGCAATCGCAAGAGCAACGGGAGCCTTCTTCTCGCAAAGGAATTCATGAAATAGTCGGTAGTTTCTCTGAATCGTAGTGATGATGTTTCCGGGGCGAATGCAGAATATAAGTAGATCAATGCCGCCTCGTCTGTCCAATTCCTTAATGAGTCGATAGGTGTTCTTGACAGACTCGAGGTACTCTTTCATTCCCAGCTGTGGTTCTTCGAGCCCAACGGTATCGAAAACCTGGTATGAGTCTCCGCCGAAATTGATGGTGTACTCTTTCCATTGCATTGTGCAGCGTTGCATGTCAGGAGATGTTGGCGCTAGTTCCTCTCCCGCCATGAGGTTGATGAGTGAGCTTTTGCCTGCTCCCGCCTCCCCAAATAGTACGATAGTTTTGTGCCTGTTCTTGTTTGTTAATATTATGGAAATACAGAGCATCTAGAGACTACACGCCTTTTAGGAAGGTTATGATCCTTAACCAGTTGCAGCTGCGACCCAGACATACTAGGAATCGTGTTACGCTCGGTTCTACTTATCAATATTTGAACAATTATGGCAAGAGCATCTAAAGACTACGTACCTTGCAGCCATTGCAGAAGGGATGGTCTGGATAGTGCTATGTAGCGTCTCAGACTAGAAAAATACGGCACCTGAAGACCACGCACCTTTCAGCCGTTTTAGGACGGATGGTCTTGGTAGTGCTAAGTAGTGTCTCAGGTTAGAAAAATACGGCGCGAACGGCACCTGACGACTACGCACCCTTCAGCCGCCCCAGGACGGATTGTCTGGGTAGTACTGTGTGGTGTACAAGATTAGAAACATACAGTACAAACGGCCTATATGGAAACTAAATACCTTTCAGGAGCAAGAATTCGAATCACATCTTTTGCTAGGCTCTCCTCCATCCCGCAGCGCTTCGTAAGGACCCCGAGCGCGTCTGACTTGTATGGACGTCCGGTCAAGAGGTCTTTCAACCCTCCAGTGAACCTCGCAAGCCACGCATCCCCGCCGTTCTCCACCCCATGTGCATGGCGTCTGATTAAGCGGCCCACTTCTGTTCTGGACATGTCGTACTTTTTCCTGTATGTTGGGTCCAGATCGTCTGCCGCAGTGACACAAGCATGACCAATACACTTGACCGCATGACGCTCGAACCACTCCTTGTTCCGCGCGTACCAATCATCCATGCAATCCTCTCTCTCCAGGTTAGTAACGACGACTGCGACTGGAATCTTCTTCTCGAAGAGAAATTCATAGAATAGTCTGTAGTTGGTGGCAAACATTGTTGGCGTCCTGCCCGCCTTGATGCAGTACAGGAGCAGAGCGACTCCTCCTTTCTTTCTCAGCTCCTTCATCAGCTCGCCAGCATTGGTGATGGCGTTGAGAAATTCGATAGGGTCCACACGGTCGTTGTCGGCCGCAGCAGTGTCATAGATGCGATACGGTACGTTCTCGATGGTAACATCATACGCTTCGTAATGCAACGTACAAACATCGGTGTCTGAGGAGATCTTAGCGACCCGGCGCCCTGCAAGGAGGTTGATGATAGAGCTTTTCCCTACGCCACGCTCCCCAAAAAGGACGATGTTTTTGGTATCCATCGACAATAGACCTAGTATGGTAGTTCCTCAGTACTAGGTTTTAGCTGGCAATGAAACAACGGTGAGCTCACGGTTACAACAGGTTATTGTTTTTGGCTGAGTGGATGATCTTGGACGAAAGCGAGGAATTAATGACTTCTGATACTGAGTACGCCACTTGCAGACACAAAACAGTGATGCAATGAAGGTTACGACCTGCAAACCAATCGCGAGGCTGGACATTTCCAGTTTCCCTTTTTCGCAGGTGCGGCATGTGAGAAACGTTGTGCTGCAGTCGTGAAGTATGAATTATAATCGATTATCTTGACATGCCTGGTTGGTGTCCGCCAGTGGTCCACTGCAGTTATGACTCCCTGAGAGTGATATTCCCTGCACCACTGCAAACCCTGCCAACGCTCCCAGCGCTCGTACTGCTCGCTGTTAGCAGGTAGGCGCAGCCACAATATAGTAATGTTGTCATCTTGAATGCTGTCAAATCTCGATAACTCCCTGACGGCACGCGCTAGCCTTGCATTCGCTTCCTTCTTAAGTACTAGTCGAAGACCCTTGATCTAGCAGTACGGGCAATTTCGAACGAGTTGCTACCTGGCGACATTTCCCGAGAAATATATCAATAATACCGATGACTTGCAATGTATCGAATACCCCAATGTGATCAAGGGACTCGACTACAGGTTGCACTTACAGACTTATAGTTTGTCAGGTGGACGCAAGAAGATAAGCACTCGAGGTCGAACATCTAGGGTGAATGATTCGACCGCAGCTATAGTATTGCGGCGCTGTGGGTTGAAAATGAAAAGAGACCATATATATTTGACGCACCTCAGCCGAGTCCAGCCACGGTGCAAGCCTGCAGGTCCGATTGTCCCGGGACTAGCGGACCTTTAACTCATCATGTCTCTCGCCAGTACTTGTCAACATTCAATGAACTCGAGTCATGACGTTTTCTTTCACAATGAAATTGAATGAATCCCGCAACACGCTATGCAATACTTGCACACTCGTATGTGGGGTCGTGTGCACACTGATCTGCTTTATGGGTTTATAACTTTCTAAGAGGCACTCTGAACCAGTCCTTGCCTGCACCATCCGATGTCCCTCTCTTCACTCAATCTTTGCGTGTATAGTCTTGTATCATCCTGTGGGTGGCGGCTTTGCGCAATTTATCTTATCTGGACCTCGAGGCATCACTGTATCAGACTTTAAAGTGGTGCGTGTTTGAGACTTATCTACGTACGACTGCAAAAGCCGAGCTCAGATTGAATACTATCTTACTGCTCGCCAACGTCAATACAAGTCACCTATGAATATGATTGGCATGAAGGAATGCATTTGAGTGCTGCCAGATCGACAATTCGGCCAGCCTTCTAGATAACTTCCGAAGCAGGAGGAGGACGCAAGGTTGGCGCGTGCTGTTTAAATTAATGATCTATCGAAAACTTGACAGCTGTCTGAGTCTTGACGACGTCAAAATCGCTGTTACGGTCTACCTACTGACAACAAGCAGCACGATCTTGGCGTGTTACATGTATAGTGGTGCGGGGCATATGACTCTCGAGGAGTAGGGGTCGACATATCCCGGCCAACTACGGATCATCAATTCGAGGGTGCACGATTTCGAATTCTGACCTGCCAGTTTTGGGAAGATGAAACAAGATCGATTCCGTTTGACAGCCAGCGCTGCACAACGTTGCTTGCACGTTGCAACTGCCAAAGTTTGGTTCTAGTGTCAACGAAAAAGGGTAGTCGATACCCAGCCTCATGTTAGCTTTGCAGGTCACAATCTTCGTTGTGCACCGTGTCCTGCCTGCAGTGGCATAAGTATCAGAAACCGTTGAATTGTCACTCTCATCGAAGATCGTCCACCCAGCCAGGAGAAACAACTTTGCTATAATCGTGAGTTCATCGTTGTGCCCCCTTTTTTGCTAGAAACCCAGTACTGAAGAAGCACCGTGCTAGGTCCATTGCCAATGTCTGCCAAAAACATTGTCATTTTTGGAGAAAGTGGCGTCGGGAAAAGCTCCATCATCAACCTTCTCGCAGGGCACCATGTTGCTAGGACCTCTCCGGACACCAAACATTGTACATTGCGCTATGAAGCGTATGATGTCACCATCAAGGGCGCGCCGTATCGCATCTATGATACTGCCGGGGTCGACGGCAACCGCATGGATCCTAGCGGATTTCTCGACGCTGTCATCAACGCTGACAAGTTGATGAAGGAGCTGAGGGTTAACGGTGGAGTCCATTTGCTGCTGTACTGCATCAAGGCAGGCAGGATACCACCGACGTTCGTCACCAACTACAGGCTATTCTATGAATTTTTCTTCGAGGAGAAGATACCAGTTGCGCTCATCGTTACCCACCTGGAGAGGGAGGACCCCATGGATGATTGGTACACGCGAAACAAGGGATCGTTCGACCGTCATGCGGTCAAGTGTGTTGATCATGCTTGTATCACTGCAGCGGCCAACCTGGATCCAAAATACAAGAAGAAGTATGACGCATCCAAAAAGGAAGTGAGTGACTTGATCACACGGAATAAGGATACGGTAGTGGACTGGAATGGAGGAGATGGGTGGCTTGGCCGGTTTATTGGAAAGTTGAAGGACCTCTTAACGGGACGTCCAAGCAAGTCAGACGTTCTTGGAGTCCTCACGAAGCGCTGCGGGATGGAGGATAGCCTAGCAAAAGATGTGATCCACAAACTTCATAAATGACGCGAGTTTACTCGTTACGATAGTTGGATATAGAGGCTGTTTCATTACGATTGGTTATCACCATGTAATACGACTGTAGGCAGGACTAGAATGTTCAGATCTGCTATTCTTTTTACGATGTGAGATACTTGGAGATTCAACGTAGAGCACACTCACCTACAACAGTTCTTGTGCGTGTTGCCCAGCTGCAACTCAAAACTCCCGTACTGACTACCTCATGCTTGCGGCTCTGCATGAGGGTCTTCAAGGCGGCATGCTGCATACTCTGGATATACCCAATACGTATCTATGTCACGTCGCCGCCCGTAGCAGCACGACTATCGCGTGCCAAAGACCAAGCCAGGGCACGGAAAAGTCGTGGCAGAAAGCTTCTGTATCATATAAGGGCGCAAGGCATCAGCACTGACAGATCCCAGCTAGGAAAAGTCGCGTCAATTCTGACCGCCCAAAGGAATAATTCACTTCACCTCGACTACATCCCCAGACTCGTCAGCTACTCATTATACACATCGCGATGGCGAAGAAGAAAAACACCGTTAACGCTAAAAATGTCGTTATATTCGGCGCAATGGGCGCCGGAAAGAGTTCCCTCATAAACCTCATTGCAGATAAAAAGATCGCTAAAACCGGCTCCGACCTCAAGCGCTGCACCCTCACATGGACCAAATATGTGTTACCCCAGTTCTTTGATGATGGGATGCAATGCAATATCTTCGACACGATGGGTATCGAGAACCCAGAGCTCGAGTCGGATGAATACCACCGATCCATCAAGAATGCCAGTCGCCTTCTCCGCAAGCTTGATGAATGCGGCGGCACCAGTTTGTTGGTGTATTGCGTTAAAAAACAGCGTGTCAATAGCGCATTGCGGAACAACTACCAGTTGTTCCATGAAGTACTATATCAGCGGCGAGTCCCCATAGTCATGGTAGTGACGTGCCTCGAGGACGAGAAAGTCATGGAGGAATGGTGGACGCGGAACCGTGCATCGCTAGAAGAGTTCCGGATCGCCGTGAAGGGGCATGCATGCGTAACGACCCTGAAGGATAGAGATGTGATGATGAAGTACAAGACATCGAGAGAAGCCATGCATGGACTGATCCGGCAGCATGCAGCCATTACGCCAGTGTCTGGGGAATGGAAGCAGGAGGGGATGTTCAGCGCGTTCATGCGACCGTTCAAGAAACCTGATCCGGAGGACAAGGACAAAGAGGATAAACTACAGGAGGACCTCGAGGGTCAATGTGGCATGCAGAAAGAGTTGGCTTCGAAGGTCGCAAAAGCATTCGTGTACACGTAGTAGAGCAACGGACTCGCTGCTGTGGCAACGATTGACCGCCATGTATATCACGTAGCTCTAATGTGTACCAGGCTAGCTTTCAAGTTGTAGCCTATAGATATCGGGCTGGTAGAGTTGTTTGTCGTTTGAGGAAAACCTATGTTTGTGCAGCGCTTATGTAAGTACACTGTCCACTGTCACTATCACAAAAATATCCGCTAATTAAATACTACGCCTCTGACGATGCATATCTTAATGATTTGCAGCCCGCTCACTCCGATGAGAAGTGCTGTTGAATACGTGTTCTGTGCATATCGTTAGACCACACATCAACGTTTCAACAATCCCTGTTCAACGTTTTGTACCCACCGTGCCAACGTTCAATGGCGCAACGAACGTATCTGCGACCTTCAGGCCCCAGGTTTGACACGCCGTATACGTTTAGCCGAGCGTCGACTCGGACGACTCCTTCAAGTTGATCTGCCTCTGACGTACTTGCACTCCTTCCTTTCCTTGTGGCGCTCTTTCCCCGTTGCCATTTACCTTTCTGTGTAATCCCGTGGTTACACAGATCTAGAGGAAGCTAATGTGGCCGCTAAGCGCTCCTCTCGTATCTCAGCATGACCTTCATGGCTTGTTTCACGGTATTGCAACTAGAAGAGGCATACGCTGACGGTCCCAGTGGTATCGCTAAATACGACACTTCTATCTCCAGAAGCAGTCATACCACCCGTTGTGTCTCCAATAATCAATTCCAGGTGTGCGAGAACCAAAAAAGGTCAGTATATAGGGCTGCTAATCTAGCTTCACGCTTCCGCAGACAATCCTGCGCCAAGGGACTGTCGATCTCTTGAACCCCCCACCAGCATAAGTCGCCCCACGCCCTGTCTCTGGCCCTCCCACTATCCAAAGCTGCAATTCATCGTAGTGCCTACCTCCCTTGCATTTTATCACTCCAACTAACCATTTCTCAGTTAATCTGTTTCATTGTCCTTGTTCTCGGACACATAGTCAACGTGTTGCTTCCTCACACACTTGGTGTATTCATCACTACCTTCGACATGCCAGCCACAACTACATTCCTTGCATTCAATCCCAGCCTATGGTCGTACCTAATCACCTACGTCCAGTCCCGCTTGCTCGCGTCTTTGGTCGGTCTCGCGGCCATCCGCGACGCACTTTGGATCCCACTCATGCAATACAGCGATTGCAGTACATCGATGCTTTCATCCAACCATATCCTTGCTGTCTCCCAGCTGGCATACGAGGCGCAAGACTGGCGAGCTACTCCGTTTTCTCGATGGAGGAAGCGCAGTAAACTGCGTCGGCGAGCTTATTTAGTTCACGGTAATTTCTGCACTCGTGGATATGTGTTGCGCACATCGTGTTTGTTGTGAGATTCGAGCCTGCATTGGGCGTTGTGGTCGGCGTCGTCCAAAGCAAGTCAGACTTTCTTGAGGTCCTCACGAAGCGCTGCTGAATGGAGGATAGCCTAGCAAAAGGCGTGATTCAAAAACTGGAACTTCATAGATGACGCGAATTTCGCCTTGTTTACTCATTATAATAGCTGGACAGAAGCTAATTAATGATTGGTTATCACCATGCTTAATGCATGCCCTGGATATACCCAATACGTATCCAGCTACGCCTCCGCCCGTAGCAGCATGACTGTCGCGTGCCAAAGATCAAATCAGGGCACGGAAAAGTCGTGGCAGAAAGCTTCTGCATCATATAAGGGTGCAAGGCGTGAGCCCTGACAGATTCTAGCTAGAAAAGTCAGTCAATTATAACCGTCCCAAGGAAGAATTCACTTCACCTCGATTACATCCCCAGACTCGTCAGCTACTCATTATACACATCGCGATGGGGAAGAAGAAAAACGCCGTTAACGCCAAAAACATTGTTATATTCGGGGCAATGGGCGCCGGAAAGAGTTCCCTCATAAACCTCATTGCAGACCAAAGTATTGCCAAAACTGGCTCCAACCTCAAGCGCTGCACCCTCACATGGACCAAATATGTGTTACCCAAGCTCTTTAATAATGGGATGCAATGCAATATCTTCGACACAATGGGCATTGAGAACCCAGAACTCGAGCCATATGAGTACCACAGATCCATCAAGAATGCCAGCCGACTTCTCCGCGAGCTTGATGCATGCGGTGGCACCAGTTTGTTGGTATATTGCATCCAAAAAGGTCGTGACAGTGGCGCGTTGCGGAGCAACTACCAGTTATTCCGCGAAGTGTTATATCAGCGGCGAGTGCCCATAGTCATGGTAGTGACGTGCCTCGAGGACGAGGAAGTCATGGAGGAATGGTGGGCGCGGAACCATGCATCGTTAGAGGCATCCGAGATCATCGTGGAGGGACACGCATGCGTAACAACCCTGGTGGATGAAGATGTGAAGTACAAGGCATCGAAGGAAGCCGTGCGTGAGCTGATCCGCCAGTATGCAGCCGCTACGCCAGTGTCTGGGGGGTGGAAGCAGGAGGGGATAGTCAGCGCGTTCAAGCGACGGTTCGGGCGTCCTGATCCGGAGGACAAGAAGTTGCAGGATAAGCTACAGAAGGACCTCGAGGGTCAATGTGGCATGAAGAAAGAGTTGGCTTTGAAGGTCGCAAAAACATTCGTGTACACGTAGTAGACCAACGGACTCGCTGCTGTGGTAATGATGCCGATTGATGCGGCTATACATTATAATACATATCACGTACTATGCGGTAGCTTTAGTGCATACCGGGCTGGCTTTCAAGTTGTAGATAAGTATGGTATCAGCCAGTAGAGTTGTTTTTTGTTCGAGGAAAACTTCCAAGTAACTTAGCACATATTGCCAGGGCCCAGCAGCTGGCGCTCGTTGCATCACAAAAACATCCGCTAAATAGGTTGTACTCATAATTATATACATCTCTGGCGATGCATATCAAATGCAATTGATACCCAAGTCTTCAGCAATGATCATTGCAGCCCGCTCTCCGATGAGAAGTGCGGTTGAATACGTGTTCTGTACATTATATCGTTAGACCACACATCGATAATCTCCCGCTCAGCACCCACCGCGCCAACGTTCAACGGCACAATGGACATATCTGCGACCTTCAGGTTCGATAAGCCGTACACATTTAGCCGAGCGTCGACGACTCCTTGATCTGCCTCCAATTTCATGGCACAAGTCCCAAGCTACAAAAACAAAGATCAGATGTGAAATTATGAAAGGTTCAGTTGCACACACCGAGTGCCATGATGTTTGCACTGATGTTCGATTCAGTATTTTACCGTGACAATGGAGATGGCAAATCAGGACTTACCGATGTCGCGGTGGAACTGACTGATCGCCTCGTCATCTTCGGCAGTGTAGACGATGTCAGGCGCATTCAAGTCCACCGGCCCGGAAGCTTCTCTGCAGGCTGCAGCGCTTCCCTCTGGGAAATCAGGATGGCCAGCAGCGACTTCACCTCGATAGGAAGCCATGCGTCGAAAAATTTCGCGCGTCTTCTTGTATCCGAAGTCAAGAGGAACAATATCGGATGGACTGTGCGGAGTGTCATGGTCACGCAAGTGCCCTAAAATGATGTGCGTCCACCCACTCGTCTAGGAAGCCTGTAGTAAAGTCCATTCCTTCTTTGCCATCCTCCGTCACCTTGACATGAACGCTTCCAATAGACACAGGGTAAAGCTATTGAAGAGATTCAATAAAAAACAAGGGGTAGACGGAGAGCAGTACTGTATAATAACCGGCACTCATGTAGTTGCGAGGAGGAAGGATACTCGAGAGCGGCCTCGAGAGCGGTGGAATATATCTGGCTGTCATGAGCGTTGCCATTTCATCAAAGCCAAGCAATATGCACGCACCCTGAAAAGGCAGTGAATATTGCAACAACCTTATCTGGGCGGTCCTGGAAGAACTCCTTCCAGCGTGGTTGAAAAGCTGGATTCATGGCCTTTAATTCCTCGTCATCAGGACGCCACTTGATTTTTGAATCGAGGCCACTGAGATACCAATCAGCACGGCACCGGCAGTGATAACTTGTACCAACTTTTGTGCAATCAATGACTTGCCGCTGCTGTTCCATTGTGCAAGGCTTTCTACATTTGGGTAGTTGCAAAGTGCTGCAATCGTGGCGAGAAAACATGCTCACCCTCTAGGATACTCTCCCCACGCCAGAGGGCGTCCATGGTAACAGCATCGTCGGCAGCCAAGTATGGAACAATAACGAGATTGTGATCTGACCGTCCTAAGCCAAGCTCTTAGAATAAATTTGAAGCGCACCTTGATAATTTTCTCCGACGCCAGGTAAATTCACTAGTTGCTCGATACCGCACCGCTTGAGAATCGCCTCGCCACCAATCCCAGACCTCTCCAGAATGGTCGGGGAGCCGAACGCCCCAGCAGAGACAACAATGAGTTTCGATGCTTTCACAATACTCGACGGCCGATCCGCGTCTGGGCAAGACACCGGGTCGCTGGTGAACTCGACACCTACAGCACGCTTGTCCCTTTCATTTGGAAAAGCCGTCAACAGTTTGCTACGATCCCAGGTGGCAACTTACTCGAAAATGATACGCTTTACACGCTTTCCGTCCCAGACTTGTAAATTCGAGTTGTGGGCTTGGTTGTAGATATAGTGGTGAGCCGCGTCCGAACGCCTTCCGGTTGTCCCATCAATATATCTTTTATATACGAGTCAATATTGGCAATACCAGCAGCTTAGGGGTACAGGAACTCACTTCCGCCATGGCTGAGACAGTTCTGGTTAGTGGTCGCAGTTAGGAAAGGAAGATCATAGCGTACACCGTATGTATTGCATGTTTCTAGATCATTGGTGTCATCGGCATACTGCCTCTTGTGATAGGTCGTACCAACCTGGATAAACTCGTCGGAAATACCCAATTTATGCCCACCGGAAGACACTTTGATAGGTCCGTTATAGCCATGGGTTGGAAGATCGGGCTGCACCTCATATGTCTCCAGCTATAAGGTGAACGTATAAGCAACAGATATACTGAAAACGTATTCGAGACCTTCTTCATGAGGGGAATCAAACTCTCGGATTCCCAACCATTGACTCCCCAATCATCATAGTCCGAAGCAGGTGGACGAGTGTATACCATAACTGTCTCATTATCAGAGTTTTCTTCATCTTGCAAATATGCTACGCACAATTCACACATGAGCCTCCACCGACACAGCGACCGCAAGGAACAATCGGTACACGGCCGTTGAGACGAGGAGATGGATTTCCAATGTTGAATGTGACCGTGGTGCTCGGAGGTAGTTGATTGAAGGGATATTGGGAGGGTTGCACATGAATAGGTTTATTAAGGGTGTGTTGACCCGCTTCCAGAATCAAGATCCTCAACGAGGGATCATATGCAGCTAAGCGACCTGCAACAACACAGGCTGTAGTACCGCCTATACAGAATGATGTGTGAAGAGGGCAAACCACTACAAGATGTTATTTGCTCACCTCCAGCAAAAACGATATCGAATTCTGACGGAATTGGATGAGACATTAATATGGAGGGTTACTTTCAGGCCGCCCCACTCTGCCGCTTCCATCTTATAACATTCACCCAAGTGAAGCGCCAACATTCATCGGCCTCGGGGACTTCCGATACATCGCAAATCACACGATGAAGACCGTGATAATGGCGATAATTATAATGACTGCTTTCACTGTGGCAACGTCTAGTGATTGGAGCCTAAATGTGAGAAAAATATGGAGCGCATGTGATTAAATATGTGGCATACAGAAAGGCGCGGATATCTCAACGTATTATTGAGTTCGCAAACAGCGCAAATGACCCGGTACAAGGGATATGCAACATCTTATGACCCACAACATAAGGCAACTTCCTGCGCCTGCTGTATTTGGTACCGCGCCTTAATTCTATGTAGTGCTCATGTGATGTAGAATTTTCAATCCCAGCACAACCTTATTCCTTGATGAGAGAGTATCTGTACAGAACATGCTCACACCTGAGGCAGGACGGAATCTGTCTGCAGGGCAGATTGGCATCATATCCACAGAAATATTTTGCATCTGTGATAGAATCTGTACTGTAAGGGTATTGGATATCAAATTTTAGATATGTTTGTGATATGACATTTGGGCAAATTGGGGGAACAATATCCTAAATCTGATGGCATCTTGTATCCAAACTTTGAAATAAAATCTGTTTTACTCTAAGATACATGCCATATATAGAATTTAAGCATGGATATGGTGGCTGATCAATTTTAATTGCAAGTTTTAAATATGAACCCTATACATATTTGGTATGGAGCTTTCTTATTGGTCAGTCATTGAACAAATTCAGAATACTGTAGCTGACTGTATGGAAGCAACTGTCATGTGTCACGCAGAGCTGGTTGCATTGCTAATTTGAACTGGGTCATGCATCATGGATGTTGAGTTGCTATGAGTTTATATGTCATGCTGGTATGAAAAATAACTACTAAGGCTTGTCAGCTGATACTGTAGGAAGTTTTTCACCCCATGGTTCCCTGTTATTCCAAGCCCAGACATCCTCCACATCTCCAGCTGCCATCAGAGTCTGATCTGCAGCTTGCTTGACTTCTGAAACCACATACCCCAGGTTCAAGTTGTAAGCTTTATTGATCAATATCCCAAGTGTATCGTTGATCACAGCACTCAAAGGAACATCGGAGTCATCTTCTTGCATCTCTCCAACATGTTCCAATGATTCCTCGCTGCCATTGTGAGCTGTACCCATTCAGTTCTCGATCTCATTGCGAAGTGAGTCGTGAGTACAGAGATATGTATTTAGAGCTGTGCATGATTGCTTGCTTGTTAGGCAGTCTCTGTTGGAACTTTCCTGTACCTATTGGAAAGCCAACATGAGTACCACTGCATCCTGAACCAAATATCACTCACAACTTGCAGGTACGAAGCATAGAAACACACATGGGTACTTCTCCCAAACATAAGTATGGAAATCCTGGCTGGTGTGCACTGGGTAGCAGTTGAGGTAGACAATTGTATGCTGGTCATCATCAAGATTGGGATCTGTCTCAATAACCACCTTTCTCCATGGCTCAAGTATGTTCTTGATCCACTGGTAGTGAGGTCATTAGTGAGCTGAAATCAACGAAGAAGCAGCATTCACCTCTCACATGGTCTTCAAGGTACTGTAGTGGCTCATTTTCTTATCATTTTTTGCAAATGCAAAATGAAATCCATGCTCAATTGTGTTGTTCATGCTGTGAGCATTATGTGATGGCAATGAATGCTCAGATGCACCTGCCCAAACTTGTTGAAACAGCAAGAAATCACCATCTGCAGTGCTGGCTACAAGTAGTGAATAAGCACATTTTTTGTCCTTAGCTACAATTGTTACAACCATGTATGCCCCTATTCATTTCTCCTTTACTACTGTGTATTATGTCATGAGCCACATATTGCTGCCACTAGACTCATCTCTGACTCATACTTTGTATTACATCACAACCGCCGCTACCATTGCTAGATGATCTATTCTTGCTATTGCTTACGCATTCCTTATCTCTGACTCTTTCTGTTCTCATGCCTGCCCTAAAGCACAGTAGTTTACTATAAATAGGTCTCCTGTACACTTTAGTTCTTTACTTTAATCTTACTAGGTTTTACCCTGAATATCCTTTGCTTGAGACCTCCAATCTCTTGTCATCAGAATCATATCTTAAAGTTAAAGGCACTCCCTTTAACTTAGCTTACACCAAATGCTTGACTTATTGTCTTGTGTAGAATCTCAACAGAAGTCCTTGACTCTTATTGAGTTGTCTGTTGTTAAGAACTACCCTAGTTTGTAACAAAAGATTAAAGTCCCTATCAAACCTCTCCATCCAGGGAGGCCCCAGTAGCTCCAAGCAAGATGATCCCTTGGGTTAGAAAGTATTGGTGGGAGAGTGATCCAAATGATACCCCCACAGAACCAGAAGAAGAATATCATGAGGCTGAAGGTCCGGATATCACAGAGAACAGAGAGAGACAAATTCTGTCCCCTGTAACCACAGAACCTGACCATCATTCAACTACATCAGTAGATGAATTCCCAGAAGAACAGCCACCCCAAAATCTTTCCACACATCCCAGTATCAGAATGTCCAGCTCTTCATCTGAACTTAAAGCCAGAACACCAAAAGACTACAATGGAAGCCCTGACCACGCTTTAAGATGGTTGTTTTCAGTGAAAGCATATTTGGCCGTTAACTCTTCAGTTTACAACACCAATGAGAAGAAGGCCATTACCACACTTGCATACATGACTAAAGATAGTGCTATGGGATGGGCATTAACATTTTACACTGAAATAGACAACTCCACTTTGGAATCTTATGGAACCTTCACAAACTTCAAAACCAAGTTCAAAGAAGTGTTTGCACCAGCAGATGCTGTTGGCACTGCTATGAATAAACTCCGAACCCTGAAGCAGACAGGCAACCTCACCTCCTATGTTGCTGGTTTCAGGACCCTTGCTGCACAAGCCAACATAAAACAAGATGCCATTCTTATTACGTTTTTCAATGATGGACTCAAGAAGGGAATCAGTAATGCCATTTATCAAATGGAAACCATCCCTATGGACTTTGACAAATATGTCCAAGCTGCAATCAGACTTGATGGTAACTGGCAACATGGTGTGATATTCTGTAACAACAATTGCATGACCACAAAGCCTACTGGTCAACACTATGTCCCCAGACCTTCCATTGATCACTATGACCCCAATGCTATGGAGGTCGACTGCCTCACTGAGGAAGAGAAGACTGAACACTACCAGAATGGCAAGTGTTTCAACTGTCACCAGAAGGGCCACGTCTCCCATAACTGCCCCAAGAAGAAGAATGGCAGAACCCCCATGTGCCATGCTGAGCCAACTGAAGAAGACGAAGAAGAAGTCCATTGTATCAACGAGGATTTTTGATGTGGAAGACTGGATTGATGTCAGTATCTTCCAATGTACCCATTAGACTTGTTTGAGGTGTAGGAATCAGAAAGGAACTTCGCATTCCCATTTCCCTTATCTCCAAAACTCACCTAAAAATCATTGAAACAACCACTGTCATTGATTCCGGAGCTGCCGGAACTTTTATCTCTGAGGATTTTGTTAAACTTCACAAAATTTGAACACATAAACTCACAAAACCATTCTGAGTAACCACAGCAGATGGAAGTTATGTGAAAGGAGGCGCAATCACCCACTACTGTGTCCTCATCGTAAAAATTGATGAATGATCCATGCTTGGAAAGTTCAATATCACAAAACTTAGCCATCGCAACCAAATTTTGCTAGGAATCCCTTGGCTGTGTGCCATGGATCCAATTATTTGATGGAAAGCCGAGACTTTAGAACTCTCTCGAACTGAGAAGAGTAATCTAATAGAGGAAGACGTTGATGCTGAATGAAAGAAGAATGATCTTCCCCCTCTCTTTCAGAAGACCATCGAAATCCTGGTTGATAAAACATGGATGAACTCCCATTTGAAGAAAGAAGAAATGCCAGTTGTAGTGCTGCTGAAGGCACCTCCTGTACAACCCATGCTAAAACCACTCCCTCGAGCAACAATTGAAGAAATCCCTGATGAAGAAGCACCCCTGGTTTTACCCAACTTTGACCCCATCCCTGATAACAACAACAACTCTTTTGATACCAAGGATGATGTATGGACTTCAGATTATGCACCACCTGTATGCGAACTCACCATGTACCATCTTGACAATGATGAATTTTTGGTTGAATACCCCGCTGATGCTACTGAGCTCCGGGTCATCACCAACATTTCCATGGATACCCCATTAACCAAAGATGGTACCAGTGCCACAGAACAGAAACCCATGGTCACACCCCTGTCACAGCCCGCCGCATATGTCAAAACCAGTAATAAAGCTCAGCAGTTTGCTCTGGCAGCTGGGCTTGAACAAAAGAAGAAATCATTTGAAGAACTTGTCCCTTCTTACCTCCACGACTTCGCTGATATCTTTGCTAAAGATGGACTAAATCAATTACCTCCAGAACATCCCAGAATTGACCATCACATTGATACTAAACCTGGTTTCATCCCTAAAATGTCCAAGGTCTATCCATTGTCAGAAGCAGAACAAACCGCCATCAAAGCATTCATCAATGAAAACCTACAGAAAGGGTTCATCTCCGAGTCAAAGTCACCACAAGCTAGTGGATTCTTCTTTGTTGGAAAGAAAAGTGGTGATCTATGCCCTTGTCAAGACTATCGGTATATCAATGATTGGATGGTGAAGAATGCCTATCCTCTCCCGCTCCCACTATCCCTGGTCGCTCAATTACACAGTACTAAATATTTCACAAAGATGGATGTCCATTCCAGATATAATAACATCTGAATTCACCCCGATGATCATTGGAAAGCGGCGTTTACCACTGAGTATGGCCTCTTTGAACCTAACATCATGTTTTTCAGTCTCTGCAACTCGCCCACTACCTTCTAGGCATACATGAATTGGACCTTCCAACAAGAAATAAATGAAGGATGGTTGGTCATTTACATGGACGACATTCTTATCTTTTCAAATGACCTCCCTTCCCACCATGCTCAAACTCATCATGTCTTAGAATGAATCCATGCTGAATGACTATTCCTGAAACTGGAAAAATGCACCTTTGATGCCGAAGAAGTAGAATACCTAGGTATGATCATCTGTCCTAGATGTGTTGCAATGGATGTAACAAAAATCGATGGTATTAATGACTGGCCTACTCCTACCACAGTAAAGGAAGTTTGGTCATTTCTCGGGTTCTGCAATTTCTATTGCAATTTCATTCCTCATTACTCTGACATCATGAGGCCCTTAATCAACCTCACCAAGAAAGACACAGTATTCCATTGGTCTGACCCATGTGCCTCCGCATTTACCACACTTAAGGAATGCTTCCTGAAACAGCCTGTGTTACAGAACCCTGATCCTAGTAGGCAGTTTGCCATCACTACCGACACCTCGCTCATTGCTACCGACGCCTCACTCATTGCTACCAGAGCAGTTTTGCTACAAACTGATGAGAACAGAATCTACCATCCATGTGGATACCTTTCCCAAACCTTGAACCCAGCTGAAAGGAATTATCAGATCTTCGATTGTGAACTTCTCACTGTTATCCACACCCTCACTGAATGGCATCATTATCTTGAAGGAAACCCTCATCCAGTTCTTGTCTTTACAGATCATAAGAATTTGCTCTACTTCTGTACTGCACAGAAATTGACTTGTTGCCAAGCACATTGGCAACTCATTCTCTCCTGTTATGACATAAAACTCCATCACATTGCTGGAACTAAACTCGCCACCCCTGATGCACTCTCCAGATGTCCTGACCATGAAACTGGACAAGGCGACAATGATGATGTCACTCTCCTCCCAGACTCTGTGTTTGTATGACTTCTTGACATGGAACTTATGACCACACTCACAAACCCTGACCCCACTGATCCTGACCCAATCTTCCAGGCTGCTGCAGATGCCCTTGATGGCTTATCACTTCCCCCCATGAAATCTGCACTTGCTGATTGGTCAATTAAAGAAGACATCTTGTATTACAAAGATCGTGCCTACAGTGGCTCAAAAAACTGTCCGCATGTTTTAACATTTTTCACTATCTATGATATTGTGTAAGAACGAACAAATGCCTCAAGGACATGGTTATACCACATTGTAGTATGGCTTCAGGGCTTTCATTTGAGCTCTACACCGTGGAAATCGGTGGAGATATGGTGGAGATACAAGGCTCACAAAATGGTGACTCATGCAGACAGTTTTTTGACTCAAGTATTTTACAATAATAACCAGGTATTCTAGTATTTTGTATGACCTCCCTTGGCTTTAATTACTGCCTCTATCCTTCTAGGCATACTCTCAATTAATTTCTGGCAATCCTCAGCTGTGATCTTCCCCCATTCCACTGCTACTCTCTCCCAAAGCTCCCATACTCCTTTAGGGGGGTTTTCATAGGCTTGAAGCTTTTTCTTGAGTGTTCCCCAGAGATGTTCAATGACATTGACATCAGGAGACTGTGCTGGCCAGTCAAGAACATTGATGTTATGTTCTTCAAACCATTCCTTAGCTCTTCTGGATGTGTGCTTGGGATCATTATCCTGTTGGAAAATGATATCTTCTTCATCAATCCCTGATTCTGCCAAGCTAGGCAGCAAGTGGTCATTTAAAATGTCCACATGCTGCTCAGCATTCATCTTCCCCTCAACCTCAGCAAGCATTCCCACACCATTCCATCCCATACAGCCCCATACCATTAAAGAACCTCCTCCAAACTTGACAGTCCCATTAACCTCTCTGTCTGTTAGGCCATCTCCCTTCTTTTTCCATACATATACCTTCCCATCTGACCCAATCCTATTGATTTTGGTCTCATCTGACCATATAACATGCTTCCAGTCCTCTACAGTCCAGTGTTGATGAGCTAAGGCAAAGGCTAGTCTTCTCTGCCTATGTTTGATGGAGAGAAGAGGCTTTTTCTTCTTTGTTACTGCCTTGAGATGAGCTGCCTTGAGAACATTCCTCAGAGTTTGTGAAGAGACAGGGGTAGTGATGGTGGAATTGATATAATGGGTGGCTTGGACAGCATTATCAGCCTTTCCTGTAGTGATATGTTGGATAATAGCCCTTTTGTCAGTAGAGGTAAGCTTGGATGGACATCCTCCACGAGAGTTTTCCTTGTCTGGGTGGCTTTCTTTGATAAACTTGGCCACAGTGGACTTGCATACTCCAGTTCTAGAGGAAATTTGGCGAGCAGAGAGGCCAGCATAAGACAGAGAGAGGATATTATCTCTTTGAGCAGAGGAGATGGCTTTCATGATGATTATGACTATGATACATGAGATATTCTGGTTTATATAGTTAGATATAGTCATAAAATAACATAATGACACCACTTCATAATTTATATAATAGTGGCATGATTTTTGTGGTGTCATAAATAATGATTTATATAGTTTTAATATACACTCAAAAAACTGTCCACATGAGTCGTCATTTTATAAGCCTTATGTCTCCACCATACCCCCACCGATTCCCACGGTGTAGGGCTCAAATGAAAGCCCTGAAGCCATACTACAATGTGGTATAACCATGTCCTTGAGGCATTTGTTCATTCTCACACAATATCATAGATAGTGAAAAATGTCAAAACATGTGGACAGTTTTTTGAGCCACTGTATGTCTGCCCTGCTGAGAGATGTTTAATTCTGGAATGTTGTCATGACCATGCTTCCACTGGTCATCCTGGCCATTTTAAAACAGAAGAGCTTGTCAAGCGTGACTTTTGGTGGCCTTCTATGGGCTCCTATATCCAGAAATATGTTGATGGTTGCACTCTTTGCCAGCAAATGAAGTCCAACACGCACCCTGTGACTCCCCCACTCATCCCTATCCCCTCCATCACCTCTGCACCCTTTGCCCAAGTCTCCATTGATCTCATTACCGACCTCCCCGTGTGCGCGGGTTTTGACTCTGTCATGGTCGTGGTCAACCATGGCCTTATGAAGGGGGTAATTCTGATCCCTTGTATGAAAACCATCACTTCTGAAGGTGTTGCCTCAAAGTTTTTCAAATATGTCTATTGCTGCTTCGGTCTCCATGAGAAAGTTATATCCAATCAAGGACTGCAGTTTGTATCAAAGTTCTCCAAAGCCCTCACTAAACTCTTAAAATATGACATCGCCACATCCACTGCTTACCATCCTCAGACTGACAGACAGACTGAACATCTCAACCAGGAACTTGAGACTTATCTCTGCATTTATTGCTGCAATCACCCAGAAAATTGGGTAGAGCACCTCCCTATGGCTGAGTTTGTCCATAACCACTGAAAACATGATTCATGAAATGCATCCCCATTCTTCCTTATGATGGGATATGAACCCAGAGCTCTCCCACACACTCTTCCTGACTCCACTGTACCTGCTGCAGAAGATCAATTGTGTCTACTTCAGAAATCAAGAGAAGAAGTGCTTTCTTGTCACAACCTTGCCATGCAACAAATGGCAGAACGAATGCACAGACAGAAGTACCAACCATGGAAAATAGGAGATAAGGTTTGGTTATCAGGAAAGAACCTGATTATGCAATTACCATCACGAAAGCTTGCACCAAAACGATACAGCCCCTTCCCTATCATTGCTGTACTATCACCCATCACATTCACACTCCAACTACCACCTCAGTGGAGAGTTCACCCCATGTTCCACGCTTCCAAACTATCGTCCTATCACAAAACAGAGATTCATGGTCTGAATTTCCATAATCCTCCCCCAGGCATCATAGATAATGAAGAAGAATATGAAATTGATGTGATCCTGTCACACAAAGGCACAGGTAAACGAAGACACTATCTAGTGTCCTGGAAAGGATACTCCTCCGCCAGTAATGAATGGATCCCAGAAGATAACCTTAGCAATGCTGCTGATGTCCTTTTGGCATATAAAAGGACTCATCAACTAAAGACTTAGAACAATGTCTCTTGAACACCTATGCCTCTGCATACAATGCATTGAAGAGCTCACCACTACTATGAATATTGTATCCAAAAACGTCACTCACCCATTATCTCTTACTGACTACCAGACTGCCACCATTGCTAACCTCGCTGCCATTGAAAACACACCTTCCCCAATTGCTTCCCCATCGTTGACTGACTCTACCTTAACCACTGACTCTACCCTCACTGATTATTTCATGATCATTGATCAGATCAAGACTAGTGCCTTGTTCAAGTCTGCCATCACATCCCAACAATACACTATTGAGATAGATCATCTCCTAGGAGAAAGAGGGGCAATCTCTAGCGGACTTATTATCCGAATCATCAGAGATGCTAGCCTAATCAAACATACCACCAATCTTCTTGATGATGACTGTCACAAGACCATCTTCTGCCACCTTCATATACACATTCATAATACTGCAATCCATCTGTTGCCTGATGATACTAAGGAAGCTATCAGAGAGGCTATCCACATCATCACTGAACAGATCACTACAAACCCAGTCGCACGACCCCCATCCCCACATATTGCCATTCCAATCCCATTGCCAGTTCTTCTGACAGCTACTGCTGAGCATTTGGATGATAATATCCCTCCTATTGCTGTACTTGACATACCAGCTTCTCCATCTCCTACCCCCATTGCACCCACTACACATTGGTACCCCATCAGGCATAGATCCGCCCACATCACCGAGTGAACCATGTCAGCTTCCCCACACAGAAACTGTAAACGATGATCTAGATCCCCATCTCTGCCCATGCAGTTGTCCACTGTCACCACCATACAGACAGCAACCATCGACAACGTAGTTTATCGCAACTGTCGTGTTGCTGGGCATTGTCATAAGAACTGCCCAGCATATTATTGCTGGGTTTGCAAAGAGTATGCACCCAGACATCTATTGGTCTTTTGTAAAGACTTAAAAGGCAAAGTGGTCATTCCACTGGTTTGGACTGATGCTGGTTTCTATGAAGCCCTCACTTGTTGGGAGATCAAGCAGGACACTATTTATCACACTGCCGAGATGGCTGGTGAGTTGTATACCATTACAGAGGAGCAAAACGACCTGCTGGATTCTAACTATGACGCTGACCCTATCTACTGGGCTAATCAGGATAACTAAAGTTGGTGACTTTGTCTCTAAACAAGGGGTAATATTACAACCATGTACGCCCCTATTCATTTCTCCTTTACTACTGTGTATTATGTCATGAGCCACATATTGCTGCCACTAGACTCATCTCTGACTCATACTTTGTATTACATCACAACTGCTGCTGCCATTGCTAGATGATCTATTCTTGCTATTGCTTATGCATCCCTTATCTCTGACTCTTTCTGTTCTCACACCTGCCCTAAAGCACAGTAGTTTACTATAAATAGGTCTCCTGTATGCTTTAGTTCTTTACTTTAATCTTACTAGGTTTTACCCTGAATATCCTTCACTTGAGACCTCCAATCTCTTGTCGTCAGAATCATATCTTAAAGTTAAAGGCACTCCCTTTAACTTAGCTTACACCAAATGCTTGACTTATTGTCTTGTGTAGAATCTCAACAGAAGTCCTTGACTCTTATTGAGTTGTCTGTTGTTAAGAACTACCCTAGTTCATAACAACAATATCAGCTTGTTTGGAGCCTCGCTCATGAAACATGGTACTGCTATTTGGTAAGAGATAGCAGCCTACTTGGTCAAAGTTAACCATGAGCTATCACATGTAAGAACACCATCAAGATTGTATCAAGACAAAATTTACATACTTTTGGAGGTACATTGTACCATTTCATGATGTAGACCAATCAAAAGAAACATTCTTCACAGGTTTCTTCAGCATCAGCTGGAAGATGGGCTGCTGCATGTGTTCCCTTCCTCAGACTCCAGTCCAACACACTCTCAAAGAATGACCGAACAAATTTCTGTTAGAATGATGTGAGTGGCATCCATCAATGTCATGGTTAACACACCTCTGAACATTTGAATTCAGTGAGTAGTAAGCCTGGTTCATGCTTTTCAATCACAGTGAGCATGATCAAGCGAGCAACAACAACACTGATGGGAACACCAGATGTCCTCAAACCTCATAATGTGTCTGTGATCTCCTTTACAATGGCTGGGTACTTTGCAAGCACCCCCATTTGTCCTGATCCTGCCAGTGCGTGATGTCGTTTGACATTTTGAATTGTCATGGGTGACCAACCACATTTTGTTTCCTTGTCCAGCCATTTTTGGATGGTTCCCTTGTTCAGGTGAGAGAAGAGTGATGGTTGATCTTGAGTGAGCCTGCTAGCAATTGTCTGTGCAGACCAGCCAACTTTTGGGGCAATTTGCTCTATGTGTGTCCAGAGGAAGGGATGATACCAGTTGCTTCATTGGTGTCATTCCTGCTTTGTTCCACCATTCTTCCCAGTCTGCTGATCTTTCCAATTTGAATCAGGCCTTGAAAGCTCTGCAAGATCCATTGTCGAAAGACTGCTTGTTTGGGACTCAGCCTGCAAAACCTATATGAAGTTCATTCCAATACTCAGGTCAATTGCACAGCTGCTAGACTTACCTTGTTGACATTCTTTTGTGCTTTCTTCCCTTTCAGCTGAGTGGCTTTGATTCGCTCACAATGATGACATTGATGCTCCATTGCTAGGTTCTTCTTTCTCTGCTCTTGTGCTGCTTTCAGAGTTTCCTCATCTTGCTTTGTCAATTCATCATCATCAGCTGTGATTTTTGCCAATCTCTCCCATTGCTTGGCTTTTTCTTCTTCAGTATGAAGTGGTTTCCATGTGAAGTCACTGAAACTCATTTGTTTGGTTTTCTGTGAATTGATTATGACAGGGAGGGTCAAGGGTCAAGGGTTTTCAATCATGTGAATAGTAACATGTTTGTATTGAACATTGAGCTTTAAATCTGACTTGTGACCCTCAGAGTTCGAGTCCACATTGACAGTTGATAGTCTAGCATCCATGTGAGGTGAGTGCGAAGCTTTTGAGCATTTTTCGGGATGTTCATCTACTGCTGAAATATGTATCTCTGGGGCAGGTCTTTTTGTGCTGCCACCACCAGTCCTAACACATGGGTCAACATGAGCTAATCTCTTTCGATTGAGAATGAAATCTTACTGTCATAGGTCCTTTGCACCCTGTTGTTGTGCAGCATTGATCAGCCACTCAAGCCACACCTCATGAAGGAAGTCACGTTCAGAATCTTTTGCAAGTTTCTTAACTGTCTCCTTGAACATCCCAACCAGGGCTTCATAACATCTCCCATATTCATGGAAAGTGATTGTTCCACTTCAGCCAAGTTTATGGGTCTCAAAGCAGACTTCCAGATTTCTATTGAATGCAAACCACACCCCTTCCTCCTCAACCATCTCTGTGTCGAGGCTGAAGTCATAGGAAGAATTAGGTGGGTCAAGGGGCAATGATTATGGAAGATTTTTCAGGAGCCTCCCAAGATGTTCAATCCATGATATCAACACTGAGGATGGACCAGGCATGGTGCCAGGAGCAAGTACAACTCAACCAGTATTGGACTCATTTTAGGCCTTTCAGCTCATTGCATTGTGTTACTATAGTATATTTTCTAAGTAGTGGCAACTCTGCAATGACATGTGGTGCTGGGATGTTGACAGTTGCTAATTTTTGGTATGTCATGATGGTAAACTGCCTGGTTGCTTACCTGCCAAATGTGGCAACCTGTTACGCTCGACCCCCAGTTGCCTCCCTATAGTCAGCTACAGTAATACAAACTGGATCTGCACATATTGTCACTCTATGATGAAGCAAGGTACAAGCGTAGTCATAGAGTTTGGTCTTTGGCTGAGCAGAAGAAGCCATCAGTTCTTGTTTCTGCTCCTCCACTAGCAAAAGTCCTAGTTGAGCTCTTTTCTTTTCTCTCCTTCTATCCTGTACTATCTTTCCCCTAGGCTACACACCATTAATTAAAATCTACTGACTATGGCTCACATTACATCAGACCCAGCACTGGACATTGTTCCTGATTTCACATCCACAACTTTCCAAGGCATAAGAGACCACATCATAGAAAACACACAGGCAACCCATGAAGAAGTAGCCAATGAACTCATTATGGATTGGCAGCAAGACTGAGACATCTGACTTGCAGCTTGGAATGTGCAAGTCAATGAAGAAGCTCATCTAGCAGCAGAGGCAGCACATACTGAACAAGAATGACTCCTCCTAGAGCAAAAGGCTGAGAATGAACACTGTGAGGCAGAAAAGAAGAAACCAAGGATCAATGAATTCAAAACAGGCACCTCAGTCAGTGATACTCTTACTCGCTGACCATCCCAATATGCAATCCACAAGCTCAAGTCCTTTGAGTACATCAAATTGTGGTATTTCAGCCTTGACAAATGCAGAGAGGTGGCTGATGAAGCCAAGTCATCAGCAGACAGTACCTTTGGCTGCACAAAGGTTGACAATTTTGTAGCCTTGTTCAGGCCATCCCACAAGGTTATCCAAGACCATGGTCTTGAATGGTATCAGTTCAACATGGCAAAGAACAGCTTCCTAGTGTACATTAACAAGCTTAACTGGCCAGAGAAGTACCAGCATGCCCTCACCATGTTCTTTATGAACATCGTGTCTAACCCACAATGGGCCAAACCATTTGGTGAACACACCCTGCTCCTCTATGCTGCCCACATTTGACAGGACTGGCATGACACCCTCACTCTTGATAACACTTTTGACATCAGTGTTTTCAACTTTACATTGTTGAAAAACCTCACCAAGGAAGTTTGGAACAAAACATGACTCAAGAGTCTGACAGAGGTTCATACCTTTCACTAACATGATTCCAAACAAAACTAATTACATTACTATGTTTCCTTTTACTTGCTGCTACAGCTTCCACACATGACCTAACTGCTGCTTCCTGCTTCCAACTTGAAAAACTGCTCCTGGTACCACTATGTGCTTGGCACTGCTACCACTGCTGCTTTTTCTACCTCGTCAATCTCTTCCTCTCACCCCAATGCTTCCCTGACACAGCTCTAGCTTGCTATGTCATTGTACCATTGAGCATGGGAGACTCCATCCCAATGCAACCATGCCTGGGCTGAGACTCGCCTAACATGCTCTTGCTCTTGCTCTTGCTCCCTACTTTGAAACCCCTCAGGACATTTCCTACCCCAAGCTCAGTCTCCTGGTTGCAACTGTCCTTGGCAAGAACCCAAGTGAAACAGCCAAGACAAGCAGTCTTTTCAGAACAGTGCAGCATCAACCAGCCACCATGCCTGCACTCTGTGCCTCAGCTGCTTTGCCCACAACATTCACAAGTGCAAGAGCGAGCTTCTGTGGGACAACAAGGCCCCTACCTCTTGCCACAGAAGCCTAGAGGGCCAGCTCATCAACACTCTTGGCTTGTAACTCTGCTATGACTGGCAATGTCCCAATGGTTGGGCCCATCTATGCTGATGTTATAAATATCCTTGATAATGGCGGATGGGCTGGGAGAAATATTATTGCTGATGGAGATGGGTGGGCCCATCTGGGTAATATGTAGAGTAGGATAGACATATATTATAGACAGCTGGGCTGAAGAGAGATGTAAGGCAGATATTATTATATAGACAGGTGGGCTGATGTATGGTATATTGTGTAGATGGGTGGGCCGAGGGAGTGGTGAAATATTTATTATACAGTGGCTCAAAAAAGTGTCTCAATGTTTGTGACTTTTTGTGTAATTGCTATATTATGAGCTAGGGTGTGAGAATACAACTAAGCCATGGGGAGGTGTGGGAAAGCTCTGCTTCTAAGCTTTATGTTTGGTCCCTCTAGCGTGAGAAAATTATGTCATCAAGTGAAGATATGGTTAATTTAGTTTGGTAACTCATTGAGACACTTTTTGACTTTCAGTTTGACATGAATGTCAGAGTTCTGGCTGGTCTGGGTACAAGTCTGCATAGACTTCAGGTCTGCAGTCTGGGTACAAGTCTGGGTACCCCTCAGCAGGCTTGGCAATTTCAAGTGGAGTCAGCCACTCATTGCCACCATGTGAATATTCCTTCAATCCTGCCCATCACTCACCTGCCACCAGCTGTCACAACCTCCTAGGAATGCTGCTAATATGCCCACCCACCATTGCTGGGGGTGGTGCCAATGGCATCCTCCATTTAGACGCTGCTCAAACAATCTTGGAGCTGCTCAAATACCCCACCTGCCCATCATTACAGCCATTCCTCTTTCTTCCCACACATATCCATATCTTCTCCTGGCTTGCCTCCCTTACATTGCCTGTTACAGTGCCTCACTCTTTTTCCCATCATCACTGTAGACTCCTATATGGCTGTACTTCTAATGCTTCCTTTTCACTGTGCTGTTTCCTCATGGTCTTCTCTTATCTCTGACTCATACCTTGTTTCCCATGAACCTTCCATTCTTAGTACTAGTTGCCCTTTGCCCAGCTTGGTCTGTGCACAATTCCCTTATGTATATAAACTCTAGTTACTACCTGTATTTTCTCTAACTTGAATCTACTTGGTTCTCTCTAATAACTTGAACTCTAGCTCCTTGGGAAGGAGGCTAGCCATTGTCCCATTTGAACCCTAGATCCTGCAGGAGTCTAGACAATTGCTCCTGAGGGAGGCATTGACTTGATAAGGCATAGTCCTTGGTCAACCCCGATCTTGATTCCTTTATTGGAACAACACTCTATCTGAGTTCGTAACATTGCCCTCCTTTCTTTGTGCCATCCTCTTGATAACATCTCATCTTGGTTCCACTATGTCTGCCCCATTGTCTCATGCTGACATCACACTTCTTGCACAGTTACTCATTCGCCTGTCTCCTACTGGCTTCATCACTGACTGCACCAGTTGTGGTGGTGCAGTCACCTTGTCAATCTGTCGGTCTGATAAGAATGGGAATGGTGGAAAACCAATGGCAAGGGTACAAGCTGCTCTGATTTTTGCTGCATAGTATTGACATAAATTGCCAGCATACATCATGTTCATTCTACTGGTGGTATCCCAAACTACTTGCTTTCCTGCACATCACATCATTAATTCCTATGTCAACTGCATCACCAAGTCCCCCCAGCTCTCAACCAATCACCTCCTCTAGCAGTACTACCCTCACCATGCTGCCACCCCCCCTGACACAGCCCTTGAGCAGGTGCCAACATAAGCAGGGTGAGTGGTGTCTATACTTTTTCTGCTGTCATGTACGTGCCTTGCACTGCAGCTGTAACTCATGCTTAAGGCATTGTTGCGAGGCAGGTGAATGTCCTTTCCATAGGCTTAACAATGGCCCACCTATGCTTGGAGACAAGGAGGATGATTTTCTGATCGAGGAGCCTGAGGATGGTAGCTTTGGCCATGAGGACCTTTGTCAGGCATTGCATGCCTCTCTTCAGGACTTAGGCTTTCCCATCCCAGATGCACCACTCCCTTCCATGCACAACCTTCTGTCTGCACTGCCTGCTCCTATCCCTTGTAATCACATCCAACTGCCAAGCATTTTTCTGGAGGGTGACTCATCTCCTCCCCCTGTGCTACCTTCCACACTGCTCCCCAAGTCAACAGCAAAGCATCCATGAATCATACAACAGATGGACCCTATATGGGCCACTGATTTGCATGCCCAGGCTAGGCAGGAGGCTGATGATAAGCAGGTTGAGGAGTGTCGCAAGGAGATGGAACGAGAAGTGAGGCAACACTTTGCATTGCATTGGTTTGATGCTGTAAGTGTCATCTCTTGTTTCCATCAGGACTTAACTGATATTATCCCTAGGACAATGCTGCTGTCAAGGTAGAATGGGTGTCCAAGTGCCCTTACTATCCTCAATGGCAGCTTGCCAATGATCCTGAGCTTATCACCTCCTTAGGCACAGATATTCACAAGATCAAGGTGTACAACAAGCACTTCTGATGCTGGATTCCCACTGCTCTCACACATACCATCTCCCTCAAGTCTGGCTGTCATCTCTTTCTTCATTGTTATGGTGTCATCCAGTGTGACGGCTTCCAGGAGCTCTTGATGGCATCAAAACATACTTCACGCCCTCATCACCTTTGGTTCAACATGACAGGTGAGCATGATGTCATGCGAAAAAAGCTCAAGGCCAAGCAGGAGATCATTGAGATACCATCTTCCCTGGTCATCACAGCCAAGCATGAATGGGAGGAGAGCAGTGAGCTTGCTTTCACCCCAATGTGTCCATGACTTGATGTTGAGGACTTCAATAGTTGTTATGCAATGTCTATGTTGCCCACTCCCTCTCCACTCCTCATCCACAGTGGCAGTCCCCCTCATGACACATTTTCAATGTTGTATTCCTCATTGACATCATTGGTCCTTTCAGTTGTGTCCTTGCATCACATAGCTGCCCCAATACAACAATGACCAACCACAGTTCCTACTATCACTGCGATTCCTGTGCCCCACTATGATCCTGCCAAGCCATGGCAGGTATGGCCCCATGGCATGCACACCATCAATATGGTCACTGGCTTTCAGCAGATGGACAACAAGCAACTGTGTGCAATCCACCTCTAGCATGAGTTGTTCCCCCTTGTCTTTGGAGTCCCCTATGTTAAAGCCACCTACCACCACAATCACAAGATGTGGCAGGTGATGGATCATGCAGTTCTTGCTGAGCATGAGGCTGCAGGTCATTCATCATTGGGTCTTTGGTCACACTACCTCAACACTTGTCGCAGGGCACTTGGGCAGCAGAGCAAGAAGCCTGGCAAAACCAGGTAAACATACCACCCCCTTAAAATATTCTGTGTTAAGAACCATGCTCAAAGGAGAGAGAGACTGACTCAGAGGGGCTTGGCCTCAGCTTGTACGCTGTGCCCCTTACCTGAGTATGTGCCCTTCATTTCAGAGGAAGTCTGATGATGGTCTGACGAAGTCCGGAGGAGTGCAGGAAACGTCCAGAGGAGCACGGGAGAGTTCCAGAGGAATGCAGGAAATGCTCAGGAGAGTTCCTGCTGCAAGGTAATACTTCTACAGGAAAACAGGATGGAAGGATAGGAGGTCTGGAGTATGGAGGACAGGAGGTCTGGAGGTATGGAGGATGGAATGTCTGAAGGTACGGAGGGCGGAACGTTGAAAGGACAGGATGCCTGGAGGTATGAGGGACAGGACATCTGGAGGTACAGAAGACAGGAGGTCCAGAAAGAATAGGGGCTACATCGGACAAAGTCTGATGCAGAAGCAAACAGAGGTAGACTACCCTAAGGTAGAGTCAGAGGGACAGGAAGTGGACCTAAGTCCAGAAAGAGGGTAAGTGCCAGAAAGGCAAGACTCCAGCCTAGGGAAGCAATCCCTAGACTTGGGACAGAGACATGGGGGACAAATCCAAAGGTCCAGAATTCTGGCCTAGGGAATCCTTCCCTAGGCCTTATGGAAAAGGATGAGACTCAGACGGACTGAAGTCCAGAAGATGATTGGCAAGTGGAACAGGATCTAAGATGATATTCAGACTGAGGACTCTACTGTAGTTGTACAGAGGTTATATACTAGAGGCTATCTGAGAGGATCAGTAAGCAAAGGAGTAAGGCTATGTACGAGCATGCGGAAACACATTTGTAAGTAAGATGGAACATAAGTAAATGAACTCGGAGATGAAACTAGTACAAGGATCAATCAGCAAGATGGAAACAGAGATAACTGAGAACCAGAAAGGCGGAGATGCCTAAATGGGGATAGGTGCAGGATCTTGGACGGAGGGTGGGAATAGATCCGGAGATCTGGGGATCCAGAAGGCAGGGCAGAAACAGGACTGAGATATGTGAGGTGGTAGATGTAGTCCGGAATCTGAGAGGAGGTAAAGTCCAGATGTCTTGCTGGATGGAATGTGTGTAGGGTGGACAGGATAGAGGATCCAGGAATGAGTTGGATATGGGGTCCAGAAACAGGTCTGGAAAGCGTGGGAATATGATGGGATCTATGTCTGGCATACAGGATATGACATTCTGCCTCAATTTGTTGACCATTTGTTTACCTCACTCATCACTCGTCTATGTCGTAGTTATCTTTTGCAATGTTATGATGTTTTTTGTATTGAAATCTTGACATTGCAGTTAAGAAGGAGCACTTACACCACCAATCTTACGCAGCACACCACTTGGACGACCATATTCAAGCATGGCACCAATGTTCAAGACTGCCATTATAATCCATTCACGTACCTTGGCTCCCTCAATTTCGATGCACTCAAGGAAGTGAGCAAGGGTTGACAAGAAGTCATCAAGTTGGATGTTAGTGAATAACATGCCATGTAAAAGGACAAAGAGTTCAGGTGCACGAGCTATGGAGAACAACTGATCATTGACATTTAACTAATTCTAAGTAAAACATGGGTGATAGGGCCTTTTACCCTGTGCATGCAGTGTAGCTAGAGTAACACGATTGCGCTGAATGATCATCCTGTCTAAAAAGAACTTGTACTTAACTGGTGTCATCTCATGACAAATGTTGTGGAAGGCACCAAACCACACATTGATCTGCTCTGCAATTGAAGAGTTGAAGTAGTACCCACCATCCTCATCCAACAACTCTGGGTAAGCCTTCATGTCGCAGTGATTGTGACACAAAGTGTCACTTGCCTTATGCTTTGTCTGGTGATTGAATGCATCACTGCACATGCTGATGCCATCGAAGAATTTGATCTGGCAGCTCATGACTTCATGGAGGGCATTGCAGTTGGAGTTGTAGATTAGGTGCTGTGGTTTGCATGCATGCAGAAGGGAATATATCTGCTCAATAAGCAGCTATGCAACATCAGTAAGATGGACCAAGCTAGAACAGGATCACTTACTAGAACATTTGATACTGCCTCATGATGATACATAGTACTATGTGCATTGATGATCCCACAAGGATGAACAACGAGCTGTTCATTGTTCATCCATTAACATCAGAAAATCACCTTGAGTTTCCTTTGCTGTACAGGTAATGTCATCATCATCATCGACTCCAGTGGAAATTGTCACCACTGGCTGCACAAGGTGAGTGTCTCCGGTGTGTCCATCATGCTTGTACCACTCATCTCTATCTTGGACAGCAAGACCATCTCCAGCATCAATGGAGGCCATGACATCATTGGACTTTGCAAACTTCTGACACCATGTTCAACTCTTGCTGCTTCGCATGGACTCAATGTTGAGAGTCTCCATTTGAAGGTGGAGAGGGTCATTGCAGGCTTTGCAAGGCTTCCCAGACTGACTATCATGAGTCACAGGCTGATCACATTCCTCCACAGCACAAACCAACTCCAGATGCTTGTGTGCAGGGTCGATAGAGCAGTACTAATGGCAATTGTTGGCAAGGGGGTTGGTGCATTGTGGGACAGCACTGCATGGATGCCCCACAGTGACACTGTCAGTGACAACAACCTCTGTGTGGCTAAATGTCCTATCAGGCATCTCAAACACCCACAGGCAGCCATAGCAGGCATGTGGAAGCTCCTCCTGTCCATGAGTGATGATGCGCTCGGTGTGCTCACACATGGCATGCATGAACTGGTCTTTTGCTCTCCTCTGTGAGGGACTTGTAGGCAAATCTTACGCTGATGATGGTTATCAAGCAATGCCAGGAGGGTGAAGGAATCCCACACCTCCTCCATTGTAAGCAAGCTTCCAAATTGCCAGGGAACATCATGATTGGGAGATTGATGAGACTGCGCAATATCATAGACATGTGCACAATTTGTTGCCGAGACACTGAATAGAATAGTTAGAGACAAAAGGAGGATAATGATGAGTACTTACAGAATCTGCATGAGATCCATCCAGCTCATTGTGAGCTTGAGCTGAATGAATTGGTGCTCAGCAACTTGTAGATAGGATGGTATACCACCATAATACAACCTTGTTCTGTCCTTGACATTGTAATTGTTGTGATAATTTGTGTGACATGCTGAAAAATAACTGTAAGTTAACAATAGTTTGATATATTAAGGGCACAAACATGTACCTTGACACTTCAGGTGAATAGACCAGGTGGAATGTGTGCCTTGTGCATGGGCAAACACAACGACATGGCATTGCTCTTCCTTCTTGAGGAGAGAGTTGATGTGCCAGGCATTGCAATCTGGATTAATGCACATCTTGACCAGAGGGTAGAGAGTGTGCTTTGCTGTAAGATCTGTGAGTGTCAAGGCAATATAGAATGAATGATAGACTTACTGATCCCATGCTTGTGACCATACAATCAGAATGTTTCCTCCTCCTCGTCGGCAGCCTCTCCAGCTGTGGGTAACATCCAGACAAGATCCTTGAGGATATTCCATAGGACATCAACATCATCCTTGGAGATAGTGAATCATTCAGCCAGAAACTCATTGATGGAGGGTGGTAGAATCTCAGGCATGATGAGGACAGAGACAGTGTGGGGCTGGGGTTGTAGAATATTGTTTTTAAGAAGGCTGGCACACCGGAGGAAGGCCATAAGATCAAGAAAAGGCATGGCAGCAAGCTGCTCATGTTGCTGCATGGCAGCAAAGACAGAGCCAATGTCCATGATGAGAGCGACCTCAATGTGAGCACCAGCTCCACTTAATTATGCCGTTCACCTCCTGGTTACACCAAAGAGAGGTACTAGGCAAGATGGGTAGAGCTCAGGCAGCATGAGGAGCAGCACAGGGAGAAGATGTGATGTTGGGGAGGGGGTAGCATTGGTGGGCAGCATTGGTGGGTAGTGCCTGGTACAGGACATGATCAGTAGTCATGAGAATCAGATGCAATGATACTTACCTTCAATGCTTGAGTGACCAAAAACTTATTGATGTGATTGGTGGGAGGAGGGTAGTGTTGGCATGCAGTGCCTGGTGGCAACATGATGTGACTGGCGGGAGTGGTGGGGGAGAGGATATATGGTCAGCCATGCTCAGGGAGCACCAACAGCTTCAAACTCCATCAGAGCATCACCACCTGTACCCAGACTGCAGACCTGAAGTCTATGTAGACTTGTACCCAGACTGGCCATATCAGAGATGCCCTCAGTTTGACCAACACAATCTCTATAATTCTGGTACTTGGTGTTTCCTCCTGTTGCTCTAATTACTTCTGCCACTCTTCTATGCATACTATCTATCAATTTGAGGCATTCTTCATCAACAATCTTGCCCCACTCTGCTGCAACTCTCTCCCACAGCTGAAATAGCCCTTATTGTTATTATCATCAGCTTTTCTAATCTGTATACCAGGCAGATTGCTACTAAAACTGGTCTGAGCAGAGTTGCTATCATTAGGATCATAAAAAAGTCAGTCCAGATAAGAAAAATATCAGATTAAATTGTCCTTTCAAGCTTACATCATATAACAAAAAAATCTCTTGTTCATAATATTCCAACTAGGCAGGCTGCCAATGCTACTCAAGCCACCAAATTCATTGATTACATCATCTACACTGCTCTCTCCACTCAAATAGTCAGGAGTACTCTTAAGGCAGCTAATCTTAAAGCTGTAAACAGGCAGAAAAGCCTTTCCTGTCTTCAGCCTATATAGGAAGGAGATTAGCCTTTGCTTTAAAGCCTCAATATTGGACTGTTGAGGACTGGAATAGGGCTACCTGGTCAGATGAGACAAAAATCAATAGGATGGGGCCAGATGGCCAGGAATATATGTGTTATGAACTCAGATAGAGTATCATTCCAATAAAGGAATCAAGGATCAAGTTTGATCAAGGATGAAGCCTTATCAAGTCAATGCCTCCCTTAGGAGCAATCATCTAGACTCCTGCAAAATCTAGAGTTCAAATGGGACAATGGCTAGCCTTCTTCCCAAGGAGCTAGAGTTCAGGTATGAAAGAGAACTGAGTAGATTCAAGTTAGCGAAAATACAAGCAGTAACTAGGGTTTATATACATAAGAGAATTGTGCACAAACCAGGCTGGGCTAAGGGTAACGAATACTAGGAAAGGAAGGTTCATGGGAAAACAGAGTATGAGTCAGAGATAAGAGAGACCATGAGGAAACAGCACAGTGAAAAGGGAGTGTCATGAGTACAGCCATAAGGTGTCCACAGTGATGATGGGAAAAAGAGTGGGGCACTGTAACATTACCCCCCAGTTAACGTCTGAAGTCACCAACTTCAGTCACTAAGAGACTGATAGTTGTTAGGGTCAAAATCAGTGTCTCTTGCAAACTGCTTCTCATGCTCCTCTTGCTCAAGATCTTTTCTATCTTTATAGATCTTGAGTTGGTGATGGAAAGCCCAAGAGTCAGGTTTGGCATTAATGATACATTGTCCTCTAAGAGTGGAGCAGTAGGCAGTAAGGTGTTTTGGGGCATGGTGATGGCATTCTCAGCAAAAGTAGCGAGGGCAGTAGACCTGATGATGTCCTTCCTGCTGGCAGTATCAACAAGTGATGGTGGAATAGTCAACACCATTTTGATCATGATAGGTTTCTTCAGATGAGGCATGAGAGTTGGAGGAGGATATGGGTTTATCTTCATCAATAATGATGGGTGGAGCAGGGGATGGTGTGATGGGATGAGATAGGCCTATTCCAAAGGCAACAGTGTTTCTTTTCTTTCCACGAGCATGACATGGGTTTCCTGCAGAACAAACTGCGAGCTGAGAGGGAGCAGGAACAGGAGTATCATCATTAGAAAATTCCAATGGGGATCTGGGTACTTCTTGGGTAACGAAGTGGAGGGGCTTGACTAAGATGGAGCATTCTAGTTTCACAATCTCAGAGATCATTTCTGGGGTAAGTGCTTGCTCAAACCCTCGATCTAAGAGTCATTCAGTGGTGAGGGACTTGATCTTGGTCATGTGATAGATAAAGGAGCGCTTGGTGGTTTCTTCAGCAGGAGCTGTGATGGTATGGGCATAGCTAGATGCCAGGTCTGCACTGTAATGGATAGTCATTAAAGAAAGGGAAAAATATCTTCAGAAAAGAAAAGATCTAAAGGTAAAACACAAGGAAGGGAAGAAAGGGTTGATTCAACAAGAGCTTGCTTGTGATGAAGTTTGAGCTGAGAGTGATGGAGTTCAAGTTAAGAGTTCGAGGATCGTGAAGAAGGCATATTCTGGGATCAGGTTTCTAGGTAAAGAGTTGAGAGAGTCAAAGGCGGTCTTTATAGGTTTTCAGGATTTCCTGGGCATTGTCTAGTTCCTTTTCAGGGAGCCAGGAGTTATCTGAAGAAGGGTAACCCTTCCATGATATGAGGAAGTGTTGTTTTCCTTTTATGTTTCCCTTATGGGTGAGAATGGCTTCTATCTCGTATTCTTCTTGTCTGTTGATGATGTCAGGGAGAGGTTCAGTATGATTTGGGCTGTGGACTTCTGTTTCCTGATAGGAGGATAACTCAGAAGCATGGAAGACAGGGTATGATTTCCAGGAAGTGGGAAGTCAGATCTTGAATGTGATAGGGGAAGAGATGGCTTCTACTGTGAAAGGGCTGTAGCATTTAGGGGCAAGCTTCTTTGAGGGTAGTCTGGTGATAAGGTTCTTTGCCAATAACCAAACTTTCTCACCAATCTTCCAGGGTTCAAACTTCTTTCCAAAGGTCCAATCAGACATGTGTTGCATAGTGAGATTGTGACAAGAAATGGCTTCTTCTCAGATCTTCTGAAGGTATTTGACTCGATCTTCTGCTGCAGGGACAGCAGAGTTTGGGAGAATATAAGGGATTCCTTGGGGTTCATAACCCATCATGAGGTGGAAAGGGGAGACATTGTGGGCATCATGCTTTTGGTGATTGTGGACAAATTTGGCCATGGGTAGATGTTTTACCCAATCGAGAGGAGTGGAGCAGCAGTAAATGCAGAGGTAGGTTTCAAGTTCCTGATTCAGACATTCAGTTTGTCCATCACTTTGTGGGTGGTAGGTGGTGGAAAGTGCAACTTCATAGTTGAGGAGTCTTCCAAGTTCTTTGGCAAATTTAGAGGTGAACTAGGGTCCTCTGTTGGAAATGATCTTGTCATAGAGTCCAAATCTAAGAAAGACTTTCTTGAAAAAGAGTTGGGCAACTCCTTCTGATGTAATGGTTTTCTTGCATGGTGAGAGAATTACCCCCTTCATAAGGCCATGGTCTACCACGACCATAACCAAATCAAAACCACCTGATTCAGGCAAATCAGTGATCAGATCAATGGAGATCTGCAAGAAGGGGTGAAGCGCAGAGGAAGGGATAGGGTTCAAGGGTGGTGTAGAAGGATGAGTGTCAGATTTTATTTGCTGACATAGGGTGCAACCCTCAATGTATTTGCAGATAAATGTGCCCATTCTGGGCCACCAATAGTTGTGTTTGACTAATTCTTCAGTCTTAAAACATCCTGGGTGACCAGCAGTGGGGTGATCATGGTGAAGGTGTAGAATGTGGTGTTGAAGATGAATGGGGACATAAGCACAGTTTTTATAAAACAAAGTGCTGTCATCAAACTTCCAATCTGAGAGGGCGGTGTGATGATCATACTGGTGCTAGGTGCATATGATCAATAGCATGGTTCTTCTCACCTTCAGGAAAGGAGATAAAGTGCGGATCATTAAATCCATATATATTGACCCATCTGCTCTTACTCTGGTCTGGTCCTAGGAATCTGCCCTCCCATGTCCTATCCATGTCCACCTATCTCCACTGGTGCATTAATTTTCCCAAATGTCATTGCTAAATGAGCTGCAGGTCTTATTACACAACTACTCACAATCTGCAGCGCATGATGTCTTATTACCTATAGACTCATCACATGCTTGCTAACTATGCTACAATTCTCACCTATGCATTCTGGACATTCATGCGCTATGATATAAATGACCACAGTACATACAATTGAGTAGTTCCTCCCCCTGGACTCAGCTCTATAGGAGAGTCATTCTCACATTATTTTTGTAGACCTTGCACAATCCATCTATTTTGCTCTTTCTTGGCAATCCTGCACATTTCAACCACTCTGAAATTCCATACTGCTAGGATCTTACCCTTAAGCTCTTGCAAGAATACCTGACCTGCGACTGGTAGTTTAGTGCAGTTCTTCATTCGCACTATATCCCTTGTGACTGGCTGCTACATAGAGCACAGTCAATTTTGTGCACATTACATCTGCTGCACTGGCATCTGACATCCAATACACTCGCTCATATCTTCCAATGGTTCATCTCGCTCTTGTGATACTAACATTGGTCAATTTTGCCTGTGCTCACAGTTGATTCTTTGGCATAGAAATTCAAAGGTATACATATGGTCCATGCTCAAGTTTCTTAGGCTGACATAGGTTATAACTCCTTTGCTCACTTACTTCCCTTGCACCTCTTAGGATAAGTAGTGCTAGTTGCTAACTGCCTAGTACCAATTTCTTCTTCACAGCGGATTTCATAGGGGGTGCATTTAACCCATCAAGGGCTTGTTGCACAGCTAAAATGACAGGGTCAGAGAGGGGGTTTGTGGTTTTCAGGGCATTGCCAAGGTCATTATCGATGAGTCAGGAAAACATGGTATCAGGAAGAAGTGTGACATCAGAATTATCTGAGGGATCAGAAGAATGATTGGGCCGGCATGAGAGAGCATTAGGAGC